GGGGAGTGGAAGGGAGTAGGAGGGCACGTGATGCAGGCACCAAGGGGTTTTCGCCAACTTTTCGGTGTAGGAGTTCCTCTCTCCTGTTTGAACTTGGAATTTCCAGGGGCTGCTGCAAGGACAAGCTCCTATTGGAATCTGCCCGATACTTATAGAGCCGGAGTATGAAGGGCCAAAACCAGCTCAGTCGGTACCTCCTAGCAACTCGCGAATCACGATTGTCTGCCAACACACGAGTCTTAGGCCAAAAGATAAAATATTTTGTCAAGGTAAATACTATGATGGAGCGGGCAGAGGTGAGGCCTGGGATTTGGTGGGTTGGCTTTGCTCTCTTTCGGAACTGCTCAACGATCTACTCGGTTGCTGACGGCTATCCGATTCACCATTTCGACGGACTAAAGGACCAGAGTTACTTGTGGCACTTCTTATACTTCAATCACAAGCCAGAGAATAGGACTAATCAGCAGGGAGTGTGGAGCCGTCTCTATTCGGAGGGTGCTCGATAGGTAGGACCTCACAGATGAGCTGTGCACTCAATCTCAACATCCGTATTCAGCGGCAGCGTCTTAACTGCGACACACCTGCAACCAAGATGAATGGTATCAATTGTTTGACCTCCAGATAAGAAGGACGAAGGAAGGGGACTCACGTCCGACAGGGTTTAACATCCCCCCAGTGTTTCGTATACTCTTCGTTCATAGCCGTGAAATCATCCATGTTCGATAGAAACACATTCACCTTGACGACCTTTGTAATATCGCTTCCGGCTTCTTCGAGAACCGCCGTGAGGTTTTTGATACACTGGGCCTGCATTACGGGGAATGTGAGCCCAACTTCGTCATCCCCGTGCATATCGCAAACTCAAAATGCATGGGAGGGTTCAGTACCGTGTGGGCCTTGACGTCGCCATCGACAAGCTTCCCTGTTACAGGGTCCATGGCGACAGCACCGGAGCAGTAGACCATGCCGTTGCAGACGATGGCCTGGGACATGATCCCGGGGAGGGGCGGAGGGGCTTTGGACGTGAGGACGGGGTTTTTGGAAGCCATTATGGACGAAGCGTATATCCGGAAGGCGTGCAGGAGCAATATTCGAGGTGCTGGAGAGTGCTGGAGAGGCGGTCATTGCACTTTATGGCCGTGGTGAGTTGTCATGCAAGGACGTTGCATTCGGAAAGCTGAAACCCCTCATTTGGGTTCCTTCACTCTCCCCCTCACCAGCTTGGGCTGGCCGGCTTATCGCCTCTCCCCACGACGATCGCCACAGAGAGTCGTATCTTGGGCCTTTGCGATAAGCCAATTATAAAGCACGGTAACATAGAGCCCCTCTTGCGGTTCCCTGGTTGCACCCAACTTGGAGCGCCTCCAACGGCAAAAGAGGTGGGGTGAATTGGCCACTCCCCCTTGCATAAGACACGAGGCAAAACCCAGATTTTGACTCTCGACAAAAGTTCAAAGACCATCCGTTTCACCGTCTGGCTATCTTATAAATGCTTCTTTTTTGCACCGTTGAGTTCCATGAAGTAGACCATCTCAACCGCTAATTCCCTGTACAATCGAGAGCGATGTCTGTCTCCCACGTGTCACCCCCATATCCGCTTCATCCGTCCATCCAGGACCTTCTAGATCCCGAATACGTCGCATTTTATAATGACCATGTGATCGATAAGCAGCAGGTTCACCTGCAGCCCGTCGAGGACTCACGCACAAGCGGTATTCTAATCCCCGGCGGTGGGCCTCTCATAGACGTCGGCAAGACGACCGACATCACCATAAAGCGACGGGAAACCGAGGGCCCAAACGTATCTCTCCGCGTATTTACACCTAGTGGGGAGGCGCCACTTGAGGGATGGCCAGTGATGCTGTACTTTCATGGAGGCGGCTGGGTGCTGGGGGACATCGAAACCGAGAATGTGGTGTGTACAAATCTGTGTAGTAGGGGAGACTGTGTAGTTGTCACAGTTGATTATCGGTATTTATTCCTCGCCCTTGTTTTTCAGTGCATCCACCGTACGGAATTTGTTGCGTGACGGCTGACATGTGTAGACTTGCACCGGAAAACCCATGGCCAGCGGCCGTACATGATTGTTGGGAGGCACTTTTGTGGTTAATATCGGAAGGACCGGCCACTCTGGACATCAACACCAGCAAGATGGCAACTGGTGGCTCATCGGCCGGCGGGAACCTAGCTGCTATCATCACACATAAAGCGCTCACGTTATCACCGCCCGTCAAGTTCCTCGCGCAGTTGCTCTCCGTCCCAGTAACGGATAACACAGCGACAGTATCGAACAACGACTCTTACAAGGCCTATGAGTTCACTCCCGCCCTGCCGGCCGCGAAGATGCTCTGGTACCGCAATAATTACCTGCCAAAGGAAGAGGACTGGCCTCACCCCGAGGCGAGTCCCTTGTTTTATTCCGGAGACTGGTCCGCGTTACCCCGGGCGTTGGTTATGGTCGGCGAACTGGACGTGTTGCGGAGCGAGGGGGAGCAGTATGCCGAGAAACTGAAGCAGGCTGGGGTGGAGGTCGATTTGCAGGTGATGAAGGGAATGCCGCATCCGTTTTTGGCAATGGACGGTGTGCTTAAGGAGGGGAAGAGATCGATTACACTGATGTGTGATTTGTTGAAGGAGGTTTTTTTTAAGGGTGTTTACCATGGAAATTGTTCTCACGTTGGAGCTCCTGCGAAGGCACATAGACGATAGATTTATGATAGTTGCATGCAACAGCAGTACTATATGACGGTTACCACAGAGTAGACCTGGCTGTCAACGGATGCGTGAGAATGCTTTGCTCACGGCACTTTGGGCTTGTAGGTAATATCAGGCCATTCAGTCTGCATGATCAGTGGCCAGCGACACAGGCACGTTCGTGGCTGCGGTAATGCCACGAGCCGTGCTACGTTATCCCAGTTTTAGTGCAGGACAATCAACCGAGTCAAAGGGCCGCGCTGTCATAACTGCGGTATGTTGCTGCATATATTTTGAACACGGAGCATGTCAGCTACCTTCCTAACAAGGAATGAGCTCGACCCAGTTTAGGGCTTTGGGCCCCTGCAGGTACGAGTCGACCGGAGTACGATTATGACTCCCAATAAATGTTATCTTTCCTCGCGCGTGGGCATTTGTGATACTGCGAGATTGTGACAATTTTACCTCGTCATAAACCGGATTTTGCGCCCACGCTTCCAGTATCAGGCTAGTGCAGGCCCATGTGGATGACAATAGCGAGCATCTTTCAGAGCCTTGGAACATTATTTCAAATTTCGCGGATGGCTCGTAGTCGTGGGTGACTGAATGGTGTCTGATGTTGTCTGGGTACAAGGCTAAAAGCCCACAAACGGAACCACTTCCGGTCCACTCAGTCCTTTCTTGTCCTGTCCCCGGGCGAGCCCATGGTCTGAGAACGAGATAGTTGGCAAATTAGGCACTTGCATGCTCTGCCTGCGTTAGCAGCGATACGGGTCCAATGAGGCTGATGACCAATTTAACTTGAACGGGTCTTTGGATTTGTAGCCCAATGACAGCCATCTGTTGTCCGGAGGGCGATTTCATCAACAGGCCAAGACAGGCGCTAACGAAGGACCCCTCTGGTTAGCAAGGAAAAAGAGAAATCCAGGTTGGGTCACAGGCACACAGATAAAGCTTGTTACCAAAATTGGTATGATTAAACGATACCGGACTCTGGAGACAGATGCAACCTCACCTCCTCGCCTCGCGCTGCTTGTCAGAGAGCCGTTCTGGGTCCTGGAATTACCGTGGGTAATCCATGGCTTGTTTGGTACTATGTAGACTGGGTAGCAGGCAGTAAATAAAAGATCCGGCCGGAACGGTACTGAGTATCCAATTGTCGAATCACTGCCTGCCGATCCGATGATCCGGGTGCAAACCGACGGGAGGTTTGTGGGTGAAGTCTGACGCTGTTGATCGCATCCAAATAAATTGTCTGAGTGGGCGACCGAAGGCTGACCGGAGGGGACCCCATCACCTGATTGGTGTTCCTGGGCAGGTGATGCATTGGCCTTCTCCATCGAAATCTCCACCCACTTCCACTTCCACTTCTCCCACTACTCGACGCTACGCTTAGCGAACCAATTCATCCGCTAAGCATCAAACCAGGTCAGAGCGTGCCCGGACCTGTCCGTGGCGAAGTTGGACTTGAACTTGGTGGCAGAAGTGTAGCTAAGACTTCAAGTACGGTGTTGGCGGAATGCCCTCAGGAACTCCAGACAAGCCCGCTGTCGATGGTAACTAACGCTCGTGCGCAGGCCAGGACCTTTTACTTTCATGAGGCTCTCCCCTGGCTTGGAGTTGGAGGCTGTATGTTATGGCTGACCCACCTATCATGGACAACCCAGGGACTCGCTTGTGAATTGGGCTCACTGGCGAGTCTATCAGAGACTAGGCCACTAGGCTTTTGCCGGATCTCTCCCGCCGAATGATACACCGTCATTTCAGCCTCCAGGAGACACCGAGTCCGGGTAAACTGGGCCTTGGGGTGTGCTGTGCCGCCGGCCAATTTTCGCCTTGTGCTCTCATTGTGTAGACGCTTACCACAAACCTGGTATCATGACTCCTGAGCGTGGCCCACGGGATGCCACACGCCAGGCCAATGACCTTGAGGCTCTGTTATGACTTAGTTTGTCTAATTTTCCAGCAGATTAAAGCCCATATATCACTTGCCTTCGTCCCCTGGTTCTTGTAGATTCTTTCGCCAACCTGTCTTTCGTTGTAGAGCCCGCACCAGCAGACGTCTGTCTGCGTCCTTTCTTTATTGTCATTGCTATCCACTGGTTCCTTCCAGTTGTCATTCACTTCATACCATGGCGAAAAAGCTACTTTCCCTCGTTCCGGCCATCTCGGGCCTGGCCTCATTTGCGTCTGCTTTTGTCCCCGAGGCCAAATCCAATCTCGCCGTGTACTATGTAAGAATTTATTTTGACTGAGATCGAGTTCAACACACTGTGCTAACCCCTGTATAGGGCCAGGGTCTCGCTCAGCCTCGTCTTGCCGAATTTTGCCAGGACACGACTTTCGACATCATCAATATCGGATTCATCAATACCTTCCCAGATCAGGATCCACTGACCGGCTTGCCCGGCAGTAACTTTGGCAACCAATGTTGGGCTGATACCTATATCGTCGACGGTGTCCCGTCAAAGCTGTACTCGCAATGTCCTAACTTGGTGGAGGACATTCCCGCTTGTCAGGCAGCTGGCAAGAAGATCTTTCTGTCCCTTGGTGGTGGATATCAGACTTATGAGATCGACACTATTGATTCCTCTACCAAGTTCGCCGACTGGCTCTGGGGAGCGTTTGGTCCAAAGACTGATGCATGGGAATCCGCTGGCAGCCCTCGCCCTTTTGGCGATGCTGTCGTGGATGGGTTTGACTTCGACATCGAGTACAACGGTAGCTGGGGTGAGCTATTTCTATAAAAGAAAGCCATTAAGTCTGCATTCTAATTTTTACAGGCTATGCCAACATGATCAAGAGGCTCCGGAGACGCTTCGAGGAGGTACCTGAGCGTAGGTTCTACATCTCCGCCGCCCCTCAGTGCCCAATCCCCGACGAGCAGCTTGGTGTCGCCATCGCCAATTCAGTCATCGATTTTGTCTGGGTTCAGTTCTACAACTCAAACCCTTGTTCCGCCCGTGACTTCGTGGCTGGTTCAAAGAACGGCTTCAACTTTGATGAGTGGGTTCAGGTTATCAAGAATGGTGCCAACCCCAATGCGAAGCTCTACGTTGGTCTGCCTGCTAGTGCGCTTGCAGCAAACCTAGGGTACTATTTGACCCCTGAAGAGGTTCAGCCCTTGGTCAAGAAGTACATGAACAAGTATCCCGAAACTTTTGGAGGTATCATGCTGTGGGAAGCCACGGAGTCAATGAGAAATCAAATCGATGGGGTTAGCTATGGTGAGAAGATGAAGGAAATCTTGTATGACCTTGATCCCAATCACCCTACACCAACCCCTTCGCCTACTCCTACCCCAACTCCTACGCCCACCTCGACCACGACAACGACGCCTACTACTTCCACTGTTTTGACCTCTTCGACTACGTCTAGCACTTCAACTTCTTCCACGACCAATTCTACCCCGATCCCTACTCCTTCTACAACCACACGTACCCCTACCCCCTCTGGAAGCCCGTCAGGATCTAGCACCTCGACTTCGACAAAGACAGCTTCGGCTTCGGAAACCAGCAACACCCCCTCAGTGACTGCTTCGGGGTCGAGTATTTCTGTGTCCTCGAGCTCCCATGTCCCCACATCCACCCCTTCAGTGTCCGCATCGAGCTCTGTTGTATCTTCAAGCACGACTGTGTCAAGCTCTCCCGTAATCCCAAGCCCCAGCACCTCTTCCCATGCGTCTCATTCGACCTCTAGCACCAGCATTCCGTCCAGCACACCAGGTGTCTCGAACACCCCGTCAGCAAGCATTCCAATTGTTTCGCCTTCATCATCGACATCGACCGAGACAACTGTAACTTTGACAGTGTTCCCGACGCCTAGCTCCTCTCGCGTGCCTACCCCATCAAGTTCTGTTCCAGGCCCCAGCACCGACTGCACAGAAACCGAGACCGACTCTACTTCTTCTGCAACGTCTCAGACATCCAGCACCTCGACGAGCAGACCTGTGATTCCCACAACTTCGATCTCTAGTAGTAGAAGCACTATTTCGACATCAACAACAGTGACCCCCACACCGAGCGTGTCCGGAGTGCTAACTCCGTCTGAGACAACCTCCTCGTCGCAAACTACTGACAGCGACTGCGATGAGACAGCTACTGCCTCGAATCCAACCGAGTCGACCGTGCAACCCACCACCGAGCTTACTACTAAGCCAACCGACACTGGAACCGTCACAACTCAGCCCACCACTACGGAGCCAGCCACTACCACGACAGTTATTGTGACTTCATACACGAGCATTTGCCCGACAGGGTTCACTACGATTACCACCACGATTACCTCAACTTACTGCCCCGGAACGGCATCTGCCACTGCCACAGGAACTGATATACCTGGTTCTGTGCAGCCCACAGACATCCCCGATGGATGGACAACCACAGTGACGGTCTGTAACGTATGTGCTGCGACCCCAACCACGGTCACCCTGACTCTGCCACCCGCAGCCACAACTGGAGAGTCCACCCCTGCACAGCCTACGGACCTCCCCGCCGAGGTTCCATCTGACGGTAGTGACACAACTATCCCCGGACCCGAATCCACGATCGGAGAGTCTCGCCCCGCACAGCCGACAGGCAATAGCCCTGTTGGCGCACCCTATCCTGGTGAAGGGGACACAGCCATCATCGGACCTGGATCCACTACCACAGTTGTCGTTGTCCCTGCCTACCCAGACTCTACCAGCAAGCCTGTAATTGGCGGTGTCAGCAGTGCCTATCCTTCTTCGACCTTCTATGTCCAGCCGTCCGCCTCCCGGGTTCCTGTGGCGCCTACCGGTACACAGGGAGGCGAGACCCCTGTTTTCACAGGTGCCGCGTCTCGTGTTTCCGGCTTGGCGAAGGGAGCTTCTATGCTCATTGCAGCTGCGCTCTCTGTGCTTGTCGTAATGTAAATTTATCCTTCTTTTCGTGATGATTGATGCTATATGACCGAGGTTGTATCAGTGTCGTTTTATTCTATGATGTTGATGTAATGTCGACTTTTGTGGATACGTTAGGGTTTTACAATCAAATACATTAAATGTACTTTATCCTAGAGCAGATTCACAGTTTTCTGTTCGTAATTCTGTGCCTCAATGATGAAGAGTCGTGTTTGGCCGTGTTTGTAATACTTAGGGCTGAGTTAGTGGCTTTTTGCAGCCTTGTTGCCTAATTTGGTCTCCTGACATTCCTCACCTGCTGCGCCACTTCTCTTCTTTCTTCTCCCCTCCTCTCTTTCTATGTAGAGTCCTGGGCTCTCTCTGCCCCTCATATCATGATTCTACTGGCCCTCTACTGATATTGAGGGTTTTGACGCCTTTCTCTTGATATAATTAATGGTTACCAGCGACACCGTCTGTGCCGCACTGGACCATGGCGGGGGTGTTCGCTTCGGTTCCCAAACCTTCGCCATTTACTCCTGCGCGCCCCTGCCGCCAGGTTTCGAACATCTCAAGCAGAATGTTGCTCTTCATACCAAGCTGAAAGCGTCCGTATCGCGAGTTTGCAGGACGCTCCCCATTTATGTGAATTTGGACGACCCCGAAATAGCCCAGCTAGCTTCGCTGCCAGTGTTGTTGTCCCCCACCCAGCCGTCAGCCAGCACGATCTATCAGCTTCCGTGGTTCCTGATCAACGCGGCAACATTCACCCAACACTGCGTGATCGGAAGAGGATCGGCAGTGGAGTCATTACTGGTCATCTTGCAGCGACCATGGTGTGTTCTCGAGGTCTGCTGCACCGATATCGAGACCGTTGCGGCGGTGCGGGAATTCGCCCTGCTAGCGGCTCAAGCAGACCCTGACAGTTACTCTGCGGCAGTTCTACTGCTTTCTCATGAGTACCGAGCGAGAATATCCCCGGTATTAACTGATATCTTCCACTCCGTTGATCCTTGTGTGTCGCGTTGCTCAGAGAGGGCACTTTGCGATGTTTACGCAGCGACAACTCTTGTGCACTCGTATAATCGGTTCTGGCTGCCGCTGGTCTGCAGTTGCGCGGTTTACTTGGACATTTCTTTCTCCGAGGTGGTACGGCGGATCCGCGATGATTCGGGTGATGGATCTGACTGTCGGGGCTGGATTAGCCTATATAGAGGGTTGCTTGGGAGAATTGGCGATTGGGTGACATGATACCTATAGATATTCTTATAGAACACTGATTTGGAAACTGAACCATTAAGCTGCCATCGTCCCATTATATAATAATACTCTGCAACTACAAGACTAGACCATGGCTTCTTGAGAATCTCGAGTTATAGACAATTTACAAACTATTCGCTATAAGCGTTCGTATCATATCATTCATAGCTCATTGCTCAAACATGCAACGAGTCCAGGAAAGCATCAGAGCCATCTACCATGACTTAACAAGAGTCTCACTCTGCGGCGTCGCTCCGCCCTTGTCCATGTCTGCAATCCATTCTTCTACAGCTCCACGCATCTGCTCGACCAACCGTCCAGCCAAACCTTCCGTCCCCTTCCTCGCAGCCTTCTTCGCTTCTTCATCATTCTTGCCCCTCTCCGCTTCTTCACACGCCGCCGCCATATAGTCAGCATAGTAAACCTTCATCTGATTCCTAATAGCGGCCCTTTCCACGTCACTATGTAGAGCACTTCCCTCTTCCTTCTCAGCGCCCTTTTCAACCTCCTTCTGGTACGCATTAATCCGGGCCAGGGCAGGCTGCATCGCACTAAACGCCGGCATGTTCGGGAGCAAGCCCATAGTAATCCAGTCGAATCCCTCAAGCCGACAAACAGGGGTAATCGCCAAGGTCGCATAGATGATACTCTCAGTGCGCTTCTCTTTGTTCGTCAGCAGCGCATGCGGCACAGCCCCCTTCGCCTTCGTCTGCAACCACCGCGAGACCTTGGTCGCGACGATCTCCGCGATGGTCGCGTACACCAGAACAGCCAGGAAGGCAAGCTGCATATATCCATGCATATTGACCATGCACGCAATTGACGAGAACGCCGCCAATGCACCCGTCACCATGAACGCCCAGTGCAGCGTGGACTGGATGAGATTCGGCTCGTACTTCCACGTTGTACGCGCCCAGGCCTCCATATTCTTCTTCGCGCCCTTGAATATGACCGTCCCGCCCTCTGGGCGCTCGTAGGCTGCATACCGCGGCGTTTCCTCCTGGTCGATTGCCGGTGTCGACACCCGCACCATAGGCATGAAGGTGATCAGCGCCGACGCAATCCAGTGACTCCCGTACAAGAAGAAGAGCGTAAATGCCCAGACATCCGCAGCCAGAATGCCAATCAACATCGCGGCCAAAATCATCCCGCCGTTCGCCAGGATCAGCAGGTAAAGCGCCAGCCGCGCAAACATCCACCAGCCCAGCCCCGGGTCCAGGCTCAGCTTGTGCCTCTTTTCCCTCGCCATATCGCCGACCTCGCGCGGCGTCCGGGCCACCTGGTCGATGTGTACGACCATAAAGTCGTTGCCGGGGTTAATGCCCCCCGACCGGAAGGAGATTAGGTTATTCAGCCACACGTTGCTGAAATCCAGCGGCAGCTCGCGGAAGACAAAGTCCGAGCGCACGGGGATCATGGTGATGTACTTGGCGCACATTTTGATCGGCGCCGAGAGCGACTTGGACGGGAGGCCCGAGGTCACGTACTCGACGAGCATTTGCATTGCCGGCAGCGTGCCCCCGATCATGGACATGTGCGGCCAGTGGAAGGTGTCCTTGTCGAACTGGACGTAGAGCTTCGCGGCGCTGGCGGCGGCGCGCGGGTTCCCCAGCACAGCGGCAACGCCGAGCGGGTCGAAGGATACAGAAGTGTCATTCTTGAGGGTTGCTTTGGGCCCGTCCGATGAGAAGGGGTATTTGGCTTCAGCTACGGATGCGAGCTGCGAGATAGCGGCGGTGCGGAGCCATGATTCTGTGGTAGGAGAGCGCCGCATTACACTGCTTGAGCTGTAATTGTAATTGCAATTGCAATGAGAATGGATTTGGCTCCACTAGAGGCAAAGCTTATATACAGCGTATATGAACCATGGGAGAAAAGAGGATTCATCTGACGCGGCAGAGGGCTGGTTTGATGTTTGCTGGCGCTAGGCCAAGTCTGCAGGAATCGTCGGTGCGGCTGAGCTGCATGTGCACCAAACTCTTTTGGGCGCTGATGTTCCTGTGGGCCGTTATAAGAATAAAGATATTTTAAAATAATAATGAAGGTATTTCGTCAAATAATGAGTCCTGGTAGAGGTGTATAAGTATAATGGAAGCATTCAGTGAACACGGGGAAGCTCAAGACAGGCGTCTGATTGGCGGGAACTATATATCGAGTGTTTCATATAGTCAAAGTGATGAATATTGCTGATACTCACTCCGTAGTTGAGCCAGTCTTCCCTGTCTCTTTATAATACATCCCTGCCCGATGATCTGGTGCCTCCTTGTTCATAAACATCTCCCGCTTCCCTTTAAGCCCTTCCAGCCCAACCTTCCAGGTCCATAAACTACTTGCATCAATTGTTGGTTGACCGGCCCGTCTTGGCTGACCCGGCATGCCGATAAATCCACATGGGAGTAAATGAGTGCTGGTCTTGTTTTTTCACAGGATATACTTAAGCAAAGTCTACTCTCTAATGGTTTATCTCTTGGCCCAGGTAAGGCGTATCTGCAATCCTGCACGGCCCTACCAGAAAAGCCTACAAGATCTATTATCCACAACTCAGCTTCCCTCGCCTTGCCCCTGAAAATCACCAACAGTTAGAGCTACCGGCGCCGACCGAACCAGACAACGAGTCAATAACAAAACATCGTGTTGCGGCTGTGCATCCAGCTATAAATCACCAATTGATAACGTATAACAGCCAGATGCAGTATTGACCTGCAGCGCTAAACTCGACCCACCTGTTAGCAGAAGTTTGGGGGCCCCATTCTCGGCTTTCACTGGGCCAGACGAGTTAACCAGCACAGCCTTTTTGCAGCCCCCAGGCCCAGTGGACCCTTAATATTCATCATTGAGCACGCACAGCGGCTCAGTCTCCATATGTCATAGGCGCAGTTCCCGTAAGCCAGTTTTGGCCCGTTGATGCTCAGTCAGTATAATCATTTCTTTTCAGGCCGGGCAGGGTCTGGGTCTGTCGCGACTCGGGGTAGTTCAGGTTGTCCTGACTCGACTCCCTGATATTTAGAGATGGCAGCGTCCTCGCTCTCTTGTGACAATGGCCAATTCGCAAGCAGCTCTTTCTTCACTTTCCATACCTTAAACCTACCTTAAACCCCTCCAACCGAAACAATGGGCTTCCGCGACCTCCTCGAGTCCAAAATCGACTCTAAACTCCACCGCAAGACATCCAGCACCCAAATCCAACCCGAGTCCGCGCCGGCCCCGGCTTCGAGCAGCTCATACTCGTCCGGTCCTCCGCCGCCTCCGCAAGTCCCTTACCCATGGGCTCCGCGATGGGACGAAAACTACCAGCGCTGGTACTTCTTCAATGAGCAGACGGGAGTGTCGTCTTGGGATGTCCCGTCTCAGGATCCATCCTACGGTTATGGTGCGCCGCCTCAAGCTCCAGTCCCTGCTCAGGGCCGGTACTATGAGCAGCAACAGCCAGAAGAGTCAACGCAGAAAAAGGACGGTGAAGCCGAGAAGGGGTCTGGGGATTTGAAACCCGAAAGCAAGACGAAGAAAAGGCTTAGCACTCTCAAGAAATTGGGCAGTAAGGTGAGGAAATCCCATCATAAGAAAAAGAGCAAGGGAAAGAGTAAGAGCAAGGGAGCTGGAGAGGGAGAGGGAGAGGAGGAGGAAGAAGATGAAGATGAGGATGAGGATGAGGATGAGGAATCGGGGTCAGGGTCGGAGTCAGAATCAGAATCAGAGTCGGATGACGATGACGATGACGAGTGATGTCGATGTCGATGTTGATGGTGTTTTTAGGCTGTATCCCTCGGAATTGAATATGCAAAGAATACCCTGTGCATCTTGTTGATTCCTGAGCCACGGCCCGGAGCCAGTTGGTTCCCCGCACGTGCCCGGACCTCGGCTGCGGAGAGCTCTCCCCGTTTATAACTTTATATACCTCTTCCGAATGTACTTCAACCGTTAATTTTTTAAACAGTGTAAGAGGGCAGATTCTCATCGTATACAATGTCCGCGCAACTACCACTAGCCGGCGTCCGCGTCGTTGAATTGGCCGGCCTGGCACCCGGTTCGTCAACATCTCTACCCCACGCAGCAACAAGTTACTGACAGTCTCGGACAGGCCCATTCGCCGGCCTCCTTCTCGCAGACTACGGCGCATCAGTGCTCCGTATCGACCGTCCCAAAGCCGTCAGTGCCGACCAGCTAACCCGGGGCAAGACATCCATCACCCTCGACCTGAGAGACACTGCCTCACACCGACTCTTGCTGGACCTCTTGTCCAACGCCGATGTCCTCATTGACCCCTTCCGCCCAGGCGTGCTGGAACGCCTCGGCCTCTCACCCAAGGATGTCCTGCTGAAGCGTAACCCAAGGCTTATCGTCGCCCGCATGACCGGGTTCCGCCGCGACGGGAAATACAAGGACATGGCGGGCCACGACATCAACTACATTGCCGTATCCGGCGTGCTGTCTATGCTGGGACGCGCCGGCGAGCGGCCCCACGCTCCAGGGAACATCATCGGCGATTTCGCCGGCGGCGGTGCCGTCTGCTTCCAGGGGATCCTGCTGGCGCTGTTGTCGCGTGCCAATACCGGCCGAGGCCAGGTCGTCGAAGCAAACATGGTTGACGGCTCTGCATATCTAGCGGCCATGCCGCGGTTGAATCTGGAGACGCCACTTTGGAGTGGCCCCCGCGGTACAAATATGCTTGATGGCGGGAGTCCGTTCTACGATACCTACGAAACCAAGGACGCGGGGAAGTATTTCTCGGTGGGCGCGTTGGAGCCGCAGTTCTACGCGGCCCTGATCAAGGGTTTGGGGTTCCAGAAGGGGGAGCTGCCGTCGCGTGACAACCGCGATAACTGGCCCGCGCTCCGGGAGGCATTCACAAAGCGGTTCAAGGAAAAGACACGGGCGGAGTGGGAGGCCGTGTTTGACGGCACGGATGCCTGTGCGGCGCCCGTGCTGGAGCAGTCTGAGTTGCGGCAGGCGGGCTTTGAGCAGCGCCCCATTGTGCATTTGTCTGATACCCCAGCCCGACCGATCGCAGCGGAGGATGGCGGATGGGAAGGGGGGATCCTTGCGCCAGGAACCGGGGGTGATGAGACCTTGAAGACATGGTTGGGATGGGAGCAGGGCCGGGATTATGAAGTGAGGAAAGACGGAGCGCTGGTACGGCCGGATGGCAAGTCAAGGTTGTAACGTATAGTACTGTATACCCGAGTCATGTTGTTGCCGAAAGCCCCAAAGAATGTTAAAATTGTTAACATTTCATAATCCGTATGTAACCCTGGTTGGTATTATTTTCCGGTTCGGTGCTCCAGCTGATCCACGGGCCGACTGAGACAATCGGAGCAGAGCTCCCCTTTGTGTGGTCTATGAGCATCATCGCGGGACAAAGCCCCAGAAGTCGCGACTCGCGGGTCAGCCGCCCGAGATGGAGAAAATAAATTAAGACATTATTAGACAAAGCCCGGGCTGAGCTGAAGATGAATGTCTCACGTCAAAGCAATCAGCCACAGGTGAAAGTAACGGTTGAAGGAAGGTTACAAACCGGCGCCAAATCCGGAACGTGGATTCGATGTAACTCAACACATGATAGACTTGCGGGGAGTGATTCGTTTTCCCTCAGGAAGCCGTTCTCTTCCTAGCGCGCCTTATTCTGCTGCTATCAATCTTAGTGGTTGGATGTTCATGTCACTCCCTGTCTTCCGGTCTCCGGTTCTAAGGGGCAGAAGGCACTTCCTTGGATGGCGGCGCTGAAAATCCCCGGTGTCAATACGAGCAGCAATTTCAATTCCCCTCAGTCCTCCCCCAGGAGAATGGTCTAACCCTCCTCTCGTTTTGTGATGCCGGATTTCCCGGGCAGCAGTGGGGTTCGACGTCATGATCCAGAGCAGTAGAAACACTTAAAGTCATAAGTGACATAATGCCCACACTTTCTGAGACTGCGAGGTTGAAAATCAGGTACGGCTTCCCTGTCCACTGTTCCTAGCGTCCGGTACGATACCGTACGCCTTGTCTCGGTGCTGTATTGGGGCGTGCACTGTACGTATTGAGATCTTCAAGCCACGTGTGGAGAGTGGCGCAGCATCTCACCTTGTCTGGCTCCTCCACTCCTTGTCTCGGGAATGAGGGATTCCGAAACAGAACAAGACTCGATGTGATCAAGAGGACCGAGAGTGACGGAGTCCCGTGGAGCGAAGCATCATTAACCAGCCACATGACTGGGGGAGACAAGGAGTGGTGTCATATGTGGCTGTGCTAGATCTCGTAAAATCAATCCATGACCATGGCCGGATGTGTATCTCGTCCTGTATCATACGGTACGCAACCATACCCTATCGTTTCTCTCAGCTTCCTTTTCCCTCCCGTTCCTTTTTCTCCGCCATCGCTTCAACTTATCATTCAGCTCAATCCCCTTCCCCTCTTTCCTCCCTCATTCCCAGCCGTACCCGCTTTATATACCAGCCTTGAATCCCCTTCTGGCTAATTGGGATTCTGGTTTGCACGAGCTGCAATTGCTGGCCCGTTATTTGTTATCGCCATTTTCTGCTGCGAAAACCCTCCTTAGGCCCCAAGGTGTGAACAGCCTTAGCTAGCCGCCGGTGTCGCCTTACAGCGTCTCCCCTTTGGCCTCAAAGAGCCAGTCCCTTTCTTCGAGCGAAACGCCTTTGTTGTTCGTTTTGTTTCGAGGAGGGCCCGTGTCCACTAGTTGCACGTTTCCACCTTCCGCACGTTGCGCATCCTGCGAGGCGTATCCTTCACCTCGCTCCGCCCGCCGGAGTTGCATATCTGGTCCTCGTACGACGCCAGACGCCGCTCGTCTTCGAACCGCTAACTTGTCCACCTTTTTGGATTGTGTTGCGAACCATAAGCTGGACCTGGAATATTCCTTTAATTCAATTCCGACCAGTCGCTCAAAAAAAAAAAAAAAAAGCAAAACAACCTATCCTTACAACCCAACCGTTTCGATCGGACCCTACATAGCTGATGTACAACACTAGACGCCCACAATGACAGACTATCGATTACCGATTCATCAAGTACCCCAGCGGAAACCGGTCCCTTCCGCCCATGCCGGAACTCAGTTTCAGGGATACAATAATAATGGATACCAGCAACCACAATACCAACCTCGGCCGCCACCTCAACCAGTTGCCGCCCACCCTTCAGTCGCTTCCCTTGCGCACAGCCGAAGTCGGACGTCTTCCTCAAATGCCTTGCCGTACACAGGACATCAACAGCAGTATCAACAGCAGCATCAACAGCAGCATCAACAGCAGCATCATCAGCCGTATTCTACCGGGCCTTCCCCACAGCACAGCATGACTGTGCCGTACAACCCCATGGCAAGACGCTTGTCGAGTGCGACGACATCCACAGCCTCCACGGGCAACAATCCGGGCGCGAATCCTGATATACGGCGAAGCTCGTCCGCGCGGTCAGGCAACTCCCAAAGCAGCTATGTTGCTCTGCTGCGTCGACAGAAGGCAACCGTTTGGTGTGACCGTGCGCAGCCGGAGGATCCTCGCTTGCGACAACAGAAGCTCGTAGATAAAAAGCGAGCATACCTTGAAGTCCACGGTGCAGGCGCCGGGCGTGCAAGTACCCTTGGAAGCGGGAAAGGCAAGCATGGTTCTAAAGTTACGGACCTTTCCCCTTCTGCACTCGTTGGTGCGACCGTCCCAGTTCGACTAAGTGCCAACGAAGTTGGAGATGCGGACGAAGATGCGCACAGTGAGAGGGACTTCCCTTACCGTCGGACTGGAAGCGGACGAAGCTCTCTGGGTAGTGGCCACCGTTACCCAAGTGGCTACCAGCGAAATACGCAGGGCACTATGGGCAGTAACAACTCCCCGCCAAACGAAAGGACCGATCTACCGGGCGTTTCCGAGGATCCCGCCATGGATCACCCACAGGAGCAGCAAGATGCAGCTCCTGCCAAGGACGAGACTGCCACAACCCATAGTAGGAACAGTGAGCAAGAAGATAACTTTGGAACAGTTGGGGATATGACCGCCCCGAGTGCTGCGACTATAGCCGAGCAAAAGGCCAAGAAAGCAGCTGAACTTCGGCGTCGGGGTAGTGTGGACGATCGAACGACCTCCATGACCAACGTACGGCTGTTCGTCGCAAACCCAGATACAGATAGCGACTAGGGGAGACGACCATTGAAAGTTTCTATATTCCGTCGTCCGTTGGGACTTGACGATTATATTTCCGTCAATACTTGCATTTTACCGAGTTTTCAGCATCTTGATATCCCGCGCCATCTTTCTCTTTCGCTTTTGCTTCACCTGTTTTTCACCTCATTACTCTTCTTTCGACCCGGTGTCTGGAAATCTATTCGTGTCAAGACCAAAGCATTTGCATGGACGAAAGGAGCCGCGACCAATATGCATCAGCTGAGCATGCTTACACTGGGAGATCACCTGCCGTCGGGCTAGTCCTGACTGTCTGGTTTGTGTGTGATTTATCAGACGTTGAATGTCCCCGCTGTATCGGTATTCGTTGCACCGTTAAGGCGTCTTCTGAGGGAGTACCAATAATAATAATAATATCTTGTACATACATACGGAGTACTCATACCAACATAACAATTTTGAGCCTTGAAAGCATTATGCCATTACCTTTCCAACAAGTCCTGCCTTTATTCTAGTAGCCGCGCTTATATCGTATGAATACTAGAATACTGAGACATATTACTTTTACCTTAATCAAAAGAGGAATGCTACAAAGCCTAGAGATGCCGTATTAAAAATGCTTCAAGTGTCGTTAACTAACTAACTATACTGCCTTGATTATATTATATAATATACCACGTGATGGCGCCTACGCGAGGCAGGCGCGTGAGGGCCTCAATTAACGCGTCGTCCGGACCTCTGCTCGAAGATCGGCCCACCCTGTTCCTTCCGTCCTGGTTGAATTGGAACGCAATTCCAGTCACTCTTTTCGATTGTTGTTTATTGTTGACTTAAGTGTTCACCGTTATTGTCTGATTATATTGTTGTTTAGCTTCAGTCTCTTGCTGTTTGTCCAGACGGTTTGTATTCACTCGCGTGACAGTGGTCTCTTCACGCCCAACCACAAGCACAACTTCCAAAAATAAACCGTTCCCTTCCGCTCCCTCCCATCTCGAACGAGGAAAAGCGAATACCATGGAAGTGTCCATCTCGATGGACCCCAATTCAGCACCTTCATCGACATCCGCACCATTCCCCTCCACGCACACACAGACTCAATTATCGCCGAGCCAGAAACGATCAGCTCATGAAACCGATACAGCTACACCTACACCTGTCCCTTCTTCAGGGCAGAACGACTCGGCTGCGACGTACGTCGATGATAAGGAAAATAGGATGGATTCTCTAGATATGAAGACTGCCGAACACAGCGTGACCATGGCTCCAGCCGCGGCTGTGCCGATTCAACAAACCAGTACCGCGGGGAGCCCACCGGCGTCAAGTAATAACACGGACCAGACTCAACAACCCTCGACTGGGAATGGCGGGGCTGGATCCCCTCCTGCAGCGAAAAAGAGAAAGCTGTCTCCTGCTAGTCGGGAGGCCAAGCAGCAGGAGAAAGAGGCCAAGGAGCGTCAAAGACTCGAGGAGAAGGCTAGGAAGGAGGATGAGAAAGCCAAAAAGGAAGAAGAGAGACGAAAGAGAGATGCTGAGCGGGAAGAGGAGAAACTGAAACGAGAGGAGGAGAAGCGAAAGAAGGATGCCGAGAAAGAGGAGGAGCGGAAAAAACGGGAGGAGAAGAAGAAGGCCAAGGATGACGAGAAGGCTGCTAGGGAAGAAGAAAAACGCAAGAAAGACGAAGAGAAGTTGAAGAAGGAGAGGGTAAGTTCTTACACCGCACTATTTTCTTTTGTTTTCTCTCTTCGTGTATTTGGCGAATATTGCTTTGGAGTTACTAACTTCTGGGCAGGCACAAACCAAGTTGAATTCCTTTTTCGCTAAGCCAAAGACACCCGGAGATCAGCCTCTCTCGGTCGTTGGCAGTTCGCCCAAGAAGCCGTCCGGCAATGGAGATTCTGCTGGCCCATCCGAGACGGTCGAAAAGGTATCCGATTACAGACGAGCGTTTCCGGACTTCTTCCTACATCCACATACCTATGTGGCGCCTCAACACAGATTTGAAAGAGATGCTGAAGCATTGGCTCATTTACGAACAACGGTTGACTCGTCTTTCAACAAGGGATCTGCTGAACAAATAGCTTTTCGCCCGTCAGAGTTATTTAAGCTGATTCCGTACAAAAGACGACGGGGATGTCAGAAAATGTCGGTCAAAGACATTCTGCTTCAAATGCAGAGCTTAAGCGACCTGCCAGAAACCTCGGAGGCTGCTCGAAAGCTGCAGGAATCCCTGAAGCAAGTGAGGATGAAGTCTCTAAAGTTTGGGGAAGACGTCCGCCCACCGTATCAAGGGACTTACACCAAACATCTGCCCAAAGAAAAAGGAGCTAAACTAATGCGCAACCCGTTCCGTCGTGAGCTGCCTGAAGTTAATTATGACTATGACTCCGAAGCAGAATGGGAGGACGCCGAAGAAGGAGAAGAGCTGGACTCTGAAGAAGAGGATGAGGGCAGTGAAGACGGAGACGAAGACATGGACGGCTTTCTGGACGACGAAGATGACCACCTATCAAACGGCAAACGGCGTCTACTTGTGGGCGATCTTGAGCCAGTATGCTCCGGCATCAAATGGCAGGACCAGGAATCCGACCCAGACCTGCAGAACTACAAAATCGAGACGATTTTACCGTCTGTTACATTTCCAATCGATCCGTTTTCAACGTCGTACTGGCAGAAGCCAAAGGTTCCAGAGCCGGGACAGACCAACGGCTTGGGACAACGTGCAACCTTGCATTCATTCATGGGGAACCCAGCACATCAGAATTCGGGATCCTTGGCGATGCAGGACGGGAATGCCGTGGCCGCCGGCAAGTCCAAGCGGGCGTTTCCGGTGGAACAACTGGCCGAGTTCAAGACCGTTGTTGAGGGAAGTGATCTAACCAAGACGGGCTTGATCGAAATCTTGAAGAAACGGTAAGCAATGCTATTTGGCCCTAATAATTGGATGTCGCCAACTAATCGTTTTTGTCCAGGTTCCCGAAAGTGTCCAAAGGCACACTCAAAGACACTTTAGACTTGATTGCGACTCGGGTTGGACAAAAGGAAGCGGACAAGAAATGGGTCTGCAAGTAGTCTAGAGCCTGCACCTAGGACAACGGACAACAAATGACAGTTCAAGTTCGCTTGACGCGAAGGGTGAAGATGAATAAATCCTCCACTATCATTATTCTACGACCTATATCACTAGTCATGACTCTGCAACTACGGTATACTGCAGTGCCCTGGTGGGAGACTGTGGACCCACCAAATGCGAGATGGTGGTATAGCAGTGAGACTGCATTCCCAACTCCAAATATCGACCAGGTTGACACGGCCGCGCAAAAAAAAATTCAACAGCGACTCGGTGGTATGGAGTCGTACTTACCTGTCGAGGAGAGGGGCACACAGCGCAGGCCGTGGAGTGTACCCCGCCGGTTGAAGCGATGGATCGATGCGAAGATGGAAGGAATGTGGCGGGGGACAAGCGCAAGCTAGGAGCAGATCTACCCTTACTACATAGAGAAATGGTCGATGGGGAAATCGACATAATGAGACACGTGCAGTAGCCATTAATACAGTCTGATTGATTCCACAGGACGCACTCGGGAGCGTACAGTAGAACCATGGTAGAACACCTCGGGAGATCTGGGGGTGAATCTTGGAAGCGGCGAATCAAACCTAAATGCGGACGACTGTTTCGACTGAGGCGATCGTGTTTCAGCGCAAGAATGCGAAGTCGAGTCGAGAAGAGCAGACGAAGCACACGAAGCGAGTGGGAGAACAGCAGAGCAATCCGATTCCAAGTTCTGGATGGGAGATTTTCGTGGACGAGCAGAGGCGCGAAGGAGGGCGGGCGACAAATCAGAGCGGCGGGGAGGCTTCATGCATGCAGTGCCAACGCATCACTTCTTCAATGTTGGACGACTGGCGGGCCACTTCAGCTGCTGCTTGCACTGCTCGCACTGCTCGTTGGACTGAGGGCCACCGGCTGTCAGCTTGAGTGTTCACGAGGAGGCGATTTTATTATCTAAAAGATGGGCCAGCCAGACAGTGCATCAGACTCCTACTGGCAGTCCAGCACATGTTCTCGCAGTCAGAGAAGACCTCGTAGACTCCGTCAGAACAAGGCCAGGATAAGACTGATGCAGGCGGCCGATTCGAGTCACCGCCTGCCAGCTCACTCTGTTGTCGCGCCCCTCGATTTGTTGGCATCCCCATCGGCGAGGGTTCATCTTCTTCTCGCGCCCTCGCCCTTCTCGACTGCCAGTCTGCAAGTCATCCGTTCAGCTCCCCGCTCTGTCGCATCCTTGGACCTTGGAACTGCTGCCGTCCCGCCACTTGTCGCGCTGTGCACTCTCGGAGTTTACCCCGTCTGCTCTGCGACTGCGTTACTGCGTTGGTGACTGCAGCTTCTATACCGCTGCCAATAAGAACCCTGCGCTGCCTTGCCCTGCGCTGCCTCCCATTTCTTACTTATTCTCCCTGTTTCATCCTCGACTCGTACTTGCTGCCCTCTCCCTCTCCTCTCCTCTCCTCTCCTCTCCCTCTCCCTCTTCCTCTCCACCTTACTTCCGTTCCCTCTGTCGCGTTATCATCCTGGAGACCCTCATCGTGTCGACTCTGCCCTCAAGGCTGCCTCCGTCACCAGACCTGCCGCCTCATGAAATCCGTCCGTCGTCGACTTCGCCCTCTTTAGAGGAGCCATGCGATAAGCCGGAAGTCGCCTCTGCCGCCGCGGCCGCCGTCCATCCTCCACCGTTTTCCACCCCCCATTTTGAGCCATCCAAGCCAAGCGGTCCACCACTGGCGACTGCCCATGGCAACAACATCATGTTCGATGCCCAATCCGATGGTCTTTCTTCCCCCCTGGCTTTTGTGAGCAGTGCGTGCCTCTTTTTTATTTTTATTTTTTTTTTCCCTTTCCCTATTTAAATCGCCCTTTCCTCTTTCTGGATTTTGCGCCTCGTTTACGAGACTACTCCATACCTCTCTCCCCCTTCAGGAGATAAGATCGGCGTCTTTGGGCATAAATGCTGTGATTTGCCTGGCGCCTCCAATCAATATTCAACCCCTTCCCGCGAGAACTAGCTGCGCATTTGATTTCCTAACATTTTTTTTGGCTTCTTTATCATCAGACCTGCTCCCTCCCGCTCTTAAGACGACCCGACCATGTGAAGCCGCACCTCCTGGTGCTGACGCGACGGCCAGCATGTCCCCTATAATGCACTCGCCACACTCGACTTCGAGTCACACTACAGGTGAGTCTGGCGACTCGGACCGCTCCAGTTGGCGGTTCATTTCAACACCCATTTCTTCCGAGGATGAGCAACCCTCTATTGTGAAACCCACTGCCGTGCCAGTGGAAGAGCGCCCCAAGGTTTCCTTCGAGGAGCTGGCCGGTCGTTATCGCCAGAACCAGCACAAGCAGGCGCGCAGGAAGAAATTAGAGCAGCGCCTCCATGCGACCAAGGTGTCCATGGGAATATCGGCGCGTCTGATTCGTCTCGGAGCCGCTGTTCAACGCGGCTTGGTTGATAGGCTCAAGCATGATGACAAGGCCAATTTCATCACTCTCTACCACACCATGATTGATCTTCAGGAGCCCTGTTCGTTAGCAACCCGGCGCCATCTTCATCACCCGGATCCTTGGGAGGATTGGTCGAGCCCTCGAGACTCTTCTTTGGACCGCAACCCGGATTTCTTCTCGCAACTGAGCCCTCAGTCGAGGGCGGATCTTCTTGATATCCTTCAATCAGTCCGCTCGGATCCCCAGTTTGTGTTTGAAAAGCTATGCAGCCTGACTCCTAACCAGCTGTCTACTCTGATATCTTCCTCCGTCACCTCCTGGGAGGCCGGTGGGGATCCCTCATTCCCTCCTATGTCCCGTTCAAGGATATCTAGTCTAAATTCGAGAACCGGCCCTGTTTCTGGTATTCCGTTCAAAGACCGTGTTTTGGCATTTGAGAGGACGGACCCCCTGTCCACCTTGCTGTTTAATGTTTATGCAGCTCCCTTGGACTCGGAGGCCCCGGAGGCACAGCTACGATTGGATATGTGGTCCTCGGTCTGCGCGAAACTCATCGCCGATGGTGCCAGCAGGTCTTACGCGCTCATCGACCATATCCTGACCCTATGGGCCACAGGTAGCAATTGGAAGGCAAAGCCCAAGTTTGAGCTTTATCTCATGGATATCCTCCAAACCGGTGCATTTCTTCTGGAGCATGTAGAGCCCCCGCCCGGCTATGATATGGACCCGATAGACCCTTTGAGAACGGATGTTGCCGAGGAATACTTTGCGTCCACTGTGGATGCGTTACTTGAACTTTTGGATGATCCAGACGCAGGGTTACCCCAGTCAGTCGTGCAACTGAGCAAAGCAATCCTGCAGAAGCTCGACCACCAGGACTGCCGCGACCGTTTTTTGGATTTCTTGCTCGTTCAATGGTTTTTCCCCAAGTTCCTTTACGGGGCTCTAACCTATCCTGAGGTCAGACTCATCCACCATATCCAAGTCGGCTTTCGCTGACCCAAGTTTCTAGGGCCACGACCTTCTACTTGATTTTTATATCAGGAAAGATGCAAGAGAGAAGCTGCTTGGCCAGGTCGGGTTCCAAGCTTATTCGCAGGCACTCGCAATTCTTCGCCCGATGTGCGTATTTGTCCATATTGTTTGATTCGTCGTTTTACAATTGCGGCTTGCTAATGTTCTCACTACATCTTTAGGCATCAATATCCCATAGCTCGCCCTCGGGTCAGAGAACATGTTGAGAATATGCTTGACCATATCCGCGACCCTACTAGCAGGATTATTCAACATTCGGGCCGCTCCACAGCGCTTCATAATGGACCAGCTTCCCCTGCGGTGTTTTTGATGCTCTCCAATGCCGACGTTCTTACATTGCTGAATTCCATTTTCCCCACGCCCAATCCACTGGCGTACAGCTCCCAGTCACCATCCTCAGGTATTTCCCTCTCACCGCTTGGATCACAACCAGACAAGCATGTGATGTCCACCACCTTCGAGCCAGGCTTCTATCGTGCATCTGTGCCGTTTTCTCCCAGGCCAACGTTCCGCACCAAAGGCCCCCTCCCAACGGATGTCCATTTCTTCTCGCTGCACGAAAACACCTTGGAATCTAAGGCTGACAAGATTCGTTTTGAGTTGTCTGACCAAGGCGAGCATGACGTCCATACCCATTTAGAGACCCCGTCTGCAGAGGAATGGACACTCTTCACTGTTTCCCAGAATGGCATGAGACTAGTCTGGGGCCTGTTTTCAGATGGCCAATCCAACTCTTTGGGCAACTACCCAGCCGATGAGGGAAACTCTTCCACCTTAGGAAATGAAGACAACTTTGAAGCGCTACAGACAGCCATTGTGAAGCTGATTCAAGAAAACCCTGCTGGTGACCGCGCTGAATATGGTCTACAGCTGTCTCAAGGCCAATCGCAAGCAGGTGCCCTATCACTTAAGGAACGGTTCAATCGTGCCATGGCATACTGCCACCAGAGCTCCGATTTTATTGGCGCGCATTACTGGTGGAATGCCACTCGGCTGCTGCGCCGGAGCGTCGCTAACTCATCAGCCCAGCATGGCGATGATTCTTGGATACTGGAACCAATGCACTCGGCCTGTGTCCGCTCCCTTCAAACATCTAGTTCCGTTATCCAGCGCTGTGAAGCTGATTTTGTTGCTCTTGATCGCCATACACTACGACTTCGTAAGACGGTGAAAGATATGATGAAGGCTATGGCGAGGCTTCGAAACAAGATGTGGTTTATGACTGATGTGAGAAACTCCAGACGCTACGAAGAAGCTAGGCATGTCGCACTTGCGCTTAAGACCATGCCCTATGCTCACAAGTACGCACAACCCGAGCCTCGGTTTCGTGGCAGCGCCAGGTCTTTTGGCGGAGGATTCCTCCAGAAGCCTGAGCTGCAAATTATGAATGTCATGAAGGCACCCAGCAACCAGGCAGGTCCGACCAAGCTCGCAGATGAACAGGTTGATTTAATTCGGAAGTGGCTGGCCCATAATAACATCGACAATTTCTGCAAAGGCGAAGAACGGATTCATCGTTTCTGTTATGAGGTTGGAACCAGCATCAACCGCTTGGTTGGAGAGACGATGGCAGAAACTCCAGTACTATGGGCGAGTGAATTGTTCCACAAAGAACGAACCAAGTACGAAGGATCTAGTAACCGAGGCTTCTTCGGCCTTGCCTCCAGTCTACGGTCGTTTGGTGCAGCTAGCGATGATCCTCCTCACTCTACATCCTCTCTAGCCAGCACAATTCTACGACCACAGGAACCATCAAGGGTCTCCCAGGAGTCTCCTAGACTGAATCTGAAGCCTTCCTTCCAGAGTTTAGACTCTGATAGATGGAGAGCCCCAGGCGCCGGCACTGATACCTCTTCCATCCTCGGTGAGAGGGCTCCATCGACCACCACTGGAGACTCGTGCAGCACATTCTGGTCGGCTCCCCCTCCACATACCCAGTATGCGCCGAGTGCATCTAGCTTCTATTCTCGACCTCCGTCCATGCTCAGTGATACTGCTATTCAACCACCACGGCGTACTGACCAAAAATCGCATGGGAAAACAGCATTCCTGGACGACATTCGACACACATTGACAAGCCTATTGTTGAGCGATCTTGGCTCACCGGTATGGAGTTGTGGCACCGAAACAGATGCTTGGTTTGGCAGCGTACTAGACCAAAAGAGAATCCAGGCGCAGATGAGGAAACGATCTCGCATCCAGCGTTTCTACTCGGAGTGTGATGAGCGAGCGGCTCGCCAATCAATTCATCGCGTCCCATCCTCCCGAAGAAGCAGATCACTTGATCCTCTCAGCCGGGAGCCCTCGGGCGTCTCCTCCGAGGCTACGAATAACACAACTGGTTTGGAAGTTTCGGCCCCGTTCTCTTACAGCACGGTATTTCGACGACTCCTAGACATATTTTCCCGTCACGGAAACCCGTTTGTCAAACTCGATGCACTTCGAGATCTTCGAAGCTTGGTAATCGCATCAATCACTACTGCCAACGATGACCAAGCATCGTCTTCCTGTACCCCTGATTCCACCCCTCATCAAAGACGTACGTCTGCCATTCACAGGAAGCGCGATGCTCGATGCAGTTTCTCCGAACCCCATGGGCGTCATCGACCCGAAAAAGACCCGCTACACACGCCGACGTCACCTCCTGCCGAGTCGGTGATCTTCGATTCTCGACCTTCCGACTATTCTATACCCAGCGAGAAGCAGATCGTCGAGGCACTTCGGGAAATTATTTTTGATATGAAGCCAAAGACACTCTTCCGCGATCTCCAGTTTATATCGGCTTTCGTTCCTAGTGATACACTGAACAAGACAGACAGTGGTACTGCGTTTTTGCAATTTGGGCTGGCTGCTCTCAGCTTAAAGGATGAAGTATGTAACAGTATGGTGGAGATTGCAGACGAGATCGTCTCCCAAGAACTCACCCGTCGGCATCCTCCGCATATGTACGATATGCACCCTCGCGTGGGTGATCCAATGAAAGAAGCAGCCAACATGTGGATCATCACAGCAAAGGAGGGCCATTCTGTTGCTCAACGCGAACTGGCGATTCTATACCTCACCCATCCTGAACTCGTCCCACGAGTGACGTTCCCACTTACTTTATTAAGAGATACCTTCAAGGCGGATATGATGTACCGCCGAGACAAGGACTCCAAATCAGATCCCCATACTATGTGCCTGGCGCTGCACTGGATGCAGCTCTCAGCTAATGGGGGAGATGAGCTCGCACGGAATCGGCTTCGTGAGCGCGAGGAGTTTGAGTCTATTGCTTAATATTCTCTACTCTCTTTTTTCTTATATTTTCCCTTTATATTATTGATACCATTTTGGAGCAGTTGGATGACTTGATCTGTTATTCCATATTCCATGTCACTAATTTCGGAGCAGTGGTTTTCTTTCTATCTTCTAGTTGTACGTGTGGGCTGTGTATCGTTCTCGACTTGTAGCTGTACTGGCAATTTCTCTCTCGGCGGAGTGCGGCTTATTTGATTGATATATTACAGCATACAAGGCCCGGCTTTTGGGTGGCACTTTGAACTTATACTATCGGAGTACCCTTTGATTATGCAAGAATAAGATCTTTTGGAGTTGAACTGGAGACGATTAAACATTTAATCCAGACACTTTGTTTATTTTTGTGCCCTATAGTTAACTAGTTATATGCCTAAATAAACAGCTTACCTAATACATCTGTGACGTCAACCTGGTAGCCCCACGTGCCAAATCAGACGAGCCAAACATGTAGTCTTGGCACTGCTTTTCCCTCTTCCTCTTTCCATTCCAAGGACGCTGTATCCGGCTGTCACGAGTTTTCGAGGCTGAGATAATTTCCAAAGTTCTTTCAAATCATCTGGTCATCTGCGCAAACTGTGACTACAATACCTGGTTGCCACTGTCAGGAGGGTTAGTGTCTGAGACCTGATGTCAGCTCTGCGGTTAGACCTTCAGCTGACTTGAGTTGATATGTATAACTAGGTCGTCGCGCGCTTTCGAGACTTTTGCCAATCTTGCTTCTAGATTGTTTACCTGAATTATAGGCTTTCTTTTTGTTTGACTACGACGCCCGCGAAGGATTACACAAGGGAGTGCTTCAACGATTCGGCTGCCTATCCCACTTCGACCAAAAATGGCGCAGAACACCGAAATTCCAAAGAGACCCAAGGGTGAGTCGGTCGAGATCAAGATCTCCCAACACCTAGATCCGAACTAATAGCGCATGACTTTCGCCCCCTCTAGGTATTCTTAAGAACTCTAGTTCTCAAAACCGCCTCCATGTTTCGCACGACGACGTCCACTTCCACCACGTCCATCATAGCCCCTCCCCGCCTGCGGACACCAAGGAACTCACCTTGCAAAACACGCTCCAGAATGCCGGCCGTCGCCCCTCTGCCTCTTCCCGGCGCACTTCTCTCGCCAGTTCCCACGGCCACCATGATGACGCCTCACCCCGCCTTAAATGGGATGAGGCCAACCTGTATCTGACGGAACAGGAAAAGACGGCGAAGATGAAGATCGACGAGCCCAAGACCCCGTATGCGCCGCATTATGACCCCGCCGAGGATGAGGAGGAGATGAGACTTGCAGAGGCGCAGGAGAGTCTGATCAATGCGCAGGGCGTTGTCGTGGACGAGCTAGACAAGGATAAGAAGCCGTCGTCGTCTTCCTCTACCTCCAAGAAGTTCTCTGAGGATGATATTCCCGACCTAGAACTGGGCGAGCCTGAAGAGGAGCTCTCGCACGGGACACACCTTGGTGCTGACGATCGGATTACACGTGCGCGCAGCTTAAGCAATGAGTCCCATCGCAGCGACAAGCACGTCGTCGTTGGCGCGAACAATGCCAACGAGACGAACGGTGATGAGCTCTTGACGCCTGAGCAAGCGAAGGAGAAACATGCGCAGTTTGAAAAACAGCGGAGGAAGCATTATGAAATGCGGAATATCAAGGAACTCCTAGCGTGCGTGCCCAACCCATCCTCTCCCGTTTTCCATCCCCACCTCCTGCCACGTGAGGCGTTGGGTATTAATGCTAACCGGTTGTGATAGACACCCTGAGGAGTTGGATGAAATGGACGAGGACGAGGACGATGAAGACACCAACTCTGGCGTTCCGCCTCCCATGCCGCAAATTCCGCAGCGGTTTTTGAATGGCGGCAGGTGAAGTGCCGTCAGTATTCACGATCACTGCATTTTTTTCTTTTTTTCCTATTGTATATTCCCCAGCGCTTTTGAGTCATGGATAGCAAGGAGATGAATGATGAATATGTCTTGTTCTTTCCTTTTTTTTTTTTTTTCTCTCCAGCATACTGTGTTATTTACGTCATCCTGGTTTGGATTTGTTTCATTTTCTGATAGATCTGCCGCGGTATATCAAAGATGAGTTATCAACTGAATGTGTATTTCGAATACCCACCCAAGAACACGAGGAATAGCCACTAAGGTAGCAGAGTAACGGGCTGTTTAGAAAGGCGCTATATATAGCCGTTACAGCCTAACTATAGAATGACAGCTTGGCATGCACGCTCAGGAGAAACAGTCTGGGAAAGAAAGTCGCGAATCAATGGATCGTACGACCGAATCAAAGGCGGCTGGCCATGAATTAAGAAGCTGAACTAAAACTGATGGTCCTGCACGACTTTGGGTATAATAATAATGCCAATTAACGACGCCTAATCCCGCCTGTTCTGGGCCCTGGGCCAGGAGTTAGCTGTGTTTTGTTTTGTTCTTTTCTTCTTCAAGGCTGCTCCTGCATCTTCCATTTCTTTTTTATCCCACGCTTCTCTCCTCTGCTCTCCCCATCACAATTACATCTTCTTACAGTTCATCCCTGTTAGACACAGTATCTCTTTTTCCGTCTCCCTTAATTGATTTTCCGATCATGGCCGACCAGGAAAAAAAGGATCAGCCCCAGGCCGCTGCCCCTCAGACTCAGGAGCCCGACACCACCAAGTCCGAGCAGCCTACCGCTACTGAGTCCGCGCCTGCACCGGAGCCTGCCACTGAGCCTGCCGCTGCTACCGCTGCTCCTGCAACTGAAGCTGCTCCCGCTGCCCCTGAACCCTCTGCCGCCACGGCTGCTGCTGAAACACCTGCTGCGACAAGCACGGAACCAGCTCAGCACGCAGCCTCCGAGGCTACTAAGTCCGAAGCCCAGCCCGAGGCAGCCGGCGAGGAAGAGAAGAAGAATGAGCCTTCCAAACCAGAGTATTTCACCAAGACCCCTGCCCTCGAGCAGCTGTTTGACCGCGTCCCTGGTATCTTGAGCAAGACCGGCCACCAGGAGATGTGGGGGGTGCCCCTGAAGCACGACGCCACTGATATCCCCACCATCAATGTGCTCATTAAGTACCTGCGTGCCAATGAGGGTAACGTTAAGCTCGCTGAGGAGCAGTTGACCAAGGCCTTGGAATGGCGCAAGGAAAATGACCCTCTTGCCCTGGTGAAGAGCACCTATAATGCTGCGAAGTTCGGCGGGTTGGGTTACCTTACTACCTATGCGCGCGAGGGGAAGGGTGATTTGATTGTTACCTGGAATATTTATGGCGCTGTGAAGAAGATTGATGATACCTTTGGGGACATCACCGAGTATGGCCTCTTCTCTTCGTTTCATGTATGCTTTGGCTGATACATAATTTGCAGGTTCATCAAGTGGCGCGCTGCCCTCATGGAGCTTGCTGTCCAGGAACTGAAGCTAGACCAAGCCACTTCGGTGATCGACTACAACGGCGAGGATCCCTACCAGATGATCCAGGTGCACGACTACCTGAGCGTTAGCTTCCTCCGCCTGAACCCGACCATCAAGGCTGCGACCAAGAAGACCATTGAGGTTTTCAGCACCGCGTACCCGGAGTTGCTGCGTGAGAAGTACTTCGTCAATGTCCCCGCCATCATGGGCTGGATGTTTGCGCTCGTCAAGCTGTTCGTTAATGAGAACACCACTCGCAAATTCCACCCCATTTCCAACGGCGGCAACCTTGCTAAGGAGTTCCCTGGCTTGACTGAGAAATTCCCCAAGGCTTACGGTGGTGGTGCTGCGGATTTGGAAGGCTCTGCACGAACTGTTGCTCTTAATAAGGAAGAGAAGAAGGAAGAGAAGAAGGAAGAGAAGAAGGAAGAGAAGAAGGAAGAGCAGAAGGAAGAGCAGAAGGAAGAGCAGAAGGAAGAGCAGAAGGAAGAGCAGAAGGAAGAGCAGAAGGAAGAGCAGAAGTGATCGCTCATTCCGGGGTTCTAGCTGCGGATGTGGTTGGGAAGACTGATCGACTTTTGTTTTCTGTTTCTTATGATACCTCTTAGAATTGTTCTTGCAGACCAGCGAGGCGTATTATTGTCCAAGACTGTTTCATTGGACTCTACATGGCCTTTTGTATAGTTAATCCAATCAACGCCACTCTTTCAAATTTAGTAAACAACATTGTATGAGGTTGCGAGACCTAAGATTTTATTTTTCGGATTTCCAGGCCATTCACCAGCGGTACACTCCCGATTATACTAATTCATGATTTACTGTAGAAATGCTATCGGTGTCCAACGTATAGATAACCAGTTGGACTCTACACCGCCTTTGGTCCATCTCAGATTCCAGTCGCGGAATCACTTCAAGCTTCCTGCAACCAAGCCCGGCTTCACTAAATCCCAATTACCTGTTGCCCGCGCTCGTCCAGAATGCCGCTTGCCCTTCGCGGTTGGACTCATCCCCCAATCTGATCGTCTGACTTCACCTTTGGCCCAGCCACAGCTGTTTCGACACCCGACACCTCAACTCTACCACCACTTCTCACATAACGACCTACACCCACCCGATCCGCAAACCAACCACCAAAATGTCCGTCTGGAACCCAGACAACATCCGCGATGTTGCCGAGTCAGTCGGAATCGTCAACCTCAACAACGACGTAACCGACACCCTCGCCCGGGACGTTGAGTACCGCATCGCGCAGGTTCTCGAAGAAGCACTGAAGTTTATGCGCCACAGTCGACGCACGCTCCTCACGACACAGGATATCGCGCTCGCATTGCGTGTGTTAGACGTCGAGCCGCTGTACGGGTATGAGTCGACGCGACCGCTGAAGTTCGGCGAGGCGTCGCTGGGACCAGGCCAACCGCTTTTCTATGTGGAGGATGAGGAGGTGGATTTTGAGAAGTTGATTAATGCGCCTCTGCCTAGGGTGCCGAGGGAGATTAATTTTACCGGTTAGTTTTTTGTCTTCTGTTTTTTTTTTTTTTTTTTTATCTCGGAGAAGGGGAGTGATGGCTGATTTGTTGCTTTCTGTTGCTTCTAGCACATTGGCTTGCCGTTGAAGGCGTGCAACCGTCCATACCACAAAACCCGACTGCGGCTGATTCGCGCAACCTTGAGTTGATGTCTAAGGGTCCGAATGCGAACGCGACCCTGGCGGCTATGAGCGGGAGCGAGAATGTTGCTGTTAAGCCTCTGGTTAAGCATGTCCTGTCTAAGGAGCTGCAGCTTTACTTTGAAAAGGTCTGCAATGCGTTTTTGGACGAGTCGAGCGAGAAGTACCGGACTTCGGCTTATGCGAGCTTGCGCGAGGATCCTGGGCTTCATCAGCTCGTGCCGTACTTCGTGCAGTTCATCTCGGAGAAGGTTACCCATGGCTTGAAGGATATCTTTGTGTTGACGCAGGTGATGCACATGGCGGAGGCTTTGGTGCAGAATAAGTCTCTATACGTGGACCCATATGTATGCTGTTGCTCTTTCTTCTCTCTTCTTCTTGCAAACTAACCGACTACGCAGATCGCATCTCTCGTCCCTCCAATCCTCACCTGCTTAATAGGCCGCCAGCTCGGCGGCAACGCAGAACTCTCCGAGCAGTTCGCCCTCCGCGACCTTTCGGCGTCCCTCCTTGGCCTCATCGCAGACAAATACTCTCACTCCTCACACACCCTAAAATCCCGTCTCGCACGCTCATGTGTAAAGACCCTCCTCGATCCCTCCAAACCCTTCGGTGCCCACTACGGCGCCATCATCGGCCTGCAAGCTGTCGGCGGGCCCGAAGCCGTCCGCGTCCTTATCCTACCTAACCTCTTTACCTACGGAGACCTTCTCAAGGACGGGGTCGCAGAGGATAGCCCCCGGCGTCCGGAGGCGGAGAGGGTCCTTCTTGTTTTGCTCAGTGTTCTTGCCTCATTGCGGGAGGGGCGTGCAGCTCTGACGAATGGGCATGGCGCAGGGATGGTGACTGATGAGTTAAAGGAAAGACTATCTAAGAAGCTTGGTGTGTTTTTGGCGGAGAAGGTTGCGGATTTGGGCGATGGGCAGCTTGTTCATGCTATTTTGGTGGATTAGGGTAGTTAAGGTGAAAGGAGTTACTTAGGATGGTATTTGTTATGATACCTTAACTAATTCAATACTAATGCTTTTATGAGTCTGTTTCCGTGCTTTTGGGGTACAATGGTATAACCTGCCTACGTAAAAGTTTCAGGTGTAGGTAGTTATATATATATATATATATATATTTATAGTTTACTGCGTGCTGATTTATCTGCCAAATTTATATAACAGCCAACGTAGTAGCTGCCTCCTGATATATAATTACTAAATCAAACTAGATACTTAGAATAAGGGCCTCGAAATATATGATCTAAGTATTCAAGAGACCCACGCCAGGACCCCAGCCTGTTCCCTCGTAACCTGTAGTTATCATCTGTATGGGTTATTGAGCGGGAGACCGGCTGTAGATCAGTCCCGGACGAAATTGGGTGTCCCCACTGGTCTCCAGCTCCCTATGGACGAGCTAATAACCAGGATCATTCCTAATTAACCGAAGATTAACTACAAACCTACGGGGTAAAGAAACCATGGGGTCCCCACTACCCCGGTGTTTGTTCAGTGGGGAACATCCTCAATATAAACATACTGAGGACGCTACCCATGATTTGAGAATCCTCATACTGTGGTTCTGAATAAATATGATACTCTGCCGAAATATTGCGACCTGCTTGTTAGCACTGTCGGCTCCTGCCACGTCTGTGCTTCTATCTAATCATGGAGGTAGCGGACCGTTCCCAGCAGTACGTGAAATCTTCCAAACCTACCTTACATCTTTCCGGTAGTAAACTAAGCCTAGTAAATAGACCTGGTTCACAGACCCAACTCTCCCAAGACACACGATCTACAGCCCCTCACCACCACTGCCAGATACACTCACTCTCCCGGTCCTCGTCTTCGCCGAAGGTGGCTGCGAGAACAACGGGACCAAATTCGAGCCGTTCCTTACGAATATCGCCTCGTACGGATTCATTGTCCTAGCTCTCGGGCCACCCAACGGCACGGGAAAGATATTCCAAGACGCAATAGACGAAGCCGTATCGTGGATCAAACATCGGGGTGGCAAGCGGGGGAGTCCGTATGAGAAGGTCGACAGCTCTAGGATTGCGGCCGCAGGCCAGAGCTGCGGTGGACTGTTGGCTTACACGCAGCGCAGCAACGACGCGGTTGGCTTTTTGGGAATTTTCAACTCTGGACTGTTGGGAAATACAACTGATGCACAGGAGAATCTGCCTAGCGGGATGATTATCGAGGAGCCGGGGGTTATAAAGGAGGTTCAGAAGCCTGTTTTCTATTATATTGGCGGTCAGGGAGATGTTGCATACCCCGCTGTAAGTGGACCTGTTGATTTTGAAACATGAAACCGTTATTCGCTGGTACTGACAGACTTTGACCAGGCTACAGCAGACTATAGAAATCTGACTGGTGTCCCGAAGTGGATTGGGAACTACCCTGTCGGACACTCTGGGACGTATAGGGAACCTGACGGCGGGGAGTTTGGAGTGGCTGCTGTGAAGTGGTTAGAGTGGGTGCTCAAGGGAGACCAAGAAGCCTCAAGATTCTTCGTTGGTGGTGGAGCTGAGAGTGCCGGATGGGTTGGCACCGACAGCTGGGGGCTCGAGGAGATGGACCTGTATCTCGAGAGTTGAATCCGCGGCCGAGAGTTGGAGACGGGAGGCAAGACGGCGACGTCATTGTTCCTGAGAGTTTCACACCGCCTGCTATTTATGGCATAACCTCGTGTGAACCTTGTATCGGTATCAAACCGGTCAGTATTAAAGTTACCGGAGTGTTACAGTCTCATACCTGCCCAAGAGCTTCCAGACTTGGGTCCAGACTGGGGTGCAGCCGTGCGCTTCTCCTTCAACACGCCTGCATCCTACTCCCAGTCACCTCTCCTTAACTCTCCGGGTTCTTCCGCCTGTGTTGCCATTCTCATTAGGATCTATTCCTGTTCAGCTACTGGATCTGAGACTGTAAAGCCGAAACCCCTCAAACAGCCCAACGGTAGTGTGTATATTACTAGTACAGTTCAGTTCACAGCCCCGCCTGGCCCTAGGTATTTATTACGGTCGTTGGCAGCTTTTGTGGGCCCGAGAAAATTAAGGAAAAGACTTCAACTCAACGCCAACAACCTCCTCGTTTTATTCTGCGCACCCCACGTTGGTCTGCTCTTTTTTCTCTCAAATACTCACGTCTCTCGCCATTTGGCCTGACCTGAGATTGGTTTGACCTGATTCTTCGTCTCCTTTTGGCTCTTACCGAGAGTTGCAAATATCCAGCAGATGTCAACAGCTGTGGCGTCTCGCTCCATCGTGCTCATCTAAGCCCGAATTCTTTCTGCCTTTCATGAGCTCAAAGGACCTACTACGATTCCTGTCTAAGCCTGCGAAGTCAGTAACTGCCATTGCACCCCGTATTTCTGCTCTTTTTTTTTTTTTTTTTTTTTTTTTTTTCCCCCAATAAGTTTTGGCTTGCCCGTTCCCGCCTTCTCTATAGAGCACGCGACTGACTCGCCTTCCTAGGCCCAGATAACACCCCTCAAAACGACGCCTTTTTCACTTTTTCTATCTCCTTTTCAATTTTTGAAGCAGATATCCTCGTCTGCTAGACCCGATACTTTCACCGGTATCGGTATCTTCAGCACGAGGCTTTACAGATAGCCACAATTCCTTTTTCCCGAGGTTTCTTCCTCCTCTCGCTCTCTTTCCGCCCTCCCTAGCACCCCATCGGGTTCTTGGAGACTTCCCCTACTCGGCTGAGTGCCATTATTGCTCTCGATTTCTTCAGGGCCTTCTCTTCACAGGCGAACATTCCCCCCCTTGTTCGTCTGGGTCGCAGATAGTGCTTCTAGGCTTCCTTGTCTACGATTCACAAGCCAAATCGAGCGCGACGTTAATTGCAATATAAACTACCCGTCGACCGGACAAATTTGAAAAAAGGGAAAAAAAAGAAGGCATCTACCACTAAAGAGATGGTCAACCTTATCCCTCAGCACTATACGCAGTCGCCGTCTTCGTTCACTGCGACTCCGTCTTTGACAATCAATCATGAGGCAACCCAGGATCTTGACTCCACCAATGCGTTTGAGGGTATGTTTGTTTATTTTCGCATGTGTTGACAAATAAACAAATAACTGACTGGGTGTGTAGGCCCCGAGAAGCTCTTGGAGGTCTGGTTTGCTGCCTCTCCAAAGGATTTGGGCTCCTCGAACCATCTTGGTTTGAAGGCGGTCTCGGAAGATATTTGGAAGGAGATGCTGGACATTGTCAATTGCCAGGTGCTGTCCATTGTCTCGTCCGAGGATGTGGATGCCTATCTCCTGTCGGAGTCCAGCATGTTCGTCTGGCCGCATAAATTGATCCTAAAGACTTGCGGCACCACCACTCTTTTGTCAGGACTGCCCCGCATCCTCGAAATCGCGGCTATGCATGGTGGATTCCCCAAGTCCACTGCTCCTCCATCCCGTGGGATTACCGTTGCGGCCGCTCCGTACCGCGTCTTTTACAGCCGCAAGAACTTTCTCTTCCCCGACCGTCAGCGTGGGCCCCACCGCAGCTGGAGGGATGAAGTTCGCTCCATGGACAAGCTTTTCTTGAACGGCAGCGCCTACATGATCGGCAAAATGAACGGCGAGCACTGGTACCTGTACCTCACTGAGCCTAACACTCTTCTCACCCCTCCTGCGTCCCCGACGGCTGATTCAGACGATGGAGGAACCGAAACCAAGTTCATTCAGCTTCCCGAACGGCCTGACTTGGGCATCGGTGCTGAGGACGGGGCTTCAGACGAGACTCTTGAGGTACTGATGACAGACTTGGAGGAGGAAAACGCCCAGCAGTTCTACCTGGACCATGCTACTAATGTTGCTGAGAAACGGTACCGCAACTTTGATTCCCACAAGGAAGACCACGTGGATGTGTTTAGCAATGGCTCGGACATTGAGGTGGACGATATTTCATCCACCCAGGGTAGCGGGATCTTGCCGGCAGAACTCACCACTGAGGGCCACGCTCTTGGCACTGTAGTCTCCGAGTCCTGCGGTTTGTCGGACGTTTACCCGAAGGACAAGTTCCCGGAGTCGCGCATTGATGCCTATCTTTTCACCCCATGCGGGTTCTCTGCCAACGGCGTGATTCCTGCCCCTGACGGCGGCGCCAAGGGCACCCACTACTTTACTGTCCATGTGACACCAGAGCCTCACTGCTCGTACGCGTCTTTTGAGACCAACGTGCCACACTCGCAGAATGGCCAGACTACTGCGGGAATCATTCAGCAAGTCGTGAACATCTTCAAGCCTGGTCGATTTACTGTGACGGTCTTTGAAGCAAATCCCGGAGTGGACGGCGACTGGGACAGCAACAAGGAGGCCCGATATATCGAACGACAGGCAGCTCGTCGGATGCCCAAGGGCGAAAATGTGGAGGGATATAAGCGAGTCGATCGCATTGTGCATGACCTTGACGGATATGACTTGGTGTTCCGTTACTACGAACGCCTCGATTGGAAGGGGGGGGCCCCTCGACTCGGCGAAGAGCACGTCTAGGTCACTGCTTCTGATGCTGGATTTCCGGCCACTATCGACCTTTGAATTGCGAAATCTCTCATTCGTAACATAGTTGATTTTTTGTTTCAAGTGTTAGTGTCATGTTTCGTTCACGATAATCTTTCGTTGAGCCAGCGATGTATGGTTAAGTTAGTTTCGCTCTTTACGCAGTGATTTTATCGGCGATAATCAATTTCGGGCATTTTTAATCTCTATCAAATATTAGCAACGAGGTTAATTTAACCTTGACATGAATCTGGTAGATCTAAGGAGAGGTTTGGGTCATGTTCGCATATCGTGCCTTGGCTGGAACACACCATGGGCCGGCCCTAACTATTAAGTATCGGCCCGGAATATCTTGGTTCCATTTGAATGCGATCATCCAAGCTGCACCGCGAGCTTCAGATATCAAGCAACACACGACCCTTTCAGGGCTTACTCCATCCAATTCCTCCTTCGATACCCATTTATTCATCTATTAAATTCCGATTCCCCAGGGCGAATAATCTCTCACCTCATATTCACTCCCACCTCGCCCCAGTTCTACACTCCGCCGCCGCCGCATCTCGCATCAAAACCAGCACCAGCGCCCAACTCAACGCGCAGAAACCCATCCAGTCGCGGTTCTAGCAGAACCAGGGTCAAGCGAAAATGTCCTCGCCGCCACCAAACCCGCCCCCAAATGCCAACCCGCTAAAACGCACATCCATATCCTCAGCATCAGTAAGCCAACAGAACCTCAAGCGCCAGCGCATGCACCCGCTCCGCCAGACCTCGTTTCCTGTGGACCCGGATCTGCGCGCGTTCAGCGCGACAGCGACAAGTGATGCTGGTAGCGTGACGGGGAGTTTCACGGGGAGTTTAGGCGGTGCAAGCGCCGATGGAGTCTTCAGGAGGAAACGCGGGCGGAAAAGCAAAGCTGAGAAGGAGCGGGAAAAGGAACGTGAACGTGAACGGGAGAGGGATAGGGACAGTGAGGATGCGGTCAGTGTTGCCAAGGGTGGTGCAGGTGGTGGAAGTATGGCAGGTGGACAGAATGGGGGCGAAGAAGGCTACGAAGACGATGACTTTGACGACGAAGGGGAGCTATTGGGGAGGGAAGAGGGGGCTGAGCGTGAAGATGTGGAGGGGGAGAGAAAGAATCTTGCGTGAGTTTCCTGATGATAATTACCCGATTTTGCCTTTCCCCATTTTAGTTGCCTTGCTTTTGGGGACGTTTCGGGCCATCCGAAGCTCCCTACAGGGCTGTGAAGAGAATCATTACTATATGGGGGGGATGTCATGTTAACCAGAGGATTTATTGGTGGTAGATTACTTGTGGACGCCTTTAACCCCCGGCAGTCCGAACGGTACGACTTATTCAAGCGAGCGAAGCTGAGAAAGGAGACGTTGCGGCGGATTGTCAACCATGCACTTTCACAGTCTGTCCCGGCCAGTGTTGTGACTACGATCAATGGATTTACGAAAGTGTTCGCCGGAGAGATGGTCGAAAAGGCACGAACGGTCCAAAAGGAGTGGGCGGATGCGCACGACCAAGCGGCACTAGCTTGGCTTCGCCAGGACGATCCGACAAGCGAAGAGACGAATCAATCTGCAACAAATAATGAACATCTCACGAGGGTAAAAAGTGAGCCGGCGGAGACGGACGGGGACGTGAGCTCAGGTGCTGCTGAAGTGTTTCGGGTTTCGGCACATAGTGGAAGTGGTTCCGTCAAGCTTCCGCCCAACCCACACCGCGGACAGCTGCTCCCAGCCCACCTCCGAGAGGCCCTTCGACGTTATAAGCGAGACGGCGAAGGCGGCGGTGTTGGCTTCTCTGGGCTGAGTCTGGGGAACTTGGGGGTCCGAGGGTCAGCAACGTGGAGTGCGGGCGTGGGAGGACGGCCACTGTTTCGGTGAAACTGAAGGTTGACAAAACTGTAGACTCGTTTTGAGTTTCGGGGTGAGCCCGTGCTGTGTATATACATAGATTAATGTTTCAGGTTTTTATTGGGACGCGAGTGCTGATCGGGTTTTCTGGACTCGTGATGTCGTTATTTTGGGCCTGTTCGACACCATGGCCCGCCAAGCCCGCACCGGTTAAGACCGCCAAGCCGCTACTCCCACTAGGGCCCCGACTAAGGGTGACTAAGCCCCGCTAGACAGCCTTAATCACCCACTAAGGAACGGTGCTGATGAACATGAGCGGCGGCACCGCGTATTTCGATCAAGTTCCAAGCCCGCCCCAAATCCTGCGAGTCCCTGATTCGGGCTCCATCGCGCCATCTCTCCCTTCGATTGGAACAGCCGCTCCTCAAACCCTTGGATTGCGCCTCGGTTTCCCACATTGAGCGCCCAGATGGGTCCCTTCGCCTCCAACGCTGTCCCTGAGCCGTCGCCCTATGCCGCACTGTCACCCTCTGCAGCGCCGTTTGCGATGCTGTGACTGGTTCCCTGGCTCTCAATCTTGCCCCCTGAAAGTCCTTTATTCAGGCCTGTCTTTCGCTGGCTCTCAGTTGTTGTTCTTGGCAAAGGCCACTGTGGATTCAAGGCTGAGACGCAATGTTCCATCGGTATGCATCCGATGATTTTGTGTCCTCGTTCTGCGGCATGGCCCGCCACTGCACTGAGCAAAGAATGGTTCTGCCTGCCAAATAGTGCCTTACTATTCTCGTCCCCCTTCCCTGCTGCGTCTTCGCTGCTTCTTTCCTGCTGCTCGTCTGCTTTGCTCTCTCTGCTCTCTGCTCTCTGGCGTCGGGGTGGATATCGGTCACTCTCGGCATTCTCCATACTACTCAACGTTGATCCATTCCTTTCCCTTGTCTTTCCCTTTTTTTCCCTGGCCCTCCGAATTAGTACTATTCTGCCCCGTATTTCGCTGTCAGCCTTCTAACGCCAAGAAGAGCAAATCACCGGCTTTCCTTTGGCCCTTTTTTTCCGTCTCATTCCTTCCTCTCCTCTCCCTTGCGTGGCTCAATTTCTTCTGTCTTACCTGTCCTCGAGCCTGGCATTCCATGCTGCCGCCGCGAACACACACCATCCTCCATCCATTCATCCCTTCACACTCTTTTGGTTTTTGGCTTAGCTTGTGTTGCATTTGAATGATCTTGCTTTCGGTCTCTTAAGTCTTGGTGCAGGATGTCCCAAGCTGCCTATCTTTACAGTCGCATTCGAGAGGCGCTCCCATGGAGCGGCGGCGACCCCAACGTCAAGGGTGACCCCCGAAAAAGCGTCAAATGGATCGATGTACGTGCCCTAGGACCATCTTTGCTCTCTCTACCCCTCATCTGGCTGGGACTGACTCGAAAAAAAAAACCCATAGGGCCTTCGAGGTATCGCTTCTTTCCTTGTCGTTCTCACTCACCTTGCTCGAGCGTGGGATTATGATCTATTCGCTCCTCGCGATTCTGAGGATGCGTCTCCCAGGCTCCTGCAGTTGCCCGTGTTCCGCATTCCCTGGCAGGGCCGTATTGGTGTTACTATCTTCGCGTTCCTGACTGGCTACGTCTGCGCCTTGAAGCCGATTAAACTGCAACGAAACGGTAATATACTGGGCGCTTTTACTGCTGTTGGTAAAAGTGCTTTCCGCCGGCCCCCGCGCCTCATCATGCCCGCTACGATTGCGATGATAATATCTTGGATAATGGCACAGTGCCGCGCATTCGTTGTCGCCAATCGCTCGGATTGCTGGTGGTGCCGATATGCCGCTCCTGATCTCGAGGATTCGTTCGGAAAAGAAGTGATCCGACTGGGTCAAAATTTCCTTACTACCTGGACGACAGGCTACATGGCCTATGACGACCACCAGTGGGCGTTGCTGCCACTGCTGATGACCTCCATGTTGGTCTATATTTTGACATGCGCGACGATGTTCATGCGCTTCCGCTGGCGGTTGTTTGTCTATCTTATTATGGCGCTTTACTTCCACCAGGACAATGCGAAGAACACAGGTAACTACTCCTTGGAAGTGTGCGCGGTGGAAATACGCTAACGATTATCAGAAACTTTCCAATTGCAGGGTATTTATGGCATGTTTCTTAGCGATTTGTCCTACGAGGTCTCTTTTCAGGAATTCCTCGAGAAGTGGAAATGGCCGCGCCGAGTTGTGGCCTTCACCCTGTTTGCTGTTGGGATCTTCATTGCCGGCTACCCCGGCGAGCACCCCGAATGGGCAGACTGGTCGAATATTATGTTCAACATCTCACACTACATTTTCCCTCCCGATGTTAATGTCGGCAAGCGTTACTCCGCTATCGGTGTTGATCTCATCATTTTCTCTATCTATATCTCGCCAAGCGTTAAGGAATTCCTATCCAGCCGCCTCCTCCTTTGGCTCGGCTCGCAGTCGTTCGCCGTCTACCTCGTCCACGGAACACTCCTCCGTACTGTTCTCTGCTGGATGCTCTACGGCATCTCGGGCCAGCCCTTTGACCCCGAGAAGAAGCAGGAAGGATCAGATGAACCGGTCTGGATTCCGATCCGCCCACCCTGGGTTGTCGCGATCAGCATTCCTCTGTGGATTGCGTTGGTATACTTCTGCGCGACGATGTGGACGAAATACGTGGATCCGTTCTGTGCACGAATGACACAGAAGATGGAAAACCACATGTTCATCCAAGAGGAGAAGCCTCAACAGCCAGAGTCATTACCTTTGACATCCGTGCCAATGCAGACTATGCCGATGCAGAGCGCGTAAACCCACTCAAATTCCCTCAAACATAACAAAAGGTGACGGCTACTGTTGTTTGTTTGACTATACGACGCATCTACACGATACTTTTACTTGCTTCTTTTCAACAAGCATTTTTTTAGAGCTGATTATACATTACTTTACCTTCTCTGTTTGCATTTCTCGGCTTTCTTCTTTCGAGAGATATGGCAGGTCCATGTGTGACTGTTCTTTTTACCTTTTTACCTGGGGTTGGAGTTGACTTATTTCCGCTGACCTTTGTCAATGTGTTTCTCATTTTCATCTTCTTTCTTTCCTTTTTCGACACATACTTATTACCCTTCCTATTCTATATTAATGTACAAAAGAAACAATGAACATAGCTATGATTAGAGGTTCCACTTTTGGTAACAAGGAGGCTTGCTGGAGCTCTGCTTCAGCCCTGTGTCACATTCATAACTTCCAAGAGCTTGGCCTTGGCCCAATAATCGGGCGCCTTTATATGGAAGCCTGCTTGGCTGTGGATGCATTGGGACGGCGCAGCTCTCGTTAATTACACAAAGAACGCATTCCATGAAACCAACACACCGGATATTGTATGGCCCCGTCGTGATTGGTTGATATATGCTTTACATAGAAAGTGTTGGTTGGTTTGAGATTCTTCTATATTTACCTACACTTTTTGGTATCATACATTGTATCTTGTTAGTTCTGTTATACGTTTCTAACCGCAATGGCAGCCATTTCTTCATATGGTATATATCTCCCATTTCTATCCCACTGCATATTCATCTTCTTTCTGTCAAACTCTACACAACCTTCCCCCGCGACCAATTCTACCTCCGCTAAACAAACAAATATACAGGATCTACTATATTGTACCATGCCCATACTCAAATGCCCCAGCTGGAATCGCCCTTACAGCCCGAAGCCTAGTCTCCAGATAACCCCAGCAGAGACCACCAAGCTAACTCCCAAACGCAAGCGTTCAAACCCATCCCAATCCCAATCCTCGTCCCCACAACCCTGGAACTGGAACTGGAGCTGGGACTGGGAGTGGGACTGGGAATCGACACCCTCGCTCTTGGTTTCATCTTCATCACCACTTCTAATACCCTCTCCTTCACTCTCACCTTTATCCATCCACCCAAGAGCAGAAACCATCCCTAGAGTCAAACCAAAAGCCTGGCTCTCTGTTGCAAAGGCCATACTCCACAACCTCAAAACAGGGACAGGAACAGGCGCGGACCCCATAAACAGAGCGTTACTGAAGAGTCTAGAAGATGCCGCGTGGATAGTCAATGAAGAGATCACCGGGATTGAGACGGTGGGGGAGGTGAGGAGGTGGGGTGGTGTTTCTGTGCGCGAGGCCGTAGAGATAGTGGAAGAGGCCGAGAGTAATATCTGGGCTTGTCTTGATAGGATGCGGGCTGAGATTGGGGAAATATATGGCGATGAGAGGGATAATAAGGCGAAGGAGGCTATTCAATGCCTTCTGATGGGGAATATCGGGGAGGTTGATGCTTTGTTAGAGTGTATGAATAATGTATGAACAGGAACTAGAAGGTGGAAATTGACTTCATAATGCCCATTCAGCTAGAGTAACCCAAGTGTCTTGATTTAGCCAACGAGACCAATCATTCTGATTGTCTTTCAATGTTTGGGCTTGTTGGTTGCTCTGGCTTGTGAGCAGTTCCCATGGTACAACCTCAACTACTTCTCTTCTCTGGATCTGTGCCATCAAAGAAAACAACCTGGACCGTTATATCATCCCTCAGACGCCGTGAGTGTGGAGGAGTAAAAGCCAGCTTGCCTGAGACCAACTCGTGATGATTACCTCCCAGTGAGTTGCGGACCAGATGGACAGCGGCGTTTTCATCCTGCACTGTTGCTCTCTCCTCGATAGATTCCCAGTTTACGCCATTCCGAAAGTGCCCAAAGTCAAACTGTCCGTGGGTATGATCCAATTCTTTCCGTGAAGATACCAGCCACTTTCCTACAAGATCAACAGCCTGTTGACTGGAGAGCATATCCCACAGTCCATCCGTTGCCATGATCAAAAACGAGGGCCTGCTGGGATCAATCCTCGTACTTGTCACAACCGGCTCAGCAGGCAGGTATGGCGGCGTGCGGACATCGTACCTTGGCGGCAAGAGTCCTGGACCGTGGAATCTGCGTTTCATATCCCTTTGCACTTCCAACGGCCACTTCCACTGTCCATCGCCAAAAGCCCGTGAGACCATCATCCCTAACACCCGTCCATCCTTGACGATATCTTTTTCACCGGGGTGCTCCTTGCAGATTCTGGCGGTTTCTTCGTCGTTACTGCCAGTCTGATCAATCGACAAGGGTATCGTCTCCCAGCTGCCATCTGGCAACTGTTGAGCAAGAACCGCTCTCGAATCCCCAGTACATGCAACATGCAAGTTCCTAGTAGCTGGATCGTATAGCGATAATAAAGCACACGAGCCCGCATAAGCAGGAAGAAGCCTCTCCACCTTCTCTTGTAGAGGAACTCTACTGCTCTGAGCTGTATCTAGAGCTGTCCCGAAGATAGACGCATCGAGGTCCGTGAACCCCTGCTTAACAGCCTCCTGAACAACCTCATCAGACCCTATGCCGGAGTCCAACTGAGCTTGCTCAAGCCTGCGCCGCACAAAAGGCAAGAGCTGCCTCTCCAATAGATCTGCCGTCTGCCAGCCTGAATGGCCATCGAAAACCGCCCACGCCATCCACTGCTGATCCCCACCACCACCACCACCATCATCATAATTACCCAGCGGAAACGGTGAGGGAACTTTCCCATGCGCATACCGATCCTCGCAGGGGCTATTCGAAGCTACCTGGGCACCATCATACCGGTTCACACCGGCAACATTCTTGACCAGAAACGAGTATGCGTCTTGTGAGATGAGTTTGGTTACCTGTTCTTTGGAAAGTCTGCTCGTGAGGTCGTATTCAGTGCCTAGTTGTCCTTGTTCGGGTGGTGTGCCTTCATCTAGAGATGGCACATTGTCGTTACTGTCACCCTGGACTTGGGTACCGGACATAAGCCACCAAAGACATGGCGTACTGACACCCGCTACACCAATAATTGTCACGATTCTTCTTAGGGAGCTGGGTGATGACGAAGAGCCTTTTGTTGAGTAGGAGGAACTCCTGGCCTGCGGCCGTAAGAGCGGTAATGTTATCTCCTTGGTGCGAAGCAGTCGCGACCGGATTATTCTTAGTGGTAGCATCATAGTGGAGTATTTAAGTTCATATGCAAGACCGTAAAGACTTTTGGACGTGTAGACGCTAATACAATAAAAAAAAAAAATTGGAGATATTAGCTGGATGGGTTCTGTTTGTAGTGGTGGTTAGTGGTTATAAATACAGGGGAAGGCACAGTTACCTAGGGATGCACTGTACGATTTGGATTAGGCTTAGCGCGTAGCAAGGAGGTTTGTAGAGGGCTTATAATATTAATTTGTATTTGGTTCAAGCTGTACGAGAGAATACTGCACCGGGGATTTTGCATGTGATTGTTTTATGCAAGTTCTTTACAGCCGGCAGCCAGCGGACTATTGAAAGGTAGGTAGGTGGTCAGTGGGTTAAGAAGGCAGAGACATCTCTATTTAGACAAAACTGAATAAACTGCTATAATACAATGTGCAAGTTATATGAGACATATATCACATTCACTGCTTCGTGTTAGGGTTTTTGAAAGCCGACTTGGCCCTTTCCCTCTCCCTCTCCAGCGTCTTCAGATGCGCTTCCCTGCGCGCAAAATTGCGCTCCTCCCGCTTCCAATCCTCTTCTTCCTTTCTGCGCTTCTCATAGTCCTCCGCCAGTTTGCGATCCTTGTCGCTGAGGCGTGCTGGTTCCGCGAGAGATCCGTCGGCGTTCGTCTTTGGGCCCTTCCCGCTCATCTCCTCCAACTTCTTCGTGGTTTCCTTGGCGAACTGGTTCTTGGACTCCTTTATGTTGTTGATGGCACGGTCGATGAAGCTGAGGTTAGGCTCATTGCCGGCGGCCTTCTGTGTCTTGGCGATTTCAGCTTTCTCGTGCTCGATGGCCTGCGTGAGCAAACGAAGAGCCCTACCCGTATCAGGACCAGCTGCACCAGATGTATCAGTGGGAAGCTGTTGCTGGGGAATGGTAATTCCCACGGCAGCACGGAACGAGGCACTGCTAAGCATGTAGGCCTGGGCGAGACCGAAGAGACCGGTTGTGAGGAAGTACATCTGCAGTGCAGCGGGGAAGAACGCCAGGAACAGGAACTGAATTGTCGGCATTCCGTACATCATGAACTTTCGCATTTGCTGTTGTGATGAATCGAGGTTTCCGAACTCGCCTCCTTTCTATAAAAGAAATGGCTGTTAGCAGAATGCGACGAAGCCAAAGGGATCGAACGAAGATAATGGATCATACCCTGAGACTCATAAATAAGAAACCAGATGTTAGCAAAGGAAGGATGAAGAACGGATCAGCAACTGTGAGGTCCTTGATCCAGGCAAACTGCTCGGCAGCCAGCCCGGGGACAGGCAAGCGAGCCATGCCGTTGACGACACGGTAACAGCCGTAACCAAAGGGGATCTGAAGGAACATCGGAATAAACACATTGCTCGACTTGATACCGAGCTCGGAATTTAGCTTCGCTAAATCGGCCCGGTACTTTTGCATCTCAACGTGGTTCTTCGACTGCGCAGCGCTCATCATCTTGGCCCGAACAGGCGTGATGATATGCTTGTTGTTTGAGATTCTCGTACTAGCATCGGCAGAGCGGAAAAATAAAGGCAGAATGGCAAAACGGATCAAGACACCCGTTGCGACGATACTCCCTAGCCAGGGCAGGCCACTCCACATGTGAACATGTTCCATTATATATTCAATAATTGACGACGGACCCCAGCCGTAATCAAGCCCGAGCTCCTTCAGGTATCCAATCTTCTCCGGGATGGCTTCGATATCCATATTTGAAAGGTCCCACTCGGTTGGCTGTTGAGAGGGCTCGGGTGCTAGCTCGCTGGGATTCGCAGCGGGTGAAGTTGAATTGAATCGAGCGGCAGGCAGGGCAATTGAGGGCACTGGCGGCCTCCAGGTCGTAGACCCGCCGAGAACCTTGCCATTCCGCACGGGGAATCTTGAAATCTGCGGACGAAATGAAGAAAACTGCGTGCACGAGTCAGCGCCGAATTTCCGGATTCCAGGGAGTCAAGACGAACCGATCGGGTGGACCGTGCAAAAGCAGTAAATTGCTGCCGGGCAAGGCGCCCTTTCAAACCAGGGCCTCCCAGCATTGTGCACGACAAGATGACCGGACGGAGAGAATGGGGATATCGAATCGCGGATGCGGACCTGAAGACACTTTCTTGCCAAGACGCGAATTTTGCCGGGCGGTCTGCCGGGCGAGAATCGGCAATGGCACGATCCAGGAGTATACAGCGGAAATGAACAATAACTGTCAGAGTCTCGTGGATCTATTGAAATTGTGAGATATTCACAGGCTGAAATGTGTTGGATTTTGCTCGCCGAACGCCGTCAAGATAATTACTGCGCTGCCTGCTTGGGTCTATGTATATACATGTAAACATCACTCCAGGTGCATCCCGTTCAAGCAGGAATAACAACACTAAATCCCAGAAAATCGACCCATGCATCATGTCCAATTTAAATGTCTATTTGTTTCCCGATATTGCCCACCCACAGCTCTTCTGTGTCCTGCAAACATACTCCAGCGAAAGCTGCCTCTATAATCCGAGCCCCGCGGCTGCAGGTCTAGACCGCCGATAGGTGGGAAAGATCTAAACAGACCATGGTTAGCCAAACCGCATCACATATGGAAGTTGATGTCCCAGTGGAAAATACCTTTGTCCCGGACCACCCCAGCCTAAATGCTGCCTCATGTGCAAAGAGCTCACCGAATCCGAGCATCAAGCCATTCACAAACGGAAGAACCAGGTTGATTGCAGCACCGCGGACGATGCTCCAGAGGGTTGTCGAGGGCCTGTAGAGGATCAAAGGCGAGTCTGATGAGGTTGAAGTGGCGTCATGGTTGGCTGAATAGATCTCCGAATCGGAGGGGATCGTTAGACCGGACTCGTAGAGCGCTGGTGTTGAGTTGGAGACGGAGGCGGCCTCGTTTGAAGCCATGATTGATGGAGAGGGGTGAACGTGTCAATGACCAAGAGATCGCGGCGGAGAGCAGTTAACCAGGATATCGTCGCGAAGCCAGTTAATAGGAGAGAATTGGGCAAACTGCCTAAAGTAGTTGACAAGATCAATCAGTTGAAGCTGGTTGGATCTCGAACAAACCCATTGATTAGTGCCGGGCCGGCATCCCCAGCTTCCTGATTCAGCAGCCGCTGCTTTAACGACGAACACGTGACCCGCCTGTCACGAACTATAAGTATGGGGACAGTGGAGCTACCTCCTTCGCTCAATGGCAGAGGGGAAATTCTCGTGGTGAAGACGGGAATATCAAACCTGCCATGTGAGGTTTTCTGTAGGGGTTATTCGATGTGAGAGTAGTGCGTATCCTCGCGCCCAGTCTACCAACATTTTTGCCGGGAAAAAGAGCGCGTAGAGCCGCCCAAATGGCACATAGGTTGGTAGGAAAGTTATAAACAAGATGGCTAGGATGAGCCCGGTAATAATGATTACCTAGTCCCACTTAATATTAACGGAAATAGTTATCCTTTGATATTCAAGCTTCTCAGAAGATGGGGTGTCTTTTGTATCTTTCCAGACCAGAGGCAATGCAAACAATAAAAAAAGTCCATATAGCTGTTAGATTATAAACTTCATAATCATCCTTCCGGTATATCTTGCTTAAACCCAAAGAAACTGTGCAGCTTTAAATTGATGCTATTTTCACATAGTAGTCAGCAAAACGAGGCTGAAATAATTCCTCAGGCACCACGGAATTTCTTGTCCCCGGATGACCAATCAGGCAACAGTGACGTACTTTGCTTTTGCTTTGTTGAAGGTAGAATCCCGAAGAACCTCATCAGCTGTCCTCACTGCTCAGTGTTCACCAACTTGCTCCGTTTCCTTAATCCTTCTACCTTTCTCTCTTTTACTACAATCTAGCTGTATAACTGAACTCAGAGCTGTATTTCTGGTTCAATTATTAGCTACAGGCAGTAGATCTACCATGAACCCCGCCGATCACGATGAGGTCGTCTCGCAGTTCTGCGCTATGACGAGGGCGCGTCCCGACGAGGTGGGTATCTTGTCACATATTCAAAAATATCGCTAACCCAGTTAGGCGCAAGAATATCTAGCAACAAACGGCTGGGATCTCGAGGCTGCAGTTACCGAGTTCTTTGCGGAGCAGGACGAGAGCGCGGGGCTAGCTGGACAACAAGACCAACCGGCGGCCGAATCCTCTTCCTCCACACCTCGAGAATCCTCCACCTCCCGCAGACAGCCTCCGAAGAAGTTCGCAACGTTGGGTGACCTTACATCTGGCGCGAACGACAGCGAGGATGACGACGATGATGAGAGCCAAGACTTCTTTGCCGGGGGTGAAAAGTCCGGGCTAGCTGTACAAAACCCGGACGACCTCAAGAAGAAAATCATCGAGAAGGCCAAAAAGTATGTCGCCGTAACCCATACTTTGCCAATAGTTGGGATATTCTAACTGCTTATAGGACTCAACTGCCTTCATCCGATGACAACGAACCGAGGCGAAGCAATTTCACGGGCTCCGCTCGCACATTAGGTGGCGATGACATGCCCAGCAGAGTAGTCGAGACTCCGAGTGCGCCCACTGAGCCGCAAATTCCTCGTCGCGTACGGAGGACACTACATTTCTGGGCGGATGGCTTTTCAGTAGACGATGGTGACCTGTACCGATCTGATGATCCTCAAAACGCCGAGATTCTCAATAGCATACGACAAGGTCGTGCCCCGCTCTCAATTATGAACGCACAACATGGTCAGGATGTGGATGTTGAGATCAAGCAACATGACGAGAAGTACGTTAGGCCAAAGCCGAAGTACAAGCCATTTGCAGGCCAGGGACAGCGACTAGGAAGCCCTACACCCGGTGTTAGGACACCTACTCCGTCTGAGCCGGCGCCTGGCGCTCAAACGAGCTCTGAACCCCCCAAGCCCCAAGTGGATGAGTCCCAGCCTGCTGTTACCCTACAAATCCGTCTCGGAGATGGAACGCGCCTTACCTCCCGGTTTAACACCACTCATACCATCGGCGATGTTTATGACTTTGTGTCTGCTGCCAGCCCCCAAAACCAGACTCGCCCATGGGTCCTATTGACGACATTCCCTAGCAAGGAGCTCACTGACAAGGCTGCCGTGCTAGGCGATTTGGCCGAGTTCAAGCGCGGAGGAGTTGTGGTACAAAAATGGCAATAGACTACAGGAACAAGGGTCTAAACCGAAAAGCGCCATTCTATGGAATAGCTACTAGTATATTCTGACTTTGACAAGACACAGGGCAAATGATGAATAGCATATTAGATAGTGGCGATATACCAAAAGAATGAGAAATCACGTCGTAGCGTGAATTGAAGTGCCTTATACTAGTGCTGCAGAGTAGCCCGGTCAGTAGACGTTCTCCGATTGATAAGCAGCCTCCGCGGAATGACGCCGGAGCATGAACCACCACTGCGAGATCGGCTCCCCCAACTTTTCCTTCTACGCTTCCTACAGCATACTACCTCCCCAAATTTCCGAAAATGCCGCTAGAAGGAGTCAAGAATATCATCCTGGTACGTCTAGACCTACAGCACCCTCTTCTCAGGGCCCAACGCACGCAAAGAAAATTTCCCGCCCCTCCACGCCTTATCGATAACAATCGCCCCCGACATGCCCCCTCCTCTATGACCACATTGAATAGCAAAATGTCGAGCATACACTTACAAATGAGTTAATAATAGGTCCTCTCCGGTAAAGGAGGTGTCGGTAAATCCTCCGTCACCCTCCAACTTGCCCTCGCCCTCTCGTTACAAGGAAAATCCGTCGGAATTCTCGACATCGACTTAACAGGCCCCTCCATCCCACGCCTCGTCGGCCTCGAAGGCGCAAAGATCACACAGTCGCCGAACGGCTGGATACCAGTACCTGTGCATGAATCCAGCAGGACAAACGATGCCGCGACAGCGGGCAGTAGCGCTGGCGAGGGCAACACAGATGGAACTGCTCAAGAAACAGGGACACCAAGAGGAAGTCTCCGCTGCATGTCCCTGGGCTTTTTACTCCGCGACCGCGGTGACGCCGTAATCTGGCGCGGGCCCAAGAAGACAGCTATGATCCGACAATTCCTCACGGACGTATACTGGGGCCAAACGGACTATTTGCTCGTCGATACGCCACCGGGGACAAGTGACGAACATATTGCGCTTGCGGAGGAACTTCTTAAAATATCTACGACTGCCGTGAATGCTGATGGCTCTACTATTAATGGGCTGCCTCGGCTCACGGGTGCGGTGCTGGTGACGACCCCGCAGGCGATCGCGACGTCGGATGTGCGCAAGGAGGTGAACTTCTGTGTGAAGACGAATATACCGACGTTGGGGGTAGTTGAGAATATGTCGGGCTATACATGTCCTTGTTGTGGGGAGGTTAGTAATTTGTTCTCGAGCGGTGGCGGGGAGGTTATGGCGCAGGAGATGGGAGTGAGGTTTTTGGGGAGGGTGCCGGTTGATGTGCAGTTTGGGGAGTTGGTAGAGGGGAAGAATCAAGACGAGAGTGAAAATGAGGAGGATGGGGCTGGGAATGGGGATGCGGATAAGATGGAGGAGGTGGATGAGAGGCCGTTGGTAGAGAGGTATAGGGAGTGTTGGTCGTATGGGAGGTTCGAAAGGTTTGCGAAGACGCTGATAGGGGAAATTGAAGGGTGATGAGTTGGCTGAAATATGGAAAACGTTGATTTTGGTGTTTTATAGAGACAATTTACATCGTACATAGCAATGCATTTATGGGTACCTTGATTGGAGAGAAATATCATTTCTAGTTCTCAATGAGTATGTTCGCTAAGCTAAGATAATCAGTGCTGGAGAAGGGGTATTCGTCATTTATATTCGGATATGGTCATCATGTATGGACAAATGTTCCCCATAGGGGGAGTGGTATGCGTGTGCGTATGTTCATCTTAAGAAGGAGGTGCTCGTTCATTCTGTCGCTCGAGCATAGCCCGTAGTCTGCTCTCTGCCGTCTGTTGCCCAGAATCGCAACTATCATTCCATGTAGCTTGTTTCAGCCAGCGGAAGAGTGATTGCACGTCGGATGGCTTGGATGGGTCCGTCCATTGGCGAGGCATTTCTGCGGCTTGGTATGCCTGGTTAGGCAGATGGTCAGGCTTAATGTGACCGTTGGCCTGGGCGTCAAGGAGAATCTCCGAGACAAGCGCCGGAGTGAGGATATTTTGCATTCGATTGTCTTCGCCTTGCTCGGTTGTTCCCAATAGCACCCGCCCGTCCGCTTTGGGCTTCGAGGCAAACTCGCGCGTCGTAGGGAGAGACTCTAGATTGGGCTCGCGGTCAGGCTGTTGTTGACCTGATGGATCGCTCGAATGAGCCACCTGTGTCGGCGCTGAGATAGGAGGTAAGAGGGTGTCAAAAAAGGTGTAGTTTGAAAACGGAGTATGGTCACGGCCGTCTGCAGCCATTTCATCATCATAGATGACTATGTTATCGCCAGAATCGGAGCTGGCTTCTTCGACAGGCAAAAGCCCACCAGGCTGCGCGCGAATCTCGCCTAGAGGCGCAATGTGACTGCCGTACTCGTTGGCTAGACTGAGCCTGCTTCGACCGCATATCTCTCCAATCGAGTCGAGCGTGCCGCGAATATTTGGCTCGATGGCCCGAAGAATGCCGTCTATACTGAACTCCTCGTCCGCGGGGAGCTTGGGTTCCTCCCTTTGCGAACTCGATGTCCCGGGGAACAGAAATGACCGCCGTGTAGACATCTTGGATGGACCGGATTTATCATCGGGACCCCCAGAATAGGACCTGACAAGAACAGGTTGTGACGTTGAGCTCGAAGGCCTCCCGCTGCTAGAACTATTGGCTGCTTGGCGCGTCTTCATGGACAGGGGTTTGGGATGGCCGTTGAGATGGCGTAACGCAGTAGTGCGATAAGCCCGAGTGGTCTCATCTAGAGCGTTTTCAGAGCGACAGGGATTCGCTTGGAGGGGGGAACTAGCGGTCTCAACGGGGGAGAACGAAGAGGGCTGGGGAGGGGGCTGCGTCCACCTCGGCCGCGCGGACGTAGAGGAGGATGGTCGCAATGCATCAAGGTGGGAGGACAGCCTGCCGGGAGGTGCCTGATCCATTTCCTTCAGCCGAGCGAGTGTCGACAAAGCGGCCAGTCACTATCAGAATGCGGCAGTGGTTGCGTCTGTAGCTCCAGACAATAGCGTCGTGAGCTCCTCTGGTGACGCAGGGAAAGACGAACGCAACACAACAACGTCCACCACGGGCTCAGAAACCCCGCTTCTCAGGTAGAAAGACTGTCAGGCCACAGACACGTAGGGGTGCTCCAGCGCATTGCATGGAGGAACACAAAGTGCATGGGATCAGGCGGTGTTGGACAAGCTGGCATGCATTGAATAAGCATAACCGGGGTTGACGCTGGCAGCTGATTGATGCGGGAAGATGCAGATGAGACAGAATGAGTTGGCAAGGAATTGAATTCGTCTGGGCGCCTGAGTCCGTGCCTCAGTGGGATGACTCCGCAGACATCGTTACGGAAGTTGGTTAGTTAAGTCGGTGATCCGTCACGGCGGAGTCAACCTGCGCTGTCCAGACCGAGACTCGCCCAACTCCGCATTCCCCTCCAAACGCAAACACCTGCCAGCTCGACCCTTCACATGCAGCTTCTGTTTGTCTTCGCTGCCTGCTCGATAACTTGGCCGACGATTTGTCTGAGTGACCGCCAACATGAATAAATTTCGCGTATGCAAGCCCAGCTGTCCCCCCCCCCGATTGGCCCCGGCAGCATTAAGCTGATATCAATTTGTGTCCTCCCAGTTTGGCGATTCCGACGAGTCCGCATCTGATTTGGACGATGATACGTCCGGCCTTCCATTTCCTGAACCCCTCTCCCGCGCCTCCTTCCTCTCACCAGACTTCAACCCGGCGGCATACCTCGCCTCCCTAACCAATCGCCACCAGAGTCTTGAAGACTTGCGCCAGGAATTGCGGGATCTCGATCAATTGCTCAGCCGAGAATTATTGGACTTAGTCAATGAAAACTATCAGGACTTTCTGTCTCTGGGGACTGCGCTACAGGGAGGGGAGGAGAAAGTCGAGCAGGTTCGTGTCGGGCTGCTTGCGTTCCAGCGGGATGTCCAATCAATCCGAGATAAAGTCGAGGCGAGGCAAGCGGAGGTCGAGGAGCTATTGAATGAGAAGAGGCGACTGCGAGCGAACGCGAACATTGGACGTGCGTTGTTGGATTTTGCGGACCGGGTCGAGGAGCTGGAGAAGAGATTGATGATTGGAGAGCAAAGTCCACAGGCAAATTCAACGGAATCATCTGATACGGAGTCAGAATTTTTGGAGAGCGAGGACGAAGACGAGGATGAGACGGAGGATGATGAACGTGGAGAGAATACGGCACCGCTGGTCTCGCTCAAACGACTTGAGCACCACCTACAGAAATATGTCTACTTGACGAGGTTGTCGTCTAGAATTGGAGATGAACATCCGTTCCTACTCGCGCAACAGCAGCGCATGTCAAAGATCCGGTCGGCGTTACTTCTAGACTTGAAGAAGGCACTTGAACAAGCGAAACAGGCGGGGGACAAGCGAGACACCAAAACGCTGGCCGTTTTGCGTCTGTACAAGCTCATGGAAGAGGATACAAGTGCCGTCTCCGCTCTGAAAGACCTGACCATATAGATAGATTTGTGGCTGTTATTGCATAGCGCCGGCGTTGAGAGTATATGCTTGAACCAATTACCATTATAATACACCGTATCCTTCCTTATAATAAAACATGTTCTATACAGCAGAGATCAAAACTATTTTACACGCCAGTCAAGAGAGCGGGATCCACGGAGTTCTCCGTTTGGAACTCTCCGTTGAGACTGAAGCCGGGGCCGTGGGTCGAGCTCAACACCTGCAGTTGATCAGTAATAGTTAAGGGAATGTTATGGTCTTGAACTCACCACTTCGTAGATCTGCTTTGTAATTCGGTCGTTAAGACCGAGTGCGTCCTTCTTCACTTGCTCAATGGTAACACGAAGGTTGTCCCTTAGTTGTTCGGGAGAAAATCCCAGTTGTCCGATGGGAAGTCGGATCACAGCATCACGCTCCCTGTATACCGTACCCCCACGAAGCATCTCAACACGAGAAGCCACATCTTCGACGACAGTACCCGTTTTCGCGCTGGGCATCAAGCCCCTAGGACCGAGAATCCTGCCCAGTCCAGCCTTGTTCATCGCGTCCACGCTGTCCGGATGGCAAATACATCGGTCAAACTCAATTTTTCCGCCCTTCACAGCGTCGAAAACTTCCTGTTCTCCAATTAGGACTGCCCCTGCTGCCGCTGCTTCTTTCGCGTGTTTCGAGCCGGGGGGACAAATGACACAAATTCGGGATTCGGTTTGAACTGAGTGAGGAAATCGGAGCATGTTGCGAATGACAGGGCCGTCTCGTCTAGTTTTCAGTCGGATGTGGATTTCATATTTCGAAACAGCTGGCTCCCGGCCAACTTCAAATGCCCGAAGGTATCTGCCATGGAAAGAAGATTAGGGAAATCGCTGGATAAAGGTCGCTGGTGAGCTGTTTACCTCATGGCATCGCAAAGAGCAAACTGTTTCACATCCTTCAGATTCTTTTGTTGAAACTCACGAGGAGCTTTCTTGGACTTTTTGAGAGCGGCCTTTTCCCTCTTCCTCCTTTGGGCTGCCATATCGTTACCAGCTCCCCGAACCTGCTGATAACTCGAAAGAACAGAGCCCGCCATTGGCCCTTGTCGAATAGCGGGTCGGTATATTGAGAGCATTGTCCTTGCCCCGCTGGGCATCAGTGAACTTAGCGACGACATGGCCTGGGCGTGGAATGGATGTGTGCTCTGCTCTCTCTTGCCCAGCAATTGTTTTCCGCCGAAGGTTTGCGCCGGTCGGAGATCAGATCGGCCGGAACAAGATAATTCCGACTGACTTGCTTTTTTGAGTCACGCCGCATTAAAGCCCCGCCATCAATTCAGGATAATTGTCACTCAATTCTCGCTGGATTTTGTTTTTGAGAGTCACTTCAAGATGTCTCAGTTCCAGCTTACTTTGGCCACAAAGGCCAATCAGGCTGCTTTGCTTCCTATCCTTCTCGTCGCAAGTTCTGTGAACGAGGCCCGGCCCTCTCCAATTATCGCTATCAACTATGAGGACGTTGCAGTTCTCCCGCGGGGCGACAAGGCCGTTGTCGAGTTTGTCGGTGCCAGTGGTACTCCTGCGTATGGATCAAGTGCGCTGGAGGAACTGCGAGCCACCTTCCCTTACTTGAACAGCAAAGAGGAGAAATTGGTAAGTCGCCCTCATGCCTTTTATGAAATTTATGAAACAACACACTGACTGTCCCTAGGAAAATGACTGGCTCTCCGAACTCGATGCTCTTACCTCGCTCGACTTCAAAGCTATCGACCCGAAACTTCAGAAGCTCAACAACCATCTCATCCTGCGGTCCTTTGTCGTCGGATACGCTCTCTCCACCGCCGACATCGCCCTCTGGGGTGCCCTCCGCGGAAACCGTGTCTCAATTGGTACCATTAGAAAGGGGACTTTGGTTAACTTGACTCGCTGGTTCAGCTTTTTGGAAGAGCTTTGCCCATGGGCAATCGCTGCTCTGGAGGCCCTGAATGCCTCAGCTAAAGAGAAGAAACTTGCTAAGGCCAAGGAGGGTGCGAGCTACGACATTGCCCTTCTTAACACGGACAAGGGAGTGGTTACTCGGTTCCCTCCCGAGCCTTCTGGTTACCTCCACATCGGACACGCCAAAGCTGCCCTTCTGAACGACTACTTCGCCCACGAGAAGTACAAGGGTACACTTCTGGTCCGCTTCGATGACACTAACCCGTCGAACGAGAAGCAGGAGTTCCAGGATGCTATCCTGGAGGATCTCGCTCTCATGGGTATCAAGCCCGATAGGACCAGCTTCAGCAGTGATTACTTTGACGAACTCCACCAGTATGCCATCCAGATCATCAAGGACGGAAATGCCTACGCGGACGACACCGATAAGGAGACCATGGCTTCCCAAAGAATGAATGGTGAACCCAGCAAGTGCCGTGATGCTACCGTTGAGGAGAATCTGGCCCGATTTGAAGAGATGAACAAGGGCACTGAGGAGGGAGCTCGCTGGTGCATCCGGGCTAAGATGTCCGTCGACAACCCCAACAAGGCCATGCGTGACCCCGTTATCTACCGCTGCAACTCATCCCCTCACCACCGCACAGGGACGAAGTACAAGGCCTACCCTACCTACGACTTCTGCTGTCCAATCATCGACTCTATGGAGGGCGTTACCCACGCTCTCAGAACCATTGAATACCGTGACCGCAACCCTCAGTATCAGTGGTTCTTGGACACGCTGAAGCTTCGTGACGTTCAGATTTGGGACTTTGCCCGGATGAACTTCATCCGCACACTGCTCTCCAAGAGAAAGCTCACCAAGCTGGTCAACGAAGGAGTAGTCGACGGCTGGTCAGACCCCCGTTTCCCCACCATCCGTGGTATCAGACGGCGAGGTATGACTATCCCCGCCCTGCGGGAGTTCATCCTCAAGCAGGGACCCAGCAGGAACATTGTTAACCTTGACTGGACCCTTTTCTGGGCGACCAACAAGAAGCACATTGACCCCGTTGCTCCGCGCCACACTGCGGTATTCAAGAAGGACGCCGTAAAGGCAGTTCTCAAGGGCGGACCCGCTGCACCGTACACCCAGGACAAGCCCAAACACAACAAGAACCCTGATGTTGGTATCAAGAAGGTCACCTACAGCAGCTCGGTTCTTTTCGATCAGGAGGATGCGAAGAGCTTCAAGCAGGACGAGGAAATCACGCTTATGAACTGGGGCAACGCCTTCGTCCGGAAGATCGTGACTGACTCTTCGGGCGTTGTTACTGAGCTCGAGCTGGACCTGAACGAGAAGGGAGACTTCAAGAAGACCGAAAAGAAGGTTACTTGGTTGTCTGCAGACCAGGATTTGGTTCCTGTTGAGTTGGTTGACTTTGACCACCTCCTCAACAAGGACCTTATGCAGGAGGAGGACCGCCTTGAGGATGTCTTGAACCCCAAGACCGAGTTCCGCGAGGATGCCATTGCCGACAGCAACGTCGCTTACCTCAAGGAGGGCGATATTATCCAGTTCGAGCGCAAGGGCTACTACCGTCTCGACAAGGCTTCCGCGCCTGGCAAGCCTGCTATCCTATTCAACATCCCGTCGGGAAAGACCGGTAAATAGATTAGAAATAGTCTAGCGATTGATCATGGTTTTATGAGATGGACGAGTAGACGAATACAGCACAGCCGAGAGAAGGCACGTGTATAGAATTCGCATGCTAATGAGAGAAATCATTGCACTCATTATTTCACTTTTCCCGTACTCGTAAAGTCAGCCAAGAGAGACCCATGAACTCACCTCGCTTAAAACCCCTTCAACGAATCGACAAAAAACCAACAAAAAGATCAACCCTGCAATCTTCCTAACCCCACCCAGAGCCCACCTGGGGATCTTGGAGTAAACACAGCATCCATTGAAACCTTGATACGAGTTCGGGTCCCACGTGGGTGTCGGGATGGCTCCTGCTTGGTGCACCGTCGGTCCCATCTGAAAAAAAGCACGTTTCCAAATGATTGCAATCAGCATCAAGGCGTGAAATATGGAATATATAAATACTGTACCACAAAACGAGGACCTTGCAGGCACCAATTGTGTGGGAAATTAGAACATCAACTATCATGCTGCTATTATTCCTCAACATATGCGCATTGGCGCTGTCAAGTTTTGCTTTCGCCCAGAATGGTACAGTCAAAAAGACATTAACCGGTCACATTGACCCTTCGGAGGTCCTTTCCTTCGTTTATATACCGTTCGAGGTAGAGCTAGGAACGACCTCCATCTACGTCCTGCAGAACTACTCCGCAAAGGACACTGGAAACGCTCTAGACCTAGGGGTTTTCGACCAACGCGGACAAGCCCTCGAAGGCTCTCGCGGTTGGAGCGGAGGATTTCGCAATAACTTCACTATTACACCATCTTGGGCTACCCCAGGGTACAATGCCGGTCCTATCGAACCCGGTACCTGGCACGTCGCCCTAGGTCCGTATACGTCGATCCCCGGAGGAATCGACTGGCAACTAGATATCGAAATGGGATTTGACCCAGTCGACTCCTACTTCGCAGTCGAGTCTGCAACAATGAACATGGATCCTCTGTGCAATGGTCTCTGCACGGAGGATGCGCAATGGCTCCGTGGTGACCTCCACATGCACACAGTCTACTCCGATGGGCAGTATACACCCGACGAACAAATTGAAATCGCGCTCGAGCAGGGCCTTGATTTTATCTTCTTCTCAGACCATAATACAGACTCTAGCAACAATATCATGGGCTCGTTCCAGCACTTCGCGCCGGACTTGCTCATCGGCCGAGCGATCGAGGTTACAACCCGTGGCGGCCACTGGCAAGCTCTAGGGCTCGACCCGGGTCAAGTTGTTGAATGGCGCTACCAAGAGGGCGAGGGCTATATACAGGCCGCCCAGGAAGTCCGTCGAAGAGGCGGATTAGTCTCTATAAACCACCCATTTGCCGAATGTTCTGCCTGCAACTGGGTCATTGATGACTGGGACCATAATGATGCGATTGAAGTATGGAACGCCCAGTGGGATGTTGAAGACGAGCAAGCCGTGGAAAAATGGCAGGAACAGCTTGTCAATGGGAAATTCACCACCGCAGTTGGAGGAAGTGACTCTCACTCCCCGCCTGCATTGAATGGCGTCCCGACGACTGCTGTGCGCAGCCGCGGAAAGTCCCAATCAGCTATCATTGAGGGTATAAGAGCGGGCCGGGCGTATTTGGCCGGGGGACCGGGTATTGAACTTCTCTTCAAGATCTACCTCCCGTCTCTATCGAGATCTGATATAGCACAAATCGGGGATAAGATCAAGGCCTCCACTGACGGTGCAGTGGCTGTACTTGCTACGAACGGCCTCGCTGGTCAGAAGGCCTGTTTTGTTACGGATCAAGGATATGTCCACAATACTACAGTACGGCACAATGGAACTGTTGAACAGTCTGTTCCTGAGGAAGCGAAGTTCATGAGAGTCGAGGTTAGGAATGGAACAAACGATGTTATGCTGGGAATGACGAATCCTATTTGGTTTTTGTAATGATGCATGTTCATAGGCAGTATATATACTATATTATTGACTTCCCAAACGAGCATATGTTCTGAGAAGTGAGATATCTAGATATTTACACAGTTACTGAAACTTGACATGATGTACTTCATAGCCTCCAACCTTGCTGACAACTGCCTGTCCACTTTCCTGCACCTCCTTCTTGGTCGTGGCATCCATCCGCGCCTGCACCGAAGTCCATGAAATAGCCGCATAATGAGCCTTTCCCTTGGGCACTGCTTCACTAGGAGAAATCTCCTCGACTACATCGCCACGAGTATACCGCAGACACCCCTCCGACTCACCCCCAGCAGCGAGAGTCCTATCAATAGCCTCCTCAAAGCCCTCGGTGATGCCATGGAGCGTCGCAAGCTCAACAACAGGATCATCTAAAATCCTATTAATGGCTTTCTCATCGAAATGAACATGGAAAAGTGCCGGAGCATCGGCAAGGAGGCCGTCCAGGGTCGCAAGGAGGCCCGGGTACGCGGAGCCTTCCATGAATTTGTAGTGAGAGGATATATCATCCCAATCTATATTTCACCATTAGTCTGACGATGCAGCTTAATTATGTTCCAGTTGAATCAACAATACATACTGATCATCATCTGGACTTTATTCGCGTCCTCCTCCCACCGACCCCATTTTAAGCGGCGGAGGCCTTCCTGTTGCGATAAGATCTCGATTAGGCGTGCCATGGGCTTGTCGACTTCAGTGCCCGGGTTGAAGGTTATGTTGACGATTTCGGTGACTACTCGAGACATGCTGGGTGCGATATTCTTGCTTCGTTTATTGTTAAGATATAGAGACGAAGTTGTTCTGTTTCTTGCTTTGGAGATGTGTTTATGCGGGGCAAGGTGGGTTGGCTTTATATAAGGCCCTTTGGTGGGGTTGCTCCCGTTTTTATACTCGTGGTAAAAGACAACCGGGTGAGATTTTCGGCGGATATTAGGGTTAGTTATAGATAGCTTCATTGGCCCTCTTTTGGGACCGTCCCTCGTTTGATGAAATTATTATAAAATTGGTAAGAAAATGTCTGTCAGCCTCTAACTACAGCTGTCTTTGAGTTGTCAGCTGAACTCGCTATTCGTTGTTAGAGTGGCGCCTTGCAGTAACGAACTCAGACGGACGCCTGATCCTGACAGACTAAGGATTAAGATTGGACAGTTCGTAAGGAATTTTTTTTTTTTAAAAAAAAAAAAAAAAAAAATTCGAAAATTCGAAAATTCAAAAGTCAAATTCGAGCATCTGAACATGCCATCAGAGCAAATAAACTTTGAAGCTGCGAGGTTCTTGATATGCATCCATGGGAGTCAATGTTAACACCCCTGGCCTGAGCATCCAAAGCCTGCAAATAATATCAGTAGCTGCGCAGGTACAAACTCATCCAGACAGATGCAGGCTCGTGCAGATGCAAATACCCGAAGTACAGCGAGAGGACGGAAACTTCTGGAGACCACATAGTACTTGTGTACACTGCCAGACATCGGCCGACAGTGAGGACTGAGGAGAACTGGGGTAGATCTGTCAAATCAGCGTGGACATCGTAATCTTGCAAGGCGCTGACGAATATGGAGCCACCACTGCCTGAAGGCCTGGACTGTTGTGTTTATCTTCAGCAAGGGCGCCCCGCATTTTATTGCAATGAGTCATCCTGGACACTCTTCACAACCGCTTTGTGTCAATTGTCAAACCAAGAGACAACATCTGCAAAAACAACCAATCCTCAGTTTTGAACAGGAAGCCGTGCACTTTATTTTGCTTCGCGGCTCCTCTTCTTGGCTGACTTGTGAGTCAGTTATTTTGCGCTAACGAATGATTCCTTGCAGATGATGGCACTGACCCTGAAGATATAGGGACTCCAGGGGAGCCAGGGTCTTGAGACCTTGTTCTTTCTTTCTCATCTCTCCCCAGTCATTCTTGGACATCCTGCCAGCCATGATGCGCACGATAAATTGCAGCAACACACTCTCTGTGGATATTCGTGTCAAAAAGCCCCCGAACGCAAATGCTATACAAAACTATGTCTCGTCCTTTGCAACAGGCGAGAAGATCGAGGGTGTTGTCTCAATCGTCTCACAAAATGATCTCAGCTTTGACAATCTTTACATCTCATTTATAGGTAGGCTTCTGTTAGTGGCTTAGATCTTTCATAGACTAAAGTAAAACAGGGGAACAAAGTACGGATATCCCCAGTAGCATTCCTGATAAAGCACATCGACAATTTTTAAAGCTTGAACAACCAATCGATGAATCTGCTATTCCAAGTTCCAAGGTCTTTAAAAATGGGCGGAGATATGAAATCCCCTTCAACTTTGAAGTCACGGACTATCTCCCTGCCTCTTCCTGCCGTCACTCTGCCAATCCCCTTATCAAGGCTGCCCATCTCCACCCTCCTCCAAGCTGTGGTGATGCTAGTATATCAGGATTCGGCGGTAAACTGCGGGATGACTTTGCACCGTCTGGGTGCAATGTCAACTATTCTATCTATTTCAAACTCGAACGACCCAGTATAACAACTGGCTTACAGGAGACTATCATGGCGAAAAGGCTCAAGGTGCGAGTCAAGCCAGCTGTTGGCGATGTGCCGCTTCCAGATTTTCCACTGGGTAGCCTCGCCGATGAATACAGCCTCCACCATGAAGAGCTCATCCATAGCAACTTCCCTAAACGCGTGATCGGCCACTTAGCCATGACGTTGGAGCAACCGGAGTGCTTCTACCATCCCCTGCGAGATCCAATTAGGTTGATCAGCAAAGCTATCCGCATTTTCCTAGTATACAGACCTTCTAATCCGGCTGATTCAAAACCACCGGATCTCAAGTCTCTCCGAGCCCAGATAATTGCGACAACTATATACACCACAAACATTGACGATACCCATCCCCCTTCCAGGAAGAAGGACTTTCTCAACCGCCCAATCAACTTCCGTGACGCCGAGCTTCCATTGTCCATTCCTTCTCTTCCGCGGCTACGCTGGACGCAGGACGAGATGGGGAGCTATACAGCAACCCTACTAGTCCCAGTGACTCTACCCAAAGACAAGAGCTTTATTCCAACGTTTCATTCCTGCTTGATATCGCGAGTATACAGTCTTGCGTTTCAGCTTTCTGCCCAGGGTACATCTTCGCCATTCCGACTACGGGCTGCGATGCAGATTGCTGCAGAACGAGATCCGTCTGCATTGCCTTCGTATAATGCTTCTTTAGGAGTTATCGATACGGCTTGATGATGGGTTTTGCATTAATGAGTTTACGAGATGTGTTTTGCATTGGTTAGTTTTTTGGGTGTATAGTATAATATAATAAGCCTAATTTCTCACCTAAGTTCCTTGCTACTATGTTGCCCGCTTTCTTGAAAAAACGACAGGACCCCGGGACCATCTACAGACTTCTAGGTCTGACATTTCACTGCATAGATACCAATAGCCCTAACTGCGGGCAGATTATCGGGGCTGCAGTGGGAGCTGTAAATCTCGAGTATATCTGGCCTTTGCACCTTGCTACTATCTGAGCAGACTTGTTCTAACTACTATGTATGATTGGAACACTAGAATAGCTTGTGGGAGTCTACCTACAGCAATATACAGAGGAAACGTGACTTCCCAATTAGGCTGCAGCCTCTCCGCACTACCACAACTTCTGATCTCCACCTCCGCTTTCCTTCTCTTATCTGACAAGAAACGTTGGGATTTAGCCATGATATTCAATTTATTGTTAATTCAGTTAGAAATTGATAAAATTCATGAGACTGTCGTTTAGAGATCCCCATTCAACCCCATGTGATGTCAACGTCACATCCGATCCAATGCCATGAACCCAATATTGTCGGAACCACCGGGATGCCTGCCACCACAACCACCATCCTCCCGGGCTTTGTTCTCCGTGATAGGTGGGAGAAAACAAGCCTGATCTGGTTCCATTTGCATCAGTTGTTCCTAACGAGATATCGTTACACCTCCTCGCCTGTCTTATTGCGCCTTCAGCCTATCCGTGATAAGGTCAAACTTTAATTGTATGATTTAGTCCCACCGCACTAAACGAGGAATAAGGCTGTCAAAATATCTCTTGCGGCTATTTCGGATATGAGGCCTTGCGTCTTCGACGTCAAGACGTCTTAGAACGGTCGTCATATTGATGGGCCTTCCCAACATGGCCAATGCGGTCATTCTGAGTATGGGATGCGGAGATGGCTTCCGTTGCCCATAGGCCAGGCATTTACTGTTCGCCGTAAACTCAAGACGGGGCATCATGCGCTTCGACCAGAACTTTACTTGACTCAACGACGTCAGCAATTTTGACTGTTGGGAGCTGTGGCCCGAATACAGAGAGTTTTCCGGCTAGCAAACTCCGCCGTCTTCTTTCAAACCCGTGTCAGGATAATTCTGCGGGCTTTTATCGAAGTGCACAAGCTTGTGGTTATAGGCGTCTGATCAGTCGCTCGCTCAGTCGCTTTGCAGCCGAAACAAGTCATTCATTCGCCAACATGGCTGAGCAAGCAGGTGGCCCGTCTGGAAATGTCAAGATAGCCGAAGCAAAGGCACCCAGGGGAGAGGGGATAGTAGGCGAGGGTGAACGGGCAGTATCGTCAGCATCCGCCTCGGCCGAGAGACGAGGCTCGAGACGCGTATCTCGTTCTTCTACTAGGACAGAAGATTATGCAAACCTTGACGAGTATGGAAAACTGGTCAAGTATATCTCAACCTTCCGTGAAAAGGGCGACGAAGAGGGCGAGCAAAATTACGAAGAGAAGAGGGTTTGGTACGCGCCTTGGAAGAAACGCAAGGTCTATCGCAAGACGCAGGAAGAGCCAGGAAAGTACCCTGAAGACTGGCTGATCACGGACATCAGCCAGGGCTTGCCTAGCAGTGAGATACAGAATAGACGGCGGCGATCTGGATGGAACGAGCTGGTTTCCGAGAAGGAGAACCCCGTAGCCAAGATTCTATCATATTTCCGGGGACCCATTCTATATGGTACGTGTCGGCCCCCAGTGGCTGGTTGTTGAATATTTCTAATTTATCTAGTTATGGAACTTGCCGTCCTACTTGCTGCTGGTTTGCAGGACTGGATTGACTTTGGTGTTATCATTGGCATTCTGTGCTTGAACGCTGCTGTCGGTTGGTATCAAGAGAAACAGGCTGCAGATGTTGTTGCTAGTCTTAAGGGAGATATCGCTATGAGGGCCAACGTTATTCGCGATGGTGAGCAACAGGAAATCCTAGCACGAGAGCTCGTGCCCGGCGATGTGGTACGTGGTATAAACCATTGAATACATATATGGGTACTAAAATAAGCAGATAATTGTCGCAGACGGCCAGGTTGTGCCTGCAGATTCGAAGGTTGTGTGTGATTACAACGACCCCAATGGATTTGAGGAGTACAAAGAGCACCTCCAGCGCGGCGATCTCAGCAGCTCGTCAGAATCCGATATGGAAGAAGGCGAAGGCGAGGGTAAAGAAAAGGAAAAAGAAGCTGAGCCGAAGAAACCGGCCAGAAAGCGTGGTTACCCTATTTTGGCCTGTGATCACTCTGCTATTACAGGAGAGTCGCTCGCGGTGGATCGCTATATGGGCGGAATGATCTTCTATACGACTGGCTGCAAACGTGGCAAGGCATATGCGATTGTCCAAACCGGCGCAAAGACTTCGTTCGTCGGACGCACGGCTTCCATGGTCCAGTCAGCGAAGGGAGCAGGCCATTTTGAAATGGTTATGGATAACATTGGCACATCACTCCTGATCCTTGTCATGGCATGGATTTTGATCGCGTGGATTGGTGGTTTCTTCCGACATCTCCCAATTGCTTCCCCTCGCCAGCAGACCCTCCTCCACTATACTCTATCATTGTTAATTATCGGTGTTCCTGTTGGTCTTCCGGTTGTGACAACGACTACAATGGCTGTAGGTGCAGCATATTTGGCAAAGAAGAAGGCTATTGTGCAGAAGCTCACTGCCATTGAATCACTTGCTGTATGTCTTCGATCCCAAAACAAAGAAAGACCCAGCTAATATTGTCAGGGTGTTGATATTCTGTGTTCCGATAAAACTGGAACATTGACCGCAAATAAACTCAGTATCCGCGATCCCTACGTGGCAGAAGGGGTAGATATCGACTGGCTATTCGCCGTGGCCGCTCTTGCATCTTCTCATAATATCGATTCTCTCGATCCCATTGACAAGGTCACGGTTCTGACACTCAGGTCATATCCCGGTGCGCGAGAGATCCTCCGGAGAGGGTGGACGACACAGAAATTCACCCCATTTGACCCAGTTTCTAAACGTATCGTATCGGAGGTGAGCTGCGATGGGGTTAAATACGTCTGTACCAAAGGCGCGCCAAAGGCAGTTCTCCAAATCTCCAACTGTTCGAAAGAAACTGCCGACCTCTACAAAGAAAAAGCCCAGGAATTTGCGCACCGGGGCTTCCGATCTTTGGGCGTTGCTGTTAAACGAGAAGGGGAAGACTGGACACTCTTGGGCATGCTTCCAATGTTCGATCCGCCGCGAGAAGATACGGCCCACACAATTCACGAATCGCAAAACCTTGGTATCAGCGTGAAGATGCTTACGGGTGATGCCCTGGCAATTGCAAAAGAGACGTGTAAAATGCTCGCCTTGGGGACGAAGGTGTTCAACTCGGACAAGTTGATACATGGCGGTTTAAGCGGAGCAATGGCCGGTGATTTGGTTGAGAAGGCAGATGGGTTCGCAGAGGTGTTTCCGGAACATAAATATCAGGTTGTCGAGATGCTTCAAGAACGAGGCCATCTTACTGCGATGACTGGTGATGGTGTCAATGATGCACCGTCGTTAAAGAAAGCTGACTGCGGTATTGCTGTTGAAGGAGCTTCGGAGGCCGCACAATCAGCCGCAGACATTGTCTTCCTAGAGCCGGGGCTGTCAACCATCATCGACTCGATTAAAATGGCACGACAGATCTTCGCTCGGATGAAGGCATATATCCAATACCGTATCGCTCTCTGCCTGCACTTGGAAATCTACCTAGTAACATCAATGCTCATTATCAACGAAAGTATTCGTGTCGAGCTTATTGTCTTCCTTGCCCTATTCGCCGACTTGGCGACAGTTGCAGTTGCCTACGACAATGCTTCATTCGAACTACGCCCTGTGGAATGGCAACTTCCAAAGATCTGGTTTATCTCAGTCCTCCTCGGTATCCTCCTCGCGTTGGGCACCTGGGTAGTCCGCGGCAGTTTGTTCCTGCCATCCGGTGGTATTGTTCAAAACTGGGGTTCCATCCAAGAAATTCTGTTCCTTGAGGTTGCACTCACAGAAAACTGGCTTATCTTCGTCACCCGTGGCATTGAAACTTGGCCATCCATCCATCTTGTCGTGGCCATTCTCGGTGTCGACGTTCTGGCGACTATATTCTGTCTGTTCGGTTGGTTCAGCAACGAGACAATGCCCACCAACCCTGCGACATCCTTTGTCGAAACTACCAATGGCTGGACGGATATCGTTACCGTGGTTCGAGTCTGGGGATATTCGCTCGGAGTGACAATCGTCATTGCGCTGGTATACTTCATGCTGAACAAGTTCCAGTGGCTTGAGAACCTGGGCCGATCCAAGCGCGACAAGGGAGATGTTAAGATCGAGAACCTACTCGGCCACCTTTCTCGGCTGACAATCGAGTATGACCAGCCCGGAAAGCCAGTCGGACGATTCTTCTTGGCAGCTACTAAGGAGGAGGAGGATGTTGAGTAAAGTGGGGTGGTTTATACTCCGTTTTGATTGTTGGAATCCTAGTTGTGAACTGGTGATAGGGCTTTGGGATCTGGGGAGGTGGAGAGGAGATGGAGAGGACTTAGCTTAATACACTGTTTTAATTTGGTTCACGATATATTAATACGTATAAAAGACGCAAAAGGTGAAAACCCCTTCTGATTGAATTATACTATTACTCTATCACTCTCCTGAATGGTCTCGGGAAAAGCGAGTAGTATCATTTCCTCTCCTCGTTAATAAACTAGGATAATTTGTTTATAGATTATATAGTGGGCATAAAGGTAGTCGTCATAGCCAAATTATGCATCAATGCGCTTCCAGATCCTCTCCAGATCATCGCCAATCGCTCTCTCAGCCTCCTTGTGCAGGGTGCGAGTGTCCAGGGAGCGCTTGGCGACAGACGCAGCCATTTCCTCCTTGGCCAGTTCAACTATAGCATCGTCAGTACACTTACTCAAATAAGAGAGAAAAGGGTTGACATACCGTGGCTGAAAACAGCGGCACGCTTTCCACTCCACATGGCGTGAGGAACATTGGTGCTGCCATCGTTGTTTGCATCTCCGATACCCCAAACACCATCAAGACTGGTTCTCAGGCCAGATTTGGTGCTGGTGTCAATCTTGCCATCCTCCATTTTCAGGCCCATGTCAGATGGGATAGACGAGCGCTGCGAGGTCCCGAAGTTGGTCAGGAACGCATTTCGGATCACAGGCTCGCCCTCGGTGAAGTGAATGCGGAAGATATCGAACTGTTTGCCATCGTTGCTTCGGTTGTTACCGCCGTCCTGCACACGCTCGAAGGACGTAATGGTTCGGTTGTCGATCTGGACGTTGTACGCCTTCATGGCGGCGCGCCAGTCGAGGGGGTCTGCGTCCAAAATCGCAACTTCCTCATCAGTGTAGGAGCCGTTCACGAACGCAATGATGTCCTTGTTCAGCGTCGAGATCTCGGTAACACTGGAGACAATGTGGTGCAGGGTTCCAAGGATACCGTAAGGCTGGTCGCGGTGCTCATATCCATCGCACCAGGGGCACCAGTAGATGCCCTTTCCGAAGCCTTCGCGGAGACCGGGAGTGGCGGGGAGGTCATCGACGAGACCGGTGGCCAGGACGATCTTGCGTGCGGTGTACTCGACACCCTTGGAGTCTTTGGCGCGGAAGATGGTGGTTGCATTGGTGCTGTTCTCGGGAGTGATGGAGGCGATGGCGTTGTCGATGAAAGAGGCAGTGCTGTTGTAGAACGAGGTGATTTGCTTTCGGGCCGCGTTACGGAATGTGGCCGGGGGAGTGCCTTGAGTTGTTGTTAGAATTACTGACATGTATATGGTGGTAGGGCTGATTAAGTATTGGGGAATAGGGGGAGTGTGAGTGTACCATCGTTTCCGATCACGTCGTGCATCTCACGAGTGGGATCATTGCGGTACTCGTGCGAGTCGAAGAGGGCAGTCTTGCGACGGACACGAGAGAGACCGCTCAGTGCGCTGAGACCTGCGGGGCCTCCGCCGACGACAATGACATCGTAGTCGGTATCGGGGATGGAGGCAGCAGAGACGGCCGAGCCGGTTAGGGCAAGGGCGAGAGAGAAGAGCTTGGAGAGGAGCATCTTGGATTGGCTGCAGTGGGAAAGGGCTGCTGGGCTGGCTACGAAGAGCAGAAAGCAGAGGATGAGGTGTGTTTATTTATACCACGATCTTACGGCCGTGGGAAAGAACATGCTGCTGCCCTTGCACTGCAAGCTCAGCTGCGGGCTCCGACGCCTTCAGCCAAGGGCCAAGAGCAGAGAAGAGCTCCAGCTTGAGCTGCAATTTGCAGGACCGAATCACCATGAAGATCGTCAAAATAGTTCATGCAGGATGACGATCCGTGACCCCTGATTCTTGGAGGAAAAGGCCACTCGGGGCTCCTGCATACCGCGCGCTGACCCAGTGCAGCCTACGAGAACTGGGGGTTTGAAAAGGTCTGCCGGTTCTGTGAAATGATGTCCGTGACATTTTTATATATACCCAGAAAATTAGAGTGTTACTAACCCATCAAAGTAAACATGAGAATGAGAAAAAATAAGTCGACCGAAAAGTCCGGACGCCATGTGCAGATCAGCGCTGCTTCTGACCAAGCCCACCCAATACCGACAGCAATCCATTCAGAAGGTTCGGGGGTTGATCGTGATCGTCGGCCTGATCTTGGTTCTGGTTCGGCTGCTCTCCCGGGCTTGGGTTTGCGCTCACCTGCGAAGGCTGCGAGGCGGGCTGCGTTCCATGCTCTTCTGCAGAATCCGAGTGGCCTTGTTCCGCCTGTTGCTGCTGTTCCTGCTGCGGGGGCTTCGGCGCGGGCGAAGGAGCTGCAGCATCCGCATCAGAACTCGATCCGTGCGCAGACTGCTGCTGAGCGCCCTTCTTGCCCAAAGCCTTCTTCACACCATCCAAAAATCCCTTATTAGGATAGGCCTGGCTCACATCCCACATCATCACGCCTCCAAAGCTCTCAAACCCCTTGCTGTACTGGATTACTGGTTCCAGACTCTCAATAGGCAGGTACCCCGTGCTCGCAGCGCCCTTGTTCGCCGGGACACCCAGGAACACACGCACGTCCTTATTCTTACTCTCTTGGAGGGCCCACTTGTCCCACACGTCGAAATTGAAGTTCTGGGCTGCAGTTCTGCTGCCGCTTCCTTCGGCCTTGGTCGCGTTATCCTTCGGCTTTTCTGGTGTATATGCATTCACCCCACAGAAATTGTTGTAGAACTGCACAAATACGGCATCGACAGCCGCAGAGTTGTCCGTGTTCAGAATGTCCTTGTCCGCGGCATCAGGGAAGGGACACTGCGGCGCCGCAGTAAGGTAGTATTTCTTGCTCTTGTCCGCGTCTGCGAGGGACCGCAGCTTCGTCGCGAACTTACCCATGTGCGTGACCGCGGCTTCGAAGTCAAAGTCGAATCCGTCGACGACGGCTTTGCCGAACGGTCGGGGTATTTTACTGTCGCCCTTGTCCGGTCCGAATGTTGACCAGATGAGGTTTGCTCCGTCGTCGGCGGCCTTATCAGATTTGAACCCTCCCTCGCTGTAGGTTGCGCCGCCGATAGAGAGGATGATTGTCTTGTCTTTGGATTGGCACTTTGTGATGTCTTCTCTGTACTGGAGTTAATCTTCCTCTGTCACATTCTTGGGATGCAGGAATGGGGATCTATACCCAATCTCAGGGCAGTTCTTCAGGTTTGTGCCGTTGAACGTATCGCAACCCTTAGATGTTGAGCCGAAGTCAACTTCTGGAGCACCTCCCGGGCCGTTGATTGTCATTAGAAAAGCCATCACGATGACATCGATGTTGGAATCTATAGTTGTCAGCCCACATTCAAGGGAAAATAGATGGTATACTCACCATCACAGTAGTCTCCCAACCGCTTCTGAGCTATATCTCCTCCTGACGCTTTGTATGAATCCTGGCCTAATCTCAGTTAGCTCACTGTAAACCCATACGAGAACAACCGTGTCTATGCTCACCCCAATATACCACGACGGTCGAGTTAGACGACAAATCCAATTTGGCGTACACTGTCTCCAATAGGGCCAGACCAGCCGTCAAAACGAGAAACCTCATGAAGAAACCCATTTTCTTTTCCTTGCTTCTCTCGTTCCTGATACTGCACGAACTTGAAATCTCCGTCGGCGGCAAGACGGGACAACGACAACCTACCTACCAGAACTGGGGTTGAAATGGGGAATAACATCGAAAAAAGAAGTCCGACCCAATCCCAAGGATCCGGCTGCCCGTTCTTAAACCCAAGACTTGCATACCGACCAGACATGTTTTTGTCAGCTTGTCATTCCATATACTGAAGGAATACGGCATTCCAGAGACGCTGAGAGCAGGTGTCAGCTTGTTATTGAAGACTCCACTATCAATTCGTCTCTTGCGAGGCAGCAACTGAGATGTTTTTCTTTGCTCTTTCGAGTTAATGATCTTTGGTGAGTCCGCCGCAGGAGAGGTTTGATTGGTGTGTTGCTTGTTCGTGGCATACATTCCAGCATTCCAGGTACCCGAGCTGATCCCCTCCTTGAGTCTTTTTTGTTGGGTTTTGGTGTGAAATGTTTGGGGTATGCGGAGAAATGATCATGATAGGATGGATGAGACCCTGGTCCTCAGGGAGCGATGGGGACTTTTTGAGGCAGTTGGTGCCGTGACCTGAGGACTCGTCACCGTTATGACATCGATGAACTGTGATGCGTAGGGTTTGGGCCTGCGTAAGAAAAGTCTCTTTGGGGGTTTGCGTACGACTTGTGTGAGTCTGGGCGGAATGTTGCAGCATCAGATGAGAGGCGTAAAAGCGTGTTTCTCTTGGATCATGTGCTGCGGTCTATAATGGCCTTGGGTGGCATATATTATATTAGATAGAGATTGTTGAAGATAACAATCATTCTTAGTTCTATAGCTTTTCGGCACTTTACTGAAGTATCTGGACACGGCACTAACAGGTAGAGCTTCCTAAGAATGCTACTTGGTAGAAGATGTATCTTCACTCTACTAAAAAGCGGACCGGTGTAGTCGGAATGTGCATGGAGTCGTCAAAGGGATACGGTAGTTATCCCTTGACTCTTGGTTCCTTAATGCAGCTGACAGCTTCAGCAAGTCACAGACAGGTCATCCTTCACCTCTGGATACCCACCACCCTCCGCACGGCCTCCTCATTCTGCAACCCTGAATCAATAACTCCGGCAACCTTGAGGACATCCACGACACTCTCGACGACCTTCCCATCAACACCCCTAGTCCCTTCACTAAACCTGACATCCTTAATCCACTCACTCGCATCCTCCTGTCCATAGGTACACCCCAACTCCCCAGTGCCCAAGAGGGAAACAACCCTCCCCAGATCCGCATTGAACTCCTTCATGCCCGCATCAAAAACCTCGAACAGCCTCTTCAACCGCTCGTCGCCCTCTGGGTCCGGGAACACCGCCGTCGATGCAACCACCATCCAGGATGGCCAGGGAGTAAAGATCTCCCCGATCTTCTTGAGCGGTGGCTCAGGGTTGTCGCTTGTAGCATGGAAATAAGGCTTCGTGGTGAATTGTTCCCACATGAAGAACTCCGCCGATGGGCTCTTTGCCTCGTTTTCGCCCGTGACAGCATCCCGTAGAGCCCCAAATGGACCTGTGACAACGGGTGTCAACGAAGATGATTTCCAGCCTTGTTGCTGCGCAAGAACGAATGACATGATATGCGACCCACTACCATTGTTGTATCATGTTAGCTTAGTTTAACCTCCTTCCACATCTCGCATCCGAACTGGTCAAGCCCATGCTTTCCCTGTGGATAATTATATAGGTAGGCAATGGGTAAATGAGCTCACCTCCCCAACCGACTAACTCCGACTCGCCCCCCCTCTAGGCCCTTCACATCCGTTAACTCATCCCTCTTTCTCCCCGTGACAATTGCCCAGCGCAGCGGGGTATCAACCCAATGGCCGACGACTTTGTATCCACGCTCGCTCTCGTCGGCGGGTGCCTGTTTGCCTGTGAGCCCGGCGACCCACCCCTCTGTGAGTCCAATCGCGAGGTCAATTTCGCCGGAACGTAGCGATGTAATCATATGCCCTGTCCCGGAGGGAAATGGGGTCAGGGCGAGTTTGAAGGTGGGGGAGTTGACTGCCGGGGAGCGGAGGGCCAAGTGCAGCGGGGCGAGGTAGTGTTCTGCATTGGTAAAATATGTTAGCGAGTTGCTTAGGAGTAGAGAGGAATGGAGGATTTTATTGGTTTTAGGCCGTAGGTAAGGTAGAAGGGCGATTGTTAGGTGACGTTGAGGTTGCTGGTGTGGGTTATGGGATTGCGAGACAGAAATGACTCAAACATACCTGGCACGTAGCCAATTCGGATAGTTGATTGTCCTGAAGCCATGGCAGTTGAGCTGAAAGGTTGGTGTTGAGAAATCTATGGTGATGTAGGAAGGACATTCATTAAAAATATTAAAGGGATCGTTATCAATAATATACAATTTCGTCATGATCTTTCCTGGTGGGGTCAAAAAACGCGGGGCTTCCAGGCTCGCGCCATCGGCATATCACGGACCAAATCTTGGAAATACATTCAAAACAGAAAACAAATATCTATCGGTGGCTGGTGAACCGCTGACCAGCCGTCTACATGCTTCGTGCGCCAATCTCCCAGTTAATCATCAATTCATTCGGATGTCCTTTTCTTCCAGCGGAATCTCGCTCTCGAGACGCTGCTGCGGGTTTCCAGCACTCCCTGAACTTGAGCCATACATCCAGAACTGCACGCCTAGGTAGCCATCGCAGATACATTGGAAGATGGCGCACAGCCGAAAGGCCCATGGGATTACTTGCTCACTGGTGAAGAAGTAGCTCAGTTTCATCACGTCACCTAGAATCCATGCGGCGCAAACGGACAGCCGGAATCCCTTGCATGATCGAGATTGATGATTGGCGATTACCTGTGGCAGAGGTAATGTCGCCTCAATGGCCAAACCCAAATAGCCCAATAAATTGATGTAGGTCGGGGAGTTGGAGATCGGCGTCAAGATGTGAATAAAAGAGAGGACTCCGACGAAGTATGCAATGAACAAATAGTATCTAGAATGGGAAGCGCATTAGAACCAATTTACAGCGTTGTAGGGTGGGTAAAACATACGGCCGGGCATGCTTCCACTGCCAAAAATCGTACGGCCTTACGAACCGGTCCTCCGCGCCGCTGAAGGGAATATGAGCCACCCCGCTTTTCTGGCCAGGCGCTGGTCGGTTATCCAGGGCTACCTTCAACAGCACAAATTGCACCCCGATCGTAAGGACAGCCTGTGCGAGAAGTGTAACGGAATAGTAGTCGCCGAACCAGAAAAAGACCCTGCAGCTGAATGTCAGCATTGCTCAATTATCACGATGGCAGAAGCAGCGATAAAGCGTACTTCAGGATCGACGCAACAAGCATAATCAGCGGTATATCCAGCGAAAATCCAGCTGAGCTTCGGCTTCGGTGTATACTGAGGATCTGGTCCGCATAGGAGGTCACGGGGGACGTAACGATACTATTTCCGAGCAGGTGTCAGCAACATCTCGCGCGACCAAGGGGTCGTAAGCCCCGTGAGATCGTAAGACGTACAAAAGCGGAGCTCCATATTCCAGGAGCTGCGACACGATATACATCGCGTGAGGTCCTCAAGTCGAACGAGTGGTTGATTGAAAGAGCAGGATCGGATCGGGAGTCCGGGTGCTCAGGAGTCCGAGAAGCGGGAGAGGCGCAGACGCGGAGGAAGTTGGTGGATCGGTGGGAGCACGAGGCAGTTACGAGCGCATTGAACGGCGGTATTGAAGATGCAAAGCTAAGAAACGACAACGTAGCACAACTCGAGTCCTCGAGCAGGAAATTCTTCCGCAAGCGAACTTCACCACTGCTTGCCTCTTTTTTTTGTCTGCTGAGTCAGACTGGCTCCGGAGCCCCAACAAAACAAGCTTCCATTGGTTTCACTTTGCCCGATCCGTCTCAGGCTAACACGCACTACGATGACTAGTCTGGTGTTCTTGGGGGGAAAGATTCAAGAGGTCGTGTGAGAGTGTGATATGTTCGTGTATATACTACTCCGACTGTCAATGCTCAGATGCATATTCCACTCTATATCTAGTCTAGCCAAGCATTGCTTAAGCTCAAAACTCAATCCGCCAAGTCTTCCCGATCCCCACATTGGGGTTCTTCACAACTGCGTATGGAGCTTTGCCGTCTCCTTGGGTATGGTACTCCAGAGCAGCAGTCACAGATGCCTTTGCGTCATCCTCAATGACAGTCACCGTGTTCCTGCCCTGCCACTCCTTCGGCGGGTCTATCACCACGACTCTTTCAACCCTGACGCTAGCGATGCTCTTGAGATACGCAGCAGTTTGAGGGCCGTGAGTCGCAATATCTTCCGACATAAGGGAGGAATCTTGGAAGCGGAAGCGGCGGTGAACGTATCCCCCACGTTGGTAGTCGAAAGTTTCACCATCGTCGACATAGAGGGTGCCATCTGCCTGTCCGTTTTTGTCGAGGACGACCACGAGCGTGTATGGGTCGTACTTCATGAGCCCGCTGCTGCGGCGCGGTCGGTCTTTACGGGGGATTACATGTCCTCCCTGCATCAGCACAGGCACCTTTTCAATAGGAGCCGGGACCGAATGGGTCTTGCTTGCACCCTGGTATACAGTGTAATCGAAGTAGTCATAGTACTTCTCATCATCAGCAATGTAAATATCGGCAGTTGTGGCATCTTCAGAGACGACCGGCTTTGCAAGGATACCAGTGGAGCCGAGGTAGAGTTGGTCGTCAATTGTGAAGCCTGCCTCATCCGACGGGTGTTCGTAAAACTGCGGTCTCACGATCGGAGTTCCATTCACTGAAGCTTCATGGAATGCAGTGTACCAGGCAGGGAGAAGCTGGTACCTCAACCGGATGGCTTGCGTAATGATCGAACGGAATGGCTCTTGGATCAAGTACGGCTCACGACGGCGAGCGTCAATATGAGCGTGAGCGCGGAAGAACGGATACCAGATACCCGTCTGATACCACCGGGTCAAGAGCTCCTTACTCGGGTTGTGGAAAAATCCGCCAACATCCGCACCAGCAAATGGGAAACCGGAGATCCCGTTATTGAGTACCATCGGCAATGAAATCGCCAAGTGCTCCCAGGTAGCCTGGTTGTCTCCAGTCCACATAGCAGACATGCGTTGTGCACCAGCGTAGTATGATCGGGTTAGGATGAATGGTCGACGGATTTCACCCTTCTTGCGCTCCACCATAGCTTGGTATGTAGCATTGACGAAAGTGATACCATTGACATTGTGGATATCACGGTGCTCCCAGTTACCGAAGTGCAGGTTATCCTTGGGCATTGTGGTTTCCGGGCCGTTGAAAACAGAAGGCTCATTCATATCGTTCCAGATGAACACATTTGGAAGGGTTCCCTTGAATTTGTCGTATTTGAAGAGGCCGATCCACCATTTGATCGCCGCAGGGTTGAAACAGTCGACCCAGTTAGACGAGCCTGGCCAGCACCAACCCTCATAGACCTTACCGTCCTTGTCAAGCGTGGCCAGGCCTTTGCTCTTCATTTCCTTGGAAATGTCAAACTTGTCTTGGTTCTTGATATGTGGGTCAATGATCACTACAAGCTTGCGCTCCGATTCATCAAGCTGTTTCTCCATGCTGATGGGGTCGGGGAATGTTAGGGGATCCCAAGTGAAATACTTCCGGTCGTCGAGATACTCAATATCGAGCCAAATAATATCATACGGAATCTGATACTTGTCGAAGTTTCGATCAACCTCCTTGACGTCCTCGTCAGTTACATAGTTCCAGCGGCATTGGTGGTAGGCGATAGCAAAATGTTGAGGGAGTTGAGTGTAACCAGTGAGTTCACCATATTTCTTGCTGATATCACTAGGCGAAGGTCCCAAGAAAACGAATACATCAAGCTGACCGGCTTCGGAGAACCAATGGCTTTGGGTGTCGGCTTTTGACTTCACAATGTCGATCCAGGTCTCAGCAGCGTTGAGCCAGAAAACCCCAACGGTTGAGTCCTTGCGGTGGGCTTGAAGTAGCGGGATTGCACCGTACAAAGTCATGGGGCTGTTTAGTTCATATTCGAACACGTCGGAATTATACAAGCGGTAAGGCTCATCGTGGTTGCCAGAACCTCCTCTAAGTATTGTTAGTTCCCATTCTCAATGAACCAAGTCCAGGGCGTCTTACCGAGTTTCCCTCAACGACAGAGAGTCTGCGTGTTCAGGAATACCAAACACATGTTTGTAACCGGGGAAGCTGATGTCCAGTCCCACACTCTCTGGGCCTCTGGGCTTGGAGTCTGTGTTGCCACCAAAGGTCTCTTCCCACCAAGTACTCTCGTCCTCCTGGGAACTAAGAACATCCTGTTCGCCTTCAGCGGGTGCCTCCACCTTTTTCCGCCAGTGTTCCATATTCAAGTAGCCCTTGTGGTTAAACTGAACATGTGTCTGCCCATCCCTCTGGAAGTCTACAGAGAAAGGAGAATGATGAATCACGGCCTGGTACGTATTATCAGGTCCATACAGGACCTTGGTTATCCCATCCTGAACTTCGGGGCTCAATGTCGCAGACTTGCTAGCTTCCAGCCCTCCAACCAAAACCCAGGATTGGGCATCATTATATCGTTCTTTGCGTGCGGAACTTCCGTGGCGGATCTCAATGTCTCCACTCATGCGCTTTTCTTCATCAACAACGACTCGTGCGACTCCGGATTCGAGGAAAGAGATAGCCAGCGGCAACTTGACTTTCTCGGTGGGAGAAATAGTCTTTAAAATAGTTCCATGCAATTGGCCGTCCTTAAACTGGACGCCCGAGGGATCAAGTTCGTAGGGGGAGCTCCAGGATGAGCCCTTGGCGGAGACATCGTCGGCAAATGCTCTGTTGCGTTTACAGAAACCCGATTGGGAGCATTTCTTGAAATTCTCATGTTTCACGGTGACTATGTAGGCCTATGAGTCAGAGACGACGGGTAGTATAGATGTGTGGATGAAGTAGCCTTACCTCCAGGTACGACGAAGCACCCAAATACTATCGCTAGGGTGAGCAGCAGGGTCCAGCTGGGTGACAGCCGGCTCCGGGTCATGATGGTTGATTTGGTGGATGCAACCAGAGGCCCTCAATCTCCGAGAGTATCAATGCTTGCAGCAAACAGCGATCTGACCTGCATCTACCAGATCTGAGGTCCTTTCGCGTTGCTGATAGACCAACTTGGAGAACAGTCAGTGCTTCAATCCAGGCTGGCCTCATGGAGTGGAGGCGGAGAGCTGCTGTTTGGGCTAAACAGGCACTAGTCCTCTTCTAGTAGCTGGGGTTGGACACCTCACCGCTCAGGCCAGAGTATTGAGTCCTGACCATTCAGGCCGCAAGGCTGTCAGGCATGCGCCGCAGCCCCTCAGACCAGATTCTCTCAGCGCCCCACACAGGCGTTTAGACCCGGAATAAGAAGAATTTCGCCAGCTCAACACCAGCTTCCGCTTCTTCCCTCCCTTTCTAACGCATCTCACTGATTTTCTTGCCTTCTCCTTCTCCAATCCCTATCAAAATGACTTCTGAGCAGACGTAAGTACAAGAACATCTCCGTCTCATTCTAGTGCCAATTCCCCTCGCAACTTTTATCTCCTCGACTTACCCCTCATCGTCATCGCAATAAAGCTAATTGTTCACCGTAGTTTCATCGCCATCAAGCCCGACGGTGTCCAGGTACGCATTGAGCAGTTGTTACACCATATACAACGTCTTGAGACAAATTGGGCTGCTATCCTTGAAAAAATGAGCGTAAACTGACAATTCCCGCCAGCGTGGACTCGTCGGCCCCATCATCTCTCGCTTCGAGAACCGTGGGTGCGTATTATACCCCTCCACTTTGTACCAATCGCAATGCTGACGATAACTAGCTTCAAGCTCGCTGCTCTGAAGCTCACCTCTCCCACCCGCACTCTCCTCGAGCAGCACTACGCTGACCTCAAGGAGAAGCCCTTCTTCCCCGGCCTTGTCACCTGTAAGTTTCCGTCAACACTTCAAATACGCTCATGAATAAGTACTCATATGTTGTTTTAGACATGCTTAGCGGCCCCGTCGTCGCCATGGTCTGGGAGGGTAAGGAGGTCGTCAAGACTGGCCGCACCATCCTCGGTGCCACCAACCCCCTTGCCTCCGCCCCTGGCACCATCCGTGGTGACTTCGCCATCGACGTCGGCCGCAACGTCTGCCACGGTTCCGACAGCGTCGAGAGCGCCAAGAAGGAGATTGGCCTTTGGTTCACCCCCGAGGAGATCCAGAACTACAAGCTCAACGCTTTCGGCTGGATCTACGAGAAGGAATAAATTTCTTCCAATGAGCTTGCGCTTTGGTCTTAGGAAGCTGTGTCCGCTATAGCGCGGAACAGTGGAAGAGAGACAGGGCAAATGCCGTGAGAATAGAGTTTATATCCAAATAAATAAAAACTGTCACGATATATTTCCTGTCCGGTTTATTGCCTTCGGAATAATTTTCTCACGCCTCTCCCAATTGGACCTAAAACAACTCTAGCAAACCACGGCGTCGCCCAAGCACTAGCGATAATCCGCAAAGGCAGCAAAGCCTTCGTAGCCGCATATGCAGTCGCAAACTCAAGGACCAAGCGCATGCCCTTTCTATCAGTAGCAGTCCCTGCCGTAACCTCCTCGGCATCAACGCTGTCCTCCACCCAACCCTTCTTCCTCAGCCATCTCGTAAATCTACTCGTCCCTTCTTCAAACCCGCTATAAGATGTGAAATCAGGGAGCCATTCGCCGTAGTGGAACGCCGCGACGAGTCCGAAGAGCGGCACAACTGCAGTTAACTCGTGGAGAATTAAGAAAGACGTGACGTGCGTTGCCGGCGCACCGAGTAAGGGGGTGGTGTAGGCGCGGAGAAATGACGGGAGGCGATCATTGAAGCGGCGAAGACGAGATTGAGCGGCTTTCTGGGGTGGAGGAGGCGGCGGCGGTGTTGTTGCGAAGTTTCGACGAGTAGATCTCAGGCCCAGGCGCGATGAAAAGCGACATGGCCGCAAAGTACGGTTTATTGGCATTTCGAGGGCCGTCAGTCAGGAATTGAAAATGAGTGACAACTCTGAGGTGAATTTCGCAGGCCAACAGATAAGTATCACATCAGGGAATCCATAATATGACCGTTGAAGGTCAGGAATTGGTCAGCTTTCTTTAGCTCCGCGAAGTTGAAGCCGAAGGATGGGGCAGCGATCACTCTCGATACTCCGGTGTTTGCTGTGTTTGCACTTGGCTTCATTCAGCCTATGCGGTTTGGGCTATTCTATAAAAAGGACGTCTAGCTGTTGATCTGGATTCTGTTCCATCGTTTGGTAGTACATTTAACGCTGCTCACTGTTAAGTGATGTGGTGCAAGCTGGACCCGCGGCGGGAGAGGTGGATGTGGTAGGCGGGAGGACGAGGAAAGCCGATGAGTAGGTCGACAAAGCGACATTGGATAGCCCCGTCAGATATGCCATCTTGATATGATAGGTGGCTTAAGAATATAGTCCCATGCGAGAAAGATGGCAGAATCTGAATTTCTGAGTCAATGGAGTGGCAGTCCGAAATGCGGCCTGAGGGGCAAAGAAGGATACTCGAAAAAAACCCACCTCGTCCTCCCCGAATTCGTCACTCTTCCCTTCTTCCTCCTCCTCCTCCTCCTCCTCCTCTCCTCACTCCCACCATACTCTCAGTTGGAAGATTATACCTCCAACCATGGAGAAGATCACAGACAAGATCGCGGCTTTGCCGCCCAACGCAAATTATTTTTCTCTTGAGTTCTTCCCTCCAAAGACTCAGATGGTGGGGCTCTAGTCCTCCCCGCATTTGGCAATACTGCCTCCATGAGCAGAAATTCAGCGCTAACAATGTGGTTTCTAGGGATTTGCCAACCTGCAAGCACGATTAGAGCGTATGGCACAGGCATTGCGCCCGCTCTTCGTTACAGTCACCTGGGGAGCCGGAGGAAGCACCGCAGCAAGATCGTTGGAGCTGGCGGAGATCTGTCAGCGCCAACTACAACTGACGACATGCTTACACTTAACATGTACGAATATGAGTCGGGCCCTGGTGGATCAGGCTCTTGAAGAAGCGAAAGTTCTGGGTATTAGGAATATTCTCGCACTGCGTGGTGATCCTCCGCGGAGTGAGGAGTACAATATGCACGGAGAGGACGACAGTAACAAGGACTTTACTTTTGCTGTGGATCTGGTTCGGTATATACGGCAAAAGTACGGCGACTATTTCTGCGTTGGTGTTGCGGGATACCCAGAAGGTCATCCTGCCGATTCCTTCCAAGATGTTCAGGATCCGAAGGTCGATTTGCCGTGGTTGGTTGAAAAGACACAGGCGGGTGCGGACTTTATCATGACTCAGTTGACTTACGACATTGACGCTTACACGGACTTCGAAAATCTGCTACGGAATCATGAGTCCGGTGCTTTCAAGACTATTCCTATCGTCCCCGGTTTGATGCCCATTCACAGCTACAAGATCCTAACAAGAGTGACGAAGCTCAGCCACGTTAGGATCCCGCCGCCTATTCTTCAGAAACTGGAAGAGGTCAGGCATGATGATGATGCTGTCAAGCGCCTAGGCGTCGATATACTCGCCGAACTTGTGGAAGGCATGAGGAAGCTACCGACTCCTCGTCCCCGGGGATTCCACTTTTATACTCTGAACCTGGAAAAAACTGTATCATTCATTCTTGAACGCTGCAAGCTCATTCCAGATTACACGGACGATGATGCAGTGGCTGTCAGTGAGGAGGTTTCATTACTCACGGCCAATGCAGCCAAAGCTGCTTCATCAGGCAGGCGACGGAGAGCTTCTTCCCTTAGCTCCCTTCCCCATAACCGTGTGATTGTCGACAAGATTTCGGAACCGTCCTCAAAGGAGTCGGTAACGCACGAGGCAACTGCTGCTAGTGCTGGTATGCCTGCGCAGCCCCCGGATCGAAACACAACCCTCCAGATCTCTGAAGGTTTGGGCGCTCTGGGCCGAGAAGCCACTTGGGATGACTTCCCCAACGGTCGATGGGGTGATGCCCGTTCCCCCGCCTTCGGTGAAATTGACGGCTACGGCCCTTCTCTACATGTTGCCCCCTCTGTCGCTCATAGAATCTGGGGCTACCCCGTTTCCCCAGAGGACATCAGCAAGCTCTTCCGCGGCCACGTATCCGGAGATCTACACATGGTCCCGTGGTCCGAAGGTGGCGCAGAAGAAAACACCAGCGGTCTCAACGCCGAGACAGAAACAATTCGCCCCGAACTCCTCGCCCTCATTGACAACAACGGCTGGTGGACGCTCGCTTCCCAACCCGCCGTCAACGGCGTCCGCAGCGACAATTCCATCTTCGGGTGGGGCCCTCCAGGTGAAGGTTTCGTTTTCCAGAAGCCCTTCGTCGAGTTCTTCTGCCCAACCTCAGATTTCACAAACACCCTTAAACCCCTCCTCCAGAAGCACGGCCATGAGAAACTCGCCTGGTTCGCGACAAATGCCAACGGCGACTTTGAGTCTTCGCTCCCCGCCCAAACATCAGACACCGAACCCATTGAAATGAATCCGAACAATGTGAATGCCGTCACATGGGGCGTGTTCCGCGGAAAGGAAATAATCACACCAACTATCATCGAAGAAGTCAGTTTTAGAGCTTGGGGCGATGAAGCATACAGAATCTGGGATGAGTGGCGCCGAATCTACCCCAGGAACTCCCCTACTGAGCGCTTCCTTGAGAAGACGAAAAACGATGTCTGGCTTGTTTGTGTTGTTGGCCAGGATTTTGGCGCAGGCACAGAGATCGGCTCAAAGGAGGAAGATTATGAGAGAAAGTGGATGTGGAAAATTTTGGCAAACTGTTAGTTGCTTAAAATATGGATTTGCCAGTTAGAGTTGGTCCTCTAGGTGTGGGCGTTGCGGTCAGTAGTAAGTAGCTATTGGTAGGTTCCATGATATATACCCTACATCTACTCAGTTTCAACTTAGTGTATATCAATTCAACATCACGTTCTCGGCATATATTAGTTAGACATTAACTCTGTTTTGCTCTGGTCTACTTGGCTATGCTTAAGTGTTCCTTTTCTATATAAGGGTAGCACAAAATATAGATAATCGTGCGGCTATGAAACAATTTCGCTTATGCATAATTTGACCAAGGGAATTTAAATACCGAAGAAAGGCGTAAAAATTTATAATCTTCTTCATTTCCCACATAAACTAATAGCTTGCGGTATTAATAGAAGGATTCTATACCTTCTCCGCGAACCCGTGCTCCTCGAGCCCCGAAGCTCCAGTGTCAGGCGTTGCAATCTCAGATTGGGATGCGGCAAACTTTTGCGCGGTAAGGTCGAGTCTTCCATAGGCCGGTGGGTAGCGACGCGGTTGGGCTGTGCTTGATGCGGGGAGTTGATAGCCACGAAGTCTGCAAGTTTGTTTATTAGCATGGAAAGCAGTCACATGAATAAGTGCGTAGGAAGTAATAGTGAGTAATGAATGAAGTGGTTTTGTAAAAGAACGTACCTCGGTCCTTGACCTGTAGCCTCGGGGAACTCAGGTGCGTACGTTTGCTGGAAGGTGCGAAGGTCTTCGTCGAATGTCCCACGCTGAATACTGTCACGGATATTGGAGAAAAATAAATCCATGGTGTAGTGGTTGTGGATTTGAAGAAGCGTCCATGCGAGAAGCTCTTTCGCAGACAGGAGGTGGTGAATGTATGCACGGTGGTGGTTTTGGCAGGCGTAGCAGGAGCATGCCTTGTTTAATGGACTGGTGTCATTGGTATTTGATGACGACCAGAGATCATCGGCGAGTGGGAGAGTTTCCGTGGACTGGCTGGATCCTGAAGAGGAGGGGGCTGGAAAAAGGAAGTTAAAGGCCATTCCTGAGTCCGAAATTTGGTTTAGGAAAGGGATGGTAACGAGGTCCGCTCCAAGTGCAATCTGGCGTAGAATTTCCTGTGGTGTTCTTGGTCCGCCAAAAAGGAGACGGGGTAGGTCTCCCAGGAGTTCAGGCACAATTGAGAGGGATTCTGACTCATAGAGTGCAAGACCGGAAATGAAGGGTCGTACATCCGTTTCCAGATCTTCTAAGTATAACTGTTGCTGCGTGTTTTCTAGAGGAAGTATTGGTGCAAAATATGCCGCTGTCGACCTGCTATGCTCTGAGAGATGGGGGCCATAGAGGTTATCCGTCGCATGAGTTGTGAAGGCGTGCGTGCGATCAACCATCTTCGTCCTCCTTTTGATGCCAGGCGGCTGCCCGTTTACCAGATCTGCCAGCCCGATAACAATGTCTGGGCTAAGCCTTTGGGTAGCCTCAACATACTCGGTTGCTTCCAACTGGGTGAAACCTACGGATGTAAGGACAGCGATCGATGTGTCTGTATTGGTTGGGGGGCAGGCGATTGGAGGCTCGCGGCGTGGGCCGAGGATTGTTAGGAGGTCGTCGGGAAGGCAAATGAACTTGCGCAGAGCTGATTCATCAGGTGCAGTCGGAATTGCGTATATTGGGATAGGTATTGGGGACTTCTTTTTGTTTTGTTCCCGTTTTTCTAGGACTGATATCTGAGCCCCGACGGGCGTTAACTTGTCAGTTCCACACATATTGCTCTCATTGTGGCAGGGTAATACATACAATCTTCTAAGCCAACGAACAGACTACCGATAGAGGTGTTATAACGCATCACATCATGCGCCAGATGAGGGACTGCCCCTCGCGATGTCAAAGGAATGTAGTGGGGTGTCGAGATAGGTTTGCGGCCTGCAATCGTGAGTCGTCCCACACGTGGGGTAAGGATTGACGCTGAAGAGCCCAGTAGGCCGAAATTGAACATTTCACCTTCGGACTGTGAAGGCCGATCCGATCCCATTGCGGTATACAAGCCAACAGACGGCTTGCCAAATTGTTGATTGGGGAATGGGGGTGGCAGAAAGGAAAAGCCGTTATCGATTTAGCTCCGGTCCAAGATTTGGTTTATCAGTGGGCATCTCCAACTCCCCGACACGCATCTTCCTGAACCCGGCGCGTCAGAAACAGTTCTATTTCTCGCGGGTCAATGTTTTTTCGGGATTATCTACCACACTCGACTTGATCTACTACGCCTCTCCGTTGCGGTTTAAATATTCCCACAAACACCATGGCCGCGAATGGGACGCGTGGGAAACGCGGGGCCTTGATTGTTGTCGAAGGTCTGGACCGCGCAGGCAAATCCAGCCAATGCGAATATCTTCGTAACTTTCTACAGCAGTCAGGCCACCCTGTGAAATACATCAGATTTCCAGGTATTTTCATTCTCTGCCCCAGAGACTCGTGGATACGCAAACTGACAACCTGCCCTCTTCTAGATCGAACAACCCCCATAGGAAAGCTAATTGATGGCTATCTTCGTGGACAGTCTCACTTGGACGACCATTCTATCCACCTTCTTTTCTCAGCGAACCGTTGGGAGCTTGCCCAAGATATTGAGGCTGATATCGCCAATGGAACCAACGTGATTGTGGACCGCTATTCATACTCCGGCGCAGTCTATTCAGCTGCAAAGGCTAACCCTTCGCTATCGCTGGAATGGGCTTGGCTGCCGGAAATTGGCCTACCAAAGCCTGATATCTGCCTGTTCCTCAGCATAACGCCGGAAGAAGTTGCAAAGCGTGGTGGATTCGGTGGAGAACGCTACGAGAACGAGACGATGCAATCTCGCGTTCGCGAGTTGTTTAATACCATATTTGGCCTTCAGAAAAAGAGCGATATTCAAATGATTGATGCCGGAAGGACGTTTGAAGAAGTCTCACAAGATATCTCGAGGATCATAACCGAATGCATTGCGCGTGTGGACCCGGCGAGCGCTCTAGGAAAGATGGCATCCATTTCCTAAGAAAGGGTCGAGTGAATGTCTTTATTTCTTGATGTTTTTGACAGCAAAGCCAGGAATTGCCAATGCCGCATCGACTATAAACGGAGCAATGAGTCTCAACACTTGCTCCAGCCCACATTAAGATCACTCAACGAGGAATTGAGACCCTGCAGCATTTGGAGCACTCGGCAGGTCAACCATAATTCCGAGAATCGTGTGCGGGTTTCTTACTCCGGACACTAACGGTCCAAGTGCAACCAACGCCGTTCGAACCTCTTGGAGAGAGCAACCTGGCAAAATGGTCCCTTTCCTTTTTTGGCACGCATCACGTGATTGCCTTCGCACCCGCGGTATTCTCGCAGCTGCTCGAATATTGCACGGAAACCTTTCTAGAAATTATTTCAGCGATAGAAAATAGACCCATCTTTTTCACCCGTTTTATATCTATTCTTTTTGTCGTCTGTAAAGGTAATATCTGAATCTTTGCCGGCAAACGACTCAGAAATCCTCTCATTGTCCCGGTTACGGAATATATATATACCTCCTGCCGTACTCTCGGAATACTTACGGCAATAAAATTTCAATTATTCAACCCCCCCAATTCCAACAATATCAGGATGATACTGGTCATATTCAATATAGTACCAAAGTGCCTTCTGTGATAATACTCACTAACCACTCACTTTGCCGCTCCAAATGACAGTACCAGTGTCTTGCGACAATGGAGGATGAACGTTATGACCTGTCCAAAGTAATCCCGGCTTACTATTGCTGCTATTTACTTCGATCGTTGGGTACGGGCTATAAAGGCTCAGCGTTATACATTGGCTCCACACCAGACCCTGCCCGTCGCCTCGCTCAGCATAACGGGCTCTCCAAAGGCGGAGCCCGCAAAACGGCGAATGAAAAGAGACGACCATGGGAGATGGTTATGGTAGTAGAAGGGTTTACCAGTAATATTGCGGCTTTGCAATTTGAGTGAGTATTATATTTCTGATTCTTGTGTTCCTGCGTTAATAGGATGCTAGGTGGGCATGGCAACACCCGGGGGCTACTAGACATCTTACTTCAAAAGACGAGGACGAGAATGGAGAGTTAAATGCTAAACATGACACTAAAAATAACGCCGTGGTGGGAGGACCTCAGCAGAAGCCCGGGGCTCAGAATAAATCTAAAGCCCAGAGGGGACCTAAAGCTTCCGAAAAGGGCACAGAAGATGATAAGAAAAAGAAAACCAAGAGAAAACCACCACCTCGTCGTACGCGGCACTCCTTAAAGGCTCATCTGGAAGACCTACACCTCCTATTGCGGTCTACGTACTTCAAAGATTGGCCTCTTACTCTACGATTTTTTGCCGCCGATGTTTCTCAGGCTTGGAGAGGATGGTGTGATCGTGTAGACGGAATTATACCTGATCATATCAAGATTATTGCAGACGGAAATTGCACAGACATCTTCGCTCGGCATGAGGAACGCAGCTCGGCAGTTGGAAGCGTCCAAGATATCAAGGTCGACTACACACCAATAAGGGACTATGTGGAAAAAGGGATGTTTCTACTAGACGACATCAAGAGCTCAGCTTGCAAAGTATGCGAAGCACAATATAAGGAGAACGACCTAGCTGTTGTTTGCCCAATAGCCAGCTGCAATAGCACCGCCCACTTGCTGTGTCTGTCAGAAAAATTCCTGGGTACGGCGAAAGATATGGATCGGTTTGTTCCGCTTGCTGGGAAGTGCCCCATGTGTGCTCAGACCGTTCAATGGCCATCCATGATACAAGAATTGAGTATTAGAACCCGGGGAAGAGATATGACGCGTGCGATGGTGAATAGATGCGAGAGGAAGAGTAGGAAAGCCTTGAAGGATACGGAAGGCAAGACAGCAACGGTGGAAAACCCGATAGTTACCGCAACTATGGAACGTGACTCCTCGGATGAGGATTTCCATGATACAGATTCTCTGGATGACTATTGGGACAAAGTTTTAGATTCTGACTTGGAATCTGGCGCAAACTGCCCCCCACAACAAGATTCAAAGGACTCGAAGGTTGAAGTGGTCATTGAAGACAGTGAGCTTGACGATGATGAGTCACTGGGTTGAAAATTTTCAGCATGCTAGGTGATATGATGGAAACGCCGAATTATCATCGAAGTCCAAGTGAATACCACTTTCCATTGATTCGGTTCATTATCGTTCGATGAAGACCATGACATTGCCATCTAGTCAAAAGGAGCCTGTGTACACCAGGCTGGGGTCCATAACCTGAGAAATCCTTGTAACACCAGCTTGGTCGAGAAATTATGCTCAAGCCTGGGTGCTGTCCTGCTATCAATTCCTGGGGCAGTGTTTGAAGTCTGGCACAAGAAGTTGAGGGACATGGGGACTGGGACGAACTTCGGCAGGATGAGAATTGATATAAGGAAACAAACCTACCTGCGTCTGGAAAAAAGACAAGAAGCCCACGATGATGGCCAATGCTAGGTCAACGACTGTCCCGACGAGCAGTCATGCGGCTCATTGAAGGGCGAGGCCGGACCTTCATATATGACGCCCGTGAGATAATTAATCAATTACAGGGCGGTAGATTAATCATCGGGGCCCTGTTGAAAAGGGAAGAATTTGATGTTTATATATATATAGTGTAGAATAATAAACGTCTTGCGGGATCATCGTTGGTTTTAGAATGTATTTGTGCTGTGCCGAAATCCACACCAGAAACGGGCCGACCCCATGTCCAACAGGAAGAAAGGGCGCTAACTTAACACACCACGGGCCGCTGTAACCTGCGTGTTTTTTTCCCGCGAAAAGCATACCGTGCGAGTCGACGAGACGACACTTCGGAAGTAATATCCGGGTCAAGAGCTTGAGGAATATCGGCCTTTAGCGTAGACAAGATGAGATACTAACACTGCACGATGGGCGTGGGCACGGTATTTTACTGGAATGGAAGCTTTTGCGGTGCACCTGCAGACAGACTAGGTGGCTGGAATCAGTGGGATGTGACGGGCTAGCCTGTATTGCGGTTACGTATCTTGCGCGATTAACCTCGGATCAGGTGATCGCAAATATTGAGGAATCCATGATTCATTTGGTCATCACAGTCAAATTGGGTTCGCAATGTTAGACTATGGAGGCTATTAATTAAGTGACATCTCTGCACTACATTATTACCGCCTTGAAGCTCAACTATTAGTCCGTTCTCACCATGACAGTGTAAGTTTCTGCATACATTGGAGAACGCGACTGAGGCTCCAGCACCGTTTGCGGATCATATCTTTCCGTACGGTATTTGGTGTTACCCTGAAGCCTGAGGCAGAAACCAGAGTCGTGACCAAATCCTGATCAGGTCAAGTAAACCAACTTTCTACCGGGATCCAGGGTTCTCTGTTACAAAGATTTTCCATCTCCAGGGCGTCGCGACCTGAGCCAATCGACCAGTTTGCGATTCCGTCGTCAGTACAAGGTAGATCAGACCACCACAAGACGTCCCTCTCGGCCTGTCCAGCCATTAGTTTTCCGTTTTTGGCCCGACCTGCTTGTCGACGAACCAGTGCCTTTCTATCAATCCTCCAATCGTCGCTGCTGTTCGTCCGTGGATATTGCCTTGGCTATAATAATAGTCGGCTAACGACTTCGCTAATTTATAGATTCTTACCCAACCTTGAGTCCCTAACTCCTAACTGACCCGGGTGAGTGAATTGCTGCTCTGCTTTGTTCTCATTGCTCTTCCGAGACTCCACACTGCTACTAGCAGTGCTAGCCTTTCCGGGCTCATCTCGGCCTTCCCTTCATAATTGCTGGGACTCCACGGCCATCGCTTTCATCACCTCTCCATTTCTCCAGGAACTTTCCTCCTCCCCTCCTTCCCCATCTACACCTCACCATCACTCCCAACTTCTCATTTACTCCTTATCTCTCGCTGCTCCAATTCTATCGCGTGACTCGTCTTATTTGTGTTATTGCTTGTTAGCTCTCCCATGGGTTTTTCGCATAGGACCCTGGCCTCCTTCCCTCCGCGATAAACGCACGCGCACATCCCCCTTTGACCTCAATTCGACCGATCATAAGACATGGTGGCTCCGGCCGCGACAGGAGGGAACTCGACAGGCACACAGCCGCCAGCGAGCCGTCAACCCGCCCGTTCCTCCAGTACCCATCCGTCCCACTCTCATAATGTACCGTTGAGCACTCGACGCTCCGCACCCCTCGATTTATCGACGGTCGAAAGACGAGGACAACCGAATGCCCCCCGCGAGCCGACGGGTCGAGTCCGCCCTCATGGCCTCCAAGAGGCGCCGACTTTCCGCCCAACCGAGGAGGAATTCAGAGACCCCGAGGCCTATATCCAAAAGATCGCGCCGGAAGGAAAGAAATATGGTATTTGCAGGATTATTCCGCCAGAGAACTGGCAGTCGACGTTTGCCATTGATACGGAGGTATGAACATCGCAGTTTTTGCCTTGTCTTTTTGTGTTCTCTTGTTATCCCGAGAACTTTCATCCCTTGCGCTGCGAGTTTGTGAGAGTTCGTTTTAAGCTAACCACCAACCACTTCCAGCGGTTTCACTTCAAAACCCGTCGACAGGAGCTTAATTCGGTCGAAGGAGGTATGCCCCCGCGTTCAGCGTTGCTTGCTGCCGGTGGTACTCCGCAGCCCAGTTCTGACCCAGACCCAGGAACTCGTGCAAACTTGAACTATCTTGACCAGTTAGCCAAGTTTCACAAGCAGCACGGTACCAACCTAAATCGATTCCCAAGCGTCGATAAACGTCCTTTGGACCTATTTCGACTGAAAAAGGCTGTCGAAGTCCGTGGTGGCTTTGAGCAGGTCTGTAAGATGAAAAAGTGGGCAGAGATCGGCCGTGACCTCGGCTACAGCGGCAAGATCATGTCTTCCCTGTCAACATCTCTCAAAAACTCTTACCAGAGATGGCTCCAACCCTATGAGGAGTATTTGCGTGTTGCGAAACCTGGAGTACAACAGCAGCTCGAAATCGAGCATGGTGGTCCTTATACTCCTTCACCAAATCATTCGCCCATGCCTAAGAAACCAACGCCTTTTGAGAGTGATACACGTTCTGCGACACCCCATGGCCAAATGAACCCAGCTACTACATCTGTTCAAAATACTCCTCAAGAAGTTGTTGCGACTCCTGATAAGAAGCCCACACCGCCTGTAGAGCCCACACCTCCGCGACCAATCGCATCTGGATTTACAGCTGTGAACTCGGGCGGGTTTACTGCAGTCAACAGATCACCTTCATTTGCTGCGGTGAACAATGCGCCACCGGTGAAACGGGAAAATGAACACGAGTCTGCCACACCGCGGAGTGTTGCCGAGTACCCGAAGGACTCAACACCGATGTCAAATGGCCACGGCGCCCAGTCAGCGAAACGTGCTATCAGTGACGAAAGCGGGTCCCAAGCGGAAGCTGGCGAACTAGATGCGAACGGACGACGGAGCAAAAGGCTACGGAAGGGTATGTCAGGCCGTTAATGAACCATTATAGTTACACACTAATTGTTCGCGACAGATGCACCTCTCCCGACTGTTGCGGGTTCGCAAATGAGCCTTCTTCGCCCTGCTCCTTCACGCTCGAGGAAGAGTGACTCACGGAAATTTGGTGATGTATGTTCTATCAAAAGACAGAACCCTAGGTGAGCCAATTGCTAATTGTAGCTTCAGAAGTGTGAGACTTGTGGCAAATCCGAGGATCGTTCCTCAATCTTGGTGTGCGATAGCTGTGACCAGGGCTTCCATAGGTATTGCTTGGACCCTCCTTTGCACCACATTCCGGAGTTCGATTGGCACTGCCCCAAGTGTTTGGTCGGAACGGGAGAGTTTGGATTTGAGGAGGGCGGTATCTACTCATTGAAACAATTCCAGGAAAAGGCGAACAACTTCAAGAAGAACTATTTCGCCTCGAAAATGCCTTTTGATCCCGTTCTCAACACTCATCGACGGGAGTCTGAAGATGACGTCGAGCGAGAGTTCTGGAAATTGGTGGAGAGCCTAACGGAGACAGTTGAGGTTGAATATGGTGCTGATATTCACTCAACTACTCACGGTAGTGGCTTCGCCACGGTTGAACGTAACCCCCTAGATCCGTACTCAAAGGATCCCTGGAATTTGAACAATCTTCCTTTCCATGGAGAGTCCTTGTTCCGTCACATCAAATCTGATATCTCCGGTATGACAGTCCCATGGGTTTACGTTGGCATGTGTTTCTCGACTTTTTGCTGGCATAACGAAGACCATTACGCATACTCCGCCAACTACCAGCATTTTGGAGCAACGAAAACTTGGTACGGGATTCCGGGAGCTGATGCGGAAGCATTCGAAGAAGCAATGCGACAGGCTGTTCCTGAGCTCTTCGAAGGCCAACCTGACTTACTTTTCCAACTTGTTACTCTGATGCCTCCGGATCAGTTGCGGAAAGCTGGGGTTAATTGCTATGCCCTCGATCAACGCGCAGGCCAATTTGTCATCACATTCCCTCAGGCGTATCATGCTGGGTTCAACCATGGATTCAACTTCAACGAAGCTGTTAACTTTGCACCCGTGGACTGGGAACCCTTTGGCGCGATGGGAGTCGATCGTCTTCAAGCCTTTCGCAGGCACCCGTGTTTCTCCCACGATGAGCTACTCTTCACAGCCGCTGCCCGGGATACGACGATTTCCACTGCCAAATGGCTTGCCCCAGCTCTCCAAAGGACATGCTCTCGTGAGTTAGGTGAACGAGCATCATTTGCCACGCGCCATAAGGAGGCAGCGCCCCATGATTGTGCTTTATTTTCCGAAGATCCAGCTGCCACTGGTGACTGCCGGCTGAGGTTCGTGGTTGAGGATAAAGATATTCCGGAGGAAGACTATCAATGCCACTATTGCAAGTCTTACACCTTCCTAACCCAGTTCAAATGCCACAAGACCAGAAAGACGCTATGTTTGATACATTTGGATGCCCATGACTGTTGTGGAGAACCGCTATCGCAAAAACTACTAGGCCCGGATCATACGCTGCGCTACCGAGTCAGCGACGCTGAGTTGAAAGACATGGTTTTGAAAGTCCAAGAACGTTCCAGGATCCCGGAAGCATGGGGGCAGAAACTCGACAACATCCTGGACGATGAGCCGAAGCCCCAATTGAAGGTCCTTCATAGCCTACTTAATGAAGGTGAGAAAATCCCATACCATTTACCTGGTCTCCAAAATCTTGCGGACTTCGTTCAGCGCTGTGATAAATGGGTTGAGGATGCAACCAACTACATTACGCGAAAGCAGCAGAACCGAAGGAAGAACGAAAAGGCTTGGCGCAAAGCTGGTTCCAAGGCCTCGCAGCTGGAAGAACGTGACCGTGAAGTTCGCAGCGTAGACAAAATCTACGCCCTTCTTGCAGAGGCTGATAAACTGTCATTCGACTGTCCACAGATGGCGGCTCTGTCAGAGAAAACCCGCGAGATCGAGAAGTTCCGCCAGGACGTTAACGTTGTGCTTATGAACCCACATATCCGGTCAGTACAGGAAGTCGAAGAGCTTGTGGAGAACTCCCGGAATTTCAACGTGGATTTACCCGAAGTTGAGAGAATGGAACATATTGTACGACAGATGAAGTGGAACGAGGATGCGGCGCGAAGACGTGACCATTACTTGACCTTGAAGGACTGCCAGGAACTTATATTGGGCGGTGAACAACTGGGACTTTCTGAGACAAACGAACACCTAGCACATTTTAAAGAAAACTGTCGCCATGGTGAGGCCTGGGAAGCAAAAGCCAAGGAGCTGATGTCAGCAGAAGTGGTCCATTACCAACAATTGGAAGCACTGTCTGCACAGGCGTCCCGGTTCCCCGTCTCCCCTGAGACTCTCGCTGCTGTAGATGCCATATTAACCAAACAACGTGAAGCCCAGAAACGGATACACAGCCTGTACGAGAAGAGCAAGGACCCGGACTATAAAAATAGGCCCAAGTACAAGGAAGTGCGGGAGCTAATGGAGTCACTGGAAGAGCTGAACAGCCGGCCTACCGGCGCAGTTGACTTAGAGCGCGAGCAGAAACGCCACGAAGACTGGATGAGGAAAGGGAAGAAGTTGTTTGGAAAGGCTAATGCTCCTCTACACATTCTCAAGTCACACATGGAGTATGTTGAAAAGAGGAATTCTTACTGCTTTGACCTCGAAGATCGCTTCCGCCCACCAGTCGAGCCAGCCTCAAGAGACAACAGTCCTGATGGGCAACGGCATTATTGGGCTGGGCAGTCGATGGCTAAGCGGGATGTATTTTGTATCTGCAGACACTCGGAAGCTGGAATGATGATCGAGTGCGAGATTTGTGGTGAATGGTAAGTTCTACGTGTCCGTGTATGATTGTGATTAATCGCTAAGTGTGCTAGGTACCATGGCAAATGCCTGAAAATTGCTCGGGGCAAAGTCAAGGAGTGCGACAAATATACTTGTCCTATCTGCGATTGGCGACAAAAGATCCCTCGAGATGCTGCTCGCCCAAAACTTGAAGATCTCCTCGAGTGGCAGGCCGAGATTCCTGGCCTCCCTTTCCAGCCTGATGAGGAGCAAATCCTTGAGAGCATCCTAAACCAAGCGACATCTTTCCGCGATTTCCTGCAAGGGTTTACCAATACTGCGTGCACCACTACTGAAGAAGTCCCTACCTTGATCTTCTATTTGCGTAAGATTGAGGGAGCGGAGGTTCTTCTGGCTTATGAGACGAATTTGTTCCGGCAAGAGATTCACAAATGGCAGCCTGTCGCTCCTGAACCTCCACCGATTTTGGAGCAATCTTTGTCAACGAGGAAGCCACGCCCAACGAAACAGCAGAAGATAATGGCCCGAATGGGGATTGAGCGCCCTGAAGATCTTCCTGTTCATCTACGTCCTAAGCAGCCAAACCCTGCGAAGCGCAAATCGATTGATTCTCAACATGCCCGGCCGCCGACACTTCAGCCGTCACAAACCCCTGGCGATAATTCAAATGCAGACAGCTCGCGCATGGGGCCGACATTGACGCCAGGCGACACGCAAAATGCTCCTTACCCGTTTTCAGCAAGCTATTCACTCCCTGCGAGTGACAGCACCTCCGCATTCGCACCCGAGTCTTCGGCCTTCCTGCCTCACGTTGCCGCAGATTCACCTTCGTTCCCCGCAAGATCTCCCTCACCTGCCCCCCATCATGGCCTCAGTTCGGCTCTGTTTAGCCCTCCCCGCTACTCGCGGACTGCCCCAAGCGGGCCTCCTGGACCCGAGGTCGACCATTCGAACCCATTTGGTAGTAGTCCTCGGAACCTAGACGACGTTTTTGCCGATCTCACAAACCAGGATGCCGACCCGGAAGCTGACCAAGAAACTGAGCTCATGGAAAATACGCACGCAAACGAAGCCTTGGAATTGCTTGATGTCGGCACTGACAGAGAAAGCTCCGCGCCTGCACCTGATGGGGAGGTAGAGGAGAAACCTGAAGAAGTCAATGGCCATCCCGAGCCAGAAGCTGAAGCAGCCGCGGCAGCTTAGTCCCTTCTACATCCTTTGTCTACCCTTCCCTCTATTCTCTGAAATGAACCTTTTCTCTTTACAAATGTACTGTCCGGATTTTGTGTCGTTCTTATTTGCACTAGGCGTCCTGGTAAAACATTACCTCTGCGTTTTATGATTCTTTCATGTCTGATGTTACTGCTATGTCTAAGCCCCCTTCAACCTGTCTCTTTTGCGGTGGAGTGGTCTTTCCTTTTCAAAAATTTCTGTTTTTTCTTATTCCAAGGGGTCGTCGGTGTATTCGGATCGGATGGTGATTCTGCTTTCCAACATTTCTCGTTTTTCCTTTCTTCCTGCATTCTGACTGGGAATGTTCATCCCTGGGTGCTACGAATGTGCTCCTTGCTGTTTGAGGGCTCCGAGATTCCCCTCTCCTTTTTTTTTTTTCATTTTCATTTTTTTTTTTTTTTTTTTTTTTTTTTCAATACAATGTACGACTAGTTGAGTTTCTCTCTTCACACACAGATGTATGTTTAATTGATAGATTCGATTCGATTCAATTCTGTCCAGCTTCCGTACTTTGTATCTTAAATATCCGCGTATGCTCCAAGTGCGGACTGCCCGCCTGTATGAATGAACAAGGCGTTAACCTGCCTCTGCTCTTGTTCTTGACCAGTAGAACTAGAAAGTATATCCTTTTCTATCTCTCCTTCAGCAGCCCAGTGCATCATCCCCCTTGCTACCTTTGCTGTATACACCGGGTCTAGAATAACCTCTTCCTTCTCCGCCACTAGAGTGAGTGTTTCCTTTGTTTGCGCGTCTAGTACGCCGTACCTTGAGCCTGCGAATCGATCATCGAGCAGGACGTCATCCATTGTGATATCGTTCTCCGGATCCAGTCCCATCAATTCCCCTGCGCGACGAGCGAACTGGAGGATTCGCTCTGCATGGTAAGGCTTTCGCCTTGTAGGAGAGGTTAGGATTCCGACAACCCGGCGTGGTGGACTTCCTTGTCGTCGTGACCGTGTCTTGTCTAATAACTTGAATCCCGCGATGAGTCCACCAACTGTACTCCCGCTCCCACAAGCGACAAAAATATAATCGAACCGAGATTCTTCAGGGCTCTGTCCACTGAGAAGAAGCTCCCCCTCTTGCGCTGCAATCTCAAACGCACATCGCGCATACCCCAACCCACCAAGCGGATGCAAGCTCGCGCCAGATGGGACCCAATACGGATTTTTCCCCTGCGCCCTCAACTCCTCTAGAACCTCCTCGACAAGGTCATCCCCAGTCTTCGGTGGCGTAGGAGGCTCAAGCATCCTCACATCAGAGCCCAGCAACTTAACAACCTGCACGTTACCCGTCCTCAAAAATGCCTCTTTATCCGTTGCTGTAGACAACCCACCCCCCGTGCCCTTATGTAAGAGCACAACAGACTCAAGCCCGATCTTCGACGCAACGGCCGCAACCTGTACGGTGTGGTTACTCTGCACCGCGCCCTCCGTTACAAGCGTCGTTACTTTCCCTCTGGGGGTCCCCAGCCCCACCGGTTTGTCTGCCGCAACACCGGCGCCGTATTGCGGCTGGCTGGATAGGATATCCGGTATGATGTACTCCAGCTTGCGGTACTTATTCCCTGAACAGGCGAGCGGAGAGGCATGGTCTTCTCGCTTTGCGTACAGCGAAACTTGCACCTTTTGTGCGCGCGTGCCTCGCGCGGAAGCTGATAGACTCTGTAGTGGATGGATTGGGGAGAAGAATGGGTAGAGTAGATTCACTCGCGGGAGAGCCGCGAGCGTTTCTGGGAGTTGTAGTTTGAGAGACATTTGTGTTTTTATGTTTGTTTATATACCATATATACCTAATACATAGGTAGCAGGCACTAATGTCCAGGATATGGGATATATTCTGCATGTATATCAGTTGCGGGGCCAAGTATGCGGATGGAGAAACGGCTGAGTAGGTACCTATGGTCCTCGCTATTTTGAGGAAAGGACTGTCTAGGGGGTCCAAATGACAAGTACGATGCAATAAATCGAACTGGAAGAGCTAACTTTATGATCTTATAATCACACCGAATTCAAGGAAGTGATTAAATGTTCAATGCGGGCGAGATCGGACTTTCCTATTTGGGCGAAGTACGATGGTACCATTGGGCGGTCTATAGAGCGGTCACTCAATTTACTATTCTGACGGATTTATTTTCCACCACGACACCATACAGATTACAGAGTGCTAAAAAGCATGAAGAAGGCAGTAGTTGTGACATTTAGTTTTTGATCACTAAGGTTACAGCACGGATTTAACTAGCAGACTTTCCACAAGGAATAGCTGGCATGACGACGTCACTCAAACAGGAAAAAAAGGGGTTAGGGTTGAGACGAGCTGGAATCTAGTTTTAGAATGCGGGACCTCAACAAGAGCGTGAAGACCAAATTGGTACAGAAGTACAAGGCGAGAAAGACAACATTCAACACCAATTCATAAGATGAGTAAATTTTCAAAATTTCCGACAACTCCGAACATGTAGGTGGTAGCAGAAATACCAGATAATGTCCACGTCCCGCCTGACGAGATGCAATGCAACCACGGCCCGATGATGTATGCAAGAATGCAATAATGCAGCGGAAAAGAAACAAAACAATCTTCTAGCATGCGGCTGGGGAATACATCACGTAATGCAATATGCAGGTGCAAGATCAAGATCAAAGTCAAAGACCGATACAAGACAGATATGAAACTATTAGAAACATTCCCATTCACAAAATACACACCATCGCGCGACACGGTCCGCTAGGACTAGGCCTCGCCAGACACCACGTTCACCAATCTTGATAACCGTCTCCCATACACTGCCATCGGCAGTACACTCGCTGGGTGAGTCAGAGAGGTTCGGGCTGCTAATCATGTGGTCAGCTTTCCGCGTAAGCCGCAGAATCTTACCAGAGGGCGATTGGATTGCGAGCTTAGCAGGCTTTTCTCGTCCAGAGCCGGAGCGTGTAGATGAGATTGCCGAGGTTGAGGCGGAGAACTCATTAGACACTGTTGACACAGTCGAGCCTCCAGCAGAGCTTGAAATCATACTGAGTGCACTCGCTGGCCGAGAAAATACCGACGGAGAGACACGGCCACTGAAGCTATTTTCGGTACTCGCTGGATGGGGGGTAGGCGAAGAAGGATGTTGGCGGACAGCAAAAACAAATGTGTTGTTGACGGCCAATTTAGAGCATTGGGGCTGAATAATGTACAAGTCATGGCGCTGGGCATGGGGGGTCGGGTGGCGTAGGACAAACTCGTAGGGAGGGTTCTCTCCTGCATGAATGATGGGAAGTGCAAAAGCAAGTGGGTGAGGAATATCTCGGCTGGTGTGCATGAGTCCCTTTCGGCCCGCATAGACTTTGACCATGCCCTGCCCTTCATCGCCCGGCAAAACAGCTTTGACAGTTATGCGCTTTTGACCGTTAACCCACTCAGGTTGGACTAGCGCTCGTTTGCGCACAATCTCTCCGCTTTCGAAGAAGTCCCCGTCGGCGTCACAGTCGAATGCAGGCGCCTCGACTTCTGCAGCACATTCGACATCTGCTGGAACTAGGAGGCGAACTTGGAGGACCTCCAAGCCTTCCAGTCGGAAAACGCTAGTGTCATAATCCGGGAACTCCATGCCCATCTTAAAATATGTGGGACACGTCGTCGGGAGCGCGAGGAGAACATCCGGAGAAATAGGAGGGCAAATATGCTGTCCCTCCGGCTCAAGCGGGACATGTGTATAACAGAGCTCGAGAGGCCGAGTTAGAAAATACCAAGGCTCTGCCGTTGCAGCGTTGATTGTTATAAATTGGTTTCTTCGAGGGTTCGTTGGACTTGCAAGGGAACAATCCATGAAGCGCCATTCGCCATCCACGAGCACCGCATTCCACCAATGGTTAGGGCGCGAAAGGCTATCCATCTCGAACATCTCGCCTGGAGTTTTGAGGAAGCCTTCAATTGCCTCGGCATGCAGGCCAACCGCTGCGCACATCTCCCGGACAAGATAGGCGACTTCCTGAGCGCAACCTCTCTTAGTTTGTAGAACACGCTTCAAGTCAATCTCAACTTCTTCAATTGGCTCGTCCCACGCGATCTTCTCGCTCACCCAAGTAAAGATAGCGCGTAGCCTTTGGACATCGCTCTTGTAGGGGCGACAGACATAGCCTTGGGCGAGACTCATCGGATTGGTCAAGGGTGGGAGACTGTTGACGAAACGTGCGCTTTTGTCGACGAGGGTAAGGTTGACGTTGCCAAAATCCGTGGGCTCTCCGATGGGAAGACCATCGATACTCTCTTCCCCTTCTGCAGTCTCGTACAGCTCTTCTACTGCATAGATCACTGGGTGATCCATCATTTGACACCTCTCTGCCCTTTCGACCCTTTCATTTCGACTAGGAGAGGTTGCACGATTAACATCGCGCCGAACCTGTACCCAATCTATTGGACCATTGCCCATTCCCATCTCACTTGCAGCGGTTTCTCGATGCGAGTGCGAGGAAAGGATTGGCGAGATCGCCCTTCCTTTAGTGGGAGAAAAGGAGCCCCCGTTTTGTCCAACGGCAATGCTGCTCCTAGCATTAGCGGCGCCAGTTTTGGCTGATTCAAGTATCTTTTTGAAAAACCCCTGCTTCTTTGCTTTAGGGGTGGCCAGCCCTCCAAATACGCTGTTTGGTTCCTCTGGGGTGGTGGCCGAAGATGACCAAGGGATGGCAGAAGAAGCTCCCTGCCGAGAAGTATTGTGGCTCGAATGGTAGGATATGCCGCTCATTGGTGATTCCGGTCGTGACATTCGTGCGAGATCGCTGAAGCCCCTTGACCGGAAGGTGTCGACTGCAGTGTTAGGCCTCTCCCCTGCTCCAGTCCCTCGTTTGGCATAGCTTCCGGCGCTTGTCGCGCTGAAACCACCAGCAGAAGCACCGCTCATTAGACTTTGATTCGTTTTGTCCGTGCTAGAAGTCTGATTGGTGCTGTTGCTTTGCACGCCACTGGACGAGTTTGTTGCACTCGACTTATTGGTAAAACTCCGATTTAACATATCATTTCTGAGATCATTCCCGGATCGCCTACTCCTCAACGAGGGCAGATGAGTGGGTATGGAGTTATTTCGTCCATGATATGCCGCATGTTTTGGTGGTGGCGGAGGAGGCATATCATCATCTTCTTCATCTTCGTGCTCACCTGCATCACTTGCCGGGGGGTGTATATCTTCAGAGCCTCGACGGCCTTGCTCTTGCATTTGACGGAGCCGGCTTTCCATACGTTGCACGTAGTTATTGATTTGCGGTGGACCCTCAAGGAAAGGATCATGTGTGTAGACACTGTTCCTATGGACTGAGTCACTGTTGTAGTATCTCTTTCCCGTATCGAAGCCCTGAGACGTCAAAGGCCGATTATTTGTTTGCGGCTGACCATTATCGTGGAGCGACCCGAAAGCGTCCGGTGACCAGGGATTATTAAACTCAGGTTGGGGGGAAGGCGAGGGTGAACCCTTTGTCATTCCCATGTCTTCAAGTGAAGTCATTACATCTTCCATGGCATCGCGCAGTGGCGAAGGCGTTTGCCCATTCGCATCTGAATGGGCAGCTGGCGAAGGCGTCCTTGCAAAGACAACATATCGATCATTCATATCTAATTGATGTGGTATGGTCGGATCTGCGGAGTGTTGACGTTGGACTGCAACTCTATGAGGTGGGGGTGGAGGTGGTGGGGAGTCTTCGCGTTCCGCCAACTGCAGAGGAGAAATTTCTCGAGACGCTCGGTGTGATAGTTGCATGTGATTGTGCACGGGTACCGAAGGAGATAGTGGTGAGTGGTGCGCGATCTCGGGAAGTTGAGGTCGAGGAGACCTTGCACGGGGTGTTGACTGCGACATTTGGGCATAATTGTGCGTAGGGACTGAGGGCGATATAGGACGTTGCGCGATGTTAGGAAGCTGAGGTTGAGGGGACACTGCACGGGGTGAAGAGCGGCTATGCACCGGGATTGAGGGATATAGAGGCGAATGATGCGCGATTTCAGGAAGCTGAGGTTGAGGAGACATTCCCCAGGGTGGCGCGTGCATCGATTGACCGCGACTATGCACAGAGGGTTGAGGCTGTGGGGATGCTGCACGAGATGGAGGCCGAGAGCGTGAGCGACCAGGAAGATCGTGTTTCTGGGGAGATGGCTCTTGCGGCGGACGTGGTGAAACTCCCCGGGACGGAGGCCCAGATATTGACAGAGGCCGCGACAGGGAACTCTGCTGCTTGACTCCGCTAGTCGGGGTGCGCATTGGCTTCGTCCGCCGAGAAAGACTACCATCTCGCGGAGGAGTCTGGGGTATCGTGCTACCGACAGGAGACGAAGACGGCGAGCTTCCTCCAGAAGGCGCAAGAGCCTCCTTGTGCGCCTGGAACGGCTTTCGGAAGACAGTCTTCTGCTTCTTTGGAGCCGACGTGGGATTTGTGATAGGAGAGGCAGCTGAGGGGGCCATAGGACTAATTGACCGGCTGACTGGGACAAAATTCTCCTCTAGCAGCTGGACAAAGTTGGAGGGAAATAATCCCACCATGCGGCGGTCTCTCCGCAGCCGACCCGTCCACCATTGACCGTCCCCCGCATTTAGACATTCAATCAAGTCACCTTCCACGAACCCAAGATCGCGTTTCGTTTCTCCTCCCCACGAGTATACCGCTCGACACCAGCAAGGAAACCGGGTCGGAAGCTGAGGCGTAGTGGGCGCCATCGCAACGGCTAGGAGGTGTTAAAGCGCTCGCGATAATGCTGCGAGTGTATAGCTTCTGTGGCGACAAGTGACGGAACTAAAAGAATGGCGTGCGAATCGCTCAATTGGGCTGGTATGGAGTTGCTCTATCTGACCCGTCACTCTGGGGAAGCACAGCAACTGGAGGATGGGTGGGCTCAAGACCGGAGAGATAAGCTAGGGAATACAAACATGGTACTGAGGAGAAGCGGAGAAAAGGGAGCCTGAGAGACGAAGGGAAACACGGGCGGGAGTGAAATTGCGAAACAACACCCGCCCTGCTGCCAGTCAGTCGAGGCTTAGAGAAATAAAAAAGAAAAGAAAAGAAAAAGGGAAGAGAGGAGAGAGTGGAAGAAGGGATGGCGAGGCGAGCTGAGAGTTGGAGGAACAACAGACGGTGACGCCCGAAGTGCCAAATGTTTTGCTGGTTGACTGGGCTGAGGCCCGTGTTTACGTGGGCGCCTGTTCGGGACTAGCGCGCCGCCTCTATCGATAAGCTTATGCTGGTCCCCAGCTTTCTGCTTCTCCTCCCTCTCGAGTCCCCCATCAACACTTCCACAGCTCTTGTTCTCTCTGGCCGTCAGATCCATCAGTTCTATCAGTTTATACCCATGAAACAAATTCCAAATGAAAGTGCACCAGCTTTCTATACAGTCATTGCCCGCAAAGACCCTGACTTGCCAAGCCGCCAGAGCCATACTAGCAGACCCATGGTTCTTCGATCCCGCTCAAGCACCCATGGTCAGGCTCCCATTCTGCTGGAAAGCCTGGAATGTGCGCTTAAGCTCATCGGAGGGTAACGTTTTCCAGCACCGGCACCGACTGACGATTACTTAGCATTTTTGTTTTTGACACGAACCGAGGTGATTTCACGTCGACGCTAACGGACGGCCATGGATGCTAAGTTGAACCGCGCCTTTATTCGTTTTGCACTAGTGGGCACTGACCGAAGCACGTCACTTCGTACCCCGGTCGTGCTCTGAAATATTATTGACAATAATGGCGTTCGTGTCTCTGATGCGTTGATCGCCACCAGTCCCGGAAAAGCCGCATACCAAGCACAACAACCAGCATAGCAGCGGCGGGTCGGAGCATTCTCTCTTACGCGGCATATAACTCACAAATTTAACTAACATAAATGCTGACTTCTTAATCGGCTCTTAATCGGCTTTGGATTCTCAACAACTGGTACATCTTTAAAAGTAAACCGGTTTTATTGGGGAAATAAGCTGTTTTTTTGATCCAAGCGCAGGAGGGCGGACATAAGGAATCCCTCCTGCCTGTGATGCTCCAAACCTTGACACATGCAGGGCAATGGACTGCCCCCATTAATGGCTCGCAAATTATTTAGGACTGAAATCACCAAAAATAGGCCGGCATGTCGTCAACACGAGCCAGAAAGCACAATTTAGAGAATGGATTATGTTTGATTAGCGCGAGTGAATTCGACCACGTCTTCCACGACATGACCGGGTGATTGCTTGACTACCTATGCGCATGGACCCAAAATGATTATGCTTACGACAGTCTCATGTCATCCTCCCTGCGGTCTAGGTGGTTTCTCTACGCAATTCACTTTCAAGCTCGCCAACGGCGCTGTGGGTTCGGGGACGCTGGCGACTAAGGTATATGCACAATCATGTGGGCATCGCAGCGTTACACAACTACTGTGCGCATGTAGGTTTCACTTTGGCGGCCATTCTATTATTGGTCATCCGCGAGCTGTCATGCCCGTGCCAAGTTTTTTTTTTTTTTTTCTTAGCAGTGATGACGTTCCAGGATTTTGGGATGCGTTATTCCCCGACGACGTTGAATGTAACCCTAAGGAGAATCAGCCAATAGTCAGACGGATTTCGCCCATTATGATGTTCCTACATATTCCCAATTGTCAAACTTAACAATGTGGGACCATGAGAAAGTCATGCGGATCACTATTCCGCGGTTGAATGTGGTCGAATATCTGATTACTAGGCCGGGAGCTCGTTGGCGATCTGCCATGCTTCAGTCTATTGTCATATCGACCAGCACATGGAAGACCGTGCCAATTTCCCTTCCTGGGACTGTTGCAGCTGGGGTTTCATAACGTTTCAGGCTGTTTATGCCCACCATTATTTCATTATTTCCTGTATTGCCCATGTCATCTCCTTACCTGCCTATCCACTTGGCTCAAGCTACACTCCCACTTATTATGATGATTAAAAGTCGCATGTTTTACCTTTAAACTAAAGTCTCTTATATATATATATATCCAAAATTAAATTTCAACTATTTTAAAGATATGATATATATTAATTTTTCCTCGCCTAACGCTGTTCCATCAAAGAATCTGCCAGATTTGCATGGAAAGCCCTAACACCGCGATCCCGGAACCGTGCGGCTGTCCTTTCCGCAATGATAAACAAACTTACGATGTGGCTGAACTTTCCATGCACTAAGGCAGCGCGAACCCATGGCAAGGGCGGCGGGAACCCGGGCTCTCCCCGATCTAGATCTCTCTCTTCACAGCACGACCAGGAAGAAGCTCTAACCTCGGGCCCGCAATGGTGGCGGTGGCATTAGAACAGGCTGAACTAGATGTTTCCCCGATGCTACCTCGAATATGTACTCGAGAGTAGTATAGTAAGTGATGCGTTCAGTCGGCCGGTCGAATGGGGGCCGAACTATGAGCAATGGCCCACCTTCAAGCGACGGCAGCTTGCGCAATATAATATAAAGTGCGCCGCTCGCCAGAACCCACGGCTCACCCAGGTACTGGTTTGAGTTGGACTTTGTGGCCCGCCAAACAACCTGTGACTTCCCATCACCTGACTATGGAAGACCTGTATCGCGTCTATCTCTTCGGAGATCAGACAAGTGACTTTGAAGTTGGCCTTCGTCGCTTGTTACAGGCAAAAGATCACACGATTGTTTCCTCTTTCTTCCAAAAAAGCTACCATGCATTGCGTCAAGAAATATCTAGCCTTTCGCCATCTGAGCGCAGCATATTTCCACGATTCACGAGTATTGTGGATCTATTGGCAAGAAACTGCGAATCCCCAGGTAACCCTGCTCTAGAGAGCGCGTTAACTTGTCTCTATCAACTGGGAAGTTTTATCAAGTATGTTACAAGCAAGTATCTATGAGCTCTGCACTACCAACTAATGCTGACCATTGGCAGTTACCACGGTGACCTTGGCCATGCATACCCTTCAAATGCAAGCACCCAGCTTGTCGGGCTGTGTACGGGGCTACTCAGCTGTGCCGCTGTTAGTTCTTCAAGCAACATCGGAGAGCTCCTTGCACCGGCGGTCGAGGCAGTTGTCATTGCCCTCCGACTGGGCTTGTGTGTTCGCCGTGTCCGAGAGCTAGTTGATCAAGAGATGGCAGCACCGCTCAGCTGGTCGGCTTTGGTGTCTGGCATTAACGAGGCTGACGGGATGGACCTTATTTCCGACTTTAATATTCAAAAGGTGAGTTTTCCTCTCTCTCTTTATATGTATACATATGTATACTCGCAAATCGAGGATATTTCGATACTGACGAATTCTAGGCTATTCCTCCGTCTTCTCGGCCATATATCAGCGCAGTCTGCGCAAACACTCTGACCATCAGTGGCCCTCCAGCTGTTCTCAATCAGTTCTTGGATACTACTATATCAAAGCAAAATAAAGCTATTAGAGTGCCAATCCATGGGCCGTACCATGCCTCCCACCTGTACGATGACCGTGACGTGGGGAGGATCCTCGAGCACTGCGATACAGACCTTGTATGCAACCGTCAACCGCATATCCCAGTCTTATCAAGCAACACTGGGGAACTAATTGCCGCCGAGAGCATGAGAGACTTTCTGAAAGTTGCTTTGGAGGAGATTCTACTCCGACAAATGTGTTGGGACAAGGTAACAGATTCATGCGCGGCGATCTTGAATTCGGTCAAGGAGCGTACAAGCAAGAAGCTGCTGCCAATCTCTACCTCAGCTATACAAAGTCTGTTTAACTCGCTCAAGAAAGAAAACATATCCAATATAGACGTGGACGGAAGTGTCACCGACATCACAGGTCCTGGCCCGGCCAACAATCACACCGGCAGAGCAGAGCTTTCCAAGATAGCCATCATTGGAATGTCAGGACGGTTTCCTGATTCTGACAGTCCCCAGGACTTTTGGAATCTTCTGTACAAAGGGCTTGATGTACACCGAAAAGTTCCTGAAGACCGATGGGATGCCGATGCACATGTAGATCTCTCTGGCACGGGAAGAAATACAAGTAAAGTCCAGTATGGATGCTGGATCCGGGAGCCTGGTTTATTTGATCCTCGATTCTTCAACATGTCGCCGCGCGAGGCGCTCCAAGCAGACCCTGCTCAGCGGCTCGCGTTGCTGACAGCTTATGAGGCGCTAGAAGGGGCCGGCTTCGTCGCAGATAGTACACCCTCCACACAGAGGGACAGGGTTGGCATCTTTTACGGAATGACAAGTGACGACTATCGCGAAATCAACAGTGGCCAAGATATCGATACATATTTTATTCCAGGCGGCAACCGCGCTTTCACACCTGGGCGCATCAATTATTACTTCAAGTTCAGCGGCCCTAGTGTTAGTGTTGATACGGCATGCTCTTCCAGTCTTGCTGCGATTCACTTGGCTTGCAACTCTATCTGGAGGAATGACTGCGACACGGCCATTTCTGGTGGCGTGAATATCCTGACCAACCCAGACAACCATGCTGGTTTAGATCGTGGCCATTTCCTTTCCAGGACCGGGAACTGCAATACATTCGACGACGGTGCGGACGGCTACTGCAGAGCAGACGGGGTTGGAACAGTTATCCTTAAACGGCTCGAGGATGCTGAAGCCGATAACGATCCGATTATTGGTGTCATCAACGGCGCATATACAAACCATTCAGCAGAAGCGGTCTCAATTACCCGCCCCCATGTGGGAGCCCAGGCCTTTATATTCAATAAATTGCTCAACGAGGTGGATGTTGACCCTAAGAGTGTTAGCTATATTGAGATGCATGGCACCGGTACCCAGGCAGGAGATGCAGTGGAAATGCAATCGGTCTTGGACGTCTTTGCTCCCGATCATAGACGTGGTCCAGGGCAGTCGCTTCACCTTGGCTCTGCTAAGTCCAATATTGGACATGGAGAGTCTGCATCCGGGGTGACTTCTCTTGTCAAGGTGCTATTGATGATGAAGGAAAATATGATACCGCCACATTGTGGGATCAAGACCAAAATCAACCACAACTTCCCAACCGATTTCGCCGAAAGAAACGTCCATATTGCCTCCCAGCCGACTCCTTGGAACCGCCCACCATCTGGGAAACGTCGCATGTTTCTGAACAACTTTTCCGCCGCTGGTGGAAATACTGCTCTCTTACTTGAGGATGCTCCTATTGCAGACCGGGACGAACATGATCCTCGACGAGTACATATCGTCTCTGTATCTGCACGATCTCAGACTGCTCTTAGGAATAATATTGAGTCACTCATCCAGTACATGAGCGACCAAGAGAAGACCTTCGGGGTCAAGGAAAGCACCATCCTTCCGAGTTTGGCGTATACTACCACCGCGCGTCGCACTCATCATCCTTTCCGGGTCACTGCTATAGGGTCCAGCCTACAAGAGCTGCGTGATTCCCTACGTGGTAGCTCTCAGAAAGATGTCACTGCGGTGCCTGCTAAGACTCCTGGCATCGGGTTCCTTTTCACAGGCCAAGGTGCCCAATATGCGGGAATGGGCCAGCAGCTGTACGAAGGCTGTTCCCATTTCAGGTCAACTATCCAGCACTTTGACTGCATCTGTCAAAGCCAGGGCCTTCCTTCTATCCTCCCTCTTGTTGATGGCAGCGTACCTTTGAGTGAGCTGAGCCCTGTTGTGGTGCAAGTCGGAACCACATGCGTGCAAATGGCCTTGACCAGTTTCTGGCGGTCCTTGGGTATAACCCCTTCATTTGTTTTAGGGCATAGCCTAGGTGATTATGCTGCATTAAATGCTGCTGGCGTGTTATCTACCAGTGATACTATATTCGCTTGTGGCCGTCGAGCTCAGCTTCTTACAGAGCAATGTCAACCCGGGACACACGCCATGCTGGCAATAAAAGCTCCACTTGTTGAAGTCAAGAGATTCCTGACAGAGGGCGTCCATGATATGGCTTGCATTAACTCGCCTTCGGAGACTGTTATTAGCGGAACCAAATCAGCCATCGATGAGTTGAGTCAGGATTGCTCAAAGCAAGGATTAAAGTCAACAGTCTTGACTGTGCCCTACGCTTTCCATTCTGCTCAAGTTAACCCCATACTTGGGACCCTCGAAGAGACCCTACAGGGAATCACTTTCAACAAACCATCGGTGCCCTTTGTTTCAGCTCTTCTCGGAGAGGCGATCACTGAAGCCGGCCCGGATTTCCTGAATGCAAAGTACTTGATAAGACATTGCCGAGAGACCGTCAATTTCCTAGGTGCATTTGAGGCACTAGGGAATGCAAAATTGAAGAATGACCAGACTCTCTGGCTCGAGATTGGCCCGCATACGATCTGCTCAGGCATGGTAAAAGCCACGCTTGGACCACAATCCAACACTCTTGCATCCCTTCGACGCGAGGAAGACACATGGAAGGTCCTCTCGACAAGTCTTTCTAATCTTCACCTCGCGGGTATTGGCATCAACTGGAAGCAATATCATCAAGACTTCAGCTCTAGTCATCAAGTTATCCCACTTCCTGCTTACAAGTGGGACCTGAAGAATTATTGGATTCCCTACAAGAACAACTTCTGCCTCACCAAGGGTGCTCCTGTGGCTCCTATTAGTGCTCCCACGGAGTCCAGCTTCTTGACCACTTCTGCACAGAAAGTTGTGGAGAGTCGTGATGAGGGAGCAACAGCAACGGTAGTGGTGCAAAACGACATAGCAGACCCAGGCCTAAATCGAGTTATACAGGGCCATCAAGTCAATGGAGCAGCACTTTGCCCCTCGGTAAGCGCCAGCGCGGGAAACCATTCCTATATTATAATACTAACCTACTTGGAAGTCACTCTATGCAGATATTGCCCAGACTTTGGCAGATTATCTGATCGAAAAGTATAAGCCAGAACTTAAGTCTTCGGGCTTGGATGTATGCAACGTGACTGTCCCCAAGCCCCTCATCGCAAAGACCGGAAAGGAGCAATTCAGAGTATCCGCTACTGCCAATTGGGCAGATAAATGCGCATCGGTCCAGGTTTACTCTGTTACACCAGAAGGTAAAAAGCTCATTGACCATGCCTCCTGCGAGGTCAAATTCTTCGACTGCGCGGCGGCCGAACTGGAATGGAAGCGAAGCTCTTATTTGGTCAAGCGCAGTATCGAGCTTCTGGAAGCCAATTCTCTTACAGGAGGCACCCATCGCCTGCAAAGGGGAATGGTCTACAAGCTCTTCAGCGCTCTGGTCGACTATGATGAAAACTATCAGTCAATCAAGGAAGTTATTCTTGACAGTGAGAACCATGAAGCCACCGCTTTCGTCAAGTTCCAAGCACCACCAGCCAATTTCCATCGGAACCCTTACTGGATCGACAGTTTCGGCCATCTCTCTGGGTTTATCATGAATGCCAGTGATACTACAGACTCTAAAAACCAGGTCTTTGTTAACCATGGATGGGACTCTATGCGATGTGTGAAGAAGTTCTCACCAGATGTCACTTACCGTACCCATGTGAGAATGCAGCCATGGCGTGACTCCATCTGGGCAGGCGATGTCCACATTTTTGAAGGGGATGATGTCATTGCTGTGTTTGGGGGTGTTAAAGTAAGAGGCACACATACTGGCCTGATAGATGACCGACCACTGACACTTGCCAATAGTTCCAAGCCCTGTCGCGACGAATCCTGGATACTGCTCTTCCGCCAGCAGGCAGCTCGAAGGCGCGGAGCCCAGCGGCGCAGCAGACTTCAGCGCCCAAGAAGCCTGTGCAGGCGGAAAAAGCAAATGCCAACAGGCCAAAGCCTCCAATGGCCATGAAATCTTTTGCCAAAAGAACTGCTGGTCCGAGTGTTGTCGTACGGGCACTCAGCATCTTAGCATCGGAAGTAGGGCTTGCAGAATCCGATATGTCGGATGATCTGGTTTTTGCAGACTGCGGTGTCGACTCGCTGCTTTCGTTGACTGTCACCGGCAGATATCGTGAGGAGTTGAACTTGGACTTGGAGTCATCTGTCTTCATCGACCAGCCCACGGTCCGAGACTTCAAGGGACTGGTGGCTCAAATGAGTCCGGCTGAATCAACTGACTCGTCGTCCAGTGAGCATGAGTCCGAATTCTCATTCAACGGCGATATATCTTCAGGGGAATCAGACCCCGCAACCCCTGGCATTACTTCGCCGCAGAACGAAAAAGTCGTTCAGGTTCAAGAAAGTGGCGCCATGAAAGAGATTCGAGCCATCGTGGCCGACGAAATTGGTGTTCCAGCAGAAGAAATAAAGAGCACCGAGAACCTAGGCGAAATGGGAATGGATTCGCTTCTTTCTCTTACCGTGCTAGGTAGAATTCGTGAGTCGTTAGACATGGACTTGCCGGGTGAGTTCTTTATCGAGAACCAGACACTCGATGATGTCGAAGTCGCCCTGGACCTGAAACCCAAGGCTGCTCCAGCTCCCACCCCGGTGCCACAGACTATTTCCATGCCAGAGACAGGCCCAACCAAAGAGCTGAACACTCAACCGGCAACAAGTAGCCATCCATCGGCAACTTCTATCTTATTGCAGGGAAACCCGAGGACCGCTACAAAGTCTCTTTTCCTCTTCCCCGATGGCTCCGGTTCCGCAACATCATACGCCACTATCCCAGGTGTCTCTCCCGACGTTTGCGTGTACGGACTGAACTGTCCATACATGAGAACGCCGGAGAAACTCAACTGCGGGCTTGACGAACTCACAGGGCCATACTTAAAGGAGATCCGTCGACGACAGCCAAAAGGCCCCTACAACCTTGGTGGGTGGTCTGCAGGCGGCATATGCGCGTACGACGCCGCACGAACCCTAATCCTCAAGGAAAGTGAGGAAGTCGACCGTCTCCTCCTTCTCGATTCGCCATTCCCCATTGGACTCGAGAAGCTCCCGCCCCGTCTCTACGGCTTCTTCAATTCCGTCGGTCTCTTCGGCGAAGGCAAGGCCGCACCCCCAGCCTGGCTGCTCCCGCATTTCCTAGCCTTTATTGATTCCCTAGACGCCTACAAGGCCGTCCCGCTCCCCTTCGACGACGAAACATGGGCTAGGAAGATGCCAAAAACGTACATGGTCTGGGCTAAGGACGGAGTATGCTCCAAGCCCGATGATCCATGGCCCGAGCCAGCGCCCGATGGAAGTAAGGACCCCAAGGAGATGGTCTGGCTGCTAAGCAACCGCACAGACCTTGGTCCGAACAAATGGGATACACTGGTGGGGCCGCAGAACATCGGCGGCATTACGGTCCTTCAGGGCACGAATCATTTTACGATGACAAAGGGTGAGAAAGCGAAGGAGCTTGCGGCTTTCATGGCAGATGCTCTGGGTGCTTAGGCAGAGCTCATGCTGTGGTAGCGACATATTTTACTAATATTCTATGATTTTTACGGCCGGAGTTACTGCTATTGCTTTCTTTCTTTTTTTTTTTTTTGGTGGTTGAAAATGTTTTTCCAATGAATGATACGTCACCCACTGCCCTAGGCAAACTACTTAATACTTAGTGATTGTGCTATAATAGTTAATGAATACCACTGTCGATTTGAACTGCACTTGCCGTCTATTACTTAGCCGCCTGGACGTTAACCACTAGGTATGGAATTGACAACTACTCGCTGACACCTGCACATACGCCACTATCAGCCTATCTAATACCATTGGAAAAAAAAAAAAAAAAAAAAAAAAAAAAAAAAAAAAAAACCGAAGAGTCCGGTATTTCGACCACTGAAATCGGTTGGGAATAGGACATGGTCCATACACATACGCGCCACGGGCGCGGACGGGGATGGAACGTAGCATTCTACAGAAACTCAAACGCCGCTGAAGTCGATGAGATGTCATAGTCCATAATAGAGGCTGGTTGTCTCGGAAAAGTTGTTTGTTGAGTAGCTGGGAAGGGGACATTCATTCCTCTAAGTAATCGTCATAGAGTGCAATAGTGGAGCGCCAAACGTTGACAAAGACAAAAAGGGAAAAAGGAAAATAAAAAACAGAAAGGGTAAAAGAAAAGACAATTCGCCACTCTAAACATTGGGAAGTTCCACCATACATGTATTGATTGCAGGGTTGAAAGTCGGAAATTTCGATGGAGTCGGTAGGCATTGTAAAGGTTCATAGAGACATCTCAGAGCTAAATCTAAGCGCGCTACCACGACCCGGGAAGTTTGAGCCATTGTTATTCAGCCCCGGGCTTGTTGGGCGGCTGTGATTTCCCGCACTTAATTTTGGACTTCTTGGTTGTGTGCTCGTTGAGCGAGTGGATGGGCGGTTTTTGCGGATTTCGCGGAGCTCATCTTCTTTCTTGTGAAGCAGATACTCGCGCGATGACAGTTGTGCTTCTAGTTCTGCGATACGGGATAGGTGGTGGTTCTCATCGTTCTTTAGGTTCATTTCTCGTAACCGGGATGCTTCACCAGCAACCTTGCGAGTGAGCTCCTCGTTTTCTTCCTTGAGCTGGCGGAGTTCGTTCCCAGACTGGGCGGCGACGTTGGAGGCAGTTTGGTATTGCTCTCGGGTGTATTCGGCCTGCTTGTTGGCGAAGTCGGCTTTTCGCTCTAAGCTTTCATTCGCTTTGGTAAGACGGCGAACTTCCTCCCTTGCCTTTTCCAATTCAGCCATATCACCTCCGCCATTCTTAAGGGTCTCCCGTGCTTGTTCCAAGTCCAGCTTCAGTTGACTACGTTCGTCCTTCAGCTTTGTGATATCTTCTTTCTGTTTCTCCACTCGTTGTTCGGATGCTGACTTGGTCTCAAGCAAACGGTCACGTTCCTGTCGAATCTTATGTAGATCATTTGTTCGGGATTCATAGCGATGCTGCAGCGATCCGAGGATTTTCTCTCTCTCTTGTAGGCGAGACTCGGCTGCAGCTAACGCTTTCTGGAGCGTCTCAAGGGCAGCCGCATCCTCACTTTTCTTTTGCACCATGCTCTTCTCCAAAAACTGTATTTGGCTTTCCAACGTTTGTGATGCTCCCTTCGAACTGTCGGTGAATTGACTCGTATCTTGAGAGTCCTCCATTCTTGGCTTTTTAGAGCTGGGTTCAATGGACTCCTCAGCCTGCTATACTGTTAGTTAACAGACATACAAGGACAGTGCTTTTGCAGCGTTTACTCACAAACAAGCGTTTTTGGGCCTGTGGGTTAGCGGGTTGGGCATTTTCACCGTCAGATTGGATGGGCGTTTCGGATTGGGAGGGTTCATCCAAGTGCGCTTCGCGCAGAGGCTCAACTGGAGGTAGCGACCAAAATGCATCGAAATTGTCAGAAAGCAGACATGTCATGATTTCGTTAGCATCTTCGTGTACACCTAGGGCATCATCCTGAAGATCCCCCACTATGTCGCGAAGTTCTAGGGAATACTGGATGAGCATAGAAAGGTGTTCGGTTGTTGAAGGACCCGGAAAACATAGTTCAACGTGCTCACTTGAGTTAGCGACCATGAGTCGAATAACCGGTAGCAGGTGTCCATTGCGAGCAAATGTCGTGCGCATATGTTCCACAGAGGGGTTCTTAATATTTAATGAGGAGTCGAGCGCAATCAATGCTGACGGAGCTTTATACGTTTCCACGATACTCTCACTCCTGGCTGTTTGGACCCCAAAACTTAGAGAACCCTTTACCATAGAAACTTCCGCATTGGTACCGCTGCCCATCTCCTCTCGTGGGCGTGTGTATTCGAATCCTTTGCCTTCAAGATAGTGTTCAAGAACCCTATGCGTTTTTTCGCCACGGATCATTATTACCAAATGGATATCATGGTCACCCGCTGCTTTGATAAGGTAGCTTAGCAGCAAGAATTTTGCACTTGAATATTCTGCCCAAGCAGCTTCCTGTTCAAGTTTCGATTCGGCATCTTTCATATGTTGTGCGACATTTATATCAGGATGGGTCGCCGCGTTGCTCAGTCGTTCCAGTACTTGCTGCATCAAGGATATAACACGTTCCTGCTGCAATTAGTGTCAGAGTGAGAAACGACACTAGGCACTCGGTCACCTTACCTCAGATCCTTCGTCTCCCGGTGGCCTGTCAGCGCCAATGAGCCCCAGAGCATTTTCCGAATCAGTCAAAAGTATTCGTTCATAGTCGTCCTTTACTCGTGAATCCATAGGGAGGGGCACAGCAAACTCGGAAGGGCCAAGATGGAGAGATCCTGGAGATTTCTCTTCTGTGTGGCTTATTGATAACGCGCTGGGGTGAATGGTCTGGATGTTATCATGCTCATGTTCCTGGGGCTCTGCCTCGTCAAGAGATGTTTCGGGCACTGATTCTTTGGTAAGGTCTGCGTGTGGGGGCTCCTTGTCCACCCTAACGCTGAGGGGCGCCACTGTTTCGGGTATGGAAGGCGGCTCAGAAGCTTCGATATCCCCCACAGACGACGGAGTTGCACTGGGGTCATTTTGCATGGGCTCAAATGCGCTCTTCTCGCGGAACCTAGCATGCAAATTCATTATCTTTTCTCGCGGTGTTGAACCTTCCATGTGGCTATATTTCTCCATTGCTTGGGCTAGGGAACCCCCTTCATCTTTCTGGGTTTGATCATCCATGGTACCAGATATGCGCGGCAGATGAATGGGTGCGGAGCCTTTATTTGGAGTGCTGGCGATCGATAGGAAGCCTGTATCTCCGATGGGACGCTGGGAAAGACGAGATAGACTATCTGAAGACGGCAACCTCCGTGTTGCGGATGGTTGTCGCGCGGGTGCGAGTTGAGAGAGGCCGAAAGTGTTGCTGGATATGTGTAGGGTATATGTAGTCGAAGATAGAGTATTCAAATGCGGTGATGTGTTCGCGGGAGCGGATTCTGGCACAGAAGTTGTATGTATGGAGGGGGGATACACAGGTCGGGGGTCAGGATTAGTACTAGAAGCAGGGTTCGGGCTTCCTGTCGATGTATGCGGATTGGATAGGTAATCTAGAGAGATATTGCTAAATGGGAGTTGGGTTGGGCCAGCCGATTGTTGAGAGCCAAATGTGGGAAATCGAGGACCTGCCCGCGGAATTTGGCTCTGTGATGCGGCAAATGGGATAGAGGGGGTTTCCGGGATCTCTGATCGAAGAGTAGCCTGCGCAGCTGTGGTCTGTCGAAATATCGCAAGACGATCGGAAATTTCCTCCGTCAGGTTCGAGTTCCGGGTCCCCGGTGTGAGCACTGTACCAGTAGTTGCTTCGCACTGCTCTTCAAATTCACCGGGGAGGCAGTATTCCGACAGAATAGGCGCTCTCGGATAGTACTCAAACACGTTATCACAATTTCCCCTGGTTGGGGCCTTTGTATTTGTTGGTTGACTTGCGCTCCGAGTAGTTAAGTTTGATGGTGGGGGTCCGTTGGTGTTTTGGGATTGCGCTTGCGACACAGAGTCGAGCGGAACAAACAACGGAGAGTCCAAGTTTTGTTGCAATACAGGCTCTCGTTGAGGAGTTTCAGCGTACTGGTGTGAGACAGCGCTATGCGGTTGCGATTGCGATTGCGATGAAGGTGGTTGGACCGAGGAACACTCGGAAACAAGCTGTGCTTCCCTCCTCTTCTTCTTCTTCTTCTCCTCCCAAACCTGTATCGCAAATTCACTGGCGTTGTCTTTCGGTTCCTGGAGAGTCAGGGATGTTAAACAATAATTCAGAATGGTACCAGGTTAAGTATCAAGGACCGAACCCACCCAAGTTGGCGAATAAGGTCCTACCCAATCAATCAAGTATTCTGATTGATTCTCGTCCTGAATACCCTTAATTTCTCACTCTTCGTCCGAAGGCTCGTCTTCGATCTCCTCTGTGCTTGTGTCCTCTTCGTCGCTGGAGGTGACGACGTAGTTGTGGTTCCAATTCTCTCTTCGCTTGGTGGGTGACGCTGTTGTAAACACTTGCGATGCTTTCCGCTTGCTGCGCATTTTATGCGTGCGGAGAAACAGCGCGGCGGTGTTGGGTCATGATGATAGGACTAAAAAGCTTGAAGGGAATAAACTATAAAATAAGCAGATAGCAAAACCCCGTGACAGGTCCGGGAAGAGAACAAAGGCCGAATCAACGGGGCAAGGCGAAGAGCAAACGGGATGAATGACGAGAGAGTATGGACTTTGGTTGACGGAGACGGAGAGCTTCACGGGTGATCGCCCGCACGTGACGTGTTATCAGCCCAACTCCACTTGCTATCCAAATTTCTGCTCAAGTGGGCAACACATTGGGTTTGAATGGGAAAAGAGAAAGAAAGAGGAAGCCGTGGAATCCACCAGACTCATCTTGGCTTTGTGGTGGCAATTTGTGTTATGGATCGAGTAAGGCGAACTTACACTTTGGCCTTCACCCCAGCGTTGTAAGGACATATATATAGATAGTTCATGTTCTACTAGTAAGATTCTATTTCGTTTCTAAATATACCAGCTCTACTTATTCATGGAAAGTGATCCTGCTCATTCCGCCACCTCCGGAAATCATACCCAAGCTGCTCAAGGGTTTTTATCGAGCGCCGCTCCTCGCCCTTGCTAAAGAAGGCCTTCCGCATTTCCGGGACCATCTCTCGCATCCATCTTTCTTTCTCACCCCAGCGATTGCATTGTTTGCCCTTGCCATCATTAGTAAGCCCAGAACGCGCCTCGGCTGTTAATGCCCAATCATAGAGCATGTTCATGTAGTCGGCATCCTGGGGAAAGGGCATAAGGTGGAAAGCTGGGCCATCGCCTTTCTTAGTGACGGCTGAACTTTCCCAATCCTCCATTTCAGCGGTAGACGGGAGGCTGAGACGACCGGACCACACGCGGGATAAGACAGCAGCCTGGTTCTCAGATAGCGGGAAAGGAATGATCCTCTGAGGCAGGACAGGGAAAACAAGGGTGGGGTCATGGATGTAGAAAAGGTGCTGGTAGGTGTTTTGTACCCTACGGCCGTGCGTAATGACGGGAGGATTAAGGGAAGATAAGAAGGGGAAAGAATAGAAGAACCCTGTGCAAAAGACAATTGCATCGATGTCCTGCTCGATCCTCCCATCTGCAAACCGGACGGCTCTCTCATGACTGCCTGGCGCAAGGAACTCAGTAATTTCGGGGTAATAGGCCTTTTCCGTGGTATCTGGGGGTGAAAGGTACAACTCTGTTCGTTGGGATGCAAGGACCTTCCCTTTGCACACTTCATTTATTTGGTTTCCAATATCAAGCCCAGAGGCGGAGCTTCCGACAACAATAACCTTCTTGTTATTGTAAGGAGTTGGCGAGTCATAGAATTTGGAGTGTGTAATGACACCTGCATAAGCCTTGTTCCAACTCACGATCCCTGGAATATCAGGTAGGTGTGGAACATCGAAATGGCCACTCGCGGCGACCACGGCATCATACGAGGCACTTGTTGATGTTCCATTGCGTAGGTTTCTTGTCGTCACTGTCCAGGCCGCTGTCCTGCTATCCTTTTGAACGTCTAACACCTGGGTCTCGAATTGAATGTGTTCTTTGATGTCTTCTCCATACTCCCTCACATAATCCTTCACGGTAGAGTGCCTCGGGAAGTTTTGCACTTCGGGTGGGAATTGCTTCTCTCCAAAGGCCATCAACTCCTTGGGCAGGTTGGTATCTAGAGTATCGTATACCGGAGAGATAAATGTAGGTTCTTGAGTATCCCTGGAAGCGTCTCTAGGAAGCCAGGACGGCTCCTCCAGTGGCGCATTCGGACTGAGCTGAGGTACTGGCGTGGGGACAACCTCTTTCAGGGCGCCTGGACTATAGTTCCACACCCCTCCCGTGAAGCTCCTTCGCTCAAAGACATCAATTGTGTCGAAGTATTTCTCAGCCAGTAGATACCTAGCGATAGATAAGCCGACGGCGATTATGGGAGGGGTTGGTTTGTATACTTCACCGAAGCAAGACCGGCCGGGCCAGCCCCGATGACGGCTATTCGACGAACGTGCTGGGGCAATGCCATTATTCCACTTGGTATCCGTATTCAGGGTCAATGGCCAGAATTTGAAGAAACGCCTTGAACGGGTTTGGAGACTGACTGTCCCCGATGCCACTAAAAATGGCGTGCGTCCCGATGCCGGACCATGATATCAAACCCCGCAGAGCTGGCTGCTAGGGGTCAGTTCCCTGGAGTAGTTATAACGGCATAATATATTACTCTAAAGGTACTTTTTGTCTTTTGATGTTTATAATGCTTCTTAGATATGATAATATTGTTGAAAACGCTTAAATACCCTGATAATATCCGCAATTGCATATTATGAGCAATAATACAGGTAATATTACGCCCACGGTACAACAGGATGGGCCGATCATTCATAAGCTCCGTTGATTGCGACCTGTAACCGCCGCCCAACGCGTCTTCAAAGACTGCATCCCGTCCTACAAACGCCCACCATTATTTTTAGCTCTCCCAGAACTTTCGCCGATCGAATATCCCACCTCACGGCGGATTGCGCAGCGCTCCAGACCAAGAATCATGAGAGAGATAGACTGATTCCTGGCGCCGACGATGGACACCAGCGACCAACCTTCAGCGCCGGAGCAAATAAGTTCAACAGTTATTCCGATTGCGCAGCTTTCCCCTGACGTTGATCGCCTTCAGCATAGCTCTATTCATGCTGTCGTAACGCTTCTATGGCCCTACTCGTCGTTTTCCAGATCCCTGACTCTCCTCCTAGCGGAGCCCGATTTTCGCCTTCGTCGATCGAATGGACAAGCAAAAGTATGCTTCCACGGAGATGTCGCGGAGGAGGTGGCTCGAACTCATATTGGTATTGGTGATACTGTGAACCTGAAACTTTCCGAATCAAGGTTTGCGAAGAACGATGCGGCGGCCCAAACACCTGGTAAAGGTGTTTCATGGGATGTGCACTTCGATACCTCCGCGTTTCTTGAGGTAATTCTTGGAAACACCCCACAGATTGTTGGCAATGTTCTTACCTGATATAGGTCTGGCGCGACTCCAAGCTCCTGTCAACGGTCAACCTCAACCGCCCCCGGCTTACACCCTCGCCCACGAATAACGTAGCGGAGTTCCCTAGCACACCTGCTCCAAGTACACCTGTTCCCAATGGCGTTACCGACGCATCCGGACCCCTTGGTTCAACATCATGGCAATCTCCAGCCTTTCTAGGGCGATCTCGAGCTTCGTTTCGTTTCACCGATCCCGCCATTGATCCTTTTGTGGAAGAAGATGGGACCGTCCCTGGGAAAGGAAGGAAACGACCAAGATTCAGTATGCGGAGCAACGAATGGCGCGTGATTGATGAACCAGAGAGCCCTAGAGACAAAGATTTACCGGAGGATTGGATGGCTATATTTGATGAAGACTTGGCGGACGGGTCGGATATTGGGGATGAAGCCGTTGCGCAAGACACCGAGGATAACGCGATCCCACCCTCAGAAGCTGTTCCGGAAAGTGCTTCAGCGGTAGATACCGATGTCCCCATGGAGGACGTTCGACCGAATACCTCAGCCTCCATACCACATGGACTTCCTGATCAGGACGACGTCCAATTTATCCGCCCTGGCTTTGCTCCGAGCAACATTCCTGCGCCCACCAAGCCGGGCGATTTAGACCATGGTCTCCATCTCCCAACCGACACGCCTCGCCTCCACCCAGTTCCCTCTCCTGGACTCCCATTCCCGTCCCCGATTACTACAACATCGAATACCCCAGTCGGATATTTTACAACAGCGATTGATACTGCCGCGGCGGCCGAGTCCGTTATACCTGCTGAGCCTGCGCCCGTGGAGACATCCGAACTAGATAATTCTCCCCCTCCGCCGCAAGACCTGACCGATACCGAACCGATACGTGTACATGAGGATGATGCGGTGACTGTATACACCGATGACGTTCAAATAGTTCCCGACTCAGTGACAGAGTCTAGCCCTCTACCAGGTGACAGGGTTGCTACAAGCGTGGTTATAGATGACGAAGAAAAGAGTGAAATGGAAGAGACATCGCAACGCGCTGCGTTAGGTTTTGCAGAAACAATCGCAACTGGGGCTCAAATAGAGGGCTCAGGATCTGAATTGGAGGAATATTCCGAAAGAGAACAAAGCGAAGAGGCAGAGAGCATTCATTCTCGGAGCTCAGGGCGGGAGGAATATCGGACGAGTGCGGAACGACTGGATCAAGAACCGGGAGACGAAAGTGACGAAATTTCTGCGACAGGGATCGACAATGAGAAAGTTGAGACGGAGCTCAAACGGGTATCTAAACAAGAGAGGCCTCACCTTGTCGAAAGCCAGACGTCCTCTCCAAGGCAAAGCAAAGATGTATCTGAGGAGCGTGACGATTCTGCTGTATACGATGTAGGGGACGGAATGAGCAACTACGATGAGGATGCAAGTGATCAGGCCTCGTACGAAGAAGACTACGAGGACGACGAACAAGAACGGCGCTCGGGCGAATACAGCTACTCGGAGTCTGAAGTCGAGTCAGAACACGAAGAGCAACCTCCCGCACAATTTACACCGAAGAACGCAGAACCAGAAATCATTGTTCTAGACAGTGACAGCGAGGATGAGTTAGCTGCTCCACGTCCCGTTGAACCAACTAGTCGAGAGGCGGTCGAATACTCAGATGAGGGCTCATATGACTCCGAGAACCAAAGTCGATTCGAGGAAGAAATACATGATGAAGAAGATGCATACAGCGATGAGATCGAAGAGGATGAGGACGAGTATGCTTATGGCCAAGGAGCAGAGGATGCCATGGATGATGATTTAGAAAGCGGGATTGAAAACCAGGAGGATAATCAGCACTTGGTGGATGAGCGATTTGAACCTAGTTGGCGCCCTGAGCCAGAGCAGGTGGACGAAGACATGCATGGCCATGGTCTCGCAGAGCATAAATTCGAAGAAACGCAGGAACATCTCGACATAGGAACGGGGGCGCTACCTGCTGAACCGTCATTGCACCCCGAGCAGAGTTTAGCGTCCAACGAGTTCGTTGAGTCGCATGAATACCTTGAAGATTTCCAGCCGGCCCCCGACTACTCGCATGGGCCAAACCATGACTCTCTTGATTATCTCGCCGCAGTCTCGGAATCCGCTGAACGCGTCCATGCTACTGCTGAACATGCTCATTCTGGTTATGCTATGGCAATTGATCCTACTCTTAGGGAGCCACAATATAACCTAGCGGTGGATGCCGATGCACAGCTCTATTCTAAGGAGCACCCAGCTGATAGTAATACGGACACTGGCCAGGAGCCACCCCAAAGCATATTGGAGAGAAACATGGCTTTCCGACTGGACGGCGCTGCACCGTCGGCAATTATTGCTACGTCTACAGAGGAAACTGGATATATGCCCGCTCAACAAGATAGGGCGCAATTGATGACTTCGGGAGCTTCTCAGCCGGTGGAAGCTGACCAACCCGAAGCTGGTCCAACTGAAACTTTGGGTGAAATGTTACCAACTCCAGGTTTAACCCAGGAAGCCCTAGCAAAACTGGAAACTGAAGAGCCACCACACACCCCAGCAGGAGTCAGAGAGTCCTCTGACATTTCAGAAAACCGAAGTGCTTCGCCCATTGTAGCTGTCAAGTCAGATAATGCTCCTGATACCATCAAAGTTGAAGAAAATGAGCCTGCGCCACCCGAGATTGTCTCCGAGATTGCGTTACCCGCGTCGCCTGATGAAGACCAAAAGCTTCAAGCCAGCATCGAGGTTGATCAGCAGTTTGAGGATGCCGTCAGTGGTGCGGATGATGTTTCAGTAGACCGCCATTATCCCGGCCTGCGAAGCAAGCTCTCCTATTTTGCACCTCTCGCCACGCTTATTGACCACTACAACGCGCTGGTGGACACAATCTCCGTCGCTGCCGAAGTTGGGCCCCCAATTAAAGCAGCGACAGGAAAGAAGGACTTTATCTTGAATCTCCAACTCACTGACCAATCCATGGCTGGTACCACCGTCTTCGCTCAAATATTAAGACCGTACAAGTCTGCCTTACCATCTCTCCAAGAGAGCGACGCCATCCTCCTTCGAAACTTCCGCGTGAAAACCCTCGACCACTCCGTCATACTCGTTAGCGACAGCACCAGCGCGTGGGCTGTTTTCTCTCCATCCTCCGAAGATGCAGAGATGACCGGCCCGCCTGTTGAATACGGTGCCGAAGAAAAAGAATTCGCTACTGACCTGCGCCAATGGTACGTAGAAGACGGGTTGGCCATGGTAGCGGATAACCAACTTCAGGCATCCGTGGGCAGGGAAAGCGATATCGAAACACCGACTAGTAGCGCTGCACAAAGCGATGCCGAAAGTATTGATTTCGCTTTACGCGAGGGAAGAGGGGATACGTCTTCTAGTCGAGGTTCGAGACGGAGAAAGTCCCACCGACGGATCACGATCCATGAATTGAGGGATGGCCGACGATATACGGAGGTCGGGTCTTCGCCTGGAAATAGCAGCATTCATGAACTTCGGGATGGGACGGTTTATGCCAATATGTGAGCGTTTTTGTGATTCTATGTGATACTTTTATTTCGGAGTTGGGAGATAATGGCTTACTGGTTTATTTGGATCTGTTGAAATACCACACTGCACAGTTGGTTAGAGATGTTCGTTCCACTCCGTACATATCAATTCATGTGTGTCGAAACAGCTTCATGGCATATGTAATCTATCTAGTAATATTGTCTAGCAGTATTGTCTATGACACTTTACATCTTCGAGTTCTTATCCCCTGCAAGAAAATCGATATTGATAGCCGCTTGTATCAACTGGTTGGCAATAGCTGTGGCCGGCGGCAATCTCAACGCTCCCTCCTTATACTCCGGCCCAGCAGCCTGATCCAAGTTACTCGTTCCCACGTTCAAAGCTTCCTGAACCTCCTCAATCTCAAACCACCTCGCATCCTCAAGCTCAGGGTCATGCTCGAGATTGATCGTTTCATGCGCGGGGTCGCTGACCTGCGCAATGGCGCCAATCATCAGGTTAGCAGGGTACGGCCACGGCTGGGTTGAGTGAATGATAACGCGCGAAAGTGTCACGCCAGATTCTTCCCACACTTCGCGCCTGACTGCATCTTCGACAGACTCTGCGGGCTCGATGAATCCGGCTAGAGTCGAGTACCAATTTGGCGGGAAGCGCTTGGAGCGGCCGAGGAGGATCCGCTTCGCATCGCTGGAGACAACGGCGACGATGATGGTGGGGTCTGTGCGTGGGAAGGAGAGGTTGGACAGAGTGGTGCGGGTGGTACAGGCGGGCTTGTCGGCGGGTTTGCCCTCGGCCTCTCGGGCTGCATCGGTGGGTGGGCAGGCGCGCTTTGTGCCCGAGTTTACGGAAATTGTACGGCTGCCGCAGGTGCCGCAGAAGCTGTTGCGCGTGTTCCAGTCAATGAGGGCACGTCCTTGGGCATATATAGCGGCTGTATAGAGAGTAGTTAGAATTTGTCTCTTTCATCAGTAGATATGGGCAAGTAGTAAGCATACCTTCATCGGCTGAGAATGTCATCGCGATTTTCGCCTGCAGGAAGCTTAGACCTTGAGCTTCGAACTCGCCTAGCACGCTCTTTGCATTTGCCTGCTGCTCCTCTGATCCCTTCTCCGATACATCAAGAGCAAAATACGGCGCCCCGGAGTAGATCTTCCAGGTGAATGGATCCTGTTTGGCCGCCTCATCCAGACCGAGGAAGATAAGGTGCGGTTCTGTCTTTCGCGAGTCATGGTCCTTGATTATATCCTCCTCCGACTTATCATAAATCGACTCGGGGACAAGCTTTCGCACTTCATCGTACTTGGCATAATACAGCGCCGCCGGGGTCCTCGTAAGTGGCGCTAGGTCCTTGAGAATGACGAATCGGGTTGAAGGGTGTTTGAGAGCGGCGGAGAGAAAGGGATGGTCCGATCGAAGGAACGAAAGACGGTTCAGAGGAGAGCCTAGATTTATCATTAGTGTCCATTCTGGTATTCCTTGATGCTTATCGGGTTCCTTACTCGAGAAATAATTCACAGTCTCTTTGCCGAAGCGCCTAGCCAGCATCGAGTCGGCTTGTATATGGGCTGGGTTTGGAACTTGTGAGTTATTGGTCATGATGCTTTCTTGGAAGTGAATCCAGCCGTATATACAATAAGAAGGCTTTGGAGAGAGGATGAATCTAAGCCAGGAGAAATACAAGGGGATTTCCCGCCCCTGTTCCTGATCAAAATCGCGGCAACTCCGATATCAGAGCATTAATCAGCGATTTTGGGCCGAGGGAGCGGGGATGTTATGAAATTACCATAGTTTCAGAATATTACGTCCACAAGAGCCTGTATCTATGTATTACCGTGACGATAGAGGGGCACTGCGGATGAAACCCCACACACGTGACTTTCGTCATAGCGCTGATTCGGAGATTCAAGCAACTCCAAAATGTTTCCCATTTGCCCATTGAATTGAGGGACAGCCGGAAGCTCATTCTCTGCCTGGGAGTCAATCAATTGGATCATATCTGACCAGTGCCCTGTGATCCAATATGGGACGTCTCGTCACACTCGCAACATGGTTCGTATCATCGCGTCTTGTCTCGTGCTCATATCTATCTTAGCTAATAATTATCAGCTCCCTCAACCAGTGGGCTCTCGACTGGGAGGGAAATGCAGAGCGGATTATTGAGAGTATTCGTCAGGCCAAAGCTGCCGGGGCCACTCTTCGAGTCGGCCCCGAACTGGAGATCAGCGGTACGATCGTCTTGCAAAAACCATTTGACTAAACGGATTGATATTGACGTCGAGTAGGATATGGGGCTCTCGATGGGTTTATGGAGGGAGATACATTTCTTCATTCTTGGGAAATGCTAGCCCGTATCATCGACCATCCCGACTGCCAGGACATCGTTGTCGATGTGGGTATGCCGGTTCGTCACAGAAATGTGCGATACAACTGCCGGTCCGTTCCCCTCCTGCTCTTTCCAGTTGGTAACGGCGGAATTTGGGGGGCTGATATAGTTAAAGAGTGATTTTCTATAACCGGAATATCATTTTGATTAGGCCCAAGATGTGGCTTGCTAATGGTATGTTAACACCTGGTCTCTGGATCGGCCCATGCTTTGGCTGGACTGCTGCTGATGTTGCCCTGATTAGACGGGAATTACCGAGAAATGCGACACTTTACCCCGTGGCAACGACCGCAGGAAGTAGAAGACTATTATCTAGAGTCGATTGTTGGCAAGATAACCGGGCAGTACAAGGTTCCTTTCGGCGATGCAGTTATCAGCACGAGAGATACATGCTTGGGATTGGAGACCTGCGAAGAATTGTTCACTCCGAATGGGTATGCTAGAAGACTCGGCTATGGACTGGATGCTAATGTTGTGTAGTCCCCATATCCCGTACGGTCTTGCAGGTGAGTATTTCTTTAAACCCCGTCTTTGTGCCAGTTGCTAATGCGATGCGAAGGTGTGGAAATTATTTCCAACTCATCTGGAAGTCACCACGAGCTGAAAAAGCTCGATACTCGCATAAACCTCATTACACAGGCTACGAAATTGGTAATTAATCCTTCCACTCCGCACGGGGTGACTTTACTGATTTTGTCAGAGCGGCGGTATCTACCTGTATGCCAACCAGCAAGGGTGCGATGGAGATAGACTCTACTATGACGGATGTGCGATGATAGTTATCAATGGAAACATTGTGGCTCAAGGATCACAGTTCTCTCTGAATGACGTTGAGGTGGTCACGGCAACTGTCGATATCGAAGAGGTATGCCCATTAACCCCATGCTATCCTCCAGCACACTAAACGAAGCAGGTGCGAACATACCGCAGCACAGCGAGCAGAAATATGCAGGCGAGCAAACAGACACCTTTTGTCCGCCTTGATCTTGACATGCGATTATCTCGTACCGATGAAGATGCTGAACCTAGCCTTGCTCCCTCCGACGCACTCAAGCCACGCTATCACGCTCCAGAGGAAGAAATCGCTTTGGGTCCCGCATGCTGGCTTTGGGATTATCTCCGGCGAAGTGGCGCTGCCGGATTCTTCCTTCCTCTTAGTGGTGGAATTGATAGTTGCGCTACTGCAGTCATTGTCCATTCAATGTGTCGAGAGGTTATCAAAGCTGTCTCGGAAAGGAATGAGCAAGTCATCAAGGATGTCCGACGACTATGTGCGGAGCCAGCCGACTCGACCTGGATTCCAACCACGAGCCAGGAAGTTTGCAAGTAAGATCTATCACTCTAACTTTAACACTACAGATATAACTGACCCTTTTAGCCGCATATTCCACACTAGCTTCATGGGCACCCAGAACTCGAGTAAAGAAACAAGAGACCGGGCTAAAGAGCTTGCGGTCGAGATTGGATCGTACCACATCGACTTCAACTTCGATACTGTGGTGACTGCTCTTACGAACCTATTTACTGTCGTAACCAACTTCCAACCGAAGTTTAAGGTCCACGGTGGTAGTCGGGCAGAGAACCAGGCACTACAGAACATCCAGGCCCGTCTGAGGATGGTTCTATCTTACCTATTCGCGTCTCTGCTGCCGACAGTTCGCCAGCGCCCCGGTGGAGGTGGACTCCTTGTTCTGGCATCGTCCAATGTTGATGGTTAGTACCCTATCCCAAATATTAGCTGGATTATATACTAACTGTCCCTAGAATGGTACGATCTATGGCCCACTCTTACATACCCAATCGATGTCGACCCTTGATTTATCAATACTGACAAGCCGCATCTAGTTTACGAGGCTATCTAACGAAGTACGATGCCAGCAGCGCCGACGTACGTCCCCCTCCAACTATAACAAACCGGCAAACTAACAAAAAAACCAGTTAAACCCTATCGGCTCTATTTCCAAAGTCGACCTCAAAAAATTCATCTCCCACTCCTCAGACTCGTTCTCCATGCCCATCCTAACCCAATTCCTAAACGCCACACCCACAGCGGAGCTCGAACCTATAACAGCCACCTACGTGCAATCCGACGAGGCCGACATGGGGGTGACCTACGCAGAGCTCGGCACCTTTGGATACCTGCGCAAGGTCTCAAAGCTGGGCCCCTGGTCAATGTATGAGCGCCTCCTGCACCTTTGGGGCAATGAATACAGCCCTCGGGAAATCTATGAGAAGACAAGACACTTCTTCTATAATTATGCGATTAATCGTCATAAGATGACGGTTATAACGCCCAGTTACCACGCGGAGCAGTATAGTCCCGACGATAATAGGCATGATTTGAGGCAATTTCTTTGTGAGTTACCTGGCAGTGTTTTTTATATGACTTCAGAGTGGCACTAACGTATGCTTTAGACCCGTCATTTACATGGGCGTATAAGAAAATGGAGGATAGTGTTAAATACTGGGAGTCGAAAGGCTGGACGACCGGTAAGGCACAGAAGAAGAGCGTGAAGGCTGATTAGATCAATCATTATGAAGTGTGCAATTATTACATGATATGGGAGTGGCTTGTTTGATAAGACAGAGGCGGAGAACACCTAATTTCCTAGAGAAGACTGCGATACTGTTTTCTGTACGAAGCCAATAATTACTTCATATAGCTATCTATGATGGAGGAGAACCAGTAAGACCGAGTATATGATAAGCTAGGTGCCCAATATTTTCAAACACGATATCGATCTGTTATGAGCAATACCGCGCGCAAGTATAGACAGATCACCGAGACTAAAACGAAATCAGATGATAAATGGATACAACGATCCGGCCAAAACGCCCGCAAATAACGCTGAACAAATTATGAATCAATCAATATATCAAGAGGGTACGCGAGTGGAAAAATATCTGCTAGACATCGCAACATCTAGTCTTTCCAGAACCACCCGTTTTTCTTCTCGCCAGACGAAGAGCCTTGGTCGTGTTGAGGCGGATTGACAACCTCGGTCGATTCGTTCGTTTCCTCACGGCCATCGGCGAACCTCTTGGTTTTCACGGTTTTCGTTTGAATCGAGCCATCCGGGAGACGGACGCGGTCTGTGCTAACTTGGGTCGATAGCACGAAGTTTTCCGCCGGGGATTTCTCTTCTGCTGTGGTCGGCGGGTGAGCGACTTCGGTAGATTCGGGGGTAGAATGTTTATTCCCGCCGGATACAAGCTCCAACCAGCTCTCTGTGTCGTCGCTAGACTCTCTTTCAGCGGATAGGACGCCGTTTATGGCCCCGAGCCTGTCATCGATAAGCAACCGCAGAAGAGGGCTGTGGTGGAAATCGCCGAAAAATTCCTTCTCGCGGGCATCAATGTCCGCAAGAAAGCGGTCGTATAGATCCAGTTCCGTAAGCTGTTTAGCGTTCGTATCTTCCGCGGCCCAATCAGTCCTCTCTGTCCCCTTCAAGGGGCGGCCCTCTTCTTTAGTATCCTCCGAGCGCTCCAATGTAATGCTCGACCACGGATGTTTGTCAGATCCAGAAACAAACTTCCACTGGCTCCCCAGACTGCCCCGTTTGACCAGGTTATGTATCCACTCCTTCCCGGATTCCTGTTTGGCAACTGGACCTGGCTCGCGGTCTAGCATAGGCATTCCATTCTCAAGTCGCAATAGATCCTCAAAAGCTTCGCGCCATCTTGGTTCTTCGGGATCGGGATCGGGAGAGGGTCCCATAGATGATATCAACGACGATAAAACACCCTGCTCACGATGAGACCGGTAACGCGCCTGGCGCTCGAGGTGTAGCGGCGAGTAAGGGCTGAACATGAGATAGTTGACAGGCCAATAGGCGGAATCGGAGCTCACGAGGGGAGAAAAGAAGGTCTGGTGGGACGGCTGGAAGAAGTCGAGCAAGAAGCGATCGAAAAACGAGTTAAAGAACATATCCATATCGAACGAATTTCCCAAACTAGAGCGCTCTGATCTCGACGGCGAGCTTGGTGATATGTTGTTGGAATTAGTACCGTTTTGCGTTGAAGGGGAGCCTTGATTTCCTGAGCCCAACGTTCCATCTCTATTGTTTGCGTCATTGGTGTTATAGTTTTGGCGCCGGGCGTCGCGGTAATTTTGGTCTTCGGTGAAAACGGACCATTGGTCTGATCGTGGAGCTGTCGAGGAAGAGGGAATGCCCATTACAGACTGGAGCATGGAGGAAATTTGTTCGTCGGCGAATCGACGAAATGCGACAAAAGGATTATCGTCATCGGGCCGCTGGCGAGAGCTCTCAGGCGAGGAAGCAGGTTGCTTCTTGCTAGGGTCTTCCTCGCCTGCCATGGTGAGCTAGTGCTGTAGGAATATCCAGCAAAATAAGATCGGTAGCTTAAGATTGAATGGTAGGCTGTCGCGATAGGCAGAAGTCAAAGTGGTGATGCAGAGATGAGCTTCGAAACTTCTTGAATCTTGGGTCCTTGAAGCTGTTGGGAATCGCCCCACTAATTCTAATCAGCACGTGATACGATGGGGCGGAGACGAGTGTCTCAGGCAGGAATAGACACCTGGCGTGGTCTACAAATTGATTTAAGCCTTGGGGTGTTTTAAGGTTAAAGCTTCAATTTCATACAATCGAGCAATTTACCAATCTGGTCTGTATATAGGCAAAATACTGAGGCAAATTTAGCGGCTAAAATCTTCCATCTCCTTCTTTCTCTTCTGGCGGTCTCGCTCGAGCTTCCTGAAGAGTGGATGGTGGCCTTTCTCCTTCAGCTGCTTATTCCTGCTCTTATTGTACTCAATATACGCCATGTCCTCACCACCAGCCAGCCCACTGAGAGTAGCAGCGCTCCGTTTCACACCTCCTTTAGCCCTAGCTCTGTTGCCACCGGATCGTTCAGAGAACAGGTCATCCGTGACGGCCTCCACGTCCGCAGAGGTTTCGTTTTGTAGCATAACCTCCTGCAGTAGCTCGCGGCGTTCTGACGGCGTGGCGTATGCTAGTCCGCTGAGATTTTCAATTCCCTGCAGATGGGTAATGACTTTGAACGCGTATCCCTGATCGACCAAGAACGCTTGTCGTTTCGAAGAGTAAAACATTTCATCTGTGTCTTTCGAGACAAGCGAGTAGAAAAATGCGTTGAAGCCCTCGTCATTTCGGCGCTTAGCTCGTAGAATTCGGCCTAGGCGCTGTGCTTCCTGACGACGAGAACCGTAGTGTGAAGAAATTTGGATGAGGCAGGTAGCCTCAGGTAAGTCAAGGGATGTATCGCCGATCTTAGACAGGAATATGGTGTTGACTTGCTCATTGTGCTGAAAGTTCTCGAGAATCCGCATACGCTCGTTCTGAGGTGTTCCTCCATAAATGTAGGCCTTGTTCAGCTTGAGCGCATACCGCTCAAGAGCGTACACGTTGTCGGAGAATACAATGACCTTGTCACCTCGTTTCTCGTGGTAGTCGATGAGGAATTGACAGGCCTGGAACTTGCGGGGATTCATGATATAGAGAAGCGCGGCCTTTCTGGACTTCTCGCGCATGTACTCAGTGTAGAACTCTGTGGTCATTGGACACCACACCTCAGCACATTGCACCTTGGCAATATGTCCCTGTTCTGCGAGCTCCATCCAGTTAGCCTCATATAGCTTCGGGCCAATGAGGAAGTTCAGATCCTTGATCTTGTCATCTTCACGCAAGAGCGTGGCGGTTAAACCAAGCTTGCTTTGAGTGGCAATGGCAGATGTGACCTTTCGGAACATGGACGCAGGCACGACGTGGACTTCGTCGAGAATCATGAGACCCCATTCCCGTGACTGGATCCAGTCCATCATCTTTTGCGCGTCGTGAGACCGTGCCCTTGTTTGGGAAACCATGGAATATGTCGAGACGATAATACCGGTCGACCGTCGGAACTTCTCCTTATTGTCGGAAGTGAAAACGGCAATATCGCCGGGGTCAATGTTAGACCACCGCAGGAACTCATTCCTCCATTGAACGACGGACATGGAACTGGTGCAAAGAATGATCGTTCCCTTCTTGATCGTACAGGCAGCGGTGATGCCGACCAACGTCTTTCCTGCACCGCAAGGCAGGACGATAATACCACTCTTTGCACGCCCGTTGCCGAACATCTTACTCAGACTCTTTTCCTGATAGCTTCGAATCCGAGCATTCGGCTTTAGATCGATGTCTAATGTCGGGTTGATTTCATCATTTCGGAAATCATATTCTTCAAGCGCGGGGCAGCCCATAGCCTGACAGCGTGCCTTGACGGGTTCCACAGCCTCGTTCGGAATCTCAAAGCTGTGTACCTGTGCCTGCTCTTCATCGTCATCATCATCGTCGCGGATGGCGAGAAGAATATCATCTTCCTCCGGGCGTTTTGCAGCCCCTTCCTCGACAGGCTTCTGTTCCGATGTCTCCTTCACACCAGCAGCATCCCTAGTACCAGGAATGACAAGACCCCCCATTTTCGGCGCTGCCTGCTGAATTATCCCTTCCGAGCCTTGTACGCGCTGAGGTCCGATAACTTCATCCTGAAGCAACATCTGTAGCATGGACGGGTCTGTACTCTCAACGAAGAACCGGTTGTGCTTCAGAACAACTTTGATCTTTCCATACGACTTTGTGAAATCGATGATAAATGACTTGATCGCTTCCGGGAGTGGCGTCTTCGTTAACCGGTCCAAGAAGTTGATGATATCTTGCGGCAACAGTCCAACTGACACAGCAGCATACAGACTGTTCCCCGTCAACCGGTATTCGTGGAGGTGCGTCGGACGCGACATCGGTTCGGCTATCGTGGTGAGGAAGTCCTGCGCCTGAGGCGCAAGCGGCGAGAAGCTCTCGAGCGTGATGGTGCCTTTCAACGGATCGATCCATAGAGGACGGTTCGCGTGGTCGGGCTTCAACGGAAGGGAGGAAAAGTCTTTGTAACCAAAGTTCGGGTCCTGCTTCTGTGACTTTTTACTGAATGATTCGAGGGAAAATTTGTCCACCATATCTTAACATGTCAATACATCAGTGTCTAGGCATCGAGAGACCTTGCTCCCGCGTGATGTGATTACCTTTCAGCTTTTCCTCCTTTGCATCCTGCTCGTAGTCGGAGTACTCATCGCTACTGCCAATTTCCTGGACATCAGGAACCGGTGTTGGACGCTTCGACGCTCTACTGGACCGACCACCTATCCGAGTTAGCCTGCGCCGCGTCTACCTAAGGCTCGGTAGAAAAAAGGCATACTGTCAGTCGCCTTTCGTTTTGGCGGCGGCATGATGGATAGAGAAAGAAGGCTTGGATGTTTTGTTTCTTTATGCTGAAAATCTATCGTCTAATATGCCAAACCTGTTTGTTCGGAGAGCCTCAGCTCTTGCGGGCTACAAGCGCCCAGTCGAGCTTCAAGGAAAACAAAACATTCCTATGTCAAGCGGTACAAGTCGCTCGTTATATTAAACCAGGGGCAACGGATGAGGAAGTCCTAGTCGACGTGGAGCGGAGTTGAGAGACGAAAGATAGGCAGCAAGAGAGGCGCGAGTGAGTGATATGAAGATGAGGCTCGTCACCGCCCTGCATGTGACTTTCGGCCGATGCTAGTCCTCTTACAGATAACACTATTCCAACTTCGGAATAGCTGCGCGAGGGTCGGCTCCGGCCTCGCTGTTGACGTAGTTTATTTTCAGTTCCCTTTCACTTCAGCTCGCACTGTGCTGTGTCTCGCTGGTGTGCTCGAGAAAATAAATCATAATGAATACAGTAAGACATGAAGCACCCTGTGGCTGGGATTTGAACCATTGCTGACAGAATGACCACTAGATCCGATCGACTTGGTGAGCGGACCTTGAAGACGCCCAGAGAACCGCAAGGAGCTTTTACCACGAACATGGACCGCTAACATAAATCGATATATACACAGGTTAGGCTGGGGTACTCTCTGCGTCGGTAATTCCCCCCTGTCTAAACCCCCGGCTACCGCCACCAACTATCCAGAACCCATCCCAGCTAACACCCATTCCCACGTCCAGCCGGCGGTGGAGCCTACTACTTCGCAAAGAAATCGATTAACGCCGACCGCCAAACCCGATTTGAAGCCGAAGTAAAGAAAAAGGCGAAACTTGCGGCCGCGGAAGCCGAGCACCGTCGGCAAGCCGTCAAGAACGAGCCCGCCGCGATCCATACCCCGTCCGACGACCCGAGCTTCAAGCGCGCAAACCAGGCCCGGTTCCAGAATGCTTCGGATGATGTTGCTTCGCCGAGCGATGAAGCAAGCCACGACCCTGCCCCGACTCGACATGAGCCCGAGACTGAGCAGGACCGGGTGACGGAGAAGGGCAAGTATGAGGCTGCGAGGCCTTTCAGGCCGCCCCCTGGTAATCGGTTGTGAGGTCCTTGTTCATTCATGCCAATTTTTGAATAATTCAGTCCTCTTTCGAGTGGAATAGTAATGGTGGTGTGGGTGTGAATTGCTGATGCTTTTGCGCTCTTGCCTGGTGGTCAGTCCAGGGCGTCTTATGACCTGTACTATATTCTTGTATCTATCTTAGAGGTGGATGTTGCGGTCAAGCATGGAGCAGCAACTCGGTTGGAAAATTACGGGAAGTATAATAAAGTTGTGGAATGCAAGCTTGTTCTTCATGTATGATTCTAGATTCATTCCACTTAGAATAGTAGGCCATCTAGACACAGGTCTTTGAAGTCTCGCAAGGTATCTGTCTCGCTCATGCAGTTCTTCAACAGAGAAAATGCAGATCCCCACATAGGCAGACACATAGGGGATATAAAGTCTGGCCACCTGGGCAGACCAAATGGATGGGTAATAGTAATGAGGTAACCAGTCACGCCGAACACCGATTCTGATTGACGAAGACGCATGTCGCCCAGCTCAAAGCGCAAATCGTCACAATGGATATGTTGCACCCGAACGCCCTATGGAAAACCCAAGACAGTCGTCGTAAAACAGGAAGTAATATAAAGATCGTAGTTATTTGTTATTAGGATCGGTTGGAAAGCGTGGTTGAGGTACCCGATCGACGATTCGGACAAAGTTGTTGTATGACATCAACGAGCATGGAAACAAAGGGGAGGGAGCGGTCTGGAAAGATATGTTAGCAAATACTTCACAGACTTGAAAGTTCCCAGATGTTCAGGAGACTAGGCAAACAGGTAGAACTCACTTGCTGTGGTTGGGATAGCCTAGGTTCCTCTCGCGCGAGCTCTCAAGGGCCGGAGGGACGAAGGGAAGCACGACGGCAGAGACGAGACATGATGTGGCTACAAAGCGCGATGTGCGAGTGCTTGCCTGAGAGCGGTGGACTGAGAAATGGCGGATTGTCGGGCGGGCAAGTTGGATAGTAGCCATGGTGTTGGTGTTATAGTAAGACTTGACAGTTGAACTGGGAAAGTCGCAGTGGGACGCAGTGATAGCCTGGTAGGGAGCACAGAGACTGAAATATTGCACAGAGGGATCGAAAGTGAATCATAGCGCAGGAAAGTAAGAAGGGGCTCAGATGTTATATATAGATGGCAGCAGGCTGTACAGCTCGAGTGACAGGCAGCGAGTGCTGCAGCCCGAGCGTAACTGGCGCTGGCGCTGTGGGGGTCATGCGGGGCCTCTCCACTTCCGGAGCTGCAGCTCAATGACATCGTGATTCATGGGCTCTTTCTCTCAAGACCGTCATTGAAGAGCAGTCATCCTGTGTGTCTGGTTACATACATTGAGAGAGAAACCCGGGCATGAAAACAGGGTCTTTGTTGCAATATTCTCTCCCATACTCTTTACCAGGCTGGATTGTTCAAGGCAGAGTCAGGGATCCAAATCGCGTGTCAAGGGGACCGTCTCACGCCATCAGCGAGATCGAGTCCCGGGCGAAGCCCTGCGGGGCGATGAACAGGCCAGGACTCACTCAGCCCAGGAACGACGCGAATCATCCTCCCAGCCCTTGATGGCGGTATCCGCGCTTAAAATCGCGACTTATGCTGAGAAATCAGCGCTTTCCTTCAGTACTGGGCTCAAATGACGCGACCGTATACCCCCGGCTAGCTAATGCGAACATTCCAGCTCTTTTCCCTCAGCGACAGGCAAAAAACCGCCCGTGATGATCGTCGCGTGTTGTCTAATGTTTGTTGAGCGTTGACCGTCTCTAGCGGGGAAAAAGGAAACCCGCTGCAGAGATCATGCCACCCCGCCAGTGTCGAATTGACATCATCCGCATTCCCACCAGGCTCGAGCTCAAGCTCATGACTCGACTCGCCACGGGAAAGAAGATCCCGTCTCAGCTGTTCTCGGGCGATATTCGAGACAGCCCACTGGGAGTGCGAGACAAAGGGGTTCCGGCCGGATTGAAGCCTTTTTTTGAGAGTCGAGAAAGAGAGCAACCACATTGATATAGTTCTGCAGTTCAATGTGCCTGGTCCGTGCCGCCTTAACCAATTTGTAAGGCATAGATAAAAACACTTTTACTCATTTTTTGTTGATTGATTTAGATGTTCTTCTACTCTGCTTCTGACCCATGTAAGACAATTTATAATTCCGGGGTTATTTATTCGTGAAATATCGACATTGAATACCTCTGGTAAACGAAACTGGTTGGTAACACAAAGAAATCTAATCATGGACTCCGCTCCTCAAGAGCAGGTCCATTCATAACAGTCATGATTAACACTTTCCTCGTTTCTCCCCCTCTCCTGACACTCAAGCAAGATGAAGCGTGTTAAACAAGCGGTTCCCCGTGTCAGTACTTCCGCTGCCGGTATAGTTGTCATCCGACAGACGAAGCGCCACGATAGACAGTTTCGAGGAACGCGCCAGCGCTCTGATAGGACTGTCCCCTGAAACCGCCTGCTTCTGGACAATATCAGCGACGACGATGATCCGAATTGCACCATGCATAGCCCGGATGGACTCCACGAATTTGACAATTCTGGTGCCATTGTTGATCACTAAGTCAACGAGGATGACGGCGGCACTGCCCTCAATATGCTCGCGTGCGATGTCCTTTGGCTCTCTGGCGTGCAGGAATTGGGCACTGGGGAAGGCACTATTGATGCCATGTGCCATGGGCTCGCCGCCGCGCATCAATGCAACGATCAATGCCTTGCCTTCTTCGAGAAGTTGGTATCCGACCGTCTCGTTGTTATAAACGTCGCGCACTGTGAATTCCTCGACGCCAATAAGCTCAGAAACAAACATTCTGGCTAGGTGAGCGCCGACTTTGAAATGATGGTCTCTCAGGGATGGACCGCGGACAGCAGAATTCTGCGTTGGGGTCATCAATATTTTTGCTGCGGCGCTATCGGTGGCATGGTAGAGCTCAAGGCCTCCAGGTCGGTTATGAGTCTGGAGGATTGGATCCACGAATTCCGGGTCAGTAATATCGATGACAGGAAGACGGTCTAGTCCGGCCAGCCGGGGTGGCGAGGAGCTGTCCGCAAGTACAGCCTGACGAGCCTGCAGTCCACCGCTCAAAATTGCTTGTAGCAGTTCCTTCTCCATGTCTTCGCTGCGGGTGTGCTTGTCCCCAACTATAACAATGGGCTTGTTCGCCGCCATCAGCATGGGCAGGTCGAGCGAACTATCGCCAAAAGCCCATGTATATGCTGAATGATTGCCCTTTGCGCGGAGGACCAGATTTCTTTGCACCGAGGGAGCAACAACAAAGCCGTCGTCAAGTCGTCCACCACCCACGACTTTCACCACGCCGGAAAGGCCGTTCCTAGCCACCACTTTCTCCCAGACACGACGTAGTCCGCAAGTCACAATCACGGGGCAGATGTGGTGATATCTTCCCACCTGGTGCAGAATAAAGGTCATCTGCGGGTAAAGAGCGGTGCGCAAGGCCACCTTGTCGCAGATGGAGTCGAACTCGATATCACTGCAGGACTCTTCGTACAGCAGCATCACCTGTCGAAATGCCGTATATGAGCGGTTCTGTCTGTTATTGAACAGAGTGGCCAACGGGCTTTCCCCCGCAGCATTGTCGGCGAGAATTTGCCAAAACGATTCAACGGTATCTTGAGGTGTCAATGTCTTGTCGGCGTCGAAGAAGACGACGGTCCGCAATTCCTCACGGTGACTAGAGAGCACCCTGTCCAGACGCTGGTCGGCAACTGATTGGTTATGGATTTCTCCGTGGCTCCGGAAGTCAAGGATCAGACTGGATAACTTGTCCCGCAGGTTTGGGTAGACAGTTGCAAAGAGAATCCCATACTCAAGGCACAGCCCTCGCAGTTCTTTAATCTCAGCTTCCTGCCAGCAACGCAAATCCTCGGTAGAGAGCTTGGACCGATATCTATCTGGATCCATCTCTCGTTGTCTTGCCGTCAACTCCACATGCGTGTTCACATAAAGAATGTGGGTGTAAGTAGAGTGACCATGCTCGCTACGAGCTTCCAACACCTTTTTATCCTCTTTGCTCCCAGGCCACATATAGTGCCCAGCAACGATGCCGACTTTGCCACTCTCCCTGCAGATTGACCTGATCTTCTCGATGGCGTACTTTAGAAACTGTGTTTTGTTCTCTTCGCTGAGCTTCTGGAAAATGGCGAGCCCGCCGGCGGTCACGCTATCGATGACTTCGGAGTCTTCAAAGAAGTGAAAGTCGGAATCGCCGAGCTCGTGCTTTAGTTTGTTCAACATAAACGATTTGCCGCAGCCGGGGATGCCAAATAGGCCTATCACACATGGGGCGGGCTGGGGGCTGGTTTCTCTCCGTTCCGGGCTAAAGTCCATAGTGCCGCTGCTGTCTGAAGCTGAGTTGCTATCCATTTTAATGGTGCAGGTCGAAACGGATGCGATAATACTGGTGTTTCAAGTCAACCGCTGTCGAGATTCTTGGGTTATACGAAAAGATACCGGTTGGGAAGAGTTGATGGGTCCTGGCAAAGCCTGTTCGAAGTGAAGATAAGGAAGAGGAAGAGGAATAGAAAAGGACTGCCAACAGGAATAGAGGAGTTTTATAGGGATATTTCACAAAGCAGCATTCTGTGAGTGCGCATTCATAAAAGTGGAATCTCATAGAAGACACTCTGTTTGCGCCAGACTGTAATAGGTGTCTGTCAAACGGGCCACAGTCCAACACCTGAAGCAGCAAATAGACAGGAAACATACCCGACATATGGACCAGACGTTTACAGCTTCATTTAACGACCTTCTGCTATTAATTCCTCCCTCCAATACCTCTTATGGGCCACGCCACAACTTCACAGCCAAAGACTCCAAACAATAGAACACCCACCTGACGTCTGCGAAAAGATATAGGTATGACGGGGCCTTTGCAATGAATGAAAGGGAATCTCCATTCAAGTCACTGCAGTGTAATTCCTACAATTGCATTATCAGGTGTCTACCAGTCCTAGTCCTCCCCCCATTTTCACTTCTATAATTACTACTGCAATTGAAGTAGGATACCACACCACCTCATTATCGCCCAGCACCAATTCGGAAGTAATCGCAATATCCATCTATCCACCAGCCCACAGTTATCATATCGCCTGCCTCGCCAACCCCTCCCAATCAACCCGCGGCCCCTTAAACATCTTGCGCCCACTGACGCCCCAGAACAGCAGAATAATGGCGAAAACCCCCACCACCACCGCAGCCGTGTAATTGACGTCTTCCACGCTCACGGGGATCGCGGGCGGGAAACACACGAATACACCGAGAATGACAATCCAGAGGACGGAGAAGAGGTTGCAGAATGGGCCCATGAGGGGGCCGAGGTTTAGGTACCGCTGGGGGAGGGTTGTTGCTGTTGTTGTTGCTGTTGTATTGGTGGAGACAGAGGTATTGGTACTTCTGAACCGTCTAACGAGAAGGATGCCCTGCGGAGTGACATAGGTGATATTCAAGAACAGCACGGCCGAGGTGATGATGCTGTTGAAGGCGGTTGTGGAGGCGAGGTAGAGGAGGCCGTAGAGCAGGACGAATATAAACGCGGCGATGGTGGTGCGGACGGGGAATTGGAGGACCGTGCTAACGTGGCTGAAGTAGGGGGAGAAGGGCACGCCATTCTATTAATTTATGGTCAGTTTAGCAAGGGCTTAACAGATGAAAGAGTTGACTGCTTACGTCTCGTGCAAAGGCCCATGCGATACGGCCGCTGGTTACCCATTGAGAGGGGATGCATGCTGTACTGGAGTTAGCAAAGGTCGTTATGATGATATTTAAGACATACAGATGTAGACAACAAGTATCCACGTCGTCAGGAAGATTGTAGCAGCTCTGCTGCCGGAACTATATAAGTTAGCCCAGGTCACTCTGTATAGCCTAGAATTCTCACGCCTGATAAATAAGCTCCAAGCTGGGCAACGGCGAATCAATAATAGCATTGGTATCTCTAGAGAACAAAAGCAGTGCAATAAACAGCGGCAGCGTCGTAAGCAGGCCGATGAAAAGGGTGGCAATGATAATCTGCGGCACGCGGCGTCCAGGCTGTTGCATTTCCTCGCTGATATGAAGGGCTATAGCACTGTTAGTAGCCCAATTCAGAGGTAGAACAGGTGGCTAGCACCTAACCTCTTAGTAGCGGATGGTCTCACCTGCATCTGTGCCTCCAAACGCATACATCCCGTTACAGATACCCAGCATCCAGGAAACCCCTGGACCCCAGCCGGTGTCGCCGGCTGCTGGACTGGCAAGGAACGAAGCTGGCTGGACATGCTGGTGCATACCGACTGATGAAAAGAGCACCAATATCACCCCGATCACGGAGAGAAGCAGGGTGATTTGGCACATGAAGGCGACCTTTTTGGAGGCTACGAAGATGGGGATAACTGGAGCTGTCAGATTTGCAAAATCATCTTCTGGGTTGGTATATATGTGCAAGCTTACTCGTTATAACAGACGTTGCCGCAAAGAAGAGATAAATCTGCCCCTGCGTTGCCGTGAAGGTTGGGTATGCGAAATGGATGATACCGGCCAGAGTTGTTGCAGCGAGAGATATTCCAGAAGATCTTTAGAGCGTCAACTTCCAGATAAAACACCAATATCGAACTCAGACCATCCATACGTAGTAACCCACCAGGCAATAACCGACATCCACCCGATGACATATCCAGAAAACCGCTTCGTTTTCTGCGGAGCCAGCAGGAAGCAGAAGTGATACTGGCCTCCGGAAGACTACCGTACACCCGTCAACACCCTATAATAGAAAAGAATATACGAAACAGCTTGACTGACTGGAAATGCGGACCCGATCTCCGCAAGACCGACTGTGATAGTCGACTGCACCAGGAACGCAAGTACAAGACCAGCAATCACAAGTTGCGGCCCTCCATACGCCATGACCTGGCCGAAGTTGCTCTACAGCAGACATGCCCTGGTTAGTACTCCACTGGCGCCGTATTGCCAGAGCAGGGAACGGACCAAGTACCCCACCCACGAGTTCGTGATGGAGAAGCCGAGCCCCAATGCCGAGAGCCAGTTGAACTGACGGCGCATCTGGGACTTGTGCCCGTTTGCCCTGAGGATGAGATCATCGGCGGTGTCTGCCAGAAGGGTGCCGTTGGAAACTGAACCATCTTGACTGTCGTTGGAGATGACTTGGTCCTGTTGTTTGGGCTCCACTTGTGATGCTTTCGATTCCATATTGACTAGTTGAAGGACTGCTTGTATTGTTCTCTAGGGCTGTGTATCGACATTTGGAGATCTTATATACTATCTATCCTTGTGCCTACATTCTTGAGAGCGGAGAACTGAAAAGCAAGGAGGTTAGATTTGAAACAGCCAGGAGAATGTCTTAAGAGAACAGCAACTTGCCAGCCTCTAAACTGAGTGTGATAAGTTCATAGTATAGAGGCCATAATCCGAGAACTGGGGTAGGGCTCCATGGAGAAAAGAACCACATTTAGTTTAATCGCCTAGCTATAACCTACTCCGCACGATAGTCGCCTCGCTGTAATTTGCAGGTGTTGCAATTAGGAGTCACTCACTGCCATCTGCAAGGCGAGTGGAGTTTGTGGAACCTGATATGCGCCCTTTGCTGCCAGCATTTCCCGGAAGGGTAATGTTTTCAACCACGATGCATGCCCAAATCGAAGTATTCCCAGCTGCTCGTATGAGAACTGTAACAAAATGTTTACTTACTGACGTACTTGCGCTGCTATCTTTGGCCCCGAGAATCACCAGACATCTGACCAGCGAACCAAATAGTTAACTGACACCACATCGGAGGATATAGCTATCCCCTCTGGCGCAACATTAGCCTTATTTGTGCAAGCCAAATCTCGGAATCCGACATCAGCGCCACTACGCCGAGTGTCGTACGAGCCTGGACAGCAACAGCAACGGTAACGTTGAATGGCCCAGATGGCATCTTTTCCCTAAAAGAGACACCGGAGCCAAAGTCGGCAAAAGACTTGCACTACTGTCCAATAGGTTATATGGTGTTGTATTCCCTGGCATTTTTTCGACTTAGGGTTACCTTTTAACACGCAACCAGAAGGAGGGTGGCCTTGGATAAACGGTATATTCGATCTCTATCCTATAGACTAGAACTATAGTAACTCCAGTATAAGGCCTGGGCTAATTGTACAGCCCCCCATTTGCAGACAACACCGAACCAGTTGTCCACCGCGCGTCGTCCGTACACAAGAACGCAACCAAAGGCGCAATATCACCCACCTCCGCAATCCTCGCCGCTGCAGGCGTAGATTCAATCAGCGGCTGCATATCGCTCTTGAACTGGTCATCGCTTTCTGCCCATTGATCTGCAAGTCACATACATATTAACAACATGCTCGCTCGTAGGAAGATAGAGCTTACCCGTCGCAACAGGGCCGGGATTCACGCAGTTCACAGTAATTCCATGCGACTGGCCTAGCTCCTTTGCCCAAACCCGAGCGAGAGATTCATTGGCGGCCTTTGTTGCGCCGTATACGGTCTGGCCAGCCACGCCTAGTCTGGCGGCGGCAGAGGAGACAAAGACAATGCGTCCGCCTTTGGGGATATGAGGAATCACGGCCTGAGTGAGGAATATAGGCGCTTTCACGTTGGTGTCGAAATGAGTGGTGTATATCTCCTCGGTGACCTGGTCGAGGTTGGCGTCGACTCCGAGAGCAGCACTGCAAGCGTTAAGTCAGTTAAATCGGTTAATGTTGAAGAGGGAGGGTCATACTTGTGAACGAGAATCTCGATCTTTCCAGTCTCGCTTATCTGCAGAGCGGCATCGACGAGTTTCTGCAATTCTGGGAGTTTGGTTAGGTCAGCCTGGCAGAGAGTGGCCTTGCGTCCTGTGGCTTGGACGTCGTTGACGACTTTCTCAGCACGGCCCCGGCTGTTGGCGCTGGTGTAGTTGACGACAACATTGGCGCCTCTTTTGGCGAGCTGTACAGCAATACCAGCGCCGATTCCTCTAGCCCTGGTGAGCCAAATGCTCTATTTACTTGGTATAACTGTCGTACCTCGAGGAGCCCGTGACGATGGCAGTCTTTCCACTAAGGTCAAGTCCTTTGAAGTCCGGCATTTTGCAAGTGGTATGATGTAAATCTTTGCAGTATGTCCCTTGCCTCCAAGTGGACTGAAATGCCTGAGATTTAATAATGTCAAGACCGCAATGACGCATTGCCATATAACCCCTCTGCTGGCAATATTACCGGATTTGGCCAAACCCTCAGCACTTCCCGATTAGGCCAATACGCCAGCTGCCTCCCCAGAGTGCCCTAACTGGTATGCAGATAAAGAGCGGAATGCCATGCAAGTCGCTGCAGTCTCTCAATTTGCAATTCTGATTGCGTTTGAGTGTGTTTTAGTTTTTGCAATGATATCGTCCGTCCAAGCACCGCACCCCTTAAGCCCACTGCATGCCAATGAGGTCTATCGGGCTTCTCAAACCCTTCTTCAACATCTGCGCTGCGCTAAAGACCAAGTCCGTTTCAAAGTGATTGATCTGGCAGAGCCACCTAAGCATCTATGCTTGATATATCTCTATGAGAATGGGCCGGTCCCGGACCGCAAGGCTCGGATCTACTTTCATCGGAAGAACACCACGACGCTGTCCGTTGCTATCGTGAACATCACCCGGTCGGCGGTCGAGAAGGACTACGACGTGCCTGATGCACAGGGAGCAGTCGACTGGGTCGAGTATGAGCTTGTCCACAATGCCTGTCTGGAGCATCCTGACGTCAAGGCCGAGATTGCAAAACTCAAGCTGCCTCCCAAGTAATGCTACCGTCACAACGAGAAGACTTACCATGCTAATAGATTTAGTGCCAAAGTTCTTAACGATCCCTGGGCGTATGGGACTGACGACCGGAATGAACGACGCCGCCTGTTCCAGTGCTATATGTACGCTGCGCTCAGCGACGACCCTGAAGCCAACCATTACTCTATACCGTTACCGCTGGCGCCCGTTTTTGATGCCCATACTCTCGAACTCGTGGCCCTTGAATGCCTTCCAATGGGCGAGACTGCGGAGTTAGATCCAGAGACCGAGCCATGGGAGCCCGTCAAGCCCGTCGAATACAGCGCCGGTATTCTAGGCCCAGACGCCTTCCGCAAGGACGTGAAGCCCCTGCAGGTATCTCAACCCCAGGGACCGTCATTCATGATCACCGACCACTATATCGAATGGCAGAAATGGTCCTTTATACTCGGCTGGACCCTCCGAGAAGGCCCCGTCCTGCACGACATCAAATACGACAACAGATCCCTCTTCTACCGCGTCTCCATGTCAGAAATGACCGTCCCCTACGGCGACCCTCGCTCGCCCTACCACCGCAAGCAAGCCTTCGATCTCGGCGACTCCGGCTTCGGCCTCACATCCAACACCCTCTCGCTCGGCTGCGACTGTCTCGGCCACATCGCCTACTTCAACGGCATCCGTACTTCGCCCGACGGCCTCCCAGTCACCATGCCCAACGTCGTCTGCATGCACGAAGTCGACGACGGCATCGGCTGGAAACACACAAACTTCCGCAACGGCAAGACGTCCGTCGTGCGCGATCGCAAGCTCGTCATCCAGTGTACCGCCACCGTCGCGAACTACGAGTACATCCTCGCATTTGTGCTCGACCAGGCTGCGAACCTGCACATCGAGCTCCGCGCGACGGGCATCGTCTCGACAATGCCAATTCGTCCACACACGAATGTTCCCTGGGGGACTGTTGTCGCGCCCGGTGTTCTGGCCGTTAACCACCAGCATCTGTTCTGCGCGCGCATCGACCCGTTTCTAGACGGGGGGAGGGAAAACACCATCGTCCACGAGGACTGTATCCCTGTCCCGCAAGACTCGAGTCACAATCCATCGGGGTGTGCGTTTAAAGTACACACAACCCCTATCACTAAACCAGGCGGCTACGACCTCGACCTAGCAAAGAATCGCACATACAAGATCCTCAACGAGGCCAGGATAAACCCCATCTCGGGCCAGGTTGTTGGGTACAAACTCCACCCGATCCCGAGCCAGATGCTCATGATGGGTGCCGAGACATTTAACTACCGCCGGGGCGTGTTCGCGACGAAACCGATCTGGGTGACCAAGTACCGCGACGATGAGCTCTGGGCTGCTGGTGAGTTTACGAACCAGAGTCGCGAGGATACGGGGCTGGCGAGGTGGGCTGCGCGTGGGGAGGGGGTGAGGAATGAGGATGTTGTTCTCTGGCATAGTTTTGGGGTTATGCATGTTACGAGGCCGGAAGGTAAACTTATTAATAGACTTGGCTTGATTATGGAGTTTTTGCTGACTGACTTGTGGTAGATTTCCCTGTCATGCCGAATGAGAAGATGAGCATGGTGCTCAAGCCAGTGAGCTTCTTTGAGCTGAACCCGTCGAACGATGTGCCGAGATCGAATCAGCAGGATAACCAGTCTACTCTGCATCAGAGGGCCGGTGATACTGAGGGTTGCTGTGTAAGGGAGTCTAACTTGTAAGGTTGAGTACTTCGTATACTATAGAGCCAAGCGGAATCTCCCATGGACATGATTGGGCCATTGTGATATCAATAATAATTAAGTCCGTGTCAGCGTTCAACAAACTCAACGATTTTGCCATCAGATCAAGATAGAATGTGGTCTGAACGGATTTGCCTTGTACAGCTTACCAGGTATGCCGAGTAGGGCCGATATAGTACAACACGAAGCAGCGCAAACAATGGCATAGCCATCGTGGCTATGGCTCTATGAAACAGATGTAAATAGAATGAACCAGTCAATTTACCTTTCATCCTTCGAACGAACTTTTGTCGAGCTCGAAATGACAGATGCAACATTGGGGCCGTTTTTGCGAGTCTGTTCCTGGACTGTTTCATAATGCAGCCGCTGTTTCACGTTTATTAGTATAGCAGATATCGAGCTTAGAACACGAGATCCCTGCATCTGTCGATTGTTTAAACTCTCGAATACGGGTCGAGAATCATTTCTTAGTGGTGATAGGACATATGGACTCGTGTTAATACGAGACCCACGTTCAATCTCAATTGGCATGCTCTTTCTGATAGCTTGCCCTATAAATAAACTGCCCCTGAATAACTTCCATCGATCTGACAGCCACAGATCAACAACGGCAGAATGATCGACGCCCATTTCAGCCACCAGCTGCACGACGACGGATCCCACTGCGCCCAGGTCAATTAAACAGTCCTGTTCAGTCATACAACTGCGGCCAATACGACGTCCCTGCATCTGCCGCTGCCACTGCCACTGCCAATCCAATGATGCCGTAGCTGGTGAACACGAGCATCTGCCGTTTTTTCAGGCCCATCAGGGTCCGAGCTTGTATGATCCTTCGTGGCCGGCCAAGTGTTCGTGCCTGCAGAGTTACTTCTATCGAAATGAAGGATCAGCGTGGGTACGGTTTATAACTGAACATATAAGTTGGGTGTCTCTAGCAAAGATGTCTACGGATAATACACCGCATCACCTAAACAGCCGAGATGGCCAGGTTTTTACAAGGCTGGCTCGGTGTGAGCTTCATTCTCTTCCAGATCAGCTTCGCTTTGGTATTCGATGAAGTGCCTGCCTCCGATGTTGTGCCTTCGAACCTTCAGACCAGGGCGAGTGACGATGTTGACCTTTCCATGCTGGAACTGCTGAAGAGAGACTCGTTCTACTGGACTGGTGCGTTTGCTATAATGCTAGCTATACTGCTACTGTATTCACTAACAGTTCCAGGAACCCAAAATGGACACCGCGCCCTGGCCAACCTGACCATCGACCTCCCCGGCGACGACGAGACAGTCATCTCGCTAGACCGATTCAAGCACCTCGTCGGGTCCGTCGAATGCACAAACAAGACCATGACCGTTGGTCTCCAAAGCCAGAAAGCGTTCGACCACGTAAAGCGCGTCTGGAAGTGGCTGAACGAGGGCGAGCCGCACAAGATAATTGTCGTCGCTGGCGCGGGTGAGTGTGGATGGAATCCAAGTCGAATCCCCTTCTCTGCCTCGAAAGTCAGGTTCAACGATGCAGACAATACTGCAAACCTGGTTGGCAAGACGATCGAATGGAAGGAGTTCCAGAACTACGAACTCACCGTTGGCAACTACCAGCCTGTATCGACGAGTGCTTTGGCTCAACGAGACGTCGACGAAGACATGACCCTCCCATTTGATATCCCTCTCCCGTTCAGCAGTGGGAGTCTCCAGACCCCCGTCGATAATCTCAAATTGACCTGGTATTGTGGTGACTGCGGCACGAAGGGGTCCTTTGACCTGGGCTTCCATATAGAAACAAAGCTGGGAATCCCAACGGATGCATCCATCTCCCTCTCCCCTAATGGCGTCTCAACGGTCCTCAACCCCCGGATTGCCATCCAGTCCGACCTTACCGGTGACATTGATGATGAGTGGCCGATTGGAACGATTCCCATCGGAGGCATCACGATCCCTGGTGGGATTCTTGATGTCGGTCCGGAGATTATATTCAGTCTTGGATACTCGGTTGGGCCTCTCCAGGGCTCTGCGGGTATTCAGACTGGTGTCACAGTTACTATCCCGGATGAAGCAGAGCTTGAGATTGGCCTCTTGGACCCGGATGTTTCTTCTGATGGCTGGGATGCCGAGGTCGAGACTGAAGATGTCATCCTTGATGCGCGGCTGACGGGTGATGCTCTTGTTTATTTCAAGGCTGCGATAGGTCTTTCGGCTAAGGCTCTTGGTGCGTTCCATACTATATATTTTAGTCTCCTCTACTAACGTTGCACAGGTCTTGGATTCCAAGCTGGTCTCAACCTCAAACCCTACGCCGGTGCCGGGTTCATTGCCCAAGCAAGTACGTACAAGTATACCCACTACCAGCCAGCACAAGCTAACAGCACCAGCAACCGACGAAGTCTGCGAAGGAACTGACTACCAATACGGCATCAAAGTGTTTCCCAAAGCCGGTATCTCATTGAACGCGGACGTAGCCAAAGCGAGCGAGCCTGAGGATCCCTTAGCGGAGGCTGTTATCGCTGTAAGCGGTCCCTCGAACCTTTTTTTTATTATATGGGTACATGCTGATACTTTCCAAAGTCTATCACTGCCTCTAATCTACCAACATTCTGTACTGGCTTCGGTGGGGATGCGTCTAGTACGCCGGTCCCATCAAGCAGTGGGCCTGCGACGACGCCGACTCCTACCTCTAGCCCTAGGCCGAGCAGTACACCCCTTTCAAGCTCTATCCCTACCTCTTCCAGCCATATTTCTAGTTCAAGGCTGCCCCCGTCCTCCACTCCTAGGCCCAGTCCTAGTAGTACCCCGGCGTCTTCGCCGTATCCAAGCAGCACGCCCAGTTTGTCGCCGTCGCCATCACCATCACCATCACCATCAACGTCCAAGACTCGACGTCAGCACTTCCGCCACGGAGCGCATGGTAGAAGGGTTTACTAGTGGACTGTTGTTTGATTATATATTCCTTCGACTGTGCATATATTTCTCAGAATATACCCAAGGTTCTTGTCCAATAAATCGTGAACGTAGATATCTTAGTGTGATTTATGCAATCAATCTTAATCACCGTAATCACCGTAATCCCCGATCGGGCCAGACGGCTTGAGATCCCGATATGACCGTATGAAAATCAAGCATAAATCACGCCAGGACAGAGATTGACTGGTCATCTCCCAGCCTTACAGTCCTCACAAAATCCGGCTAATTAAATGTGGGTTAAACCCAAGTTAACTGGGTCTATTCGGGGCCTCCCCGAGCACAACTCGGCCGGGGCGTGCATTAATCACGGCATTCCGAAGTTATACAACGACTCTTCGCATTTCCGCTGCACAATTCATTCCCCAAACCCTAAATCCAGACGCCACGCCACGTAAGATCTCTGAGATATGCAGTCAGATTGTGTTTTATGATATGCAGCCCAGCAGGGTATAAACTGCGATTTCCAGCTTGTCAGCATAACATGGGATCGGATCTGGATTTTTCTTCCACGCGAAGTGACTGTCTGACTCTGCGTTGTATAGCTCTTCCTCTTGCAATCGCAGGGTCGTTTCCACTTTTACCTTGAACAGCTCATTTCAGCTCTTGACGGCCATGGATCCAACTCCGTCTGCGTCTAAATTCTCTGAATACATTCCCTACTGGCAGCTAGTCCTAAACCAAGGCATCCTCACAGACCGCATCCTCAACCACGAATATAACGGCTCCGGCACCGAAGAAAACCCCTACCTGGTGAACTGGATCCAAGATGACCCCCGGAACCCTATGGAATGGCCGCGGGCCACGAAATGGATATACACCATGCTGGTAGCCATCGCGACGCTGGCTGTCGCCCTGGTGAGTTCAGCCTTCAGCGGCGGACTGCCCCAGATACTACAGGAGTTCAAGATATCCTCGGAGGTTGGAACACTGGGCCTGTCGCTTTTCGTTGTCGGCTTTGCTATTGGGCCTCTTCTTTGGGCGCCGCTGAGTGAGATGTATGGCCGGCAGCTCCTGTTCTTCGTCAGTTATGCTGGTCTCACGGCGTTTAATGCCGGCGCTGCTGGGTCGCAGAATCCGTGGACTTTGATTATTCTGCGTTTCTTTGCGGGTGCCTTTGGGTCTTCGCCTCTTACCAATGCTGGTCAGTACTCTTTATTTCTTGTTGGGAAGTTGCTAATAAAGCAGGCGGCGTTATTGCGGATATGTTCCCTGCTAGTGAGCGAGGCCTGGCCATGACGCTCTTTGCGTCTGCTCCATTCCTAGGCCCTACCATTGGCCCAGTTATTGGTGGTTTCTGTATGACTCTCTCTCTCATGCTAAAATGGATTGATGCTGACTGAGCAGTGGGAATGAACGCTGGCTGGCGATGGGTGATGGGTTTCCTCGCAGCCTTTTCCGGCGTATTATGGATTGTCTGCTCAGTATTCGTCCCTGAAACATATGGTCCAGTATTGCTCCAAAAGCGGGCTGCAAGCTTGTCTAAACGCACAGGCAAGGTGTACGTGAGCATCCACGATGCTGAAAAAGGCAAGATATCCATCAAGAAGGCATTCAAGACCTCGCTGCTACGGCCGTGGATCCTGCTATTCCGCGAACCCATTGTCCTCCTGCTCTCGATTTATATGGCCATCATCTACGGGACACTCTACTTGTGCTTTGGCGCATTCCCAATTGTCTTCGAAGGCGAGCGGCACTGGAACCAAGGCGTCGCAGGCCTGGCCTTCCTCGGCGTCATGATAGGCATGATCTTTGCCATCCCATACAGCATCATCGACAATAAACGCTACGTCCAAACACAAGGGAAACACGCCGGCTTTGCGCCCCCAGAAGCCCGACTCCCACCCTGTCTCGTCGGTAGTATAGCCGTCCCCATCGGTCTATTCTGGTTTGCCTGGACGACATTCCCTTCCGTGCACTGGGTCGTGCCCATAATCGCATCCGCACCATTCGGCTTCGGAATGGTCCTCGTCTTCCTCTCTATCATGAACTACCTCATCGACTCTTACACCATCTACGCGGCCTCTGTTCTCGCCGCTAACTCTGTCCTGCGGTCCCTGTTTGGCGCTGCTTTCCCCTTATTCACGTCACAGATGTACGCCAACCTCGGTACGCAGTGGGCATCGAGTGTTCCGGCTTTCCTTGCGCTGGGTTGTGTGCCGTTCCCTTTTTTGTTCTATAAGTACGGGCCTGCGATTCGCAAGAAGTGCAAGTTCGCTGCTGAGTCGGATGCTTTTATGCGCAAGATGGCCGAGCGAATGTCTTCTACAGGGAATACCACTAATGGCAGCATAACGAACGATGAGAAAGAGAAGGACGGTGGGGAAGATATAGATATTGAAGCCGGGCCGCATAACGCCAAGGTTGAGTCTAGTTCTGGCTCGAGTCTGGATGAGTTGCCTGGTGTCTCTCGCAAGCAGAGTGTGCCGCAGTCTGTTCACTCGAAGTCGAGTGTTTATGAGGGGAATCCTTATAACATTGACCGGGTGACTACGCAGGAACGGTGAATTTATTGTGATGCTGCTTTAAAGTATCGCTATAAATAGACTAATACATTATTTCACTGCTACGCTCGTAACACTCCTAGATAATGAGGGCAATTGGTGCAATAGATATAAGGGAAGTATTTTATTAGACCAAATACATTATTGTTGTTAATTTATAAATATAAATATAATATCATTATCAGGTGTCTATACTTCCATTCACGTGACCAGATCGGTGACGATCCTGGTCTCGATCTCAAAGGCTCAACCTCACCCAGACAACCATCCAAGCAGCATGGCCCACCAAGTCGCCATAGCAAAGGCCTCGCTAGCCGCCGGACTGCTGCGTCCGGACCCAACGTCAGTCGCGCGCGACGAGATCACAGCGCTGCACACCTCTCTCGACAGAGCGCTGGCGCACTGCTCTCGCGCAAACATCCAGGTTTGATCTGCGTGTCCTTGCCCGCCGGAAATCGCGAAATACTAAATCCTGCTTTCTGCCGCTCGGATAGTCCTGCAAAGAATGGCTTCTCAGATATCTTGTCTCCTCGTCTAATCGGGTCGGCTTGTTGGGGAAGTACCTGGTTGCGCTGTCGGGGTCGTTCGAGGATAAGAACACCGACACCAACTCCGCCGCGAACACGAACAAAAACGCGAAACAGACACCGACACAGCGGCCCTCTACGAAGAGGAAGAGGCTGCATTTGTTGTATCTCCTGAACGATGTGTTCCATCATACGAAATACCACAACTCGTCGTCGGCGGCGTTCTCGACGCTCAGCGGGTCGCTGCAACCGCATATGGTGGAATTGCTAAGCTACGCTGCGTCCTACGACCGAGAGAAAAACCCGAAACACCATAGACGGCTCGGAGAATTGCTGGATATATGGAAGGAGCATGGCTATTTCGGCGCTGACTATGTAGGCAAGCTCCGCGAGGTGGTCGCCAACTCGGCGGTCTCAGGCCCGATCAAGACATCGGCGACCACCGGGGCAGAGAGTGCGGAGCCGGATCGGGACCGCAAGTTGAGGGATGCACCGTTTATTATGCCCGCTACTCACGGCGACCAGTCTGCTCCTTTCTACGACCTCCCGGCTGCGAACCTCATCCCGCATATTGTTCCGAATTCGACGGCTCCGCTGCGGCCCGACTTGATCAAGCCGTTGTTTCTGACGGCGGGGCCGGCAGACCAGAAGCTGGTGTCTGCGGTCAAGGCGTTTCTCAGCGACGTGGATCGGATCTACGGGCCAGGTGAACACGAGGAGAAAGACAGTGGGATTGTGGACATTGACGAGCTCGGCCAGACCGTCGTCCGCGATGAAATCACGGGAGACATCCTCGAAGGCGAAACGTACTACGGCTGGTCCCGGTCGTTCTGCCAACAGATGAAGAAGAGAAACGCTCGAGGCAGCCGAAGTCGAAGTCGAAGTCACAGTCGCAGCCGCAGCCCTCATAAGCGGCGACGGTACAGCGACAGTGCCAGTGACGACAGCAGATACCGCAGCTTGTCTCGAAGCCGGTCACCTCAACGAGCTAGGCGGTATGACTCGCGAAGTCGCTCGAGAAGCCGTTCCTACTCGCCGCCTGCAGCTCCCCAGAATCAGCCCTCACACCAACCCTCTCACCCACACAATCCCTACGCTCAACCGCCAGGCTTCCAACCCCCTCAAATGCCATACGGTGGAAACTTCCCGCCGCCGCCGCCGCCGCCGCCGCCAAACTACCAAGGCGCGTGGCCGCCCCCGCCTCCGCAGAGTTTCTCCAACTTCCCGCCTCCATTCCAGCAGATGCCGCCAATGCCGCCGGTGCCACCGCAAATGCCTCCAGGTTCGGGGCCATATAACTTCCCTCCCCCGGGAGGGCGAGGCTGGCATCCGCCGCCGCCACCGTCTGGGCGTGGATGGCGGTGATATGTCCGATACAATAAAATATAGCACAATATTGAATGAATTGGTATGAAACAGAACCATTAATGGCAATCAATAAATACAACCACATCAACTGAACATGTAGACATCAACAATACACCAGGTTAGAGTTGGAAATTATAAACCCCAGAATAGAATAGAGTATCCAACCCACTGACACTTGACAAACTAAAACAACCTCGAAGAGCTTGGAGTCGCACTGGCACTGGCACTGGCACTGTGACTCGCACGAGCCAACACCGAACTCGACGCCGCAGCAGCAGCCTCCTTCTTCCCCAGCTCAATCGCCTCGTTGAACGGCATACACCCGCTCTGGAAGATAGACTGGGTTCCGGGCTAGAAACAAACAATCGAATCAGTATATATCCATAGATAGATAGATAGGCCATACCTCTTGTTGACCCTCACTCGGCGTCTCATCATCCTCCTTCGGCCGTCCGGGTTTACCAGAGCAGCACATCAGACTGAGTCCGCATTCGGAGTTTTCGACCACGGCGTTGCCTTTACGGTTTACACATTAGCCACTCATCCACGTCCGGTATATATCAATCGAAAGGGAAAGGTAAGGAAGGAAGGAAGGAAGGAAGGAAGGAAGGAAGGAAGGAAGGTAATGGAAACGTACAACTCAACCCCGTCCTCGAACTCGCCGTAACCTCACCAACTATGGGCACAACCTCGCCGAGCTGGCCGAGGATGTCCTCGACCTGGTCGCCGAGGTTGGTGCAGCATTGCTTGGATGCGTGCGAGGGCGGGCACGCGGCTGTGTTGTTCTTTATACCGGCGGCGCCGAATGCGGAGGGGGTTTCGTGCGCGATGCTGGATGATATGGCTTCCTTGGGGGGGAGGGATGAAGTTGCGGTGCTACTTGTGCTGGTGGTGGTGTAGGGGATTGCGGATGTTAATTGGGTTAGGGATAGGATGAGGGGGATGGTGATGGGGATGTGCATTTTGGGAGAGGTAAGGACTGTGGTTGTAAAGTTGTAACTAGAGATAAGTATAGTGAAGGAATGAATGAAGTTGGATTGGTGAGTTGGCGAAGAAGAAGAAGAAACGAGAAAAGTCAGCAATGTCGATGTTATCCCAGCATTAGGATGTGAAACAGGGATGCAGGGAGCTGTGTCAGAGTCTGTTGGAATGAGCACGCCGGGGCTGGAATGTAAGGAGTCCTACGGTCTACCAGATGATGGTCAGTGAAGTCATCGTCAACAGTCCAGAGAGTCCAGAGTAGCTGGCTGATCGGAGAATTGACGCGTCCTGTAGGAACAGCTCCGGCAAGGAGGTTATTGCGGGTGGCTGGACTGCAAGGGATAACGTAGCAGCACAACGTGTTGATAATTTGTTTCAGACAGAGATTAAGAACATTCTATTGCCTAGCATGGGTATCGCGCAAAACAGAAGGATTCTGAGGAAGGATTCGGACTTGGGTCGCATAACTGGACGGACTATCCTAAATATCAAAACTGACCCCGACGGCCACATTCGAACACGCGTTTACTGAACGAACGTGGCCATCGTCTCCAAAATCCAGTTCTGGAAGGGATAATCTTAAAGGCAACATATAAGAGAGGGGATGCCGCGGGCTGTAAAGGGAGAGAAGAATCAAAGGCATACAGAGTATGGGCAGAGGCATGGAGGACTAGTCAAGGCGTGAAGTAGAATTGTCCACGTTGGTGTCGCTAATCGCTAAGGGAAACGCTGAAGGGCAATGTCAATCACAGCCTGCCGATGGACGGTACTGCAAGCAAGCACCGCTTCCATACCTCAAAGGCATATATCAAATAAAAAAAAAGATCAATGAATCGTTTACGGCGTAAGATAGAAGTTAAACGCCGCGACTATACCGCCGACTGAGCGCCAGCGCTGTCGGGGCTGGAGTCGGGGGCCTTTGACGGGGGCGAAGGACCGGGCGCGTGGCCGGCGAGGATGCCGCTGGTTGACCTGCCGCTCTGGCCGCTGGTGTTACTACTTCTGCTGCTGCGGCTGGCTGCGTAGCCTGTGTCTTCGGGGTCTGCGAACCCGGCCATGCGGCGCTGGGTGTACTCGAGCATGATGCGGCTGTAGTCCTCGACCGACGCGGTCTGGCTGCGGTCCACGGAGTGTTCTGGCTGGATGACGGTGAAGTTCCCAGGCGGGCGGCCTGTGTCTGTGCCTGGGGGCATTGAGTTGGAAGAAGGCATTGTTGCGGTGGTGGTGGTGGTGGTGGTGGCAGCGATAGTAGTCAAGGTAAAGCCTATAGGTAGGGTTAGTTGCGGCTCTCGCAACAGTCACGTCGTCGATTGTCGGGCAGATTCGCGCAGCATCGAGGCAGTCATAGTCATAAAGGCCTAGGACCTGTCTCCAGCAGAGGGTAAGAAGGGTGTGAAGCGCGAGACAAACAGAACGCAGCAGCAACAGCAGAAGCAGAGGGAGATGGAGACTCAAGAGCCAATGACGGCATAGCTCACCTTAGACTTTGTAGTTTAGTAGTAACAACCAGGAGGTTCGCAGTAATTCCGGGGAAGATAGTCGGGGAAGATAGTCGGGGAAGATAGTAAGTGCAAGGTGAGGGCAGCCAGGCACGAACTGCTGGAATTCTTATAACCAGAGGCAGGCATATGAAATCAGCGAGCAACAGCGGAGAAGCGACATCTCCCAGTCCCACAAGACCAAATCCACAGTCACAATCTCAACTTCTCGAGCTCCTCCAGACTTGGTGCGCCTAGTGTCTGCCTGGGTCCAGCCACATGGCGATCAAAGGGCGGGATGGGCCTGGGATTCGCCTGCGCCAGCGCCGATGACATCAGGGGTTCCTGTCCCTTAAAAGCCTGGTCGGTTCCCTCAACGCTGATTAGCCCTATTGCGTTGCTGCTCCAGTAGGAGCGACTCCAGTGACTCCATTGGCTCCGTTATGGTTCGCTGGCCCACACGCACTGCTCCCGGCGGAGCCCCGATGAGGTCACTGTACAGGCCCCGCCGTTGTATAAGATTAAGAACTCGGATTCTCTGCTTTCCGATTCGACAGCTGCTGTCTCTTGACAAGGACGGGGTAATTGTACATGAGACTCGGACTGTCAGACAGAGTCAGACAGAGTCAGACTCATTCCAGACTCAGACCCAGGACTGGGACTCAACGCAACGGCAGCGTGAAACAGATTCAGATCAACTCTGGTCTCGAGGATCCTTCCATCGACCTCGTCTGGATGAATCCACCTGCATTCAACCGAACCAAACAGAACGCAGGAGATCGTTTCCGGACTGCGCGTTGTTGGAGATTCGGCCGAAGTTCCAAAGCACTCGAAAGACGGGGGAGTCTCGACGGACGGAGGAATGATTTTCGTGCTTAGTTTGGTATTATTCACTGATTATTCTGATTATTCTCTATTCAGTTAATCAGTTAATCAGTTCAGTCTGCTGCAAATCTCCGACGGTTGTGCCTGGGGCTCTCCTCGGCCAATGACGTCAACGGTCCTACGTGGGTTCTATACTGGCCATGCACAGCTTTGGCTCAAATCTAAGTTGACTTAAGAGTAGATGGGATACACTGTATACTCTGTACGCAGTAGTCTTACCAGCAGTTCATCCACGACGAATCTGGGTTGGGTATGTCATAGGGCCAACCGTAGACACTTACTTCGCTCTCGTATGAAGTCATGGCACCCTTACGAGGAACAGACGGGGCAATTGAACTCTGCTCGCATGCTTTTCGGCAGCCCTGCTGCTTCCGGCAATCGAGTCGTTCCAAAAGACGTCAGGGGGTCTTCCTGCTGCACTCAAGAGCTCCTGTGGATGCCGCGAATGCAGGCATACTGCATCCACTAGGACGCCCACTAGGACGCCCACCAGCACACCCACCGGGCTAATTGAAGCTTAGACGGATCCATCACGGAAGATATATCCATCCTATTCCCCAGTCATGCTCGTATTATCCTGCCGGGGCTGTCGGAAACTCTCAGCATCGTCATCCACCCTGCCTGACGGCCAGTAGGATATACCCCAGCCTCAGCGACGCCGACTCTCGGCCGTTTTCCTCCATCATGATCTCCATTTGCACAGCTTACCCCTCAGGAAAACAGTCCAGCCAGCTCAGCCATCACATTCTTCGTGACGATCCTGCCGCACTCGCGTATACCCTCGAACTGATTGGGCTGGTTGAATCAACCAGATATACCAGACCAATTGACAACCAAACCTCGACCACGAGCTAAGAGCGCGAGATGGTGTGAAGCGACCATCCACCTGCATGTCCGGTGGAGGATGTTCATCATACCAGCCCCTGCCTGCGAAGTGTCCAAAGTGTCCATCAGCAGCTACACCCACACCCCCTAGACCGTAGACCGCAGACCCTCAGGGAAGTCGAGGAGAGCCACCTCACCTTGCGCGACGCTAGCCCTACAATCCTTACCCAGTACGGATGCACTTTGATGTCACTCACCAACTGACCCAGCGCGCCGTGCGTCACAGAACAGCACCCTGCTTACCCATTGCGGTAGCCCAGTAGGCCCAGGCTCAGTCTCAGTCTCAGGGAGCTCCCCACCCGTGCTTGCCAGCTCTTGAACTGATATTCTTCCGCATACATACCCAGAATGTGGAGAACTATACACCGTCGGTAGATTTCGGGGCGGTTCCATGCATGCCCCATACGTGCTAATTTACGGTGTAGCGTCTGCGCGGTGGAGTATGACGCCGTTCGGAATCTTCGCTCGGGCCTACTCTTATGTTAAGAATGTACAGGTATGTGATCTGTGTATCTGGCGATGTCATTGTGTTACCTATTGTGGTTGTCTCCATTGGTGTCTGCCATGCATCATAGGGTGCATGTAGGTAAGGTACCTGTCTCTGTAAGACCCTCTACCAATTGATAATTGATACCAATGGTACAGACATTCTGCTAACTTATCCCGGAGTATACAGAATATTTTAATGGCTGGCATTTTAATACTCAAACAACTCCATCACCTTCGTCATTTCCAGCATGTCATCCCACTTGCTCACAGCACCCTTGGGCTCTGGGATATGACAACAACGTCTCCATCCCAGTCTGACGTATGACGTCTGACGCCGAATATCGAGAGCAAACACCCAGCCCAGAATCCAATCCCACGTCCTAAGACTATGACCACAATGCCTCCACAATCACAATCCGAATCGTCCACGAACTAGACCCTTCCTCCCCCCTACCTCCCGCCCTTCGATTCGAAACCCGCCGATGACTTGGATAGTATACGGTAGCAGATGACGTCTCCGACCCGGATACCACGAGTCAGCTCCTGGCACAGCCTAGAAGACCATTGAGTCATCTCACCTCATCGCCATCTTTTCCGGAGTCATCACGCTACTTTATACTACAAAGATAACCGTCATATCTATACCGACAGCTATTAACAACAGTAAAGGAGAACTCGTCTTCTTGGCCAGCCAAGCCGGACTCGTTAGATCCGCCATTCCTTCCTTCCTTCCATTTGACGGATACCAAGATATTAATAACATCACATCCAAGTACGGCATACGTAGCATAATTCAACCAATCCGGCCTAGAGATTCTTGGGCGTAATGCATCGTACATAGCCGGGTTGTCGAGATAAAATCTACCGCTGACGAATGGTCGTACTACAAAGACATCATCACGTCACGTCAACCTTGCTAGATGGGAGCAATTGACGGAGGTAGGTAGGTAAGTTGAGTAGTTAACTAGACAGCTGCAACCCACTCCTTCTAGGTAGAAAGTACTTGGGCTGTTTTGATACGGCAGCTTCTATCCAGTGATGCCGTGGGCACAGCAGCGTTTGGCAATGAGATAGGTTGACCGTGTCATGTCATCACGGAACAATAGACTACCTACGTATGCCAGTAGATAGGATGACGAGTCGAGTCAGTAAAAGTTGAATTGAGGAGTTCAAAAAAAAAAAAAAAAAAAAAAAAAAAAAAAAAAAAATGCTGGCGCTGGTAGCTGATGCCTTAACCTCATACTAGTCTGTTTCTGCCTCACGAGTGATGTCTATAGAATTCCATTATCCAAGATCCAGGTATGATTATGATTTCATCTCTGAACTATGATACAAGGCCACTACGGTGCACTCTCTTGAGGCTAGACGTAAAGTAAACAATAAGATCAGGTTTTGATAGTGTTTGTAGCCAAGTTCTACAGGTAGGGCAGTGATGTAATAGCCCCATGCCATGCCAGGTATCAATCTACAACCTGCAGTAACCACTGGCAACAACCACGCTCTCTATTAGAAACTTCAGCCATCCACTCCATCATACAATATCGAGAGCATTGCAGGGTAGATTTGGGCTGTACAGTATACAATGCAAAACAGGATTCTGACTGAGCTGGGCTAGAACGGGCGAGACCAGTAACTACTTACTACATGCTAACCCAAGTCAAGGAATCCAACCTTCAACGTCATAGCAACCAGCCATGCGAAACCCGTTTTGCGTGAATTGCCAAACTCGTCTAAACGGTATGCAGGTTTGCTTCACGTAGACTACTCCTGGGCCTCGCCATCCCGTGCACAGACCCTCGAGATAAATAAGCGATCTATTTCGGAAACCGACGAAGCGAAGCGAACCTGCCCTTCTGGACTGCCAGATTGCCGGACTGTTAGACTGTTGGACCCCTGATGTCGCCGCTCCGCCTCCGCATCGAACCAGAAGCCAGACTAGATCTGAACCCACTTGATCCTGTTTCCTAACTGCGGTGTAGGCAAGACAGCTCAAGAATTCGACGGTCTCGGCTCTGGATCGATTGGGCACGTCAGGCGACCTTGAGGTGGTTCCCAGATGGTAATGGCAATGGCAGGTGGAGGCCGATTTTCTGACGTATCTTCCTCGCCATTCCCCTCTTTTTCTCGCTTTTTGATATGACGCCCTATCAGTGTCGTGCGGTTGTGGTTCGCTTGTTTCCAGCGCCATGGGATGCGAAAGGATAAGAATTAGCCAATTTCGAATGGCGAGGCATGTCCGTTTAGGTATCGCCACCGTGGCGGGACCTACGTAGCCGGTGAGTGAGGAGGACAGTTAGACGGTACGGGAGGGGAAAAAAGAAAGAAGACCCATATGACTGGGTAATCGAAACGTTCGTTCCTCTGTAGTATTCAGTCAAGTGAAAACATGACTCGCGTGGATAGACAGGACACATCGCTCAATGCAAAGACAGTAAGATTGAGTCTAAACGCAAGAGAAAACATAGATACAGACACAGACGCCACAATTCACATATCATATACTATAGTCATGCTCGCTCATCACACGTAACCTGTATTCAGGGTTAGTTCAACTCCGAATTACCTGACAGTCCCCTAATTGGAGGATGCATGGTGGGGGGAACGAACCTTTGCGGGCTCCCTGGAAGAAGAACCGCACAACAAACACCTGCAGCCCAGCCATGGAAACCATCATCAACCCCTCAATCACGCTGAAGTTCCAGATACGGCGTTCGGTGCTGCGCACAGTGCTGAAGTTGCGGTTCTCACGTGTCCGGAAGTACTTCTGGTTGCGCGAGATGGTGGACAATTGGGCGGAGAGCTTGAAGATGGACTCCTCGATGGCGGAGGCTTGTTCGGGGTTGGCGCCCTGGCGCGAGGGGAGCTCTGTGCGGGATTCGTTTTCAAGCTATACCAGACAAACAGTCAGGGGATGTTTTCCTTGAGGGGGTACAGGGGTAGTAGGTAGAGTACGCACCGCGATCTCAAAATCAACCATCTTCTCCGCGAATGTAGACATTTCATTGTTGAAGCAGAAGCGGTATTCGCCGACGCTCTGAGCTGTGAACACAAAGTCTCCCTGACGCTCCTTGGTGCCATCTAGGACCGACTTCTCGCCAGGTCCGACAACAGCGTAGTCGACATCGAAAGAGCCACCGGATTGCACCTGCAAAGAGTGAAGCCGGTCAATATTTTTCCAATTGTATAATATTGCGAGAATTTAAACCCACAGCAAAGTAGAATGCGACTTTGGTGTTCCGCTGGTCAACGAATTTGTAGAAGCAGGCCTTCTCGTTGGCCTCGAGTCTGTACGTCAGGGCGGTTGCGGTGACAGATGACACCAGGCAGGCAAGAAGGCCGATGACCAGAGCTGTGAAACGCATGTTGAGCGGATTGAAGAGTCAAGTTCGGTGTTGGGGACTCCTGTTGGCACACGCGACTCGGCTTGGGATTTTGGAGAGCAAGTTCTGGCCAGCTTGTTGTTGTCGCTGTTTGTTTTGTTTGCACTCCCGCCTCCACTGCGAATGGCATTCACGACACACGTCAAGTCCAATGGCAATACAAAGCTTGGTTCCTTTCAGAATTCAGGCATTAATCAATATTCAATTGGCTACTATTGATGCACTGGTATGTTTCATGAAAAACTCCGCCTCTCCTAAACCCCCAGGCTTCGTAATCATAACACTGTAAGTTAAGCCGTCTACTACATTTAAAAAAGGCAAAGGAAAAATAACTTCATTGCGCTCAAGGCTGCTTGACATTCACTGGTTGCCGCCACCAGACCGTAGCTGTACATTCTTCAACCGAGCGATATCGTCATCGTGTTCCTCTCTGGCTCTTATCTGATGAAGAAAGATTCGCTTCTGTTCCAAAAGTTCTGTTTCTTGCTCGGGTGGTCCAGACCGAGCATGTCGTCGGAGTCACCGATTACGTCTGAGAGTATATCGTCTGGATCAAGTTAGCCATGATACCAATTATGTTATCGCTATGTCCTCTCTAGACATACCATCTTCCAGATATCGTGGGGTTGAGTAAAGCTGGCGGGGGACAACAGCAAACTTGACCTTCTCAAATCGCTTCCCCTTAAGGCCGGTTCGCTTCGATAGTCGTTCTTTGGTTTCTTTGAATATTTCTCCCTTCTTCAGGTTAGCCACGAATTAACGATGTACAAAAGCGAGCTGATGCCTACTGGTTTCATAACAAATTTGAAAGGCACACCGTGCGGCTTGTTGGTTTCCTTGTCAAAGTTGTAAGCATTGACCGTCTTTGAACCGGGCTCCATGTTCAATTCTTCCTCGGGGATTTTCTCCGCATATAAGGCGACAAAGTCATTGGTACCGCCGAATTTGCTGTCTTGCGCGAACTCCTTGTATATCTTGTAGTTGTGCACCTCGAAGACACGGGCATCACGAATCGTTTCGTCGTCCAAGCCCGCCTTCTTCTGTAAGCCGACTAGGACATCGCTTACTGACCCTTCCCGGGGTACCAGAACTTCCACAGTTTGCTAACGCCGAGAGTCAGTTAAAGTTCAATCCGTAGAAAATAAACAGTGTCATTTCTCACCTCTTTAGTGATACCCTCGGAAAGCCACGTCACGTGAAGGCAAACTTTGGACTCAAAATCGCTTAGGCTTGTTTCCAGGACCTCATAATAAAGTGCATCTTGCCGAACAACATTAATCCCGTAACCAGATATCTGCGTGCCCAGAATTGTCTGCAGGGTCTGTGCATTTTGGTTCGCATTTCTCTTGATGAAACCCTTGGCTTTTCCACTATTGGCGACGACCGGTGAGAAACGCAAATGCGTGTAATCAATGCCCAAATGCTCGCCAACCTTCCTGGAGAACTGGTCATACGACATCTTCTTGCTAAGAACCAGGGTAAACTCTTCGCCTCCAGTGGCCTTAATCGGCGCAAAGGTAATGTTCACGCGGTTCAGCAAATAATCGTAATAGAGTTTAGCATCCGGATAGATCGCTGTCGGAGGCAGCTCCGATTCTTTGATGGACTTTTGGAAGGTGATAATGTCGCCATCCTGGATCTCAGATTGCTGGAATGTCTGCTTCGGCTTCATGAGGTCAATCATGTTGTGTTTGATCTCCTCGTAAAGGACAAACTCAGTTCCGGCCGGCCAATCCATGGTCTCGAGTATTGTGGGTGCAAGGTCCGCAACCTTCTGGTTCTTCCGTACATACACCGCACCGATTCCATTCAAGGTTTGCTTTACCACGTCGAAGTGCTTCAAGAAGATGAGCACCGAGGTAGAGCTATCAGGCCAAGATACGGTGCCATCGGCAGACTCTTCTCCGACTTCCACCCAGACTCTGAATGCATTGCCCTTGGTGCCATACCGGCTATACGCCTCTTCTACTGTCATTTCCGGGTCCTTAATGACTTGATCGGGTCGCATTGTCTTGTTCTGCCGGTTGACCATGACCCAAAACCGAACTTGGAGCGGGTTCACTCCTTTCTCCTCTGCTATCTTTTCCGCGAATTCGCCAACCTTGGTGGTCCTCAGAAGTCGATACGGTTTCGGGAAAGCCGCTTCTTCAGCCGGCTGCTCGAAACTGGTTAAATCAAACCCATTGTGAGATTTGAAGGTCTCTTCTGACAAGACCCCAACATTGATATACAAGTGCGCCTCTTCTCGTTCCTTCCTCCTACGTGCTAGGTCTGCACGTTCTTCAACTAGTCGTTTTTCTAAAATTAAAGCACATTAGCAAATACATAGTACAATGACTGGATTGAACATACCAATATGAGTGGGCACGTCCTCTTTCGTTATTGGAAGGAGAACATCATCCGACCTTGATTTGCGGACATAAACCAACATGTAGGCGTTCGTTGATCGCTTTGTGGATAGCGCTCGAGTATACGGTTGTCTCACTCCAACCGAGCCGTTGGGAAGTTCATACTCTCCACCATAGTTTTCTTCGAGCACCTCTTTATCTGTCGCTCGGGTTACCCGGTCGTCATCAAAGCGGTACCAGTGTCCATCTTTGGTTGGTTTCAGGAAAGCAAAGTAGTGACCAGCGTTCAGGTCACCGCTGTGGACTAGAACACCATGTAATTCATAAATCCATGATTCAGACTTATCGGCATCCTTCGAAAGGTAGGGGGAGGCATCAAATTCCATCGGGAATGCATGTCGGTCATTAATCTTCATCATCGCATCTCGGTGGATATCGTATTCAAAGCGTTTCAAGTGTAGGTGTAACACGGGAGGGAAACTCTCAAAGATCTCTCCTTTGTCGGCATCTTGCAAGCCGTACGGTTGACCCGCGTCGTATTTGTTTTCGCCCTCGAGTCTCTCTACTTGGATATAGTCCTTAAAACTGTCATCAAGCGTCTTGTTGTTTCTCACGTTCAGCTGAATATCCCAGAAATCTTCCACTCGTGATGATTCGTAGTCGACATTAATGCATGAGATGTAGGTTTTCGATTTCCCCACAAACAAATCGGGGAGTGCCTTTTCCGCCGGGGTACCCTTCATCCTCTCCTCTAGCCTCTCCATTAACTTTCGCGACAGTTCCTGGACATCTTGCTGTTCAAAAATCTGCCTCGACTCCCAGCCAAACGATGCCGTAAGCTCAGTTGTCGAAACGGGATAGTCGCTCGTTTGGAGGTTGTTGAAGAGTCTCTGAAGGGTCCAGGCGCTGTTGTCTCGTGATGCCTCCGCTTCCGTCGGGATTTGGTAAACGGCCTTGCGGAATGCATTGGTGAAATATAAAGACTGCAGTAATGAGTTCAGATAACATGTCGCTCCTTGATTCTTCAACCCAACCATGCCGGTTTCTTTCTTTGAGTCATAGCTATACAACTGTCAGCTCAACCGCAATATTAAATACGGCGAGGGTTCATACTTCTGGAAACTGTGCCATAAAACACCCGTCGGGTCCTTGACGACACGGACATATGCGGTGACATTGGCCTCGTCATTTTGTACAAGAGGGACTCCGCGCCCTTCCCAAGCCATAGTGAAGAGCCTACGAAGCTCGCAGAACCGCGTGAAACCCCAATCACCCTCGTCCGCATTAAATCTATGAGTAGCGACTACAAGGTGGTAAGCACGGGAAATAGAGTTTGGAATATCAGCCGGTTCCAACTTACCATGTGAAAGTTGAAGGGATGGATCGTTTGGATTCCAAAGCACCAGTGCAAATTGCACGCAAGCATACCAGTTCTCGGGCGGTTCGTCTTCCCAGGCATGCTCTAGATAGAAGGAAGCGTGTTCGACATGGTTTCCATAAGGAAAGAAAAGCACTCGCCTGCGAGCCAGCGATGTGAGCGCGTCGTTCGGACAACAATGCGGCTATTTCCACTCACCATGGGGATCCGCCGCACTGAAAGACTGGTCCATGCTCCTTCTTTTTCAATTTCCGCCAGTCCTGAATATTCCATGTGTGCCAAGTTTCATCTTCGGTCTCAAGATCTGGGTCTTTTGGGAGGACGCGGGCCATCACAGCCGGAACTGCGGTAGAGACATATGTTAGAGCATATTCTTACAATCAATTGAACGCTTTGACAAGCCATGGCCAAAATGCGGGGATCAGCATGGGCACTGCGGGGAAGCCAGGTCGGAGCAGGCGTATCCTTCGCGAGCTGGATGTGCGATCTCCCGGTGACAGGGTAGAGTTCATTGGAAAGTCCTTACAGTCATCCGCAGGGGGCTCAGCGTCTGGCTCCTCAGAGCCGGACTGAGAAACGACGACATCATCTGTTCTGTCATGTTGGAACTGTTCGTATTCATCAACGAGCATTTCACTGTCTGCGACCTGGACGGGTTCAAGAGATCGTTAGCAAGAGTTTGCATGCCAGGAATTAAGCTGTTGTTGTCACATCTGCGACAACCCAAGTTCAAGGACTCACGTTGTCCATGAAGGAAGAAAAGTGCGCTCGAGCACCCGAACTTGAAGGCGTTCGCTGCTCGGGGAGGAGGGGACAAAAAGGACAAGTTCTAACGACAAAGGAAAAATAAATCTATTCCACAAATCGCAGGGAAGCGGCGAAGAGGGAGCAAGCAAAGGTGTAAGGGACAAGCAGATCTTGTCTGGGTCTGAGCAGGTTCCAGTTCAAAGGGAGTTGAGGCCTGTGGCGGAGTCCTGCAGTCAAGAACAACGAATAATAACGGCCTGCGGGCACACTATGAATCAGATTATTAAGACAGCACAAGCACAATACCTAACTATCCAGGTCTGCCGCCAAGAAGTTAACCTGAAGGATTTATTGAATTTGTTATCTAGTACAGCCTATCTCTCCTTTGCTGCTCCATTCACCGGGCGCTGAAGGCAAAAGGCAGCGAATTCAGGGCAGCGCACAGTGATATCATAAGAATTGGTCTTCCTTGGTCCGCCCGCACTTACCGGTATGAGCACTAGCCTCGAGTATAAGTTTGTATACAAACATCCCCATACTAATGCCGGCTGGCATGCTGCGGCAACCAAGCTTGTCTCGAATTGATATTAGGCCTATAATATTGTTTATTTTCTCCTCTAATGTGAAATAGAGCATGAAATCCTCCAATTTTGAAAATGAATGGGTCACTTTGCTCTTATGCAGCCGGTCACATGTCAGCCCAAAACTCTCACCGCCCGGTCAAACAATATCATGACTCCGCCCGCATTCAGCAATCATGCGACCAGCAAACAACAGCTCGACAACCCCCAGGGAGTCATGTATGAGACTTATCGATCACATATAGTCTCGTCTCCGGTTCCTCGAGATTTTACTCACCCCGGAGCTCCCTCTACAAATCCATGAAGGAAACTTGACACGCTCATTCGTCGAGATGCTGCGGAGTCGCCCAGCTCAATGCTGGCGGACCTTGCACAGACGCCCTCTCTCAACACGAAGTCTCAACTCCGAGGGGCTGACACATAATCCACCACCATGGAGACCTGTCTCGGCTCTTGACGAGTATGTTGCCACTGGATTTTCAAGTGATCCATCGCTAATATGCCGTCTAGATTTGTCGAGCGCCAGATTCGGCCGATCAGTTTACGGCAGCTCACTTTCTTCGGACGGACCCTGACTGAATCAAGACTGATCAGTTCTGCAAACTACGTGCGCACCGAGCTTCCCACAAGGTCAGTAAGTTTGGCTCTCATTATATCTTGCTTCTACTAACTTAAGCTGTTGCGGTCAGATTAGCACATCGTCTTCGAGATATACAGAAGCTACCATATGTCATTGTCGCTAACCCTCACTTCTCCCTGGTATACGAGCTTTACTACAAAGCGTTTGAGAGGTTCCGCACCGTTCCAGAAATACGAACCCTTGAGGATAATGATAGGTTTTGTGACATCTTACGCAAGACGCTCACAGAGCACCTCGTCGTGATACCGAGGTTAGCTATGGGAGTACTTGAATGTCGTGGTCTGCTGCCTTCCAACGCAATGGATGAATTCATGAATACTTTGCTTAGGGCGGTAAGACAATACTACCCAACCCGATGAGTCTTGCCTAATTTGTGCGCTAGAGAATCTCCCGTCGGGTTATTGCGGAACAGCACCTTGCATTAACGGAAACATTCAACTCACCTTGGCACTTTCCCGGATCTCAGGATAGGACAGACCTGAACGCAGACTTCGTGGGTGAAGTTTTCCTGAAATGCAATGCCAAAGAGGTCGTAGAGCGCTGCGGCAAGTTGGTACAGGACATGATTCGACAGAGCACTGGATCCGACAAGATTCCAGAAATTTCCGTGCAGGGCCACCTAGATGCCACCTTCCCATATATGCTCAGTCATTTAGAGTACATAATCGGGGAGCTCCTACGTAATTCAGTCCAGGCTGTCAGTGAAAAATATCAGAACTTGCAGCAAACGCCGCCACCTATCGAGGTGCTCATCTGTGAAGCACCTCAGCATGTTATAATGCGCGTCTCTGACCAAGGTGGAGGAATACCGCGAGAGATCATGCCCTACTTATGGTCTTTCACCAAAGGCCCTCACAGCAAGGTACGACTTGAGAACCTAGGACAGGTCCCAGCAATGGCAGCCACTTTGCAGGAGCTCTCAGTGTCCAGCGATATCAAGCATGCGGACAAGGAAACTTTCCGCGAAAGCTCACTAGACACATTAACTTCGCGACTTCCAGACCTACGGCTGGGTATTGGACTCCCAATGAGCAGAGTCTACGCAGAGTACTGGGCAGGTAGCCTGGAACTACATAGTTTGGAGGGATACGGCGTGGACGCTTTCCTTCAGATATCGAAACTCGGTAACAAGAACGAGCAGGTCACCACGAGAGCGGCAATTGATGCCGTGTGATCGATCTCGACTCTCCCGCTCCATTGGCGTATTAAATCTCGGCATATACTCCATATGCCTTTTTCCCATCTAAATACATCCCGGGGGATTTTTCGGGAGAACAAGCGGCGTCGGAATGTACCTTTGTATATCCTCAAATACTGTGCTAGGCTGCCTAGCCCTGCCGGCATTTTGTGGCGGCACCTTGCGGCATGACGTCAAGGAACAAACTACTTCTGCGTTTGCTTCCCGCCTATATACTACACCCGAAATATTACTTTATTGTTAAACCTGTGTGGCTATCAGATCTGCCAGCGTCCTTTGTCACACCGATTCCATAGTATTTTCAGTCCAGTGACGTCGTCGCGGCCCCATACCATAAAATGCAACGCATGAACTCTGAACACGACGACTATGCTCCCATTTACATCTTCGCCCTTCTTTTCACTATTCTCTTTCTAAGCTTTATCGGAACCTATTCAGATACCAACGAGCGTGCTGAACAAGCTGCACATTCGTAGATTTCAAGATGGCCGGAACAGCTTCAATGCTCTGCTTGATCATCATTACTCTCTTCAGTACGTCCTACATCAACGACAAGAGCTTTAAAAAGCTTCGCGTGATATACACTATACTAATACACTCCCTCAGTACCGCCACTAGGCGTGTTCCTCATCTCTGGCTGTGGCGCCGACTTCCTTATCAATATCCTCCTAACAATATTGGGGTTAGTCTTCTCCAATCCATTTTATCCTTGCCCACGGGATCTCAAGCTAACAACTAGCGCTTCTTAGCTACTTCCCCGGCCACATTCACGCTTTCTACTTGGAATACGTCTATTACCATAATCGCGATTCTATGACCCCGGGACATGCGCCGGGTGTATACTCCGATCGGATTCAGCAGGGTGGACATCATGGTAGACGTCACAATGCGCCAAACTATGGGCCAAGCTACGGGCCAAACTATGGGCCAAACTATGGAACTGTTTCTTGATTAAATGTCGGATGGCTAGAGTTTCGATTGGCACTTTGTTGGATTCTAAAGATTGTTTTTTATCGGTTAATTGCCGCCGTTCGTCGTCCTGCTCCTGCGTATCGTATCCATGATAAGGCCAATCAATCTATATTAATGAAGACCCAGTTCCACAATAGAAAAAAATAGATCCATTCGTTCGATTCATATTTTAACCTCTTTCTTTATAATTACTAGCACGCTAAACCGAAGCCGCCTGCTCCCCCTTGGGCTTTGATCCCTTCAATGCCGGAAAAGCAAACGCCTTGGTCTCCCCCGTCTTCCCCTCCGTCCTAGGCACCGCGCCGGTCCCAGGGGCCCACCACAGCGCCCCAACCCAGGGCTGTACATTCCACCCAACAGCCAGCGTCACGTTCGACCGTTCTGCCATCTTCCCAGTGATATCACTGATCTGGTACTTGCTCTTCTGGTCGCGGAGACGGAGGACACCAGGGGTGGGTTCCGCCTTCTTGGTCTTACTGTTGCTGTTCTTCTTGTTCTTATTCGAGGCCTTGCGAGCGGCGGAGCTCTTGCCGCCTGTAGAGAGGAATCGCTCGCGGAGATTCCGGAAGGAGTACGGTGATTCGGGGGCTTCAATGATGGAGTCCCAGATGATAGATTGGGATTGGGGAGTTGCGGATGGGTCGTCTGAGGAGGAGTAGGCGGCGTAGACGTAGACAAAGAGTTGTTTTGTGTTCCAGTTGAAGAGAGGAGAGAGGTCTGATATTATTCCATTAGCTCCGCTGTCGTTATTACTACTTTGTTGTGGACTAGACGTACCGGCATCCAGATCAAACCTGATCTGCGCGTACTCTTCTTTCTTAGTTGCGTAGTAGTGAGGTCGTCCCTTAATTCTAGGCCCCATAACAGGGGATGTTAGCATACCCCACCAAAATAACCAGATCAGAAATATAACAAGACAATAAAGAGACAGCATACACTTTAACATCCTTCAATTGAACATCGGCCGTCACGTTATCGGTTGGGAAAACAAGGACCGAGAGCGCAGCGAACCCGGCGACGAAGAGGGCGACTGTCGTGAAGAATCCGAAGACCGCTTGCGCGCGGTTGAGTGTTGAGTGCATGCTGCTGGTTGTTTCTGAATTCGCACTCCTTGTGTAGACAAGGTAGAGTGATGGGATCAGCTCCGGGGCTGTGATGAAGCCACATGGGCCTTTTTCGGAGGCGGTGATTGGGGCTTATCGATAAGGATGCTTCGTCGCAAAAGTACCATGGCGATGCATGCCAATTGCGAAGGAATCGGCTTTGGGCAATTACAGCCTCTTCTAGTGGTTATTCTTTAGATTATTTGACTATTTCGGCAAAGCACATCTTACATGTCATTTATCTTGTTCATGGCGCAAACCCACTAACAAAGAATAGTCTGTATAGAATCTCCGCTCTCCACCTTGAGCTAACCCCGCGCTACATCTGCCAATTCCCCCAGGTCACTCTCCTCCTACCTGGATTGCGCCTCAACATTTCTTTTACAGAAACTCATTCAAATTTGCATAGGAGGGACAGCCAGCATGGGCGACCACGTTCTCTTCTTCTATGGTACATCTCATCCCCCCAAAGCTGTCTACACATACCTTCCGTAACTCTGGAGCTTTGCGGCAATCCATATCCACCCTCTACAACACCTCACCACTTTAGTCTAAAGATCTAACAACAAGAAATCATACAGGTACCTTAATGGCCCCCCAAATATTACACCGCGTAATCCACGGGTCGCCGACACCCCAACAATGGCAGAAAGACCTCGTCCAGTTTCGCCCCGCAATCTTACACGACTACCGCAGACACCGTGTACGGCACGCTGACTACCCGGGGATAATACAAGCTTCGTCTCTTGAGCCAAACCCCTCGACGACAGAGGACAAGGAATCGAGGCCCCCCGGCGCAAACGTCCTGGGTACGGTAGTCTCGGGCCTGACGGACGGAGACTTGCACAGGCTTGATATCTACGAGGGGCCCGAATATTCGCGGGAGCAGGTATCCGTGCGAATACTACGGGAGGCATTGTCCGAGGACGATCAGGATGGGGGTGAGGATGCGGATAGGCATTTGAAGGATGTGTTGGAGGCTGCGGGGGCGGAGTTTGCGGATGAAGGGGAGGAGGTTGAGGCCGAGACATACGTGTGGATATCTGGGAGAGAGATGTTGGAGGATGCGGAGTGGGATTTTGAGGCTTTCAAGAGGGATAAGATGGCGTGGTGGGTTGCGGCGGATGAGAGTGAGTGGTAATGTGATATACATATATACGTAGGTAGACTTGTTGATGTACTGCCAGTATGTACATTCAATGTGTTGGTTTATATAGGCCCATGCCAGATTAAGGTAGAGATAGCCCATGGTATTGTTTTGAATTCGTGCACGAAGGATAAAATGTGCAATTGTAGCGGGTATTTAGTATGCAATAATAAATGTGACGTTGGTATCTCATGCTCCCATCGAAAATATGCCAAATATCCGCAACGCCAGTAAATACATCTCTAATAATTCTAGGTAGAATAAAAATGCAGTCAACAAAATCAACAAAGGAACATAGTATAGTAAAGGGTACAACATCGGCGAGGCGATATCTTCATCGACGCCTGGAACTTCGAGCATTTTTATTTGGCATTTGGCGGCGGCGTGCCGCGAACTTGTATTTCAACGCCTGTTGACTCGGCTCGTTGCGCGCCGGTCTCTTTCCGCCGCGGAGCGGAGTCTTCTACAACGCCATCGTCGTCGACATATACAGTATCTGCGCGTTTCCGCTGTCGTTGAAGGGGGCGAGGTTCAATTATTTTCGCAGCATCGGTTGGTTGTGCGCTAGCCTGGTCTTGGCTATCTGGTACCTCAACAACCGCGCGCTTGGCAGGTTGGTCTTGTGCATCACGCCTGGGAGATATCGAGTGTGATCTGGGTTTGTGGTCGATCAATACCACGGATTCTTGCGTTTCAGTATTGGCGGCGTTCTGGCCATGCTCGATGTCAGGTTCGGGGTTCTTCGGTGACGCCGACGACGGTTCACGACGTCGGTCAGGTTTCGTCGTTTTCGCACTGGGTGATGGTGAACGTTCCACTTGCACATCTGGACTGTTCCTCTTTTCGTTTTTGACCTTTTCCTTCGTAACATCCGTAGCTGGAGTACCAAGGAGATAGGATATTGGCTGCTGATCTACCATCAACCTATCCCTGTCCGCTTCGGCCTTGGTGAGCTGCTCTTGCTCGTTATACAGCAGCTCCATAAATTTACGTAGCCTGGTCCGTAGGAGACCGGATTGTAAGGGAGGCCAGTCCTCTATAGAGCGCATTTCTTTCCGCAGGAGTCTCCTGGTGAATATATCCGGATTCTGAACGAATTTCTCAAGGTAGGCCAAGAGATAAAGCCCGCAATCGGAAAAGTTTGGCTGTTGTGGAATTTCCTTTGCAGTCATTCCCTTTATCAGGGTCTTGTTGATTTCAATACCTCGCTTGGACTTTGCTTCTGCGGAGAGGTACTCGCGGAGATTGCTGATGGTGGAAGAGCGGCTCTGATTCAGTGAATCGAAAGTAATGACGATTGGCTGACAAGCATCGTATTTCATGCCAGTTGGTGCCCGCTTCTTTGGTTTACGTGATTTCTTTGGTGATCCAGCCGATTTTTGCGAGTCGGGTTGTGGTTGGCTTGAGAAATCGGAAAATTTCGCTGGGGCTAGATCGGGATTCTCTTCATACTCTGGCCAGTCCTCCTGGCCTCGTTTTGACCCCTCCTCATGTACTCCTTGCTTGTCGGAAATACCCATAGAGGCTAATGACTGCCTGGTCGTTTCTTCTTTGGTATCATGTTGAACTCCTTCCTGCCCATAGAGAGGAGGCTCTGGAGTCTCCGGAATTTCTTGAGTGTCGCCGAGCCGTTGAGAGGCAGAAAATTTGCTCTCGTCCATGATTCCCTCCAAGTACGGAAGGTTGCATATGATAGCCAGGTACCAATGTGCATCCTCGTTGATCGGTATGATGATGTAGTCGTAGCTGAATAAGTCGACACTCCGAGTCCATTTCTCAACGCCCTCGTAATTAATGTTGCGCCTACCTCTGGGAGAATTGGTAAGCCTTGCGAAGAAGTACGAGTTGAAGAAGTAGACCCGCTTCGCTACTTCTGCGTTGCACCGGTGGAGGTGATCTTCCAGGAAGCGTATGTAAAAGCCGATGATGTTGTCGTTGAGGAACTCGTGCGGCGCAAGCCTCTCCAGATCCAACGCGTTCACCTCGGCCTTTTTCTTTCCGAATCGAGGGTAGACGAGAGGTTTCCTAATTTGTTAGCATAGCCGACAGGAAAGTAGAGGGTACGAGACATACTTGGTCATTTTCTTATCGACGTCATGATCTAGTTCCAGTGTATACTCGTGGCCAGGGCCGTCGTCATCGTCGCTAGCACGGGCGTTAACAAAATTTCTTGACCAGAAGTGAAGCAACTTACCAAACCAGGGTAGTCGGTGCTTGCCGTGCCATTGCTCTTGTTGAACGCGTCGAGGTTTGTAAGTTTTGATTGAATTTCTTCACCGGGATTTCAACACCTATGCTGTGTTGTGGACCAGATAAAGGGTTTGAAGCGCGGCTGGGATGGGGAATCTCGTCATGCGTGGTTGGCGGGGGGCTGTTAAGTTTTTCTGGAGCAGTCTTTGAGCTCATTTGCGCATCGGAGTTTTCATCTTTGTCTTTGAGTGCGTCTGACAGCCTCATTCTTTTAGTTGTAGCCGAGGGCAGGTTAGGTGCTTCTTCCGTATCTTCTACCAATCCGAGCGGGCGTTTATGCCCGTTTTTTGCTCCAGCAAAGTGTTTATGGTCCCGTTCGCTCTTTTTGAATATCCGGTCTATATATCCCCTTCACAAAGTATGTCAGCGTCTGATGTTGACCAAGACAGCAGGAGTGTCGGAGGGCATAATTTCAAAGTAAACTTACTCCTCCTTTTCCTGTACATCAACCTTGAGCCTCTCGAGCAGGGAGCAAAGTCCTTCCTTTTCCTCTGAAGAGGATAGCTCAAGGTCTATTTTTGTATCCTGCCCTTCCACCTTGGACAATTCAAACCGGACTTTGCGGCTTGAGGTGTTCCCTACAAAGACTTTCAACACCGTCTTGAGAGAGATCGAACGAATGATTCCAGAATTGGCTATTTTAATGGTTATTTCACCACTGGCAGGATCAACAACGAGCTGGTCAGTCTCGGTGCCTAGGTCATCCAGTAACCAAGGGGTTCCACGATAGTATAAGATTTTAAACCGCTGGGATTCTGGATGGCGCTTCTTAGACGACTTTTCCCTCTTGCTTTTATGCCCACGCTTCGGCTTTTCATTAGATATGAAGACTGTTGGCCGAATATCCGAAGAAGTGTTTGCATTCGGTGGATCTCTTCGAGGATTGTTCAGGGAAGTTGGCACTGGTCTGACTGTCACATCCCCTTGCAGCTCATCGGGGCTTTCCCTTGAATAAGATGCACGTGCTTTCCCCGTCCGATGTGGTGGGGGGCTTTTAGTAGCTCTGTTGTCGAAGATCGATGGCCTTTTTACTATTTCCACGCTGAGATTTGGCGTTTGTTCCGGTAGCTTTCGCGAGACGAATTCAAAATCCTCTGTCGTAATGGCCGGCCCTTCTTGTCTTTCCTTGGCTGCGTCACGAGTAAAACTAAGGTCATCGTCATCCGAAGAAAAACGATGGTGGTGGTTTGTGATCTTCTTAGGACTATAATGGGGATTCCTCACATCTTTATCACTTGCTCGATGCACTGATGCCTTGCCGCCGTTGGTATCCCGCGGTTGTTTTACTTGGCCGGAGAGTTGGCTTGGTGTTGGCGAGCGCGCGTCTAAACGAATTACGCTCGGAGAACGCCTGTCCGGGGACCGATCTGGAGCTTCCTCGCCTAGAGTGGCTCCTCGTCTGGGTGTTTCTTCCGGACTCTCAACTCGGCGACGTTTCGATGATCTTTCCGGGGTGTTTGTAGAGTGCTTCGGGCGAGACGGGCTGCTGAAGTACTTTTCCTTTTCCTTTCCCCTAGTAGGCACCGGCCCACTCGCTCGTGACCCCTTTGATATAGAGTCGTAAGGTCTGAAACTCCCAGTATTGATGCTCTGGAAGCGCCAGTATTAGCGACGAGGAGGGACAAAAGGCAGAATCACAAGTATTCGATGGCAACATGAACTCACCTTCTTCTTGGCATTTGCCGTTTGTCCTGGGATTATCGGAACCCCATGAGGGTCTTGCCTAGTAACGAAATTCGTTAACACCAATTTTTCCGCATCCATCAATATTCCAGTCAGACAAAGCGTAGGAGAGACCTACCGCTTGATACCACCGAGTAACCTGTATTCTTCCGAAGAGACACCTTTACGGATTGGGTCCCTCTCCCGGGATCTAAGAATGGTTGTATCAGTATCATATTGAACTTCTCTTATCGCAAGCTACTCACGGCTTCGGCATCCCTAATCCTGGGTGAGGGATGGAGTTGCGCAACAATCGACGTATATATGGAGGTCTCCGATCGGGTTCAAAGCTGTTGGCATAGCTATGGGGTGACTATGGTAGCGCAAAGAGTTGCATTAGTGAGGTGCAGTGAATACGCAAAGCGAGTTTGCGATAAGGCTGAGTTTAGACCAGACAAAATGCGAAGAAAAATACTGGGGGTGAACAAGGCCGTGAAACTGTAAATGAAGAGAACAAGGACGTAGCCAACCGACTGTCAAAAGAGACTCTTACAAGTTGCTCGGTAGACGGGTCAAATGGAGCGAATTCTGAGCCTTCTGGGTCAAAGGCAGGGTCATTCCTCACCGGCGGCTCAGAGGCCGTACTGGACGGTGGAAGAGGGTTGAGAAGAGGGGGAGATGCGGAGCGCGGTTGAGGGGGGGAGCTGAAGAGATGGCCGGATATTGCCCTGATAAACTGCATGTATTCACCGCGAGTTTCATAGCGGGATTATCAACCCGGTTGCACTTCGCAAACCGTGGGAGCACAGAATAGCGATGTGCAAACGCCCACCGTCATCAACAAAGGCGGTCAACTGGCATGTTTTCTGCCCCCGCTGCGCAAACTTAATATTATGAGGCGATCGTCGCCTACTAAAGGCGGCTCGGGGAAAGTAGACAATTGCAAAAAAAAAAAAACGGGTTCATGCTGCAAACAGTTGTTGCTTTCTCTACTTTGGAGGTACTAATAGATAGTATAACTAGAGCATCACCTGCAGATATTTCCACTGGTGCCACCCCACATCCAAGTGTGAAGACGCCAGAGATATCCTCCGTAAACATGAGACAGAAGTGATAGTGCAAGATCCAATAACGAAAACAGATAACCCCAAACCATAAACACACGCAATGTTCGCCCCAATGCCCCGTGCCCAAATCATACCAATGATTTTTGTGTTTTCTTTACTATACACGATCGTAACACAGAGTCAGATAAAGCATGTCAAGATGCCGGCCCTTTCCCTTTATCCCCCGCAGAGTCGTCGGTCGTCGTTGGCCTTCGGCGGTCCCCTCCATATTGGTGGCTGTGATGGTTGTGGTGATGGTGGTGGCTGTTGGCGGCCTTCTCCTGGCGGGCCTGATCGATAGCAGAGCGTTGGGCGATGCTGTCATCGTGGCTCTTCCACACAATGTTGGTGTCTGCCGGGAAGGCAAGCAGCCGTTTGATCGTCTCCCTGCATTGTATTAGCAACAAGCTCCGCCCTCATTAGAAAAAGGGTACATACCTGATCTTAATGTTCCGCCCACCGTCAATCCGAGTCCAGACACTCAAGACGTCCTCGCCACTCCGCACACTGAGAACAGCACCGCAAACTTCATCACTAGCCTCCGCAAACTGGTCCCCAATCATCGCTAAGAGAAGATCTTCCCAATACCGATCCGCCACACCCTTCTTCAGTCTTACCACCCATTTTCCACCCTTTTTATTGGCCTCGTCTTCCCATACAGGACGAATTCCCTTCTTGAAGATGTGATAGTCTGAAACAGTAGGGAGTAGAGAAGGTCTCTTCAGATGCGAGTATATCGACCAAAAGCTCTCTACTGAATAGATAGAAGCGATGGGTGCTGTCGACTTTTCGTAGTCCGAGTACTTGGGTGTTGGAGGGCGGTACCAGATAATCCAGGTCGATCGCAGAGCATGCTCCTTAAGCGCCGGTAAGGATTCCTTCGACTTGATGCCCTCCGCGGATAACACAGCCCGATCCACTGGCCGCTCACCAGGGGTTCTTACCTCTGATGAGCCCCCAGGCGTCTTGGGAGCTCCGAACGACGCAAAGGCACCGGAGCCAAGGCCAAACGCAGACGAAGCATTCGTGGATGGTGAAGAGACGCCAGCGGAGAGAGGGGAAAGAGCGTTGAAGGGATTGGATCGACCGTGGGAGCTGTCAGGGCCGAAACGCTTCGATGTGCGGGAAAGGTCAACTCTGGCGCCACCCTCTTTGTTGTCAGTCCCTGCCATAGACAGAGATAGCTTGGAGGTACTAAAGGTGTAACGGGTTTAGCGTTAGTCGGAATTTATACACGCAACAATTAGACAGCCAAAGAACAGTTGAGACGTACTTGTTTCGGCGAGTCCACAGGTTTGCGTTCTCCATGGGGGGCAGGTGACTTGAGGTGGCTCAAGAGGGAGCTTTCATCGGGGTAAAAAAGAAAAAAAGGAAAAATGCAGAACCGTTCAACGTACAGTCGTCGATATAGGGAAATTACAACGAAGACAAAACCAGCGCTAGGGCAATGCAAAAATCCAAGCGATGCAAAAAGAACGAGCGCGGAGGGCGAGCGGAGGTTTCAAGGACGAGCGTTAGGTAGAGAGGGGGAGAATGAGGAGAAGAATCGTGGCAGAATCGTAATCGTGATGGTGAAACAGCGGTTATGAGAGGTCGGACAGAAAGTAGGGATAATTCACGGAGAAAATATGGAGAGACAGGGCTTGGAAAAGAAGAGGGACTTTTGAGGCGGAATTAATAGTAACTTTGAAATATGGGTATTCAGAACTTGTTCGTGACTGCAAAGTTGAAGGTTTGGCGTCGCGTGCCTGAGGCCCCAACCCTCGAGCTCCAGTGGCATTGGGCCAATCAGCGCGCGGCCCGCCTTCCACGGCCCGCATCATCATTCCTCCGCCCGACTACCCGCTGCCAGTCTTTTCTGCAGCTTTTTCTGCTTCTCCCTCTTCTTCTTTTTTTTTTCTTTTCCACAAACCCAAGACCACCAACTCAAATCATCGCTGCCTGCAACTTTGTTACTTGACCACTGCACCAGCGATTCCGATGAGTGTGTCGAGAAAAACCTTTTACCCGCTTCTAAAACCATCATCACGAGGGCTCTCCAGCTCCATGATGCGGTGATGACCTGTATGACGGGACAATCCCATGTTTTTCGTTTACGAACTGTTATGATTCTATATTGTATATGATGCACTGGTCGTATTGTCCCTGCATGCGTTGCATCTTGCAATGCCCTCAGTAGATCGATTAATGGTGCGTTCGACTGTTCCGTTAATGTACCTGCACCTCTGTTTCCTTGTGATGAACTGTATGATACAACATACTCTGGTAATCCGATGTACTCAACCGCTTGTAAAAGCAGCTATCAAGGCTGTTTGCTGGTTGAGCTTGAGGTCCAATGGCATTGTCTGATTGCTGAGACCCGTTTGAAGATGGCATTGTCAGTTGTTTCGGGACACGGTTACTAACGTCGTTTCGTAGACAAGACTAGGCATTCATCTATACGGCGGGGCAGGGGAGCGATTACGACAGAGTACAATTGATCTGCAATATCCCATTACCGGCACTTTGCCAGGTGGTTCTACAAAGCCCGTGGACGTAACCCGATGTTAAAATTATATTGTGAATAAGAATGCTTCATAATGGAAGGTTAAATATTCCCCGTCAAAACAGAGAATGCTAGACCCAGCTTTCTAGAGGCTACTGCTGCTCAGCCAACGGAGCTGAAGGCGCCATCCCTCCACCCGTATCTTGTTTGACACGCTTGGGTTCTCGCTCATCTTGCGCGGTGGCGGTTCTCCTCTTCTCCTTATCCTTCTGATATTCCGCCCGTCGGGCTTCTCTGTCCCTCTCTTTCCGAAGCGCCTTGGACTCAAACTCGTGCCAGTCACCTTGGATATTCTCCAGTCTAAGAACAATTAGTATATGTAGGATAGTGTAACGAATACATAGACTTACTCAATTGGCTGTTGAGGACTTGGTTCCTCGGAATGGAAATAGGGATGCGCAAGAACCTCTTCAGCAGTAGGACGCTTAGCTGGGTCGTAACGGAAGACCTGCGAAATCATGTCTAGCGCGGCTGGAGACAAGATATTCCGATATACATGCTCGAATACTCGCTTCTTCCGTTCTGTTGGCCTCATGAGCTGGAACCAAGGCATCTCAGCGATATCGGGCCACTCGGTCCGATTTGGCGTTCCTAGCATGTTATATAGCTTATCCAGTTGGCTAATTTCCCCTCCCTCTCCAGGAAAGACTGCCTTTTTCGTGAACATTTCGACGTATACGCAGGCCGCACTCCATACATCGACAGCTGGTCCATATCTTGTTTCACCCAACAGAAGCTCGGGGGGCCGGTACCAAATAGTAATCACGCGGTTTGTATAATCGAGCTGGCGACTCTTCGAGAAAAACCGGGCCAAACCGAAATCAGCATATTTCAGGCGCCCCTGGTTACTGATGAGAATATTGGCAGCTTTGATATCCCGATGTAGAACACTTCGGTGATGTAGATAATCCAACCCTTCGAACATTTGTTTTGCGAGATCCTTCTTATGGGCCGCGGTGAGAGAAAAAGTCGGGTGGTTGATCAAACCAGTGAGATCATGCGAAAGGTATTCGAAGACCATGAAGCATTCGTTCCTTTCAACCATAACTTCAAGCAAACTGACAACATTATGATTGCGCAGGTGTTGAAGTAATTTGATCTCTCGGACAGCAGTCACAGGGAATCCATCCTTCTCACCCTCCATTCGAATTTTCTTCAGTGCAACCTTTCTCTGCGTATACACATGGATTGCCTTAAACACCTTGCCGTACGTACCGGCACCAATCACAGATTCATTTCCAGGTTTGCGGAAATATACCGAGTCCGACTTGGCAAATTCTTCGGAAATCGTGGGGCGCGGTTTGGGTCGAAGCAGGATCTTCGATCGTTTAACCGGCTCTGGAGAGCGCTCCTGGCGACGTTCCGGACGGAAATCTTGAGCCCTGTCGTTTCTCCGCTTATCTTGGCGATTGTCACCCCGACGATCATCTCTTCTGTTATCACGGGAATCTCGAGGGTCACGGAAACCACGTGGCTCCCGCGGGTCCCTATAGTCTCGTCGGTCACCCCTGCCTCTATTTCGATCCCTATCACGGTGTCGGTCGCGGTCGCGATCACGTCGGTCAAAGCGCGGCTCCGGCTTGAATCTGGGTGGTGGTCCATTAAACATCCTATTGCGAGGGGGTTCGGGAGCACGTGGAGGAGGTTCCCGCGCTAGCATTCGTTGAGTTAAATCAGGTATAGGTTTAGGAGCAGTTGGTGGCCCAGTCTTGGCTTTGAAAGCAAAGCTGATCTTGCCGCCCTTGTTAGGGGTGGAAGACGTATCTGGTGGACGCGAGTCCGATTGTGTACTTTGACCAGTGCCGACATCGGAATCATGCTTTGGGCCTTCGTCTCGTAGATCCTGACCTGTAGTTTGATGATTAGAGAAGTTTTGATATGCTTCTCGGTGCGATCGGGGTTCTGTAGGTGGAGGCGGGGGTGGAGGATTTTCTGATGGTGGGCCAGGCGGAGGGGGACTAGGAGGCCCTCCTCTATTTCGTGGCTCAGTATCGTCACGCTGAGGGCTGCTGAAACGGCTTCTGCCATGAGAAATGGGTCCACCGGATCCAGAGGCAAAAGGTCGATGGTCTTGGTGTGATTCACGGTATCTTTGCTGTCCATCACGATGGGTGTGTGATGACGTAGTATGAGATGAAGGGGGTCGGCTATGTGAGTGATAGCTTGGGGAAGTATCTCCAGACGGATTACTTTGCCTGTATCCGTGGGGTTAGCATGGGTCGTGTAAAAGGAACGAGAAATCAGGAATATTATATCATACCTATGGTGGCTGTGGTGTGAAAAGTGCTGCCCATTTCGTCCACCTCGCGTACTGGAATAGGGAGAATTTGAACGAGTAGATCCATGATATGAATTAGCTGGAGACCTTGAGCGACGACGTTGCCCTGATGCACGCGCTGTGTCCACGGCGGAGTCTAGATTCTCTCGAGATGGTGAACCGGGTGGATACATCGCAATATCGCCTTTCGATCCTCGACGAGAAAACGCGGATGGTCTCGAGTCTAGAGTACCTGCAGAGTTGCGAGAGGGCGATCGGTGATACGAATCCCGCTCGACCTCGTCGTCTGCTCGAGGGCTTGGGAAGCGCCGACTTGGGTGAGTATATGGTTTATCATCCCAGCCGGGAGATCTGGAATGCCTTCGCCATGACGAATCCCGAGGGCCTCCCTCGTGTTTTCGTCGGTCCCGGCCGCGTCGAGGTGATGGCCTTCGACTGGGCCTGCCACGGCCTGGCATACGCCCCCCTCGTCTTTTGCCACGGTCGAAGTCGGGACCGTGTCTCGGGTGTGCACCTCGGGGATGGGTAGGTGGACGGCTATGGAAGCCGCCAGGCGACGGGCTGCGTGTTCTTTTTCTTTTAGATGGAGGTGCGGATGGAGAATCGTCTCTGCGATAATCTCTATTATTGGACCTCATGAGTGAGTCAGGACCGCGATGGTCGACGGGTTCAGGAGAATGCAGGCGATTTGATTTTTGGTTGGAGCGTATTTCCGAGTGTGACGGGTCCGGAGATCCACGGATAAAAGCGTTGTTAGAAGAAAATTCACGATGTTGAGGTTCGTTATCTGGATCGGGATAGGAACGCGGTGGCGGCGACCGTGACGAACGATCAGGCTTAGACCAACGGCGACGTTCTCGGTCGTGAAACCTGTCCCTCCCTCTATCACGATAGGAACCTCGAGGTCGATGCCTCTCACGGCCACGGTGGTCTCCAGCGTCGCCCGAACCTCTCCACTGGTCCTTTAGACCAGGACTCCTATGGGACCCAGCCATGAAACCTTTGCCTCCAGCTGCATCTGGTTGAAAAAAGAGGGTTGTCGATGATTAAACGCGAAAGCGCGAGGTGCCAGGCAGGTGGGAAGCCGCAAAATCTGGCGACGATAATACGGGCTGGAGTTTTTAGCAACGGTCCTCGTTCCTCTGGATCGTCAAGCGTGAGTCGCCCGTGTTGAAGTCTTTCTGTCGGGAATCGATTGGGTGGTACGGACCGGTTGTTTTTCCGGGACTGGGAGCCAGGAGGGTTCTGTCAAGGAAGCGCTGGTGTCGTCAATAAAGAACAAAAACCAGGATGGCAACATGAGAAAATGAAAAGTAGTTAGCGTAAGAACTTAGAAAGGGGCCACGCACCTCAAAGATAGTAGTCCTCAGGCTAATGAGGACGACAATGCGCGTTCTCGTCTACTAAAAGCTGATAATAATTGGCCTACGGAGGCATCCACCCGACAGACAATTTACTTGGGCGATGAATTTAAGCCCAGGCATTTGTTCAGCCTGTTCCCTTGCCGGGGTGCGGCTTTTACTACGAAATATGTGGCCCAAGGCCTCGCTGGAAACGTTAGTCACAGCGGGGGCAAGATCAAGGACTTCCCCCCGCGCCGAGAGAATAATCAGAAGGCGCTGAAATAAGGTCAAGCGACTCCAGCCACTGTCCAGACCAATGTTGATATCGTGGAGGATGCCTTTGTCAGGAGCGACAAGCGTTGCCTCACATTGGTGCCACTGCTGCCTGGAATGGTTTATACGGCACGCTTCGGCAGTTTCAGATCAGCTATAATGTATCTGACTTCCCCCATTTCGCTCCTTCAGTAAGAACCTGCAGTATGAGTCCGCGGTCATCCCGAATATCGTTCTCAGAGCCTGTGCAGTCGGTTGCCAGTTTCATTCAAAGGAATAGCCGCTTGCTACCTTCCAACGACGGATTCCGTCTTCTCAGCAGATATGGCCTTTTGACGCTTCCGTAAGAGAAAGCCCATCTACGGATAGTAAAACAAACAACGGGAACATAGGCTGAGCGTCTTCCGATCTCAGGGGACAGGTGGATCTGGTTGTAGCTGAGCCCCGAAAATGATAAGGATTGCTGTGCGGGGAATATGAGTATCACTGTCGGCGGCGGACAGTAAGGACACAACTAGTTGAGAAATCAGTCGTCTTGCTGGGGGTGTGTTCCCGCATTGAAATGTCGTTTTAGGAGGAATAAAACAGGATTAATTCCGCTGAGCAGGCGCAGTCACAGATTCGACATGCGAAACGGGCCTGACTGTTCCATGTCGATGGGTTGGAGTTCTCAAGAGGCACAAAAAGCGCAAGAAGTTATGGGGTCCCCTCACCACGCGAGAGAACAATATTTATCCCCAATTCTCTTTACTAGAAAAATTGACAGACAGGGGGAAATCAGACACACCAAGGCCTCAGGATAATGGTACGCTGGTGCGTTGTCCAGGAAAGACCAGCCCGTTGCGAATTGTAGACACCAGCTTCGGGCGCCAAACGGTCATCAATTAGCTCGACAACGCTATAGGATTCTCGAAAGCGTTGGTAATTTTCATGTCTAAAGCGCTGCTAAAAAAGATGCAAGTTAGTTCCCAGCGACAATACGTACCTGGTGGACGCGTTAATATGACCAAGGAAATCATCGGTAAATATCTAGCCGGGCTTCATGAGCCGCATCGCACGCAACAGAAGTGAATTAAAGACAGTCCACACATAACACCCGCCGTCTCAATGTCGACCACACGTCCCGGCGCAGCTGGCGGTAACAAGGATGCTGGGATAGATGTGCGTATATAAGGCGGTGGGGGTGCGGGATGCGATCGATCACCTTGGAACTTCAGATTCAACCCAGAGACCCCCAGCACAAACCAGTCGGCATCGACTTGAGAGAAAAACATATTACTTGTGCGTCGAGCAGTCATACTCTGACTGCCTCAATTCCAGGAGAAGATCGGATGACGGGTTTGTTGACAGCATCCCGTTGGTGGTAACTTGATGACAGGTCGAAGGTTTCCACAGCTTTGGAAGTGCGTCGGTCAGGTGAATTGCACGTGATGCTACTGCCGAAGTCAGGCAGCTCAGCGTTGGTTGAAATTCCCGGAACGGAGAAACCCTCGGCGTTAGTTGAACCGTCAAACAACGCTTACCTTTACCCAAATTCTCAACCAACGCTGGGCTTCTATTAGTTATAGTGATGGAGATACTGTAGTAGGCACCAAGCCTGATAATATGAGCTCGTCGTTGGTTAAATATTCTACGGGACAGAAGCAAATTCTCAACCATCGCTGAACTTCAACCAAATGTTGAACCCCCAAGTGGACACAACTACAATACCATGATCAACAGTTCAACACCCTGTTCACCAGCCTCCTATAGCACAGTTTCCTTTAATCAGAGTCCGGTTTACCTAGAACCTCTATCTGCACAAGCTACATGTGTCTCGATCAAGTAGTCCATTTCATAAAGATAGTATTGCCGGTTATCTATTCTGCCGCCTGTTACCATTGACCAAACCCTAAGCGCTAAATATATATGTATATGGAATTCGATATTTGGCCATAGCCCGGGTTGGATGAGCTTTTAGAAAGTGTTTTCTGTTTCAACCATGCCACACATGATTATTCTGCCGTAAAGCACCTTTGGCGCCAAATTTGCTAAAATACTTGATAAAGTAGTACACAAAAGAAACGCATATTCTCATCAATCATCCATTCATATCGGTCCCGTTATCGATGCAATAAACAAAGTTCCTTCACTTTTCACTGGCTCAACGACCCATAGTAGAGAATATTGCATCAAGTACAGATCAATCCAATCTCAGAATATCCTGAATGCGGACACCAAGGCTGCGAACCGCTCTCTTGATCTCTTCGTCCCATAAACTATTCGGTCGATCACACACCGTAAATTCCTGCGGCTGAGCGTAAAGAAAGATACGTTGATACATATCATCGAGATTAAGCTGCCGTCTACGTGTCTCAAGGAGCACAATTTGATCTGGACGCTGCAGTTTTTTTCTCCCATCTCGCTGACCCCTACCGTAATATTCGTATTGCAACGAACCGACCTCAGCAGCCGGCACACCAAAGAGATCGCCTTGAAGGACCTCACCGGGGAGAGGGTTGTAACGCCAGCGAACCAGTTCTTTGAGAAGCTCCATTTCGGTTCTCAAAATGTTTCCGGTTAGCACATCAAGGCAGAATTTGAGGCCGCGTTGAGCCATGATGAGGCGTCTCTGACCACCGCTGGCGTTTTCGCGAGCGGTCTTCACGTACAGGTCGATACGGACAATGAACAAAGTTGCCATGAAGAGATCGAGGTCGGTCCAGAGATTTCTGTTCTGGATTGTCCACATTCGGCGTTTCATGTCGGGGATATCCATCAAGAACCATAGCTTGAAAATGGCGGGCTTGTAACGATATGGAAAGCCATAACCAGCACTTGTGAGGGCATGTATTATGGAATGGACCGTTTCGTCGCGGTACCTGACCATTTGCAACCAACGGAGGGAGACAGTATAGGCTGTCACGGGACCGTTTGAATGAACGCCAGAGAGGCGCTGGGCGTCGTAATCTAGCGCGGGCCTCTTAAACCACAAGCGTTGGTAACATCTCCATGGGAAAATATGACACGCAACCCTGGACTTGTGTAGAGCCTGGAGTCGAATGATCTTTGGGAGATACTTGATGGTGAATGTACAAAATGCCTTTGACGTGATCTGTAAGTTGATGAGGTCTTCGATGCCGAGCTCCTCAGTGATTCGTAGAGCAATATCAGGGTGAGTGATAATGGTGTGCAAGATGTTAATAGTCTGTGACACGTCCTTGTCGGCAGGCTTTTGGTCATTTCCGTCTTCAGGCGCAGCGGAAGGATGCCGAGATTTGACCGATTCCAAACTTGGAGGCCGCTGCCATTGAACCACAGTAGGCCCATGCGGCCCTACAACGCTCGGACTCTGACTTATATCTTGGCTAACCCGGGTGGTCATGGATCTATAGGCCTGGGGCGTGTACGGACGTGCAAGTCGTCCCATACCATATGGCTCGGTAGAGTAAGGATTGTGTTCCGGCTTGATTCTTGGAACAGAAGGAGGGGCGTGTGTATGATCACTGAGTCCAGCGGGGAGTCCGCGATCAAAATATTGGAACAGATAGTCAGACATGCCCTGCTGAGACTGGTCCGCATCTAGTTCGCTTTTCGGAGCAACGGGATAGTCATGCGTGGGACCATTCATTCCGCCAAACAATTCGTCCTCAAGATTAGGGACCTCGATATTAGGAATTGGGTAGTTCGATATGCTTTTCAGAATCTCGTCAACATCTGTTTCGGCCTTTGGAGCAACAGAAAAGCCATGTGTATGACTAGTGGTTGAACTAGGCATTCTACTATCGATGGGAGGAATCGGGTAGTCTGGGATGCTCTGTAGAGGCTGGTCTGCGTCTGGTTCAGTCTTCGGAAAGACCGAAAAAGGAGAAGAGGGACCATTTATTCTAGGGGGGAATTCATCGTCAAGGCTTGGGTTCAGGTAGGGTGGCATGCCTTGCTGACCCTGGTACCCATTCACTTCGTCCTTGACGACAGGTGTACCTCCATAGCCAACCTCGTTCGGATTGAAGTTGCTCACAAGGGGATTAGGGGTTCGCTGATACCCGTGAGGGATCCGGGTGCGTGCGCCAATTATAGGAGTGTTCGTACCCATGGGCGCTGGAGGAGGATATGCTGGATGTCCCCACGGAAAGTTAGGACTCATAGATTCCCAGGTAATTGGGGTCGCACGCTGTTCGAGAGTAGGTCGCGGTCCAACATCAGGTACACCTAAGAACTGTCCATAGCGTCCGGGGTGAGCAACCGGGCGATGATTTGTTTCATTCACGTTTCCAAGGGGGTTCGAATATGAAGCGTGAGGAATGAAGGTTGCAGGAGATACAGAGGGAAAAGACACGCCTTCATTGGTAATTTGGACCAAGTTGGGTGTAGCCTGCCTGTTGTCATTTGCCTGTCGCTGCTGCTGGTTTATGGTCATTATGTTTTCAGGAGCTATTCCAGCTATAATTTGCTGACGTATGAGGTGGGACTGTAGACTCTGGTTTCCGTTGTTCATGCTCATAGGAGCCGAATTCTGAATTCTGTGTCTTAAGGAGGCGTTATTGGCAGGCCTGATTTGAGGGTATCGGCGAGCCCCGGCGGCATTACTGCTGTTGGTGTTTCTTCCTACCCTAGCCGCTCTCTGGTTCCGAGGTCTGGTGGTAGAGCGCCTCTGCTGGTTGGGTTGCTGTGGCTGGGTGTTTGCATCTATGCCCTCATTCACGCCTGGAACGTGTGCCATATTAGCAAGAGAATGGGCGCCATCCAATTCACAGTGATTGCGACAGTTGTGTTGGTCAGGATGCACCACGGTGTGACGCAGTGTTAAAGAGACGCGATGTGAGAGAATCAGGAGTGTAGGGAGCTAAAAGAAGGTAGTGTTACAGACCACTCCTGAGGGAAATAACAAAAGAAAAAAAGACACAATGACACCTCCAGGGAAGTGAGAGAATTCTACCTAGAAAGGATACATGGAGAGAAGTGTTACTATGTGATAACACAGGGAGGGTTTGTTTCACATTCATGCCTCACTTCACTTCATTTGTGTTCTAATTGTTGTCAAAGCAGTGCCCAGAAACCCAGGCACCCTAAAGGCATGTGTATCCAAGATCTAGTAATAGATTCAGTAGTTGAGATTGTTGAGATTGTATATTTGTACAACAAGAAGAGGAGGGCCGACGAGGTGAAAACTGCTGAATCAATCTCATCCTCGGGCCCTCCAAACTGTGAGTTCAAGCCTTACATTCAGGTTGTAGAAGAACTCTAGCTGCGCGCCGGGCGAATGGTTGAATCATTTCGATGCCTCCTCCTTTGTCTATTAAGATGACCTCGAGAAGGCATCCGCGGTAATCAAAATACCTGCCCTGTAAGTTGAATGCTTTTGGCCGTCGGAGGCTGCCATAAGCAAATCTATGTGAGTGCGTAATATATGCAAAATTGAAAATCAAAACAGTTCTGAACGACCGTGAGCGAGCGAGACATTGGCTCGGTCCTGTTTAATGAAAGGGGAACAAAAAATAAATCAAAAATCGCAATGCTCAATCCAACGAAACCTGTCGTAACCTGTTGAGAGGTAAACCACCAAAACTCCATAAATCACCGTAAATGAATACCGTCCACTGTTAAAATGAGGGGTAACCGATTAAGGAAGAATGTTGAGTACAGATTGGCTGGAAATTATTTCCTGTTCAGAAGCGTCAAGAACTCCTCTCGGGTCTTTGCGCTGGAGCGCATGCATCCAAGCATGCAGCTGGTGGTTGTGGTGCTACTGGTCTTTTGGACTCCACGCATCACCATGCAGAGATGCGCGGATTCCATGACCACACCGACCCCACGAGGCTTCAGGACTTCGGAAATTGCAAGCGCGACTTGTTTGGTTAAGCGCTCTTGCACTTGTAGTCGTCGGGAGAACATCTCTGCCAGGCGAGCGAGCTTAGAAAGACCGAGGACACGGCGATCGGGGATGTAACCGATATGCATCTATAGAGAATATTGGCTTAGCGATATCCCAGAACCAGAGACTTCAGTGAGCCCTACCTTGCCTGTAAAAGGCACCATGTGGTGTTCGCACAGCGAGAACACTTCAATATCTTTGACAATGACCAATTCGTCATGGTCTTCATGGAAGACAGCGCCATTGACAAGATCCCTCACGTTCTCCTCATAGCCCTTGGTAAAGTAGAGCATGGCTTTTGCATACCGATCAGGTGTTTCCCGGAGGCCTTCCCTCTCTGGGTCTTCCCCCAGGCATTCGAGAATTGTCCGGACAGCTCCGGACAGCTTCTTGATCCGCTCCTCGTTTTCCTCGGGTGATGACTCAAGCCGCGCACGCGTTCCGGGACCTGCCAGATAGATACAGTATCAGTACACTGGCTCGCACTCGGGCGTTGAAAGTACTCACAGGGCCAGCTCAGGCCATCAAAGTCGACTGCGGGGGCCAACGTATACGGACTGGCGGGGCGGCTGGCAGTAACTGGTGGGGTGAGGGCGCCAGCTTCATCTCTGGGATCGCGGGCTGGGTCCTGCAATGAAGGTCTATATTTCATCATAAGTTAGTTGGTGCTCTATAATTGGTTCAGTGAAGTAACATACTTGGACACTGAAGACCTGCGACGAGGATTGTCGTAACTGCTAGCATGCTCGGCTGATTGCGTCTCAGACTCAGGCTGGTCAAACTCGACGGGAACACGAGGAGCAAAAGACGTGCGAATTGAACTGTTCAAGTTGTCCCGCTCGCGGGCATCCCTCGAGGCGACAGATGTGTTGTTAAGAGGAGAGCCACCGTTCAGTAGGTGAGAAGGGATCGCCTTAGGCTTCGGCCCTGTGGGCGGAGGAGAGCCAGAACCCATAGCTGAGTATGGCGGAGGAGAATTGCGGGGGATATCGGCAGACAGCGAGAAAAGCGTGGGGGTTTAGAGATACTAGACTTGAATTTGTTCGTCGAGCGATTGATATGGAAAATAAGAAGAATGTGCCTAGAAAACCCGAGTCATCGTTCAAGCAAATTGGGGTTGTCGGATTTTCTTTTGCTGAGGGGAAAAAAAGACGCTATGACGGTAGGGCGATGATTAGACTAGCCCCTCCGATCACGCCGCACGTGGAGACAATCTCATACAGCCTCTTACAGTCCTTCATTTATTCACCGCCTCAAAGAAACCCACTGGCGACCATTCATCAGTAATATGTAGAACAATGGTATTTCCAATGCATGCATGCTGCGGCCGAACGGGGCGAGGACAAATAACGGCTAGGGTGATCGTCGTTGGAGGCTGAACTTGACAGAATTCTCCCACTGCGGATACTTTTGTGTTTGCCAAATTCACGGCCGACTTTTTGTTACTGAGGAAAAGAAGGTCAAAATGCTGTCCATAGACTGATTGTATCGTGCAATGACAGTTTTCAAGTACAGAAGAAAATAAAGAGATATGAAAAGTACAAGATCAATAAATATATTCGCCTCTCGAGTATGGAAGTTTCGCAATAGTTTGGGAGGAAAAACGAGAAAACGCTCTAGTGATCGCTGAGTCAAGGCTCCAACTCCTCGGTCGGCACGTCCTCCATATCCTTACCAACAATGGCATCCGCGACCTTCCACACCTGTAAGAGATTGTCCTCCGCAGCGGAGCAAAGAACCCAAGGGTCATTAAGGTTCCAACTGAAGTCGGAGATACGGTTGGTATGACCACCGTGCATGAACAGTCTGTAGGAAACCCGATGTTAGTAACAAGCCCAAATATTTGACATGAGAAGTACGTACAGTTCTGGTGGCCCGTCTTGGGCATCCTCAGGAGTCTGTTCTTCGCCGGCCCGGCTTAAGTCCCAGAACATGATCTTGCGGTCGTAGCTTGCACTTGCAAGTACGGCCTCTTCGAATGGATGCCAAGAGATCGAGGTGACGGAGTCGGCGTGGTTTTCGAGTGTGTGTAGCTTGGTCTTCAGGTTACGCAGATCCCATAGACCGATGGTCTTATCCGCAGAGCCCGTAGCCAGAACAGTTTCAGCAGCAGGATTGAAAGCAACAGCGTTAATGGCATCACGGTGCTGGCCTCCAGCTGATGCGGCGGCGCGAGTAGTCTCCGCAACTCGCGTGTCGAGAATTTGAAGAGTGATATCGTCTGATACAGTTCCGATAAGGGAGGAGTGAAGGGGATGGTATTGAACATCATTAACAATCGACGAGTGGTGGGTATAGGTTCGGACTGGCTGGACTGCCTTGTTGCCCTTTGTGTATGTGGTAAGATCCCTAGCTCGTGTTAGCGACAGGTTGATTTACAGGCACCAAACCAGGTATCCCATACCAGAGGCGGACTGTCTTGTCCTCGCTTCCTGTGGCGAGGTTGCCCACAACATGAGGACTCCAGCTGAGTCCGAATCCTTCTTGCTTATGCCCAAGAAGTTCCATCTGGGGGTTTACATTCCCTGTTGGGAGACTGGGGTGTTTTGAGCGATCCCAAACCATCACTCTCCCGTCCGTACACATTGTAGCGATTATGTTCGGGTTTTGTGGCTGGTATCGTGCTTTGTTGACTTCGCCCTTGTGGTCAATTTTCTGCACGATGTTGAACTTGATTTCCATCGGAGCTTTCTTTGAGCTGCCACCATAGCCGCCGATTTCCCCACGCTCTTCGTCGTAGTCATCGGGGTTAGGAGCATTAGGGTTAGGTAGTTGAACATGAGCGATCTGAAGATAATTTTGAGCGTCGCTGGAGGTGTGGGTTCCTAGGAGCAGGCGGTGGGTGGAATACGGCTTGTCCGGGACTCTATATGAAAACATTAGAAAGCACGTCGATCGCTGTAGCACAGGTTTGCATACTCTTGTTTGTCAGGCAGCCATTGCGTTGTGAGGGTGGGCCACTCTAGTGCGGTGCTGAGGATCATGTCGTAAAGGAAGGGAGCGTTCTTTTTCCATGTCTTGTATTCTGAGACAATGGGCTTTAGTCCGGATGCCGACAACCGTATGAGGGTTCAGGATTATTTACCTTCGTTAATGATCTTTTCCTCAGTGCGTTCCTCCTCTTGCTCCTCCTGCTCCTCAATGAAACCTACGGGGAAGGTTAGATAATTCGTTGCGCGCAAAGCGATTGAGGAAGAAAATCGCACCGTCATCATAGGGCTCCATAGCGTTAATTGGGTAGTATGGGAAGGGTGTGAGCACAGTCTATGGGTGTTTGCGCAGGACGGGGTTAAAAAACAGCGACGTTGCTGTTCAACACCGGAGCGAGAGAGCTTTGCAGTTGCGGACGGAGCTTCTTTCGAAACGCGACAGTTGTTGGCAGCGCGTTAATGGGCGTCTGCACCCTAAACCTATTTTGGTGGTTATGGGCTTGGCGGAGCTATTCCCAAACGGGGTTCCGCTCTGCGGCTCGGGCTCCAGCTCTCTGTGGTGAGCCCAAGGCGGTGTCAGCCACCTTAAGTGAATCATCTTTCCACCAACACCTTCTAGGTAACTTCATCTTCTTTTGTTTGACGTTCTAGTTTATTTCTCTGCTTGGAAACATTGTTCCTTCTTATGTTGCTCTTTCACGCTCCTTGAGTATTTTTGATCATTTTTCCTTTGATCTACGATCTCATCGGATATTTTGCGCCTTGAAGCTTGGTTTCTTTATTGGGTTTCTGACGACGCATACGACGGTCACGAATACACCACGGACTTTTCGCCTGCTCCTTTTCGCCATCTTACTACTCTTCCCGATTTGATAATACCTTGAGTCACCATGGGTGTTCCCAAGTTCTTCCGCTGGCTGAGCGAACGGTATCCCGCGATCTCCATGTTGATCGCGGAGAACCGGATACCGGAGTTTGATAACCTATATCTTGACATGAACGGCATTATCCATAACTGCACACACAAGGATAGTGACTCTCCGACTTTCCGAATGACCGAAGATAAGATGTTTATAGCCATCTTTAATTACATCGAACATTTGTATGGCAAAATCAAACCGAAGAAACTTTTCTTCATGGCCGTGGACGGTGTCGCACCACGTGCTAAAATGAATCAACAGCGCGCGCGGCGATTCCGAACGGCTCTGGATGCTGAAACGGCGAAAGAGAAGGCAATTGCGCAAGGAGTGGAAATGCCGAAGGAGGATGCTTTCGACAGCAACTGTATCACTCCGGGTACGGAGTTTATGGCAAAGCTCACCGAGCAACTGAAATATTTCATCAGCAAGAAAATATCTGAAGATAAGGATTGGCAAGGTGTGGAGATTGTGCTTTCCGGCCACGAAGTGCCCGGTGAGGGTGAACATAAAATCATGGAATACATCCGGCACGCGAAAGCGCAGCCTGGATACGACCCCAACGTTCGTCATTGTTTGTATGGCCTTGATGCTGATCTGATCATGCTTGGTCTACTTAGCCATGACCCGCACTTTTGCCTTCTCCGCGAGGAGGTTACATTCGGCCGACAGGTGCAGAAAAAGCCCAAAGAGCTTGAGCACCAAAATTTCTATCTCTTGCATTTAAGTATGGTTAGAGAGTACCTAGAGCTGGAATTTCAGGAACTCGAGGAAGAAGGGATCATAAATTTCCCATATGAATTTGAACACGTGATTGACGATTTCATTCTCATGGCGTTCTTCGTTGGAAACGACTTTTTACCCAATTTGCCCAACCTTCACATCAATGAAGGTGCATTGTCGCTGATGTTCAAAGTTTACAAAGAGACTTTGCCCAAGATGGGGGGATATATCAACGAGCAAGGTACAATCAACCTCGAACGACTCGGTATGCTTCTGGATGGATTGAGCCATGTGGAATACCGTTTCTTCGAAAGCGAATATTCAGATGCGGCGTGGATGCGAGCAAAGCAGAACAGTGACGAAAATGGGGTGGATACAGACGCAAAGCCAAAAACATTTACCGTCACGCCTGATCAGAAAAACATCCTTAAGACTGTCAAGAAGTACGTTTTGAACCGACCTGGAAAGGCGGCAGATTCCAAGCCTCTTGACTTTCCACCTACGCTCCCGGCTAGGGACCGTAAGTTTGTGGAGCAACTCGCTGGCGACCTTCGGTTGCCTTGGAGTACAGTTTCGAACGATGACGGAGACCGATTCATTCGAGTTCAATTCCCACCCAGTGAAGACGATGACAGCGAAGAGGAGGAAGATGAGGAGGCCTCTATGGCGGTCCAGCGGATCATCCGCAAATATGAAAACGCTAAGGTCCAAGAATTGTCTGCGGAGGAAGCTCAAGTAGCGGCTCAAAAGAAGTACGAAGAGAAGTTTCAAGATTGGAAAGACAAGTACTATACGGAAAAATTCGGCTGGGGCCTGGACAACCAGGAGGAAATGCGAAACCTAACGGAGAACTATGTCCAAGGTCTTCAGTGGGTTCTATTCTATTATTACCGAGGCATTGCATCTTGGCCCTGGTTTTTCAATTCACATTACGCCCCGATGATTTCAGGTTTGTGGTTCCTATGGCCTTGCGAATTACAGGAAGAGATGCTAATATGTCCCAGATGTCAAAAAGGGCTTGAAGGCAGATATGAACTTCCGACTCGGGAGACCGTTCAGACCTTATGATCAGCTCATGGGTGTGCTTCCCGATCGCAGCAAGAAAATTGTTCCCAAAGCCTATCACGACTTGATGTCTTCACCAGACTCGCCCATTATTGACTTCTACCCCCGTGACTTTGAATTGGATATGAACGGGAAGAAGATGGAATGGGAGGCAGTTGTTAAAATCCCGTTTATCGATGAGCGTCGCCTCCTGGATGCGCTCGCAACAAAAGAACACCTATTGGCCCCAGATGAGAAGGCGCGGAATGGCTTTGGGGTTAGCCTGAAATTTGTGTACTCGCCGGACACACAGTATACCTACCCCTCATCATTTCCGGGGGTCTTTCCCGACATCCCTAACTGCCACTGTATTCAAAACGTCTTTGACCTACCGACGATGGACGGACTAGAGCCATATGTTGGCCTCGTTGATGGTGTGCATCTTGGGGCGTCAGCCCTTGCGGGTTTCCCTAGTTTGAAGACGTTGCCCCACGCTGGGCAATTGGGATTCCACGGAGTCTGTGTTTTTCAACAAGAAAGTCGTAATGAAAGCATGGTAGTTACCGTGCTTGACCCGGGAAGTCGGTCTAGCTCTGAGCTAGCTAAGAAGAAGCTTGGACAGCGAGTTTTTGTGGGATATCCATTCCTGCAAGAAGCACTCGTTATCCGCGTTTCCGACGAACTATTTTCTTATACTATCCCGGAGGGAGAAACACACCCTCTTCCAACCCCTCATTCGGACGTCGAGATCGAGCAATGGAAAAAGAAGGCGGACAAGATTGAGGGTATTTACAGCAGGAGGTTTGGCACCATCATTGGTCCTGTCGAGGCCATGGTGCATGTCCAACTTTTGAAGGGTCTCATAAAAACCGATGCGGGTGCTACCATTAAAGAATTCGCGGACATCCCTGGGCAGGAGACGGATTATGCACTGCAACTTGTTGTTGATGAAGTGATCAACCCTGATGAACGATTTATTGAACGGGAAGCTCTACCGGTTGAGCAAGAGTTCCCAGAAGGCTCTCGCGCATTTTTCCTCGGCGAGTTCAACTACGGCAGACCTGTTCATATCACTGGTCATGATGATGGTAAGGTAAATGGACTCATTGCTTCTATTAAGGGTCGTGAGCCTGAGTTTGGAAGAGAGCGTGCGAAAAGCGCGGAAGCACTTTGTCCATACATGCCATCCTTTGCGATTGCCAAGAATTTACGTTTGAACCCCTTGGTTTTGGCGAAAATCACCTCGTCATTCTCTGTGGATGTTGAGGGCCAACGTGCTAACCTGGGGCTCAATCTGAAATTTGAGGCTAGGAAGCAAAAAGTTCTTGGATATTCACGTCGCGGAGACTCAGGTTGGGAGTTCAGTGCAAAGGCAGTTGGCCTACTGCAGCAATATATGATCAAATTCCCAGAGTTTATCGCGGGTATTCAACGTAACCCTCGGAATGATAGGTACCAGCCCACCGACTTTTATCCAGCGGACGTTGCACTGGAAAAGATAAACGAGATCAAATCCTGGCTTAAGGAAATCGAAGCGAAAAATTTCGAGAGAGTTCCTTTGGAGGCAGAGCAGCTTGATTCAGACGTTGTGAAACTCATTGAGCAGGATGCCGACCAACTTCTAAGAAGCCAGCCGCCAATGGAAGCGAAGAAAATGAGGGATATTCCCCGAAGTGGACTTCTCCGCCCATCTGACGTTGAGCACCGGCTAGGAAACCAGACCTTCAAGCTTGGAGATCGTGTTGTTTACGCCCAGGACTCTGGAAAAGTCCCCATCGCTACACGAGGAACGGTGGTTGGACTCACACGGACACCGAGAACTATTCTGCTCGATGTTGTTTTTGACGTTGCTTTCATGAGCGGCACAACCCTGGGAGACCGCTGCTCTCCATTCCGCGGACAAACCGTTCTGGCTTCATCTGTCCTTAACGTTTCCTACCGACAGCTCATCGCCAGCACTAGGGCAGCGGTAAACCAAAAACAACAAAACCAACCCTCTCCTTTGACTGTCGCAGGATACGGTGCGCCTTTGGGCCCTGGTGGTCAGGGACAGCTGAAAGAAGCTCCCGCTCCGCCACCACTTCGAGGCTCATTCCGTGGTATAGTGTCTGGTGCAGCGGCAAGGGGGCGTGGTGGACATAATGGAACCACAAACTTGCCTTTCCGGCCGCAAAACGATATGAACGGCGCTGCTCGTGGTGGCAGAGGTCGAGGTGGTCGCGGCAGTATGGCGCGTGGACGTGGTGGCTATGTCTCGGTGGAACATACCGACCCCGATGCTGGCGTTGTCCAGAACAACCCGAACTTCCGGCCAAAGAACTATTCCCAAGTTCCTCCACCTAATGGCCTAGAGTCCCGTGGCGGTCGAGGCCGAGGTCGAGGCCGTGGTGCTGATCGAGGAAACGGTTATCGAGGTCGGGGAGGCAATCGTGGAAGAGGCGCGGCTGCTACTACTGGAAACGCGTGATATTCTTTACATATGGGCTCTCGAGCGTCGCTGAGCTAGGACTGGCTATAGTCTTATTATATTGTGTACGATAGAGGGTGCCAATTCTGTGTATAAACTTGTATTCCTCGATTGAACCAAGCTCGGCACTCCCCACCTTTTCCCCGCAGTTCCAGCTCCATCACCGGCCTCTTTCCGAGCTCTGTATCTATCTCGCGCCTCAGTGGATAATTATCCGAGGCAGGATAACCGAATCGTGTAATTTTAATCCCTCTTTCTCAATATTTTCATCGTACCAAGCTCAACACCTAAGCCTTCTGTAGATCAATAATGGCGCCCTCCATTCCCACCTTCGACAACCTCACCCTCGACCCGAACGGGCCTCCAGGCAACGCATGGGGCCTCTTCGGTCCTGGAAATGAGCTAGGCATGCTCAACCTGCTCACCCCAGAGCTTGTTCGTAGAGCGGCCTCCGAGGAAATACGCGACGGTGTTCGAATCTCACTTGATCTTCCGTTGAATCGGGTGCCGTACCCCAGCTTTGGCCGGAATCCCTTCAAGCAGGAGCTCATCAACAAGGCGCCAAGGATCGTCAATGATGATGTCTTGACGTTTAACACGCAGACAAGTACGCAGTGGGATGGGTTTCGGCACTATGGTGAGTTTTCATTGTGGCTACGTTCCTTGTGAGGTTACCTGATCGCTGATGTATGGGCTGGTGGTGTTATACTAAAGGAAACCAAACGCACGGGGTTTACTTCAACGGGCATTCGTTGGATGAATTGAATCAGTCTAGGGTAATTGGGATTGACGGTTAGTTTTCAACCCCCCCTAAGGACCAAAAGAGACCAACTAATGACATCCTGTATACAGCATGGTCTAACACCGGCGGTGTAGTCGGCCGCGGAATCCTAATCGACTATGCAACTTGGGCGAACAAGAACTCTATCCCTTTGACACCCTTCAAAACAAGCACAATACCCCTCTCTTCAATCATCCAGATACTTCAGGAAACAAACCTCACCCCGCGCGCCGGAGACATCCTCTTCATCCGTACGGGATTCACAGAGGCCTACAACAAACTCAGCCCCGACGAAGAGCATGCTATCGCTACTCGCCCCACGCCTGACTTTGCGGGGATCGAGAACGGCGAGAAAACCCTGCGCTGGCTGTGGGCGAATCAGTTTGCGGCTATTGCGAGTGATTGTCCGAGCTTTGAGCCTGCGCCATTGGTGAGGGAGGGCACGCCGGCTGAGGTTACTCTGCATCAGTGGTGTCTAAGTGGATGGGGGATGCCAATTGGGGAATATTTTGATTTAGAGGAGCTGGCAAGGTATTGTAGGGAGAAGGGGAGGTGGAGCTTTTTCTTGTCGAGTGTGCCGCTTAAGGTATGTTATCCCTATGATCTCCATTTTGTCATAGTGGGAGTTGATTGTTGATGGTTGTTGTATACCTAGGTTCCTGGGGGCGTGGCCAGTCCGCCGAATGCGGTTGCTATTCTCTAAGAATTTAGCTTGCAAGATATTGAACTGGTGCTCTAATTCTGAATTACTATCTATTCCAGATTTGATTTATCTGTCGCAAGTATTAGTGTGTCTGTTGTGATCGCAAGGTATTAAATAATCCGTTAAATTCTTCATCTTGAGTATAGTTATAACAAAAGCACCGAATATTAAACATTGGAACAGCCAATTTTATATCCATAACTCCGCTCCAAACGCCTTCACCAGAATATAAAAAAAGGGGTAATTAGTTATTCATACCATGATTCAACCCACCAAAACCATAGCTATCCATGGTTCATATCTTACATTCTTGCAAAAATACCCACCATCATTCAATCCACGCGACAGAGGCCTAAATATTCACCGGCCTTTTCTTAAGCAAAACCTTCGTGTAGAAGTTAGGCATAATCTGCTCCCCATTCCGAATATTCATAGGCCGCTTCCCCTCCTTCCCCTCCTCAAACTTCATGTCATATTCAACAAGCAGGCGGCTGAGAATCGCCTTGGATGTATTGGTCGCAAAGTGGCGGCCAGGACAAGCCTGACGTCCAAACCCGAAATGTAGGTTCAGCTGATTTACCGAGACAAGGCTTTGATTGCGAGCCTCAGGGTCCTTACACCATCGGAACCCATCGAAGGTTTCGGGGGAGTCGATGAGGGATGGGTCCCGTGAGAGGGGTCCGGCTGGGAAGGTGACGTATGTGCCTTTGGGGATTTTGAAGCCGTCAGGGAATACTATTGTTTCTCTCGCGATTCGATGGACGTTGACTGTAAAACGCGATGTTAGTTGATGTGTCGGTGGACGGAAAGGGGAAATGGATGGCTATCTGGATATCAATTGATGACTTACTTACCTTCACTGGTAGGGTGCAAGCGCTGAGACTCACGGAGGAAACTATCCAGATGAACCTGAGCCGCAAAGTCGGCCTTGGTAGCATTTGCCCAGCCGTCTTTGAGTGTATCAATGATCTCATGACGCAGGGGCTCTAGGTACTCGGGGCGGATCATGAGATCGTACAGGCCCTGGGTTATGAGCATAGTGGAGGTATGAATGACAGCCAATGCCATTATGATCATCAACCCGTGGGCGATGTTCCCGGGATCTTTATCAAACTCGCTATCCGCGCTATCCATCATCCATTGCATGAAGTCGTCAGGCTTCTGGTATTCGGGGTCGCTAGCTTCGGCTTCACGGCGTTGCAGAATCATCGGCACGAAGACATCCTCTGTGACCCATCTGAGGGTCCTTTTGAGGTACCGGACGCTTGGGAGGATCCTTGCGACTAAGGGACGGAGAAATCGGGGAAGAGGACGAAGAAGTATGATTGTCAAGCCTAGGTTCTCTGTGTATCTGGTCACGGTGTCGAGCCATTGTTCGCTTCGACAGAGGGTGTCGCCGACAATTATGCGGGATGTGGACCGGTTAATGAGCTTCAGAATCAGGTAGTAAATGTTGACGGGAACCCATTTATCTGGTTTCTGATGTTAGCATACGGACTAGGCCAGTTTAAAATGGAGGGGGTCACTTACCGTTGCATTCAGGCACTTCGACTTCAAAAGCATGCTGAAGCTCGTCAACAACTTTGGGAATAAGCCGAGCTGTTTCACTGTTAGCTGTTTTATTGTTATGGGATCAAACAAGAGGAAGGGGGACTTACTCAGGGCTGGATTCAGCTTTTTGGTAACAGTGTGGGCCGGCAGGTTGTTGTCAATCAGAATACCGGTATACTGGCCACAAACACTCTGCCAGGGGTCAGTTTCAATAAAATAAGAGAATGGGGGGGGGGGAGCCAACTCACATCGAACTGTGCATCCAAAAGACTCAACTTTGTATGAGGAATCTGTCGAACATGGGGAAGGTATTTGGCAGGGAGTACGACGATATCTGCATCGACCTTGCGCACTCGATATGGCACGTCTTTGTACTAAGAAGACGAATATTAGCAAACTAGAAGGCTCAATTGTTGACAGCAAGACGTACCTTTCTGTAGCCCTCATAGATGAGAGCCGGGCCCTTGACGACGAACAGGAGCCGGTTGATAAAGTCAGGGACGGGACGGCCGTAGGATACGGTTGGAATATCGAGAGCGACGGTGACACCAGCAGGCTTCGAGAAGAGCCAGGCCACGAATGTAAGAGACACGGCAAGTAAAACAAGAGGTGGCATCTTTATGAGTATCTCGAATAAATCTGGCTGCTGCTGCAGGGGCCGTTAGTTCGCGCAGGTCTGTATAGATAGGGTTATATGGACGTGAGATGTAGTTACAGCGAAAGCCCAGGGAGACCCTGAAGCATAGCAGATCTGTGAAATATCGCGGAGCAAGAACTGAGATTAACACCAATCCACAGCACTGTATACCTCTGTCCTTATATAAACTGTTACATATCGCGTGGACCTGTGAATAGAGAGTGCGTCCTTTTTTTTTTGGGTGGAACGAGGGCATTATATCTTCTTTGACTCACCCGGGGGTTTATTCACAGATATATGGTTGGACATGGACTTGAAAGCACATTCTAGGCCTGTCTTTGTGTGGGAGATGCCGTCAAAGCCGTTGTATAATTTGTTTTTGTGAATAGGATAATGCAGTGGTAACAAATAGCAAAGGATCTAGCACCCTGATTGAGGCCTAAATAGTGAATTGAAGTTAGTCATAGGATATGGTCTAGTCTAAGTGAAGATCTGTCTTGGTAAACGGCTTTACAAAGCAAGCTAACAATCCTGTCGAGTTCGAGGACAAGCATCATTCTACAAAGGCTTTGATAGATACTCCAAGGCTTTCTCCGAACAGGCTCGATTGATGTGCTATCGCACAGTCTATGTACACTAAGGACACGAGAACTTTTGATTGTCCCTGTTTATCTTCCAAGGTATATAGCATCACAGAAATAGAACGCCATGCGCAAATGCAAATTACTGAAACAGGGCAAAGTTTGCTAGAAAGAAGCTGGCATATGATTAATCATTCAAGACCAAGCCATTCACCTTCCGCATCGTCGCCACCATCGCTCATGGCCGTATCGCCATTCCCAGTAGACGCTCCGTCGATCGTGTCGATTGCTTTGGGAAATAAAGGTTCTTTCTTTCCAGCCAGCATCGGCTTTGCGAGAAGGAAGTTGAGATCATAAAGGTTCTTTTCCGAGAGGCGTTTTAGGTTTTCGTTGATGTCGTCAAGAGCGCGCTGGACAGCACGAAGCTCGGGCCCTAGCGTGCCTGCATTGTCCTTGAAATATCTGCCGTGACTACTCAACAGAGACTCGATCCAGAGTAGGTTGAATTCGAGATGTGGCGTCTGCTCACAGGAGTGGGCAACGAATCGAAGCAGGCGAGGGAGGTATACAGTCGGGACGGAGCGAACAACATGGGCGATATCTGAGGGTGGGATGGCTTCATGGACGGCACTGATAAGCTTGGCCTCATTTAGGCGGAATGCCATGACCAACGCCTTCAAGAATGTGTCATCGTTGTTTATGTCGCCAGTTTCCGCTGCCTTTTTGGCACCTTCCACTGTAGCAAGAATGGTATCGGGTGTAATAGAAATGTCAAGGTCAAACGGGTCGAAAACAAATTCCGTGTCCAAGCTATAAATCAGAAGACCTTCTGTAGAGGCTGCACAGAACGAGCGGCCCGTCGAAGCGAAATCCACACCGCTGACACGAACTTCAGGTCGAGTACTCCGCGAACCGGCGTCACCACGCTTTGCTCCAGGAAGAGACCGATCGATGCGTTCCTCGCGGTCTGAGGCTTCTCCAGTCTCATCGATGAGTCCTCGAGCGCCAGCATCCGTCAGATCGCGGCTGTTGAGGAACTCCTGAGTACCATCCAGAGATGTGTTCACGGAGACGGTGTATTTTCTGACCAGGCAACCTGACACAACATCGTACAGGCAGATAAATTTGCTGTTACCGGCAGCGAGGACACAGCTTCCATCGGCGCTGTATGTGATGCAATGGAAGGATTTCGTGCCAGCGGCGTTGGCGGCGGTCGTGCGGTCTGTGACTTTGCGACCTCCCGAGATATCGCGGCGCCCATCAATACCGGTCTCTTGTACAGCGTCAGCCACCGACCAGAAGGTCAATTGCCCATCTAAAGAGGACGCTGCTATTTGCTTCCCATCCGGCCGGAAAGCGACGCTCAGTATATCCGAGGTAAGCACCAGGGGCTCGCTAGTCTGGGTTCTCCCAAAGATACTCCAGATACGAACGGTACGGTCCCAACTGCCACTGACCAAGTGATTGCCATCTGCTGCAAACGCCAAGGCTGATACGGGTCCCTCGTGGCCAGATAGTTGATCAAGTAGTTGTCCGGTCTGTACTGACCATACATGGATATCGAAGGAGTCTGGAGATCCAGCACAAATAACTTCGCCACTGGGGTCGACCGCGAGAGAGGCGAAAGGAAGTCGAGATGGGGCCGTGAACGTGCGGAAATTTCGGTAGCGGATCAGATCCCATGCCCTCACTGATCCATCTAACGAGGCTGTAAACAATACATTTCCCTTCTTTGAGAACTCGCACGCCGTCACCCCACTGGAGTGCTCGGTAAATGTCACCAAGCAGAAACCAGATTTGACGTCCCAGACCTTGACCTTGCCGTCATCGGCAGCAGTGACGATCCTTTGGCCATCGGGTGAGTATACAAGCGCATTCATTGAATCCAAATGGCCCTGCTGTTTCAGAATGTACGACTCTGACTGCCATTCCCAAACTAGCAATTGCCCGAATTTCGAGGAACCAAACGCTAGCCACTCGCCAGATTTGTTTATCGACACGACGTCAATATTACTCTGAGCAATACTAGGTATTTAATCAGCTTCATGTTCACCCTTAAGAATAAGACAACATACCTTAGAAGATGTATCGTATTAAACTCCGGTAGTTCGTAAAGGCCAAACAGACCGTTCGAAAAGCCAACGACGAGCAGATTTGAGGGGCCATGGAATGCCGCGCACTTAACCGTCGCATGTGGCTGTTGGAAGAACTCTTTCTTGACAATCCTCCAGCGTGGTTCGCCTACATCCTCCATTGAGTCTGGATCTTTTTTGGAGACATATTCCCATCGAAAGAGCGCACAATCTCGGCTGACGGTGTAAATCTACCTTTACGTTAGACCCAAATTTCAAGAGTGGTGATGGAGAGACCTACCATCTCTTGATCGGCAGAGAAAAAAGCCGCTCTAACTCCTTGTCGGTGACCCGAGAGAGTTGTGGGCTCGAAGCCATCCTCGGGATCCAAGCTCCATACCCGCGCCGTCAAGTCCTTCGAAGCCGTCAAAAGGAAACGAGAGTCACTCGACCACTCAATGCTCTGCACTTCGTCGAAATGACCGGCGAGATCTCGGTGTAGGACAAATGGAGCAAAATCGATTTCGCCATCACCGCCGACAGTAGGCGTTTCGGGGGTGTGCCATATTTGCAGCCGGCGACCCACACCAACAGCAAAGTGACGACCGGATGGGGAGAATTTGAGGGCAGAAACGCGGCCTTTGAAGGAAAAGTTGTAGATTTGGACCCGACGGTGGAAGTTGGTTAGGATTGCGCGACCATGTTCGTCGACAGAAAGAAGAATGTTGCCCCGCGGAGTAAGGTCTAGTCGATCGATATTTGTTCGGTGCGCAAAAGGAAGCGTATGGGAAGTATTGCTAAATGCGACCACCGGGTTAAAAAGCTGCAATATAGAATGGAGAAAACATCAAGCCGCGCAAAACATACTTCACTAGGTCAAATACGGTGACCCTGTTGCCCACCGGCGAAATTAAGCAGTTCCCATCAGGCGTGAAGAGAAGGTTCCCTTTGCGATATACCGTACCGAGGAGGTTCGAGAACTAGAGTTGATTGTTAGCATGGTCGCAGCTTCAGAGCCAATTGTGCAGAGCTAGCACTCAATTTTTGATGTAGACTAACCTTGAAATCGGTCTTCATGGTCGATAGCCAGAGAGTCGCTCCTCAGTATATACTCGCCGACCAACTTGCTCAGATCTTCACAAAAAAAGTCGGCCCTGCGATAAGAGCTCGGATCAGCCGTTTTTCCTGGTGCCGAAAGCTTAGTCTGGAAACGCACTAGCGTTGGTGCCTCAGGACTAAAGATCCCCGAAAAACGTGACTTTGGGGGGTTCGGATTCTTTGGATTCAGGGGCAGCAGGAGCCAGACTAGACTCAACCAGGCACAAACAAGATTCGGGTCGTTTGCTGCTGTCCTCTTGTCTCCTACTCTTCTCTCGACGACTGCCCTGCTGTCTCCGACTCTACCAACTCCTGAAGGGTCTTCTTCCTCCGTCTTGTCCTAATTCTTCTTTACATCCCAGGAAGCCCTCGGGTTGTTGTACTGTCCCCGGTCCAATTGATTTCCACCTTCCTTTGCTGGTCGACCCCTTATCATCATGGCCCCCATCAACGAAACTGCTTCGCCCATTGGTATTGCCAACGTGAGTCTTCAATATTATACCTGATTCCATTTAAAACTTAATTTATGTTGACGATGAATTCTTTCTCGACAGCTCCCAAACCAGCGGTATGTACAGCTCGCGAGGATGCGGATATCAGGTGTAGTAGCTGTGTGGTTCTAACGAAAATCCTCCAGACACAAGATTGTTGCTAAGCGGGGTGCGGCTTTTACTATTATGGTGCGTTCAATTGATACCCTATCGGACTAATACATGGAGCTAATACTGAGTTCCTCAGGTTGCTGGAGAGTCTGGATTGGGAAAGACCACGTTCATCAACACTCTGTTTTCCACCACCATCAAGAACTACGCCGACCACAAGCGCCGACACCAGAAGCAGATCGACCGAACTGTCGAGATTGAAATCACCAAGGCCGAATTAGAGGAGAAGTTCTTCAAAGGTTCATTTTGGATAGTCCCGGGTTAGGAGTCACGGCTGGCTAACAACCATTGCGCTGTATAGTTCGCTTGACCGTTATTGATACCCCCGGATTTGGTGACTACGTCAACAACCGCGATTCCTGGCAACCGGTTATCGAGTTCCTGGATGACCAGCATGAGTCTTACATGTTGCAGGAGCAGCAGCCCCGCCGAACAGACAAGATTGACATGCGTGTCCACGCGTGCCTGTATTTCATCCGCCCAACTGGACACACCCTGAAGCCCCTGGACATTGAGGTCATGAAGCGCCTGAGCTCCCGTGTTAACCTGATTCCCGTTATCGCCAAGGCCGACACTCTCAGCCCTGCCGACCTCGCCCGGTACAAGCAACGGGTAAGCTACCTTTTCTTGCATCATTCCTTTTCGAGTTACTAGGGACTAACTCTACCCTCCAACTCTAGGTCCAAGCCGTGATTGAAGCCCAGGGCATCAAGATCTACACCCCTCCCGTGGAAGAGGACGACGAGACTGCCGCCACTCACGCTCGCAGCTTGCAGGCTGCCATGCCTTTCGCTGTTATCGGCTCCGAAAAGGATGTGAAGACCAACGATGGCCGCGTGGTCAAGGGCCGTCAATATGCTTGGGGTGTCGCCGAAGTCGAGGATGAAGAGCACTGCGACTTCAAAAAGCTGCGCTCAATTCTCGTCCGTACCCACATGCTTGATCTCATCCACACAACCGAGGAGCAACACTACGAAGCGTACCGCGCACAACAAATGGAGACCCGGAAATTCGGTGAGGCCCGACCGAGGAAGCTCGACAACCCCAAGTTCAAGGAAGAGGAAGAGAACCTGCGCAAACGCTTTACCGACCAAGTCAAGCTCGAGGAATCGCGGTTCCGACAGTGGGAGCAGAAGCTCATTGCAGAGAGGGATCGCCTCAACAAGGACCTCGAGGCCACCCACGCTGCGTATGTTCCTGCCCCCCATATTCATGCCCCTCGAAGGTGTATTTTAGCTAACTTCAAAACAGTATCAAGTCGCTGGAGGGAGAAATCGAGGGGCTGCAGGGATCATCCACTAGGAGCCACGGCCGTCGCTAGACATCTTTTCGTACCACTGGAGGCATGCGGTAGTGGTTATTTTACGGACGGTGGAAAAAGCAGAAGTGTGCATTCGTCTCAACTAATATGGTTTTACTCTCGACTACCCCTTGACGGTTTCTTTTCCTTTCTATCATTATTCGCCTTTTGACATTCTCCGTGATTACTTTCGGATCGTGTTTACTACTCAGAAGCTCGCCACAAATATTGGCTTCTCCATCCGGTCTAGCTTGACCTGTTTTCTGAATTTGCTTGCTAGTCGCTAGCGATGGTTTGTCTACGTCCTTGATAATAGCCCTCTTGTATCCGGCATCTCAATCAATACAGATTTAATTGTCACATCGTGAAGTTTTCCAAGGGTTTTATGTAGCGCTGGCCTCCCTCAACTCTAAGATGAACGTCATTTCTGTATGGTGCAAGGGCAGAAGTCTCACGACCAGGCCTTATCTCTATTCTATATCCAATGTTATACTTGATATCCCGACCGTGAAGCAAGGGGCAATGGAAGCACTGGGTGGAACTGACAATAATGCTTTCGACCCTATCCATGCGACTGTAATCGACAATTAAGAAGCTTGGTAGAGTGGCTATTTGAATCACTGCTTCGGAATGGTGAAATTATTATTGAAGGAGGTTGAGGTTGATAACACGCAGCTATGAGAACAGGGCACTGAGCCTGATATGATGCGGAAACTATATAGCCCAACTAGGTTTAGTGCCCTGTCCCCATAATCAAACTCTCGTGAGACCCAGAACGAACGCTCGGGGTTTTCCGCCTTTCCGCACCGACATCACAAATGGACAACCGCAAAGCTCCAAAGCTCGATTTGCCTTGATCTTATCGTCAACCACATTTATATTCCCTCCAGGGCTCGTCAATGACTGCAACAGGGAAATTCCCCTCGCAGTTAGTCCATACCCTCAAGACACATCATGGTAATTCCTAAACACAGTTTCCCCGCAAAAAGCTCTCTTAGCTAACTCACCACCCCATCGCAGGACCCGTGAACGCGGTGACATTTTCAGGTGGCCCTGGGACCTACATACTGACAGGGTCCACTGATCGCGCCGTGCATCTCTCCCGTGCAATCCCAAATAACAACAATACTTCTTCCGTTGTCGAGACGACGTCGCCGATCCAAAAGTACGAGGCACACGGGTACTCGGTGCTAGACATTGCGGTTGCGTCGGATAATTCGAAATTTGCGAGCGTTGGCGGCGATCGGCAGGTGTTTCTATGGGATGTTGAACAGGGTATCACTGTGAGGCGCTGGGGTGGACATAACGCGAGGGTGGAAGCGGTACAGTTTGCTGGGGAGGACGATGCGGTTGTTGTATCCGGTGAGTATTTAAGTATGATTATTTTCGATGGAACTGATTTTAATGGCTTTCTTTCTGCGTAGGCAGCGCTGATACTACGATCAATATTTGGGATGGCCGCTCAAATTCCCATAAGCCGATTCAGACTCTGAGCGAGGCTGGTGACACCGTCTCCTCATTACATGTGCATGCACCAACCTACTCAATCGCGAGCGGCAGCTATGATGGACGCGCGCGGGTCTACGATATCCGCATGGGCAGGACGACGGTGGATGTTCTCGGGAATCCAGTTACAAGCGTGCGGTGCTCAGCAGACGGGAATGCGCTTTTGACGTCTACTCTCGACAGTCGAATCCGATTGTTGGATCGCGATGACGGAAAGTTGTTGAAGTCATTTGGACAGGAGGATACCGCCCAAAATACCGCTCAAAACACACCTCTCAAATTGGGGAAAGCAACCGGTTATAGAAACGTGGAGCTGCGCATTCGGTCCGTATTCGCGAAGGCTGACGCTATTGTCCTCAGCGGTAGCGAGTCTAACAAGGATGATCGCTTCGCGCAAGCACATATTTTTACCTGGGACGTCCTGAGTGGAGATCTCATTGCGTCCATTCCAGCAGGAGAGAAAGTCAAAGCCGTCAGCGACGTAGCGTGGAATGAGAAGGCAAAGTGTTGGGCTGGCGGATGCTCCGATGGTATGTGCACACTCCCTTTTCTGACATTCCTAGCCTACCCAAGCTTGGCGCTGACTGCGGTGCTCCAGGAACCGTCAAAGTCTATCGGTAAACATCCTCACTGATAAGACTTGGACGCTTAAACACGGAGGTTGGCTGGCTCAAGAGACTCGCCACCGGAAATCCACGGGCCTCCTTCCAAAACTGAAATCCAATGCGCATGCGACAATCCTTCAGGCTTTCACATTTTTAAAGCTGAGGCTATTGCGGTAACTCAATTATCAGACCTAGGCCCCACCCACCTTTCCTCCTTACCAGACGGCCTCCACCCCATTCCGCGTTCCACGTGTGCGCCATGGTATTCATACATCATCGGTTATCGCAGGAAGCCACCCAGCCACCAAGATACGCTAAGGCCTACTACGACCACTTTTTGTCTCAAGCTGAAGCAGCTGAAGCAAACGCATCTTGTCTTCTCATATCCTTGCTGGGGCCGGATTGCAGCACCATACCTTCGATAACCTGGCAAGCCGGCCTTTCCTATCGGGATACAGTGTCACTGAATGTCAAGTTCCTCGCGCTAGGTGATTTGGCGTTTGAGGGTTAGTTGGGCTCTGCTCGGACACGTTACATACTAGACTTTTTCCATGATATCACCAATTATAGTAATAGATTTAGCAGGAGAAATCTACGTAATTGTATATGACCCCATGATTCAATCCTTCGTCAATTTCCACTATAATCCGTAACTGGGCTGGTTGCCTGAGTAATCCATACATGAATGCATCTTCCTAGCTGAAGCCGAAACACCTTGCTGTGCGCTGCTTTGGCCTCTTGTAAACTCCGAGGGGCCTATTAAAACCGAAAGGTACTGACGTGAGATAAAAGATTGAACGCCATAAGACAAAAACAATCATAACAAAAATGGGCCGCTTGCTGGGGTGTATCATATATGGCATCCAAACGTACAGCACGACGTAAATCGTCACAGTTGAAAATAGAACAAGTAAAAACATAAAATAACTCCCAACTTTTTTTGTCCCGTCACACATTTTCCCAATTTTTAATCAAGAATATGCAATAAAAAGGTGTCCAGAACAGGAAAATTTGCAAACCGCAAAGGAGAAGAGCTTTTGTGAATCCAAAAATGACAAAATGCATAGCTAAAGCACCGGTAGTATGCTGTTATTATATTTCCAATGTTTCAATTCCCTTCTCAGGAACATGGCTTTCGGCCTCCAAGGCATCCATGGCGTGGTTAAGTTGCTGCTCGCCAACAATAATTGTTCCTGCACGTGCTGTGCTGAGGAAGCTGATCTCGACGGCGTCTAAGGATGTATCCAAATCTGGTATGAGGCGATGGGTGGGCGGGTTGATGCCATTGGTTTTCTGGCTCGGGCTCTGACTTATATAAGGGGTTGGCGTCGTTCTGGTGCCATTCGGTAGGGGGATGTCAACGTATTGAGGTTTTGGCCATGCATTGTCGAGGTTGTCGACAGAAGACGTAGCGGATGCCATAGGGCTGGCTTCAGTACGGTCGTGTGTTGCATCAGCAAGTCGACTCGCAACACCGCAGACAATACCAGTGGCCTCTAGAGGAAGGCTGCGCAGATCTAGCATAATTGGGAAAAGAATATCCTTTTTTGAACCCAGCAACAGGCTAGAATCGTTGTCCTCGTCGGTAGAAGAGGCTGGCTCGCTTGAGAAGCGAGGGAGAAGACGTTGTTCAAGGAGAAGAGAAGCCGCAGGGTCTGCGGCGGTTATGGTGAGTGAAAGAAATCGGGGCTTATCAACGACTAGTGCTGTTGTGAGGGCATCACGTAGGATGGCGATAGAGCTATCCTCGTTTGTAAACCGGTGGTGAGCTGCACATTGTACCAGACGAAGAGACCTGTCGACGAAAGGGGTTATATTGTTACGACGCAGAGACGAGAAGGTACGTTTCTGGAGCTCGTTAAGAGAAGACGGTGGGGGCGTCGCCGGTGGTGAGCTCAAAGAACTGGCAGAGTGTGACGAGATAGGGCTAAACGGGCCGTTGGCCGATGGCTGGTTGTTGTTAATGAAGGCCTCGGTCGAAATTTCAAACTTGAACCCCCGATTTTCCAAGGCTTCGATAACTTGAGCTTTGGTTTTAAACGGAACAATGATGTAATCGGCAAAATAAGTAGATATGAAGAAGATCGAACTACACAATGCTAGTTAGTCCGTATTCTCATGACAAGATGAAGGGTGTTGCACGTACATTCCTGCCATGGCTAACGGCGTTGTCAATTCAAGAACCCGCTGGCCGGCCTCCAGTCCTTCCCCATACACCTGCATGGCGATGAAATCGTCCTTACTGATCGATAGGCGGCTCTGAGTAGATGTACTAACTTGGACGAACCGCTCAAGCAGAGGAGCAAAATACTCGTCAGCGAGCTGCCGAGGACACATGACTGAACATTCAACCGGCGTAATTGAGAGGTTCAGAAATGCGGGCTGCACATCGCGTGAGAACTCAATAGGACTGTCACAACCACGAGACTCGGCCTGAGTCTCGTTAATCGGAGCGACTTCATGGAACAGCACCTGTAGAATGGGGTCCAAGAAGAAGGGGTATAGATCTAGTGGGATGTGCACCAGGGCCAGTCGGTCCTCCTGTAGTTCCACAACAGTTGTCAGCGAAACAAGTCGATGGCAAATATCATCCATCCGAGAAGGTAGCCGGGATTTTGTATTTTTTTTAAAAAAAAAGATAGTGTGATAGAAAGTGGAAGCCAACAGCCAGGGTTATGGCGTATCTATTGAATGACGGGCAACTCACCATAAACTGGACCTGGGCGGATATCAGCGATAATGAACTTTCCATTCTGCCAGGAAATTTCTGGAACTTTGGTTGCCTGGCGATAAAGCGTGGGTAAATGGGGTGGAATAAATGGTGGGAGGAAGACTGCGAGAATGTTAGAATGGCTCATATTGAAAAGAGATAATATTGACTCACAAGGTAGTAGTATATATGAGCCAATTCTAGACTGCAAACTAATTAAGAATATCGGCGCAGTGCAAGGGAAGATTAGGGAAGGAAATTGGTGTAACCAGGATTAACAAAGCCAGAATATGCGCTGAGTATATTTGAGCAAGTAAGACGAGGCTAAAAGTCTGTCCAGGTGCAGCTGAAAGGAATGGTTTGTCCCCTTCTTTTTCGCTTGTGTCTTTTGTATGGCACAAAGACTTGCGTCGTCATTGTCGTGAATTCTCGAGTTACGCCATTCTTGGTAAGATGGTATCAAGAAGGGTGGATGAGAGTTCGGAATGCAGCAGGCAGCTGTCGATGATGGTGCTATCCAGGGAATGGATTATGACAGAAGACGTCGGCCCCGGAGAAATTGAGCAAGACGAAGCTGGAGGCCGGGAGGAAATGCTGTGATGTTGTGATTTCCGGCAGGTGACTCAACGCTCTTGATCTGCTCGCTTCAACTTTGCGTTGTCTCTTCCCCAGTTCTCTACAGGCCAATTCCACCAGCTCCACTCAAACCCTCGGAAAACCAAATGCACCAGGAAATGGAAGATGAACGGGAAAGGGCAGAAGGAAATAATCGAAGAATAAGTCAACGAAGAAGAAAAAACTTGATGATGTTGGTGCGCTCCTCACTAACAAGCGCTATCCGTTAGATAGCGATGATAATGTCCTTTTAAGCACAGTCGACTCATTTACCTAATCTGCTTTACACTCCAAAATCCGCCTCTCGGACCCAAAGTTGGACCGTTTTCTGACTTTATCTCCAGCTCCACCAGCAGCGGCCTTATCTGTACCAACAACATCCTCCAATTGCCACCCCGCGCTATGCGCCGGTACCGATAGTCCCGAAAGCCTCTCATTCAGCGCTTGGACAAGATCCATAAAATTAGCAGGCGTCACGGGTGGCCAAAGCAGAAGCAGCTCGTGGTTTCCCCGCACTTACGGGGACAAGGATGTGGTGAACCTGTGAGAGCTAGTCAGGCACATCGCTGCAAATCAACCTAGCTGGTCACACACACTGTCAATCCTGCGTAGCGTGGCATCAGCCACTGGGAGATTTGGATTCCCACAACTGTCAATCTCTGAGGGGGCGAGGCAGTGATTGGGGGCTGATAACGAGGTGGGAAGGGTGGGTGGCATCATGGTGGAGTCCACGGTTTGTCCACCCAACATTCCCTTGCTCAAGAAGCCAGGACGACTCCGATCTCAGGCATCTCTGCTGTTCCCGAGGGTAAAGGAGCATTTGGGTTCTGCAATATGGGGTACACTTCTCGCAACGGATCGTGCCACCACAAAACTCCACGGATCATGATTAATTTCTTTTTCCTGTCTTTTCTTTTCCCAATCCCAAGGTTTGCTGGCCCACCACTCAAATTCCAGTAGACTCTTCACCCGCCCTCAATGGTGCCATCAGGACGATAACCCCCGCTTAACAAAGCTTGCTATAATCGGCCGTGCTTGGTCCTTCCGAAACTCAGCTTCTCTCTGCGCGACTCACATTCGAGGTTTAAGTTCCGATTCCCAAAACATCCCCGGGCATATATTCCTCAGCGCTTGCAGCGCTGTGTCATGAAAGTAAAAAGTGCCAGGGATTTCTTATGACGTTTATTACCCAGAAAGCGATCCGTGTGTCGAGCTCGTGCTCAAGACGTCGCAAATCCTAGAAGCCTGGTTGGTGGGTGATCCCATGCCCCTGCCAGGCTTTCTTTGACCACTGCATTTCCTCCTTTCTCAGCTAAATACTGGGCAAACAAATGGCTCTATCCCCGTCGCCGATTTTTTACTAATCGTTGAAGCTCTCGACGGATATTCCTGGTCAAATATATCAGTGATATATGCCATGTGCATACCGTGATAGCAGAATGAGGGGGTGCCGCCCTGATCCTCGGCATGGTAGATTATTATGGAATTCTTCGGCAACACCCCAGCTCGCCTTCCCTTTGGCAATGGCGTTGTCGCCTGACCTCCCTCACGTTGATCGTCTTTCGGTCATCATTCCTCCAGCATGATTCACGATGCTCCAAACTTAAGACTTCCTCCTTTGAATTCATGAGTCCTCAGACCATATATAATAATGGGGGGCTGTCGTATGCGTTGGGATTACGCATTACAGACCACTTAATCAGTCCAACAGTGTCTTCTCCTTATCGATCTTCATCATTTCCTAGTTATGCACGTAAAATATGCATTTCAATGATGCCAAAAACAATTGGTCTATACTCCCAGTGAACGCTTCCTGGCCCAAAAACCCAGACTAAGCCGTGAAAATAGAGAAAGACTGATTCAGACCTCAGCAGATAACATCCATAACCCTAAAGCAGGGAACGGAGTGCGTATTCTTCAAACCTCCGATTCTAACCTTCGGAGCTCCCAGGCTCGAATCCCAAGGCCCCCTGCTAGTATGTATGCATGACACGATGTCCTCCTCATTTAGATTGTGTTGGAGAGCTAGACCATTGAGACACAGTCCCAGATAGAGGGGCCAGGGTCATAGATAAGCGCGCATCCAATCGGGTTTCAAGTAGATGATCACCTAGGTACCAAGTCCATCCACATCGACAACTTATGCAGCGAGCAGTAGGGTAGTACTGCTATTAGCAGCAACAATATCCATAACTATTAGAGCTGCTCTCGAGGTACGCATGCATGCAATGCCTGGACAGGAAGCGCGTTAATCACAGTGCATCGACGCCAGGTTGTAGACTTGTAGTCTTTATTTGGTCGGGTATTATTTTATTTATTTGTCCCATACCTACTATCCCGTAACCCCCCTAGATAACTACTATAACAAGGCCCAAAGTACCAGCCGGGTCGCCAACCAATCAATGAATAAATCAATCATCCTCATCAACCCTTGCACGCTTCGATCCCCGAGTGTCAGGCTCCGCTTCCTGGATTCCGTAGCGCTTCTGGCCTGCTCCCCCACCTCCTGTCACGTCCGCAATCATGTTATCAATTCCGAATGGATCGCCTGAATCCTTCTCGAATTGGACAGGTCCACTTCGTTCCTACATACATAAGGGTGGTTAGAAAAGCTGTTGTTCAAAGGTGAACAAGTAAAGGAGCCTTACCTCGGCATCCGCGGCACCTCGAAAACCCTCCTTAGCTTTACCCAAGACTTCAAATCGGTTAGACTTTTGAAGCTTGCTCATTTCACCTTCTGCATCGGCCTCGTCCTCAAAGTCAGCCTGAGGCTTGGGTCGGTATATACTGTTTATAGCGTCCTGCGCGGCAAACAGCGGCTTGTCGTAGGGGTTGTCTTCGTTGAATCCAGTACTCATTCCACTAGTCTGGTTGAAGAGGCGGGAATCCCACATGGTTTCGGAGGACTGTGTTGGCTTTGCTAGACCAAGAGCAACCTTTTCTGAAATGTCACGGTTCTGCTCACGAGCCATCGCCTGGATTCTCCGCTCAGTGCCCATACGTGATTGACGCAATTGTCGCTCTGCATCCTGTCGCCGCTCACGACGGATGCGCTCACGCTCTCGTGCAGCGTCCTCCTCTTCGTCAGGAGTGCGGGACCGGGACCGAGCTGAAGCATCGGAGAAACTGCGGCTGCGGCTGCGATCACGGCTAGGAGAGCGAGATGTGCGGGATTCTCCACCTCTCGTCCTCTCTTCACGCGCTTTCTGGGCCAGAGCACGAAGATGATCTTCCTTTTGTGCCTTCTCTTTCTCTGCCAACTTCTGTTGCATCTGAGCTCGGAGTCGGACTTCCTCACGGGCATGTCGATCCGCCGTAAACAAAGCCTCCGCAAACTGAGCAAACTTGTCGTTAATTGAAACATCTTGTAGACCACGTCCATCAGCAGCCAACCGCTTATCCAGCGGCACTGTATAACCCTTAGGATTTTTCCAGTTTGACACTGGAGGAGGAATCTTCCACGCCTCCTGATCCTCTGCCGTAAGCTTTCTTGGAGGCGAGTGCATAATCGGCGGAGGCGGCGATGGTGGTCCACGTGGGATCTTCTTATGCTTGAACTTCGGTGGCTCCATCGGATCCTGCTGGCGCTCAACAATTTTCATAATCCGGTCATTCTTTCGACTCGTATCACCCATTTGGTTTGCCGGCGTGTATCGCACAAATGTGGGATCCGCTCGGCTGCCGCCCTTCACATTCTTAGGTTTCTGCGCGGCGACGGCACCCGACACAAGACTCGCAAGCGCGTTCTTCGTCTTTTCCATCTGTTCCTCGACTTCTTCCTCTGATGGCCTATCCAATGATACCTCGCCCATATCCACCCGCTGCCGAAGGGGGATTAAATCTTTGAACGAAGCATGCACAATCCGGTCATCGCTGTGTCCACGTCGTGCGATAGCATCGTATTTAACCTTTCCTTCAGCGTCGACTTGTACTGCAAGAGCGTTTGATTTTGATTGCGTGCCCTTTCGGCCCATGTCTAGGGGGTACTGCGCGACTAGAATTTCGGGGAACGCGCCACCGTCGCCGAAATCTTCGGGTGCTCGAGGACGCCATCCTGTTCGATTTCCATACGGAGGCGGGCCAGTCCTCTATAAAGAGAAGAAAAAAAAATCAATACTGTAAACTGATCACAATGTAATTTTTTTGGTTCGGAAACACTTACCCTGAGAACAACCTGCGTCTCATCTAGTTGACCGGGCCCGACGATGCGCGGTCCACGCTGGCCATGCTGTGGCAGCTCCTCCTCTTCACCTGTGTATTTTGGTTTCGGTAAAGTTTTAAACAACCCCTCCGCAATCGATGTCATTGTGGATGAGAAGAAATATAATAAAGGGGGAGTGAAAAAGCAAGTGGTGATGGCGAGGTGACGATTTGCTTGATGCTTTTTTCGAAGGGTTGGCGGCGTTGCGGACCTGGTAACTGTCGCACACCGTATGATTAGATAACGCCCCGAAGAGGAAAGTAACGGCGCCGCTGTAAGCGAAGTATAGTTACCTCCTGACAGTGCTAGTTCTGAAAAAGACTACACATATTAAACAACTATACAGAGATTCGCACTATTATTCTATCAAAATCTTTATATTTAATACAACATTAATCGCTAAGTCATCCAAAGCCGTGCCCAAAAAGATGCATACGCGGCCCAACGGCCGGTAATGATAAAGGATGAGAGGGGGGTTGGCCTTAGCCTATAAGTATTGAAAACCATACAGTGAGATTAGAACACAGGTACCAGATATAATAAAAAAAAATTAGGGATTATCCAGTAATCGGACTGTGTTAAGCAGCAAGGAGATGGGACCGCATAGGACAAGTAAGGCCCTCTGCATCATTGGCTTCGATATAGTGATCTTTTCCATGGTATTGATACCATATCTTCAGCTTCTTAGCTTTCAAAGGTGCCGGGTCATGGAATCCAAGAATGTGGAACTACGAATAAGTCAGCAAATTTCAATAACAAAAAAAAAAAAAGTAGGTGGTGGGAAGGGTGATTATATGGGCGGGAACGCACCTTGGTTGTTTTCTTGGAGATAATGAGCTGACCATGATCCACCAATGAAGCTACGGGAATGGTGACATCTGCAACTTCTGGTTCTTTTGGTTCCTTGTCGCCCCTCCATGTTGTTGGAGAAGGATAATAGCCATATTCCGCTTTGGTTATGACCAGGCCCCCTTGCCTGGACTCTTTGTTCTGCCGGCGTTGCACTTGATCCGCCATGAGCTCAATGGCCTGCGTGCTCTCTGCTCTCTTTTGGGGAATTAATCTCCTCAGCCGTTTCTGGTGTCGTGCGACCAACTTTCGGCGGTTTCGCCGTTCTCTGGGCCGGATGTAGCCGAACTCAAGGGCGCAGTATGTTAGCCATGGCAGAAGGACACCTAAGGTGGCCGAGTTGGCATTAACATGGTCAACCGGGCATATGGCAATGGGGAATTTGAGCGTCTGTCCAAGCCTGGCCCATGAGAAAGTCATGATCAGGCCCTGAGGCCGAAGATTAACCCCAAAGCCCACATGAGTCAATTCACTAACTTGTCGGGATCCGTGCACAGACCAGGAAAGCGATGCGTCCATATTGATAACACTGGAAATGTCGAGACGAACAGAGCGCGGCTGATCCGCTGGTGGTAATGAGTAATGTTTCTCAGAGCTCCACTGGGATTGGGTAGCATCGGTGGCAGCCTTCCCAGAAAAGATATTCCGAGAATATTTGAAAACAAGGCTGTGCATGGCTGGAGAAGACGAAATAGCAACCTGCCAGGCTTCGGCAATTTTGCGTTCCTCGCGCTGCTTGGCACGTAATATTCCAAGCTCATCTTCATCTTCTTCCTGTGATTCTGGCACTTCCGCATCCTCTTCGCCTAACGCAAGCCTTGAGGGTTGAGATGCAATGCCAACTTGGAGTTGACTTGGTTCCTCCCCCGCGATCAAGAAATCATCCGAGCCAAGACCGGCAAATGGGAGGAGTAGCGTCTGGACAACAAGCGGCCATCCAATAAATCCACTGGACCAGTTGCAGAACGCCACTTTTTTCTGGCCAATTCCCTTGCTTAATTGTAGGTTGAGTATCGGTGGTGTCTGAAGGGGCGAGCGAGTGAAAGCCGTCCCGAAGATAACATTGAAAGGCCTCGTCCCTGGAGCAATTGTGATACTCTTAGCCAGGTTTGCTTGTACCGTTGCGGCTGGTAAAACAGTAGCATCGACGCTCAAAATCGAGCTCTGAAGAAATGAGAACGGCCATCTACTGAGGACCCCCTTCGGGTTTGAATCTCTAAAGACTCGACTTGTGCTGGCCCCAAGGTTGATGTTTTGTGTGGACAAAATCAGAGGAAGAGGAACCTGATGAGAATTGTTAGCAATAACTGGTGGCCAAAAGACACCTGCTAAACGCTACCTTTCGAAGTTCGGTCTCCCCATCCTCATATTCCAATTCGACTTCGTTGAAGAAGCGTTGAAGGCCCCCCGAGACACCAGCATATATCTCCAATTCTGGCTCTCCAGTCGCGTCGTCTTGCGTCTTTTTTTCATCGGCATCCTCGGCATCCTCCTTATCGTTTTCCCCAAGAACAGCCCGTAGCGTTGGGAAAGGGGCTACAAAGGAATACCGGACAGCTAGGTCGGACAATTTGGGAGAAGGGACGCGAAGGAATACCTCATCCAACTCCTCATCGACCGAAATCATATCCTGGGCATTGATGCCAACAGTTAAGGTTCCCTTTCAAACTCGTCAGAATCAAGAATCATAATCATCACTCCAGAACGTAGCCAACAAGGATAAAGAGAAAAACAGGGGTGGCAAACATACCTTGCTCCTAACAAATGAGTTGATCACGTCCCTCTCCCTCTTCTTCATCGTCTCAAAAAACCACCTCCGAAATTCCTCCGGCTTCATTGCCTTCACACCGATCTGGTTTTGTTTCTCTTGTCTCTCTGCTTCTCCTCCAAGGCCCATTGCCCCCATACGCCCCCATTCCCTCCGCACCCCCTCTGCGCCCAAAACATCATACACGAGTCTTTTCTTTGGGTCAATGAGCGTCTCATACGCCTCGCGGATCCGCTCAAACTGTTGTTTCGCCGCAGCTTGTAATTCCGGTGGCTGTTTATCCGGATGGAAGCTCAACGTGAGGGTTCGGTATGCGGATCTGATTGCGCCGTCCGTTGGGGGAGGGTCGCGGGGGAGTCCAAGCAGAGCGTAGTAGTCGGCTTCTTCGGGGTAGGACATGAGGACCGAGTATGCTTCCGTGTCGCCGGCATCGGCATTGGCGTCGCCCGAAAATAACCGCTCATGATTATCATCCATGGTGCCGGGTGGTGGGCGCGTTCAACCCGCGTGTTTGGGTCTATCTTTTGGCGCTTTTTTGTCTCCGCTCAGCACCAAGGTACCGGCATTGAGCAGCAGGAAGGGGAACCGTAGAACTAAGCACCGCAAAGCTCAATATTTTGTCTGAATCACACGACTTTGCGGTGCATTTTACGCGTGGAAAAGCAGCTGCGATTGGCGAAGAGTGATGGGTTTTATTTAATGCGGAGACGGAGGGAGAGCGGCGGAATTAAGCAGGTGACGTTCGATAAGTGGAGGGCGGAGCGGGACTGATCCGTTCGTTTACTTAGACACTCATAACAGCCAAAACCGCCCTGCTCATATTTAATTATTGAAGATACGAGATCAAGTCTACACCAATATTGTGGGTAGAACACTGCTTTTGGGAGCTCGTAAGTGCTGTAATTTTGCCTTATCGCCTTGGATGCAGATACGTAGTATAAAACGGAAATCCGGTCATGGTCCCGGACCTAGTTTTCTTTTTTGGGAACATCTAGTACTATTTCTACATACTCTCAACTATCCACTTGTGCTATTATTCAAATTATCCACTTATACACTGAGAGGAAGCTCGAGATCAACAAGCCACAACGGTTGCACCGGCAGCTCTTTCGTGCCCTCGACAGCGGCGTTGACAAAGAGTGTCTGGGAGCCCGCTTGGAGCGGAGTATAGCCCTCTTCACAAAGACTCGCTTCGTGGATTCGAGCATCATGGCTGACTCTGGACAGATTATCAATCAATGTAGACCTTCCATTGTCGATATCAGTGAGATGCGATGGTTTCTCGTTGATCATTTTCCGCCACGCCACGACCTTTGCTCCCCAACCTTCATGAATATGGCCAAAGTAATGCATTCGCGGCCGTGATCGAGCGATAGCCACAAAGAGCTGTGGGCAACCGGCGCGCTCAGCCGAGTAGGTCATGTCCATGATACCCCTCGGTGGGCCATGCGTTATAACGACGTCGACATCGTCACTAATATCAAAGTTATGACCCATCTCAGGGTCGTATTGGAAACCCCAGTCACCAAGTGAGGGGGGTATAAGGGCTTGCATATACCTTTAGTGATGCACCGTTCAGGAGGGCGAAGTTGTGGGTGCCTTCGTCGAGGAGATGAATGCCGCTTGTGGCGGCTTGCTTAAATAACTCTATAACCTCTCCATAATCACCATATTCCCTTTTGACCAGCTGTAAGTCTAAGGGCGGGCTTACCTATGCGATCTTCCGTTGGAAAATAGGGATATCGAGGGTGAAATCGTGGTTTCCGGGAATGACCAACTTGAGGGGTGCTTTGCTGTTCCGAAGGGGTTCGATGGCAGACTTAACTTCGTCGATTTAGATGAAGGTCAACTGATGCATTGTAAATTTAGAGGTGGGAATGAATGGCACAATTAACAAACGTAGGCATGTCAGTATATAACTATGACTGATTTAAACTTTGGGAGGAGTGAACCATGGCCTGGTTGCAATCCGGCCATGATACCAGGCGTGGTAAGAGTTGAATCTTAGCTAGATCTTAGGTCCTCGTCCATGAAAACCTCTAGGTGAGATATACAAGGTTGTGTCGACATTGACGATCCCGGTGAAGGGAAGAGTTCTTCACCTCCTACATCAATATCCGGGTGGCAAAGTCGACATTCACCGTTTGCACAGTAAACAAAGTATTCACCATCAGGTCAGACAGGAAAACCTCGCTTATTGCTGGCGTTGTAATGAAATAGATAAATAGGCCTTGCATAGCTGTGTTTAATAAAAAATAATGCACTCTTTTCACGTTGAATCTGTAGAGACCTTTCCACAGGTTGTTGGTTGGCCGTCAATCTACGATTCCTATACTTCGTTCAGGCCATGGCCCAGTTCAATATATATAGTCCGAGAATGTAGTTTGTTTGCTATTCTGAATTATATTTGCTGCATGGAATTAGACCCAGCCTTAAAATATCATGATATCGATAGAATTTTCTTCGTTTTAACATTCTATTCTACCTAGGACATGCCTTAACCTCTGATGGTAGCTATCTACCTCTGGCCATAAAGCCCTCCGCTCTACTACAGTGACCCTCAAAATTTGACTACCCGGCGATCAAGCGAGGATTTTACAACGGGAAATAATCGCTGATTTTATATCAGTAGCACCTATAATCTTCTCTTATTTCACTTATTACCCCGACAATCATGCAACTGGAACGCAGTTCGAAAACCTGACGTTTCTTGCAGAGAAAATCTGGGTGGGTCTAAAAGGTGACGGTTATGTGCTGGCCTGAGGCAGCATTGTCAAGGCTTTTCAGGCCCAATTCGGTCGCAGGGTTTAGGGCTTTCCCGCACACGATGGGCCGGGATGCAAACTAAGCGAAAATTTCCACCACTTCGTGTGAGACTTCGATCCGCAACCTCGAACGACGACAACCAGCCTCACGTCGACAACAATGGCCTCTCGTCCTACCGTCTCTATCGCCTCCGCTGAGGGCAAGCCCACCGGGGCTACTGTCCCTCTGCCGGCTGTTTTCGCCGCTCCCATCCGTTCGGATATCGTCCAGTATGTGCGCACTTTACTTTTCAACGCAGGAGGATCAATTGGCTTTGGGAACGGCGACTTTTGGATATGAGGGAAAAGAGAGAAATTGGGCTGACGGTTGAATTATAGGCAGGTTCACACCGGTATGGCGAAGAACAAGAGACAGCCCTACGCTGTGAGCGAGAAGGCTGGTGAACAGACCTCCGCTGAGTCCTGGGGTACCGGTATGTTTTGGACTATGGGCAATTGAGTAAGATTTGGAACGCAGCGTGTGTGCTGACTTGGATAACTAGGCCGTGCTGTCGCTCGTATTCCCCGTGTCTCCGGTGGTGGTACTCACCGTGCTGGTCAGGCTGCGTTCGGTAACCAGTGCCGCTCTGGTCGCATGTTCGCTCCCACCAAGGTCTGGAGAAAGTGGCACCAGAGGGTCAACGTTGGCCAGAGGTACGGCTGGATCAATGGAGAGATTGGATAATAGTTACTAACGCGCGAGATAGACGTTTCGCTACCACCTCTGCCCTCGCTGCCTCTTCCGTCCCCTCTCTCCTCTTCGCCCGTGGCCACCGCATCGCCAACGTCCCCGAGGTTCCCCTCGTCGTTGACTCCAAGACCTTCGAGAACGCCGCTGTCACCAAGACCAAGACTGCCGTCGCTCTCCTCCAGGCTGTTGGTGCTGGTTCCGAGCTCGTCAAGGTCTCCAAGTCCCGCAAGATGCGTGCCGGTAAGGGTAAGCTGAGAAGCCGCCGCTTCCGCCAGCGCCGCGGCCCTCTCGTCGTCTACAACCCCGAGACCGACGGCAAGGAGCTCGTCCGTGCTTTCCGCAACATCCCTGGTGTTGAGACGTCCTCTGTCTTCTCCCTCAACCTCCTCCAGCTCGCCCCCGGTGGTCACCTCGGTCGCTTCATCGTCTGGACCTCCTCTGCCTTCGAGGCCCTCGACACCGTCTACGGCACCACGAGCTCTCCTTCTGCCCTCAAGAAGGACTTCGTCCTCCCCTCCAACCTCGTCGCCAACGCCGACCTCACCCGCCTCATCAACTCTTCTGAAATCCAGTCCGTCCTCCGCGGCCCCAAGGGTGAGGCCCGAACCAAGCGCGCCAACGTCCAGAAGAAGAACCCTCTCCGCAACAAGCAGGTTATGCTCCGTCTTAACCCCTACGCTGCTGCTTTCTCTAAGGAGAAGCTTGGCCAGAAGTCTGTTGACGGTGGCAAGCCTGAGGCCAAGGCTGAGTCTTTCCTCAAGACTCTCCACGAGGAATAGACGCCTAGCTCTTTCTCAGGTTTTAGTGTCATGTTGATGGTTCCGGTTTTAAAAATGGTAGCAATAAGCAAATGAACGGATTTGCAATACCCTATTTCGTCTTTTTATTTAAATACTCACGTGTAATGAATATGTAATTGATTCAGGCGTGGATTAAGTTTCGTAGCTGTTAAGTACTATAAATGACCGAGTACGGATTATGTAGTAGATACCCTATGCTTTCCACTGGAATCCCTGGGATTTCATAGTCACGGTCTGATCCTCTGTAATCGATGGTCGTTCATTGTACACCGAGAAGAGCGAACGTTGCTTTTCCGAGGCCAAGTTGACATTGAAGATGCGACAATTGGACCCTCACAGCTAGGTGGCTTGGCCGCTGCAGGCAGACTAGCAACCCTCCGTAGTAGTGTCGATTCGACATCTGGACTTTACCAGACCCCTCGCAATATTATCTCTCTTCGGTTTAGCTTGTCCTAACTATAATATCGGATCTCTATGGCCAAATGTCTCACAATTCAACCGATGCTATCTCAGTGGACGATTAGTGCCGGCTAATGCCATGAAACCACACTACTTCGTAGCTCGTCTTTCGGGGCATCTGCCGTGTCCACAGTTCGATTGGGGAGCCTTGCTCGTATCAATCCCGAAAAGGGCCAGGGAACGGAACATCGGGAGTTACATCCAGATAAACTAAGGCGTGGGGCTTCGCCCAGCTATCCATCTGCTACGCTTGTGGAATGTGCAGATGACAGGGCACGGAGAATTAAAAAACGAGGTATTCCTCCGGGTGGCAATAGATCGGGACAACTGGCGACGTTTGTTTTGGACGATGGCTTGGGACCAGCTTGACAACGGAGTTCTTTCTCCGTCTCTGCCCGGGCTCTTATCGGATTAGTATACTGGATACAACGGTCGAGAGGAAGAAACAGGGTACGAGAAAAAACTTGGTGTAACAGGTTGTGCGCGCTATAGGTAGAGAAACCAGGTACCCGAAGACATTGGTTGAGTATACTCTGTACCATATCATACCCTCTTTTTTTGTTTTTTCTCTTTTCTTTCTTTTAACGTCCATCAACCCTGATATTTACTTCAGCGCATCTAAACATACGCGTCTTATCAAGTTCCTTCTGACATTGACTGCACTGTTCTGACTTATGTTATGGCAGAAGTGGACTGTAATAGGGCTATTGTTCACCTGCGCCCACAATACTGTACTCGTTGATTTGATCGAGCGAGAATGAAGTTTGCAATGTGAGGGTGGTTTGAACTGAGTGGCATTTGATTATTCTCGAGCGGGCAGGTGGATTCTCAGTGTGGATTCCCACCTTCTTGTATGGTTGCTACATTGTCAGAATTGAAACAATATATCTCAATATCCTGGTAATTGTAAAGCCTTTTTAGGTTGAATACCCACAATTATCGGACCAGGCGGGCCTGTACTCAGGAAACCATTGTTAGGGCGCGGTCCGGCACTCAATTCGACTTTCAACGCTTAGGCTTCGAGATGCCCTAATCTTACCTATTAGGCTATTAATTCCGATCTCGCGAATCCTGGACGCTCTGACGGATAGCATCTCTCGGTCGTTGGACTCGGGCTTTCGGAAGACGGAGCGACCAACTGAATGACGACGAATTAGCCGGCCCAAGGACATGACACTGTTCGAGGAAATACATGGTTATGTCGCTGTATGCGGGCAATTAAGGACAATTTTGTCCCTTTCGAGCCTCCGTCCGTCTCCGAGTGCGGAACGGGTTAATGTGTTATGCAACTTAATGCTCATATTTCATGTTCTTGTACCTACTCGTGGTTCGGATCCAGAGTCAATTCTGGGCAAAGAACGAGAGCATTCATAATCTAGAAGCTATAAATTCGCCAAGGCAGGCTGGGTGGGTGAGGCCATCTTAACCGTGCCGTGCCGCGCCAGGACGAAGCAGAGAATCCTGATACATTATAAATAAGTGAGAAGCGTGTTGAACTCTTTGAGTGACCACTTCTAAGCGAGTGCCGAGATTTGAGGGGCGGATGGAGAGGGGGCGCTATTAACGCCAGGCATGATTACCGTCCAAGAAAGCGAATTATCCCTCCGCTCGGTACTTGGGATGATCAGAGCCTACACAGAGGAACCCTGCTAATCAGATACGAGGGAATTATGAGCATTAAGACTAAGAGGTTGATAATTTATCTGGGAGTCGGGACCTCTAACAAGCGGCGCATAACCGATGCACTAACCTTCGTGCCAATGCAAGTTGTGGCTGGAAGCATAGAAAGAGCTCGGAATTTTGTACCAAAGGATTCTTACCCGCTGACCCGGAGTGTCATTTCAGCTGACGTCTGATTTTTGATTTTTGATATATTCTTTTGGGATGGCGTTCTACGGGTTCGCTTGGAGTGCCAAAATTGATCCCAAGAGCGGAGAAATTTCCCTTCCTGAAAAGCATATTGATGAAATCCAACAATTGCAGTTATAGCGACCTAAGCCCCTGTTATTGTAGCTGCAAGTTATATAGACATATCCTGTGGTCTCTACCCGCGATGTAATTTGCCTTGAGGACTTTACGGACGCCGCCTTGCAAGCCTCAAGACGATAATAGCGCTTGGGGAGACTTCCATTGGTAATATAGAGCCAATTGTTAGGGAAGTGTACTTCCCAAAGGCTTGTATATGCTAAGTAATTGCTGCCATTGCGTAAGAGGGTGGGTTGTCCTCCCGGTACGTACCCCGGGGTTCCAGACATAGGAAATTCCACAGAAGCTCATCGACGGATCTCGCGAGTCGCAAATTATATCTCCGCTTCTCTCGGGAAAATGTCACCTAGTCGCCAGGCAAGTGACCCTGTAACCGCCGTCAGATCCTAGTCATGACCAGTGATCCCCGCTAGATGCATCCTGGGTAGACGAAAGGTACCAAAACCTGATCTGAAAGTGTGAGTAAAGGATTAGATGAGCCAGGCATGAATCAGAAACAGGGATTGCTTTTCTCCGACGGCCGGACGACGGAGGCGAGTAACGAAGCGAACACAGGTTCTGCCTAAGGACGACGAGGATCAACTTTCAAGCGCAATGAAGAAAGCACGTGAGGTCTTCTCAGCCAGAACACATGACGTTGAGGTCCAAACTCCTCACTTTTGTCTGCAAGTGCAGATGTGGTTTCTTATGCACTGAGTTATGCTTACCGGCGAGGCTGCTGGCATTTCCTTCTCTGTCCGAAAAAGCCAGTAGCACAGACAGGGAGTATGCGCCACCAGCCATTTCAATTCCTCGTTAGCACACAATCGCATATGCAGCTCCAGCGGCAACCGACAGCTCGACCACTCCCCAGTTCCTTGTAACTCCACGGTTACAAGCCAACGCCTGGCCTAGTGCTGCATTTTGCATGTGGTTGAGGGGGCGATGTCTGAAGTTGATGTGGTCATAAATTGGTCTTCCTCAAATTTAGGTGCTTGGGATCCAAAAGGTCAGTGATCTACGTGTTTTTACACTTGGATCAGGGCCCTGCTCGGTAAAGAGGATCGTCTAAACCTACGGAGGACGGACGGTATTATGACACTTTAGCCTCTTCCGCTTGCTGCAGATCCAGATTCTCCTTTGCACAACCCTTTTAGCGCTTTGCTGACGAGTGAGTAGCCTGATCAAATTTGTCTTCGCCAACATCTCAGCTACCAACGGTCGATTCTTTTTTGAATCCCACCTCATCGTGGCGTTTTAGTGCTATCGGGGTCGACCCGGACCAGTCGAACTCCCGCAATGGGGCCACGACAGCCGTTGGCGCTAGAACACAAACCATGAGGCGAGCGTAAACTCAAGTCAGTTTACGGGCCAGCCCCAGTGCTGGTATTAGACCCTCAGGGCGGAATCCTTGGCTCGCTTCGTGGAAGGATTGTCGGGCGCAAGTTGAATTAGTTGATTGGCGTGAGCGGTACTTTGTGATGATGATCAAGATCATGGTTCATCCAGATTGATCTCTTTATAGCTCCGTACCGTGCCTAGGCCCGAGCGGTGGCATGGGGAACTGGAAAGAATCAGCTGCCCCTCCCATTCGACGATTAACTCCGACAGGGCTTTCGTGAGGGGATGGAAGGAAATGTATATGATAGGGCAAGCAATCTCGGGACACGCACGGATAAATTGGATCTAGACTCACATCGCACCAATGATCTCCCAGGCGGAGATTTTCCTTTTGCTTGAAAGATGCCAACTCTGGAACAAAAGGACACATGTCAATATTGTACCAAAAAGAATAATCTACCTCTACTGAAAAAAACCCGAGAGCACTGACCGAATGTGCCAGAGAGGTGCGTAATTATTGTCAGACAAAGGGGGTAGTTTATGGGGCCAACATGGAACCAAAGAGACCAGGTACTAATAATAAAGAGGCTGCAGATCCGATCGCCAGAGCTTGAGACGGAACGAGACAAGTACAGTATGGCCGGCAGCATCAGAATAGAGGCCAAAGAAACCTGAAACCGGGATTCAGTCTCACCTTTCAATTGTGCGTGTCTTCTTGCAGGAGCCGTGTTTCCTCTTGTTTCTTAGCGCAGGCCTCCCCGCGAACGACCAGTACGAACTGGACTCTCGCGAAACCGAGGCTAGTCTCACTCTCAAGTTTCAACCTTCCACTTACGAAGGCTGACTGGCATGCCAAATGAAGTAGATATCCACTCTGCCAGAGTCCAGATGTATTCAATCCGTTCCCGCGCAGGAAATCGAAGCTCTTGTGGGCCCGTCATCTTCGTTTTGTCTTCATCAACGATGGCACCAGCAAGCTGTTAAAAGAATCCTCGCTTAGTCCAGACGCCTGAGTAAGAAGAAATGACTCTGCTATAGTACATGATATCCCTGGTCGCGCAGGGGACGGGCCAGGTAGTCGGTGCCTTGTGATGATCGACCGTTGGCTTTGCCTACAAGTGAGAAGAAATGAAAGGAGCTCAAACATCACGGGGCACTCGTGGTTCTGATAATCAGACAAGACAAAACAAGGTTATTCTCAAGTGCCGTCCCGAGGATGAGGAGTCTCTTGTTCCTCCAATGGGCTCGGGCGGTGCAAGATGGAGGTGGAAGGATCGTTTGAAACGCCGTCAGAAAATCCTTCTTGCGGGGCGCAGGCGGAACTCCCGAGGCGAAATGAATGCAGAACGTCAGAAAAAAGCAAAGCGAAGACGTTCTTCTTTTCGAAAGAAATGCTGAAAGGGGGGTCAATAA